AAAACCCAAACCCAAACCCAAACCCAAACCCAAACCCAAACCCAAACCCAAACCCAAACCCAAACCCAAACCCAAACCCAAACCCAAACCCAAAACCCCAAACCCAAACCCAAAACCCAAACCCAAACCCAAACCCAAACCCAAACCCAAACCCAAACCCAAACCCAAACCCAAACCCAAACCCAAACCCAAACCCAAACCCAAACCCAAACCCAAACCCAAACCCAAACCCAAACCCAAACCCAAACCCAAACCCAAACCCAAACCCAAACCCAAACCCAAACCCAAAACCCAAACCCAAACCCAAACCCAAACCCAAACCCAAACCCAAACCCAAACCCAAACCCAAAACCCAAACCCCAAACCCAAACCCAAACCCAAACCCAAACCCAAACCCAAACCCAAACCCAAACCCAAACCCAAACCCAAACCCAAACCCAAACCCAAACCCAAACCCAAACCCAAAACCCAAACCCAAACCCAAACCCAAACCCAAACCCAAACCCAAACCCAAACCCAAACCCAAACCCAAACCCAAACCCAAACCCAAACCCAAACCCAAACCCAAACCCAAAACCCAAAACCCAAACCCAAACCCAAACCCAAACCCAAAACCCAAACCCAAACCCAAACCCAAACCCAAACCCAAACCCAAACCCAAACCCAAACCCAAACCCAAACCCAAACCCAAACCCAAACCCAAACCCAAACCCAAACCCAAACCCAAACCCAAACCCAAACCCAAACCCAAACCCAAAACCCAAACCCAAACCCAAACCCAAACCCAAACCCAAACCCAAACCCAAACCCAAACCCAAAACCCAAACCCAAACCCAAACCCAAACCCAAACCCAAACCCAAACCCAAACCCAAACCCAAACCCAAACCCAAACCCAAACCCAAACCCAAACCCAAACCCAAACCCAAACCCAAACCCAAACCCAAACCCAAACCCAAACCCAAACCCAAACCCAAACCCAAACCCAAACCCAAACCCAAACCCAAACCCAAACCCAAACCCAAACCCAAACCCAAACCCAAACCCAAACCCAAACCCAAACCCAAACCCAAACCCAAACCCAAACCCAAACCCAAACCCAAACCCAAACCCAAACCCAAACCCAAACCCAAACCCAAACCCAAACCCAAACCCAAACCCAAACCCAAACCCAAACCCAAACCCAAACCCAAACCCAAACCCAAACCCAAACCCAAACCCAAACCCAAACCCAAACCCAAACCCAAACCCAAACCCAAACCCAAACCCAAACCCAAACCCAAACCCAAACCCAAACCCAAACCCAAACCCAAACCCAAACCCAAACCCAAACCCAAACCCAAACCCAAACCCAAACCCAAACCCAAACCCAAACCCAAACCCAAACCCAAACCCAAACCCAAACCCAAACCCAAACCCAAACCCAAACCCAAACCCAAACCCAAACCCAAACCCAAACCCAAACCCAAACCCAAACCCAAACCCAAACCCAAACCCAAACCCAAACCCAAACCCAAACCCAAACCCAAACCCAAACCCAAACCCAAACCCAAACCCAAACCCAAACCCAAACCCAAACCCAAACCCAAACCCAAACCCAAACCCAAACCCAAACCCAAACCCAAACCCAAACCCAAACCCAAACCCAAACCCAAACCCAAACCCAAACCCAAACCCAAACCCAAACCCAAACCCAAACCCAAACCCAAACCCAAACCCAAACCCAAACCCAAACCCAAACCCAAACCCAAACCCAAACCCAAACCCAAACCCAAACCCAAACCCAAACCCAAACCCAAACCCAAACCCAAACCCAAACCCAAACCCAAACCCAAACCCAAACCCAAACCCAAACCCAAACCCAAACCCAAACCCAAACCCAAACCCAAACCCAAACCCAAACCCAAACCCAAACCCAAACCCAAACCCAAACCCAAACCCAAACCCAAACCCAAACCCAAACCCAAACCCAAACCCAAACCCAAACCCAAACCCAAACCCAAACCCAAACCCAAACCCAAACCCAAACCCAAACCCAAACCCAAACCCAAACCCAAACCCAAACCCAAACCCACCCAACCTGATGATATTTTTAATCGGAATTTTTAAAAAAAAAAATATTTTGACGTGATGAAAAACGCTGCTCGCCATTTATTTAGTGGTAAGCAAGCCTCATCAACACTCTCTTTCTCTCTGTTTTTCAGAGGTGTAGTTTTTGGTGTTGATACACTTGGTTCAGCCTCTAACCTCTCGCTCTGGAAATCTTTGTCCAATCATCATCATACAAGGAACACTTCGGTACGCTCTTTCCATACATTATCTTCCTTGTTGACAAAAGATGAAGTAACAACAAAAAGTCTTTCTTCTTCTACCGGACCGGGAGGAAATGGAAGTGGTGATGAGCACAACCATGTAGAACAACCAACTGCTTCTGATGATCCCAACCAAAAATCAATCTATATGGCACCACAACCAACAGCTAATAATAACTCTCCCATTCAAGTAGTGTCCACAAAAGTTCTCTCCTTCACTAATTACGAGGAGTGGACAAAGGAAGAAGTTGCTTCTATCCTTTGTATGAAGAAAGGTGAAGATGGGGCCTCATTGTCCGTTGAGAAAGTGAAACCTCTATATAGTGCTGGTTTTGATGGGGCTTCTCTTGATAACATTGTTCAAGATATCAAGAGGCACGATGTAGATTTTGCAATTAAAGCCATGTCTCAAAGCAAAGACTTTTCACAGGTTTCTGAGAGTACTTGCAAGGCAGTGGTAAATTGGGTGTACAATACTTTGATGCCCAATCTTCAAATTGAACCATTTCATTATTTCCCAAGAAGCGAAAGAGAACTCTTAACCAAAGCAGATGAAATTCTTGAAGGTAATATTGATTCTGATGCAAAACGTACCAACCTACCAGAGACGTATAAACAGTGGTACTTGTCATTCTGTAATTTAGTAATCAAGGGCCAAGCTCAAGGTAAAAGAACTCACTCTGAAAAAGAAAATTACTCTGTCGATTTACTGAAACTCTTTTCAAATGCAAGAGATATTATATTCAGCAACGTAAATACAGACAGTATATTGAACAAATCGAATTTTGAGACAGTCATGAATAACATGGTGAATGATCTTTTAAAGAAAAAGGATCTTGAAAAGGAGTTTTTTATGAGGAATTTGCTTACTCCCTTTAACACACGCTGTCCATCCCAATTTGTCAGAGATGTTTTTGTTCCAACTAACTCCACAATGATAACAAAAGATTTGTTTCCATTCCTCCCAAAATTACAAGTCGATCTGTTTAATGAAAGTGAAAGAAAGACGTTGGACCAAAAAATTCGTGATGGATCAACAATTTGCGTGATTGGACCCTCAGGTGTGGGTAAAACTGCTTTGGTAATTATTATTATTATATTATTGTTTAATTTGTTAAACTTTTAACTAATACGTTTTACAGCTTGCAAGAAGATTAGGAGTCAATCCAGGAATTATGATAACATGTACATCTCTGTATGATCGGCAACATCTTTCGGAACGTGGAACTGACCAAGCTTCTGATAAGTTGAGAGAAACATTTGTACTCACCATGACACAATCTGTTATCAAGCTCTACGCTACTGCTGCTCAACAAGTTCAATGTAATTTTATTGCAAGATTACTGTGCCTTCATACTGCATTAACCATCTGGGAACAAACGGATAACAAAACACCTTTCGAAACTCCTCTTCAAATGTTATCCTACTCTCAATGGAACGGCAATACAAAGACTGTAGCAAATATATTCAACACATTGTTGGAACGTCAATGGCTTTCTTTACCAACTGAAACTTTAAGAGATTTCACAATATTTTTGATCGAACAATTATATTCAAGGTTGAAGCTGGATAAGCAACCATTTATTATTGCTATTGACGAGGCAAATATTTTCTCTATTCTCCATACTCCAATGTTATCTGAGAACGGTACACCCAGGGATTTATTGTCACTGATTGCATTCGAAATTTCTCAACTTAGAAAGAAGACTTATATGAAAATTAGTGATATTTATTGTGGAACCATGTTTACAACTGACATTGTTGATATTATTCAATCATCGATTGGAAAATTAGAGGATGTTTGCCATGTTTACTCCTGCGTTGGTTTAGATTCCATCACTTTTGAGCAAGCATTACAAATATTAGACAAAATGTATGATATTGAAGCAATTTTAAAATCGTCCAATATCTCCAAAATTGATCTTTATCACTCTATTCAACACATATTCCCAACAAGAAGAAGAGTAGTTGGGCTTGTTGCCTCTTATTTAGAAACAACAAAAACTCTCGATATTGAAGAAAGTTTCAGAAGAAAGTGGAAAGAGTTTGTGGATCAGGTGGAAAAAATGTTTTACATAGATTTGATTGTAAGAAGTCAACAGACCGTCTTGATCTTAATTTTTTGTTGGACGTAGTAATCACAAATGAATATGATGCCTTTTTAGGGAAATCAATTTCTTGCGACAGAGCATTAGCTTCTTCATTAATAGGAACTGGATTAGCAAAACCAAATTTTGACTTTTATGATACTAACAGCGATATGTATCATTTTGATACCTCAGACCCAATTCTTAAACATGTTGCAAAAGAGGTTTTAGAAAAGAAATATCCAAACTCAATTACAAAAATCAGTAACCCAATCTCAGTGTTGAATTTGCTATTATCTCTCCCTCAACATGACCCTAAGAAATGGGAAATGGTATTTTCTCTTTTATTGCAACACCATAGTGGAAAGTGTATTAGGGACAACTTGATCCTTTCACCATTAATATTAGGTGAGAATACAACAACCGAGATAAATGACAAATCAAACACTGACACAACATCGGAGAAAAAGAAAAGACCATATACTCTATTACTTGACCACAAATTTGTGATCAAATCATTTATTCGAACTAAAGATTTTTATCGCAAGCATTACACATCAAAATGGGCCCAAGAAGTCCTCACAAACACTGACAATATTGACAGCAATATGTTGGGAGATATTTTATACTTTCATTGTTTGTTGAACTATAACAAACATATAGAAGAGAGTTCTACTAACAATACCATTACATTTAAAGACCTTATTGATGGGGTATATTTTTATCCCTCTTTGAATTGTCATGCTGATGGTATTTGTTTAAACTTTTCAGAGCAACCTTACGGTATTATTGTGAGCAACAAATTACATAATTGCCAGAGAAAAACATTTTTAAACCAGATTAGAAACGGCGTCAAGTGTGTGAATGCGAATAATTTCTACAAAGCAAAATTTGGCCCAGAAGTAATTGGAAACTGTAGGACCTGGTGGACGACTGAGAAACAGGAGTTTCTAGCAACATTAACTAAGAATGAGAGACTAATACCTCTCGTGGCACATATACATGTAAAATATCAACAAATCACAACAAAGAAAGGTGAAGGTTTTACTAAAGATTATTCTGAAGGAGGAAAATATTTAATTCTGAATCCAGATTCAAATGATTTAATGTCACTCTGTCCTGATTTGTTTAAACTTTTACAGAAGAATCTATTTAATACTGCGATTATTGATAATTTGAATACAGAGGATCATGAATGAATCTGCACTCCATACAGGATCTCTTCTTTTTGACACAAGTGTATTAAATTAGGGTTGGTTATGAAGACATTTGAGGTTTTTCTATTAAAAACTGATATGTTCTGAACGAAGTGAAGGGCATGAATGTTTCGATTGTAAACATTAAAAGAGTTTGGTTGAGCAACGAAAAATATTTTCATGCTCAAAAAATTTTCTGCATATTCGTGCGTTTTGATTTGATTAGTGACTTCTAGCTCTCCCTTAATATATCTCGCTTTCTCGCTCTCTCATTCCCACGCTCATCATGCCCAAAGCAAAACCTTCGACTCCTAAAAACTCTCAAGACAATGAGTCAGAATAGACTCAATCTCTTCTTGGAGTTATTATTAGTGATGATGGTTCTCTCTCAAGCTCACCTAAACCATCCACTCCAAAGAAGATGATATGTTCTGAACGTAGTGAAGGGCATGAATGTTTCGATTGTAAACAATTAAAGAGTTTGGTTGAGCTTGAAAAATTTTTTTCCATGCTCAAAAAATTTTCTGCATATTAACGATTAGTCTCTCTTTGCGTTGCTTAGTGACTTGTATTGTGAACATTATTTCATCCGGAGCCTCTTTCGCTTTTTTATATCATTTCAAAACTCTTCATCAACAACACTCTCTCAATATCGACTCTCTCAAACAACACCTTTATTGCCCAATTACTTCTATTCGTCTCTGTTAATATATAACAGTACAAAATTTCCAACATCATCAGGGTCTCTATTGCTCTTGAATAGCCTCACGATTATCTCTATCGCTATTTCTTTCTCGTAATTACACAACTCATTAGTGAATCCGAATACTATTTTTTCACTCTTTATTTATTAACGATTCATCTTTGAATGACTTCAATTCACTCTTTTCTTAATATTAATTTCAATTAAGTTTAATTGAATCTTTGTTTTGATATAGATATTGGTTTGGTCTTTGTGATATGATTCCTCTGAAATAACAAGCAATAATAGAAAGTGTTGAGTCCACGAGTTTTATTTGTAGCCACTTCCTTGCTTGACCAACATTAGAGCTTGTTCGCACTCTGATTTGTTATGCTTTGGTTTCTCAATCAATCCAATATCATCCATCTATATTCGAGCTATGTTAGTTTTGGGATTGAATTATCATCAATGAATTTCGGTATCTCTGCTCCTTCTTTATCAACACTCTATTCTACCCCTTGTATAAAGAGCCCACGTACAGCCCACACAATTAGAACCGATTCTCGAATAGATTTCAATGAATTAATGGAATCTTGAACATTTGTGAAATTTAGCTTTGATAAGGTTTACGCTAACTCTTTTTGTGGAAGAATGATGCTTTGGATACTAGGGAGATGGTAGATTCTTCTTTATCATCTTCACCGTCAGTTCATGGGAAGGAATATTTGTTACCTTGTTCCGTAATAGCATGAAAATCATTTGTTCCTTGTTTGAACTATCTATAGAAATGTCAGAAGCAACACAACCCCAATTATCAACTGAAATAGATGTCTTGGGAAATCTTATTAATGTCAACCCTTAATAATCATGTCCAATTCGGATCTATCGTCTATGTCGAACAAGAGGTTGTTTGAATTCGTGGAGACAATGATAGTAGTACATAAGAGGTTTTCGAATCATTATGTGAGACAATGCTATTCATCACTATACATACAATAGCTACCCAATGACACTTTTGAGCAAAAATCGAGAGATTTTCTCTTCTGACGTACAATTATTTTAGGATGTTTTAATTATTTACATTCCGACCAACAAGGATCTTATTTGATGGACACAAAACAATGGCATAGTTTAAACATGAATTCCTTGTTGTGTGAGGGAGGCTCTTCACAACCACTCTTTTTGAGTTAACTGCATCAATATTCAATCATTAAACACAAACCTGTTCCAAACAGTGCTCTTCTTGTCATCATTGATCACACAAAGGGCTCTGTCATGACTATTCATTCACATTCTCAACAACAAACACTTCTACAGTGCTCATCATGATAAACAATAACATTTATTATCACAAGAATGAAATCATTGTCAAGGAACTCTCCGTGCGAATTGATCAATCATTGAGTGATTTCATCCAATTTTGCATGCCATGCATGTGTTGTCAACAGAACGTGCACAAAAACACTTCTGATTGTGTTATTCAAAGAAATACATCCCATTACTCTCTAAAGACAGTCTACGTCTGTTAATTGAGACAATGAAACGTTGAAACTATCAATGTGACATGATTGTCATGCACAGTGACTTTGTACTCAACACCGTGATCAATGGTTCATATTTGTTCCAATATACACAATTAAAATGTGTATCACACATGGATACATCACATATATCAATTTGACAAACTATCAACTTGTATTTATTGTTATAGAGTTCAATTTAACTTTTTATCTGGAACTTTCTGTCATTTTTGAACTAGTAAAAAAAATTTCGATTCATACCACTCAAGCAAAAACCGACTCTTCACGAGAAGAGCTTCATTATTTCAAACATGTCTCATTTTTGATGAAATCGAGCCCTTAAAAAATGACTGACGATCATCCCTCGTTAATCACTAAAATTGCGCACCTTGAAAAATATATTGAATACCTAGAATCTACCATGAATGATCTCACTAAAGTAATTAATGATATGATTGAAAAGCAACTGCATGAACCTACTTCTAATCTTAAAATCAATGATAACCCTCCAAATGATGAGTCAGTTATGTCCACTCCAATATTTCCCCAAACACAAATACAAGCACCATCTTCTACACAAACACATACACATACACACACACCACACACACCACACACACTTACACACAACAAAAAAGAACAAATTCCTATGAAGAACAAATACCAAAGCCGTAGATTCAACCAAGAAACAACAACCAATATCAACCTAAACAAGAAAAATCTCTCTTCCAAAGATAACTCGAACCCTAAGTTAAAAAACGTCAACCAAAGACCGCAAAAATGCAATCAACCCGCCCAACAACTAAGAAATCTATCGACTTCAACAAAGGATTAACAATATACTGCGCAACCAACTTGTACAAAAACAAAGAGGCACTTCAATTTCTCCTCAATCACCTCAAGGCCTCCAAACCTCCAAACTTGCGAAGGATCCATGGGTCCCCTCTGAAAGACCATTCATACTCCAAATTGTTCCGTCCTCATCAAGCTCAAGGGACGAAATCATCAAGAACCTCAATACCGCCAAAAGTCAAACAAACTTTAAATACTTTATCTCTGATATGTCTCTCCAAATCACAGAGTTCACCGCTCAACATCTTACTGGAAACGATGAAAACAATATTCTCCATATGATCTCCTGCGTATGCAATTGGCATGAGAAATCTAAAGGTTTAATAGCTATGAGAATTAGTAAACCACCAGATTCAAGCTGCTTCAAAACCACTGTTACAGTTAAGAATTTACAATCACTACAAGAAATCCTCTCTAACACCGAATGGTCTCGCCTCAAAACTTATACTCAACTAGCTGAAGATTCCCGTTTTGAAGTCTTTATCAACCTCTCTACAGATTTTGAAGAACATGAAATCGTAAACGTCGTTAAAGATATCACCACTAAAGCAGGAATTACTATTCACCCAAACTCTATCAAAATCGATGAAAAGGCATCTCCTTTTAATCCTGAAGAATCATATTATAACATCATAGTGACTCTTAAATCTGATACTGAAGTCGATCGTATCTTAGAAGTGGTCCATCCTATTGAAACCAAGCATGGCAGAATCATCACAAAATCCTTCAAGTCCAAAGCGCAGTTCTTTAAAGAAAAAGCTATCTCCAAATCAAATCAATCAACAGAGAAAGAAAGCTCTAACTTCTCAACTATTACTACTCCAAATAATTATGAAGCAAGATTTACCAGCCTTGAAAAAAGAGTCTCCAATATGGAAAGCAATATATCATATATTGCTAAGAATATGGAAACTCTAATGCACAGCGTTAAAAGACTCGTTCAAGCTGGAAAGAGAAAGGACATGCATGATGAAGATATTGAATGACTTTTACTATTGCAACCCTTAATGTGAATGGAATCCTTCCAAAGGATCCCAATCAATCAAGTAGATTGGACAAAATCATACGGCTTATGGATATCTATCACCTTAACTTCATGGCAATCCAAGAATCACACATTAACAACTCACAATACACACGCACTTTTCACCAAAACCTCTATCGATATTATTCTTTTCTCAACAATAATAATTCTCATGATGGAACTTTTGTCCTTACCCATCAACGTCACAAAAAGAAATCCATTCATCAAATCCTTATTACAGGACGTCTCCAACTATGCACCATCCACATCGGTGGATGCTTATTGAATATATTTAATATTTATAACTACTCTGGAAACAGAAATGAAGAAGAAGAAAATATTTTACTCGAGAAATTATCTGAAACCCTATCAACCCTAAATCACCAACCAATAATAGTGATTGGTGACATGAATTTTAGTTCAGAAGGAAATGCTTACAAAGACACCAAGTGGAAAACATTTATGGACCAACATAACCTAAAAGAAAGAGAAACAATAATTCCATCCTACATCAGAAAATACACATCACAAAACAAAATATTAGAAACAATCTCAAGACCTGACCACCTTTTCCACTCGAGTCACATTGAAATAGAACATGAACAAGCTTTACCACTCGTCACAACAAATGACCACATACCAATCATGTTCAAATTTAAATTATTAATTCCAACAACCTGGAAACGAATAATCAGCGATGAGCAAAGTGTTGCAAAAAAACTCGAAGAAATTTTGAAATCTCTTCCCGTCAACAACAGTGAATTGAAAAAACTCAATCATGAGATCAAGAACCAATCTCATAAACCACATCCTATTAAGGGATTTAAGGAATCTGAAATCATTACCAATTTGAAACAACAGCTCCATAATCTCCATGAACAAAAATTATCCGAAACAACCCAAGATGAATCCACTATCAAAAGATCTATAAAGGAAACAAAGAAGAAACTCAAAGAACAATATAACCTTGAATTTGCGGAATATAGAAAAAAGTTCATAGATTCCATTAATAACAAACACACCAAAGGAATCCACAGCTTCGATCACCATCTCAAATACAAGGAAATTGATTGGAATTCAACCAAAATAACAAAAGAAGGAGTTGTGAACTACTTTAAAAACAAATTCACCTCAAAACTAGATGACAAAACAGAAATTAAATTTAAACCAGGTGAATCAACAGTTAAAGAAGGACCGTCCAACATTACAATAACTCAAGAAGATGTTACGGACGCGTTGAAAAGAATGAAATCAACAACACAAGGGGTAGATTTCACAACAAAACAGATATTTGAAAATATCAATCCCAATAATTTAGCATCAGCATTTAATGACATGATCCAAAATCAAGACATCCCAAAATGCTGGAAACAAGGATGGGTTAAATTAATCGGAAAAAAAGATATAATCACAGACTACAAAGATCTAAGACCAATCATAATCATGAATATTGGATATAGACTCCTATTCAACATTATAACATTCAAACTTAAAGATTGGGCCGAATCAAATATCAACATTAGACAACAAGCATTCACCCAAAATCGAGAAACAACAAATCACTGCATCCTCATACAAGCCCTCATTAACAAATTCAAAAAGAAAGGATTCATTCTAACCAATATAGATTATTGATAAAATTATTGAAAGAGAAAAACTCCCAATCACTCCACAAGATCTAGACATTGATGATATTGCCACACTTTGTTTTGCCGATGATATGTCAATTATCAATTCTAACATTACTCTCCACAACAAAAGACTCAAGAAAATTAACAGATGGTTCAAACAAATATTCCTATAAATTAATCCATCCAAATCAGTTACAACTTCACTCCCTAAACCAAACGAGGCCTTGATTAACAATACCAAAATTCCAAACCAAGAAAACCAAAGAATCCTCGGAGGATATCTTTTTGAATCTAAATTATTTAAGGAAGAACTAGAAAAAAGGAAACATAAGATGATGAATATCCTTAACATCCTCCCAATTAATCTGATTCAACCATATAATCTCAAACAAGTAGTCACATCTAAAACCTTATCCCAAATTACACATCTTGCACGCAGTAATTCAATAAGCCAATCCCAAAATACCATAAGAAATGTAAAAACTTTGAAGTATGGACTGATGGATCTAAAACTGAACAAGGAACTGGATTTGGTATTATACTACAGTCCAAAAATATAACAACTAGACACAAATTCAAACTTGACCCAATCCATAGCAATAACTTAGCTGAACTACTAAGTATTGTCTACACTCTCCGATTATTACCAACAAAATCAAAAGCAAAAATCTACACAGACAGCGAAATAAGTATCAATTTGCTATCAAATCCTAAATACCGAGAACCATTTCTCCCCCTTAAAACTGAATTTGAATTCCTCAAGAAATCTAAAAACCTACAAATCACCATCATCAAAGTTAAAGGCCACCAAAATAGTGGTAACATTCACGTAGACAAATTAGCCAAAAAGGGATGCACATCAGGAAAATTGATAATTCCTCACAGACAACTTACCCAAAACCAAATTATCCTCAAATCCAATAACCACTGGATTCCAGATATTGCAACATTCATCAAGAACAAACAACTTCAGAAATGGAATGAATCAATAACTTTGAAGAGCAGGAATAAGTTTAACCCTTCTTGCATCTTCCCAACAACATTCAATTTCATGAAGTCAAAGAATATCTCTCCCCAACAAAAATATGCAATCTGGAGAAACATGCACAATGTTCACATGAAAACATTTAAACAACAAACTCACACCGGCCCCAGATGTAATTGCACCGGAACTATTGAACATTATTCCACACGTTGTCCATATCTCAACCAATCTCGAGGCACTCCAAAGTCTGAGTTTGAAATGTACTTTAACATCACAACATATCACTAATACAATAATTTCCTCAATACTAGTGTACTACCTGCGTGTTGACATCACATGAGTCGTTTCCACATGTTGTCATCATATATTTATCGTATATGAGTGAAATTTAACATTTTCGCTGGGACCTTGTATCATTTTTGAACTTGTAAAATTCAATCCAAAAAATTTTCTTTCGAGCTAAAATTCACTCACCATGAGGAGAGCTTACCGTTTCATACTTAGTTGACAATTAATGAAATAAACACCATCAATACATCCTAGTGGTTGATGTAGAAGGTGTATTACAAGATTCATGTCTTGAGAATGACCATGTCTCTCACAATGGCAACTAATCTATATAATTGCCTCTGTTGTGATCATGGTCATCACTAAGTGTCAAAACTCTCACTATACGCTCTTTGTGATGTCTACAACATGTATCGTCAATTTCAAGTTCAATTTCAAATCATGTTACTGACAGTGTCCCTCCTCCTGGGGTGACAAAATTTTTCGCTGGTGGTATATAGTTGACCAATTATAGGGATGCTCCACGGTCCGAGGAGTGTCTCCCAACCTCTCATATTTCATTTATATATCATTCATGAGTACTACTATCATTGAGGGATTATGAGGCATGTTTGCATGTCTGCATCAATTTTTTTAATATATCAACCTGAGGGCTATGAAATTTACCGTCGCACAAGTTCCAGCGAAAACGTGAAATTTTTTTCTTTCTTGTGAACGACATATCAGAACAAATAACCGAGCAAGATCCTATCGTTATAGATCCTAAGACAACTAAATATGTTGTTTATTTGAAAATTACAAATTTTTGGGATCACTGAATGGGCGATATTCCCAACCCAACAACCAAAACAGGAAACTAAACATTTAGAAACTCCTCAACTCAAAATTGAACAAACTGGTCAACCCAAAAACAAAACTAATTCAATCTCAATCTACTCGGACAGCAATATCTCATTCTCATTTGTTAAATTTATTCTAAAAAGATTTGAATCAGTTATAGAACACTGGTACATCCCAGACAGCAAGACCAACACTCTCAATTTAGTCATTCAAAATGCCGAAAACAAATACTAAAGAAACTTAATTCACCAACCATGACAGAAAAAACACAAACAAAATATTTCGCCTCACCAATGATTTTTACATCATCTCCAACAACATTAATAGCCAAAGAAAAATCAATTTCGAACATCCAAACTCTCATCAAGTACTCAATCAATCAAAAGAAATGTAGAATTGAATAAATGTGCCTAACATTCAATCCACAAGAAACCTTGTACAAACTTAAAATTAACTTTGATTCCAAGAATCCCAACACTGAATTGATTGAACAAGGATTTGAAATTATCAAAAGAAAGCAAGAAACGCATATAGCAAATTGTATACTCCCTGAATCAACAAGTGAACTCGCAATTACCAAAGCTATTAAAACACTATGCAAGAACACAACCATCAAATTCGAAAAAGAGAGACTCAGTATTAAGAAAAAGGTAAAAGATACCTACTCATACCTAATTGTTGAATACAAGCTTAATGACATCAATGAATTGAATAGACTAACCTCAACAAGATTTATTTGCTCCACAGAATTGAAACCAATTTCAAGACAATTCAACCCAAAGTCAACCGCATGAACGTGCGTTTAATAGTTTTACCAGCACCAATGGTGCTAACAATAAACTAATTAGATTTTTTTTCCACGAAAGATAGTTCGACACAGTTTCTAACTTTGCTGAGAACTCTTTGTCGATAGTGAACAGGGTGGCAAGCAGGTTCAGTCAGACCAAAGCCCCTTCATTTGTTTCGATTAAGTCAAGCTCTTCTTTTGGAGGCGGTTTATCTCTGTCTAGAATGATCAGTAATGTGTCCCTTTTCAAAAATTCATTCTCTATCTTTGTGGTGAACTCGAAACATTTGACAAACCACAAAAAAAATCAAAGTGAAATAATAACAAACTTGTGATGAATTGCAGAGTTACCATCATCTCTAGGATCTTATCTGTCACACGATCAACCATGAAACAACTCCCTCTTGTTGCAACTATTCTTCTCATTGCATGTACATTACTTTCATCATCTATCCTCGGTTTCACTTTATCGTTACGTCAGACGAACATTCCCACAATTAATGACATCTCCTCCTACAACACAACTGCAAATATTACGGAAAATATGATCAAGGCCATCGATGCTGGAGTGACTGAAATGGTTCAAACAGCTTCATGGAGAAAGCTCTTCTCTGATTTGAATCTACCTTTCAACATTCCTCAATGTGTGAAAGCAGTTACTTCCTATCCGCTCTCAAATCCATTTGTTGGAATTGACACTTTGAACGTTTGTTATGAGAGACCTACCGATCCATGGCTTGAAATTTACAAACAAGGAGGTGATATGTTGGTTGCAATTCTCAATACTAAATACGTAATCAATTTAAAAACAAAACATTACTTTTTAAACACCACACTCTTGGGCTATTTCGAAACAATGCGAAAAGGTGTTGATTCTGGATTTTGTCACATCATCACAAGTGCTGCCATTAACACCGCAGAGAGAGCTGCAAAAGTACATTTCAATTGTCCAAGTGGAACGTCATCGCTTGCTTTTTTAAGATCCGAACTCGACAACACCAACTCGACTCCATTGTTCAACACGGTGAAAACACTCAATGACTCGAGAGCCATCATTGCAGTCTTTGGAGGAGCTTACTTTGAATCACAAGCGAGAGCTTTCTTCTCAGCGGCTCGACTAATTGTAGTGAATGGTGGTTTTGCAGATATTTGGCCATACATCTTAACGAAACAAGTTCATGCCATGATTGGAGATGCAGTGGATGTTTCAAGTTGGTTAAATAGCAACAAGAATCAATGTCAGAGATGTTTTGTGTCCATCATGGGAGATCCTTATGATTTCTCGAGTTTCACCACCATGAATTATTTGAAAAATTCAGCCCATCAGAGAACAGCATGGAATTTATCATTCATGGTTCTTGTTGCGGCCCTAAATGTGTTGATTGTCTCCATTATTATGTAAAGTAGTAAAGAAGATATACGCAAGTAGCGCTAATATATCTTGCCCCTATTGATATCTCTGTATTTCATGTTTATAAATCACAGAGGCAACTACTTGTCAGAAAAGTGTATAATCTTAATACAAAGAATCATGCTCCTGTATTTGTTTTGTTGTACATTGCAACTATAAATCTGACGCAACAAAATATGAACCCTGATGCAACTCTTTCTTACACAATTGAATCATGTGTTTGGTAGGTAAATCATGACTGTGTCCCTGTTCATACTTTTCAAAGCCCAACAACGCTAGCCCAAAATTTGTTGCAAAAAAAGCTTTACAAGCCATATTGTAATCGTTCCATTCTTCGTTCTTTTGTTTGTTCGCAAGTTCATACAGCCATTCATCATCAGAGACTGACAGTGGTGCACCAATCTCATAAACATTGCTTGATTTGTATGTATTAACTTCATCCACGAAATTAGTAAATCCAACAAATCTTGTATGATAGAGTGATTGAGAAATTTTGGAAATTGTTTCATCACATACAATTCGAAGATGCATTTGAGAGGCATGGTTTGTTAAGTTTGAAATGTTCTCGTAAATAGATCCTAAAATCTTGAAAGACCTAATATCTGCAGTACCCACATTACCACAAAGGCAATGTTGAACGTGAATAGCAAATCTAAATACAATATGATTCGCTGCTAATATTGAATGAGACTTATCGCTGTGCATCCATTTTGCATTTTGCAACTCTCTCAATTTATCACTCAAGTCCATACAGGTTTTGATTGCTTTTTCTTCATGTCTTGATTGATCTCTAGAGGCATTAAATACAATTGAAACACTATCATCATCAACATGTTCCATTAAACTGCTTGTCGATCGAGTTGAAAATTGAATCTTCTCAAATATATCTTTGAGAATTTCAATAATTTCAATTGGCGTTCCATTATCTAAAATCCATTCCAATCCTTGAAATTTAACTTGAATCATTGAAACTTTCTTTTTTTCAAGGTAAAGTGAGAATTTTGAAGCCAAATCAATCTTGTTGCTATTGTAACGTGTACTTGATTGAAGTGTACTATTGCTAGCTGAAGTATGGGAGGGATCTTTTGATTTCACATCTTCCTCTTTTGGAACATCATCTTCTATTTTCATGTAATCATCTTCATCCCCATTCTCAGCCTCAATTTGAAGCAACACATGAGCAGGAATAAAACTCTTGTACAATTCTTGAAGACGTTGAAGCTCAACAATTTTATGCCATGGTGATGCAATGGAACGAGAGAAAATCATTGCAATAGTAATTGAAAGAGAAGTGACAAAAACAGAACTGGCTATATATGCGACCATTACACCAACAGCATCTTCATAAAGTTCGGACGCATAACTAAATGATAAGTTGCTGATATATATCTCTACAAGTCTCATATCATTGATGTGTTGAGTCATATTTCCATGCCAATACAATCCTGAATATAAAGTGAGATTGTTGTAATTTGAAACAATGTATGCTTCCATTGTCAAGCAATATTCACGTGTTTTAGTGTTCAGAACAGTATTGTTGAAGATATCCCAAATCGAGAAAACATCTTTCAATTGCAGATAGTGTTGAAGTAGTGATGCTTTTGCTTGTGTTCGAACAAACAGAAGAAAATTATCAAAAGGCATTGAATGGGACGCTAAGGCTGCACTTCCAATGGCTCGTTTTTGTCCTGTTTGTTTTCAATAATGAATGACCATAACAAACATATTGTTACAGTCGTTAGTATGATAAGAAACCTATCATTCAAAAAACATTGATATTCTTATTAAAACCACTTACCAGTATATTCTTTCATCGCTGTTAAGGTGTTAAAAGCTGATTGAATGGTCATAAATGTCGACTCTGAGCTCAAGCTAGAAACAAGCATCACTGTATCAATCATTTTGGTATTCCAATTTGAGAAGAAATTAAGGGCTTCAATAGTTTGAACAAATTGTAACTTTAAAACTCTAACTCTCAAAGTTGGCAATGTATTAATGAATTCATCAACCAGGTCAAAACTCTTTAGTACTTGTCCAAATAAGGGAGATGATGTCTTGAGTTCATCGATTAACTTGTAACGTTGAGTCATAAAATCATTCAATGCCTTATCAGTTGCATTTCTTCTCTCCATCACAAGATTCAAGTAATCAGTTCCATTTGACCCCAAATACAAGGCAGAAGCTGCTCTCTCCAACTGGCTACAATGCACCAAGTTCGCCATTAGTGTAGTCATGCTTGAAATTTTAGTGATGACCACAGAGGATTGCATATCTGTCACTGACTTATAAACTAAAACACATGCAAATGCAAGTAGAGAGAGAAAGGCAAAGATGACAATCAAAAACAATTTCAGAGAGAGTGGAAGTTTTTCAAGTCGTTCAAAGAGACGGTTCGTTTTCTTGGATTTACGTCGTCGAGATCTTTTGAGAGGAGGTGCTTGGGTCAACTTTGAAGAACAAGATGATGGATGTATTTGGGTCAACTTTGACATTGTTTTGATGAGTGTTTGTTTTTTCTAATATTATTGAGAGAGACCTTTGAGTAGGGGTGGTGATGGTGTCATTCAGTACTTGTTGTCATATTGGAGATACAAGAGTTCAAGAAAACGACGACGATCATAAGATGAACTCTTGTATCTCCAATTTGACCACTTTGGTAGTCGTCATGGAGAAACGTCCTGATGGGGTCGTATCTCTTCAGAGATAATGTGCACTAGTTCATGCCATGAAAGCAACTACAGGTCTACGTGCTGTATCTCCCTTCTTCTTTGCGAAAATTCATTGGAGAGATTATCCTTTGGAGATTGAATCTCGAGCGAATTTAATGATTTTGACTAATGATGGCATGACGTTTTTTTCAACAGAGAATATCTTGATGGACAATTGCAGTCGAAGGAATGTAATATACAATTCAATGCACTCGTCGTTGAAAGAATATGTTCATCCCGAAGGAACGGAAGTTTTCATAACAGAGTCTTCAACCCTTTCTGTTGTTGCCATAAAGCATAAACTAATTCCACAAACGTTGTATTATACTTGTGTATTCAAATGATCATCATGATGAAAAGGTGAACAGCATCACCACCAACAAGAGAAAATAGAGCGCACGAATGACGATGATTTTGTTGAATTTTCAAAAAAAAATTTTAATTGGAATTAAAAAAAATTATTTAACGATTTTTCCCAAAAATTTCACACAACAACTGAAACCAATAATGGAACCGGCAACCACGGCACTAGAAGCAACAACAACAACTGAAACCAATAATGGAAGCCTTCTTCCTGCGGATGAACAAACAGTTCCGCAACAACAACGACCATCATTCGCCAAAGAAAGCGAAGAAAAAGCCTTTAATGAAATTTTGGAGCTCGTCGAAAAGGACCGACCCCAAATGACTCGCTATCAAGAATATTATGTTTTTGAAGCAGAACCTAATTATCATTGTTTAGTAAGATATCTTCGGGCTCGTGATTTTGATGTGAAAAAATCATATGACCTTTTAAAGAGCACTCTCCAATGGCTTGAAGAGTTTAAACCCTATTTGATAACGGCTACCAAGATGACAAAGGAAGCAGCGACTGGAAAAATATTTTGTCGTGGATTTGATAAATTCAATCGACCAGTCATTTACATGAGTCCAGGAAGAGAGAATACCTACGATGGAGAAGGAAATATTCAACTATTGGTATACTCGCTGTTCACTGCTGTAGCAAGAATGTCTCCTGGTGTGTCACAAATGACATGGGTATGCAATTTTGAAGGCTACACAATGAAGGTATGTTGTGAATTGAATTGTTTAAAATTTTTCAATTCTTACAACTTGAGATTATTCTGCATGATCATGTCTATATATCTTGCTCCTCCAATACTACTTTTTTGCACACTTTAATTATTATTTTTATTATCACCATAAATGTAATAATCGCCACATGTAGAATGCACCATCCATCAGCGTTTGTAAACAAACAGTATCCATTCTGAGTAGCCATTTTCCAGAGAGATTAGGTGTTGCTCTAATTGTAAATCCTCCCAGAGTATTTTCATGGTTTTGGAAATTAATTAGTCCATTCATACCTCCAGTGACCAAAGAAAAAATCAAATTTTGCTATTCGTCCAAGAAGGAAGAAGTGATCGAATTCTTTTCACCCTATTTCACATTAGACATGCTTCCAAAAGATTTTTATGGAAATTTTGATAATACTTTCAACGAATCAGTTTGGAAAGAAGAGAAGAAAATTGATGATGCCAGACTTGAAAGAATTTCTCACATTATTGACACTTCTGAACTTTATAATGTAAGAAAATAAAATCTCATTCAATAAAAAACACAAAAAAATGTCATCATCTCATACTACCATTAATTTGTTTTCCGTTCCTCGAGTTGGAGTTTCCACCTTCATCATACGAAAGATCAATGGAGTGGATTGTGTATTGGTTGGAAAGAGAAAAGGCTCTCATGGAGAAGGATGTTATCAATTACCGGGAGGACACTTGGATTATGGTGAAACATGGGAAGAGTGCTGTAAGCGAGAGGTCAAAGAGGGTGAGTCATTTTGAAGTTCGAATTCATATTGATACATTATCGGGATCATTATTCCTTGTGTGTACAATTTATTATGACTATTATTTTTTTAATTAATGATTTTTTATTTCACAATATACGCGGATGATGAAAATTTATGAAATTCGTGTTGATTTAAAAACTGTTGACTTGTCGTATTGCCATTCCGAATTAAAGAGACGAATTTGGATGTGAATAATATTTCATTTATCACCTGTACCAATGATTTATTTGAGAAAGAACAACGTCACTATGTTACCATCTTTTTACGATCCTTCACACCCGACAATGAGCAACAAGCAGAATTATTGGAACCAAACAAGTGCGAGGGATGGCAATGGATTGAAATTGAAAAATTGAAGGAACTCGATCATTTATTCCTTCCACTTGAAACCTTTCTCAAATCGAACTCTGTATCAAAGATTCTTCCTTGAAGAAATGAATTTGGTTTAAAACATGATTAAGGTTGACAATTTGAAATTTTGTTATCAATTATTTATTTGATTCACAAGAGATGAGACAATATTGTCCATTAATTGTGACATAATGCTTTATTAAACCCAAGTTCCTCATATGGCTAAACCAATTAATACTTATTGTACGCTTGGAAAGGTGGAACTTTTGGTTCTTGAATTGGAGCAGCCAAACAATCTACAATACCATCCAAAAATTTCAAATAGTCCAAAACTTTCCTCAATTCCTCAGCCATATATTCTGCAATGCCTTCACCAATCATAATATCGACTGGGTCTTGAACATTCATGAAACAAGGTAATTCGTACTTTAGAATGACTTTTCCATAGTCTCTCCACCAAAAGTACAAATTCTTTGTTTGCCACAAGTAACCGAAACGATAGGCTGTTGGATTAAAGTTCCAACCAATAATCACTTCAGGATCTCTCACTCTAAAATTCTTAATGCGATGATCCACTACGAGCTGTGCATCTTGAATGACTTTCTTTGCCAAATTCTTGTGAAGTTCTTCACCGGCCGAATCAGATTTGTGTTTGGAAGTTTCCATCAGATGGTACTGCAACTTGGACGGTTGAGTCTCCATTTTCATACCAAACCACGAATCAGCCAAAATGTTCAATTCACTCCATGTATCCCATCCCTCTAAAAGAGAAATACCTGATCGCTTGTATAAATTTGAAGGTTGTGTTCCATTGACCTTTCCAAAGATTAGATATTTGGTTTGATCGAGCATTGCTTGAACCGTCAGTAAATTGAATTGTGATCGAATGGAATTGTCAAATATGAACGAACGTGAACAATCATCCAAAGTTTTCAATAGAGCTTGTTCATGATCGGATTCCTCTAAGTGAGGATTCCATGCAATTCTCATTGTGACCATATCATTTAGCCAATAACCATATTCCCATCCTGAAGAGAAGATCACTTGCCCGTCCAGTGCAATACCAGTTTTTGCAGTTTGTTTGGCAATGAGCCTCATGTCATGCAATCTCCGATCTATAATAATAGGATGGAAAGGATGAAGAAAGTGATGATCAATCTTGATGAATGGTTCAACATGTATTTTTTGAATGATGTTTTTCACATCATCGTTCCACCGCGGAGTTAGTAGTCATGTGAAATAATGATCCTTATTCACAAGAAATAAACCTTCTCAAAGCACAAGTCAATCTTTCAATGCTTTCCACAAAATCCTCATCAAGAAATAAATTGCAAAGAATGAAATCAATCAGTTGTTGTAATCGTTGCCTAAAATTGGAGACAAACTCTTGTGGAGTTTCTTCAGAAGAGTGATATTGCATTATTTTGACGACAAAGATGTGAAAGGCTGCTTCCGCAATGAACTCTCGATCCTGCTGCAACTTTTCTGAAGCATATTTTAGGGCTGAACTACTTCTTGCGATGGCTTCCCGTACAATGGTCCTGTCGTTTTTATAATCATCACAAGCATATAAAAGTGCATCTCCATTCGATTTCACAGCCTCTAATACAAGTTCTCGATCTTTCTTTAAATCATCAGATGCATGTTTGAGAGCATGACCACAAGATTTGACTGCTTCGAAAACAATTTCTCGGTCTTTCTTTAAGTCATCAGAAGCATACTCTAGAGCGTATCCACCATGCTTCATTTTCACAACTTGTAATACGAATTCTCTATCTTTTTTGAAATCGTCACAAGCATAACGAAGTGCATGACCTGTTGAATTCGTTGCTGCTAATACAATTTCTCTATCTTTTTTTAAATCTTCATGAGCATATCGAAGAGAATGACCATAAGATTTGACTGCTTTTAACACTATCTCTCTATCTTTTTTAAAATCATCACACACATATTCAAGAGGATCGCCTTTCGTATTCATTGTAAACCGACATGCACCAAAATGAGAGACCGCCTCCAACACAATCTGTCGATCGTTTTTACATTCTTTTGAAGCAAATCGAAGAGCATCTCCATTCGTTTTCACTGCTGCTAACACAATTTCTCAATCCTCCCTTAATTCTTTGCTTGCATACTCAAGAGCATGGCCAGAAGACTTGACCGCTTCCAAAACAATTTCTCTATCTTTTTGAAAATGTTTGTAAACACTCTCCAAGACATCACCATGTGATCTCACCACTTCTAAAATAATTTCTCTGTCATTTCTCTGTAAATCTTCATAAATATATCGCAACACATCACCATGTGATTTCACTGCTTGCAATACAATCTCTCTGTCTCTCATGAAAACATGAGGAGCATAGCGCAATGCTTCACCATTTGATTTTACAGCCTCCCACACAATTGTTCTGTCTCTCTTTAAATCCTCAGAAGCGTACTGAAGTGCATCGCCATGTGCTTTCACTGCTTCCAAAACAACTTGTCGATCTTTTTTAAGATCCTCGTGTACATATTTAAGAACTCTTGCATGCAGAGGAACCACTTGTTGGACAAATGCTTTTTCTTTCTTCAATTGATCGGAAGCATATCGTAAAGCTTCTCCCCATGATGTTTTTAATGCAGCCGTGACCAATTCTTTATCTTTTTTCAAAGGCTTGGAAGCATGTTTGACCACCAGTTCAGCACCCATCCATTTGGTTTCTGTGACAAGAAAACATTACCATGTCCAGGTTTTGGCAACTTATCTGCACAGTTTGGTAATTCCAATCCAATGAATTGAGAAACAACCAATGGTTTGTTTCCGCTACCGATTTTGTCAGAACGAACTTGTCTTGTGAATGAGCTACCAGCTCCATTGCATACAATGACCATATGGGCAGAGACAGACACAGTTTGATCTCCTTCCTTATACTCTACACCCTCAACAAGGCCTGGAGTTTTTTCGATCAATCCAGTGACAACTCTTTGTATCATCTTAGCTCTGAAAGCGTTTGTGATCATAATTAGTTGACATAAGTTTAAGATTGGAAATTCCGTTATTATACTTACCCATCTTTCTCACAAGCTCTTCTCAAATTCATGATAAATCTACCATAGTGGAATGCTCTTCCTTCAACTTGTGGATAAGGTAAATGGACAGTTTCATCCCTATAGAAAACTTGATACCCCTTAACAATTGAACTTTCATCATGAATCGTTTGTGATTTTTCAATATGGCAGGAATTTGCTCGAGTATGGAATCGACATGATCACGATCAAAACGCCTTTCGTTCAACTGATGTATCCACTGATTCTCCACACCATTGAACATTATTCTGTATTTCAATCTGGAAAAAGCCTTTTCATTGAAATAGGATAACAGTTGAAACACACCCTTCGCCTGAGTGGTCGTTGAAAAGGTTCTCTCCATTGTGGCCAGCGATGATGTCGCTGCATATAGCCGTCGTCCATGATGATTGCAAGTACCGTAAGGCCTTCTTGGAGTTCCCTTCCATATCAAGAGAGAAGTTTGAATTGAGTTCGTGTGAGAAATACAGTGAATCCCTCGTTGCATTGTTTTTAAAATCCACCAAAAACTGGATTCGGGACTTGATTGGAAATCTTTCAAGTTTTGATGGAACCACGTGTGTGAATTAGTTGTTTGGAGTTTTTAACATGCTGGTAAATGATCTGTTTCGTTATTGGTTGAATTATTTGTGGTGTCCTTTGATTCTGGTACTTTTTCCTTTGCGACTATGCGAATAAATTTGTCTTTGGTTTCAAGTTGGGAACTCTTAAACAATTCAATGCAGTCGTTCAAGTCTTGATCGTTACAAATATACATTTCTCCAAACATTGGGTCGAAATACGTGAATTCGAGTTCTCTGTTCAATAAATCTGTGAAAACAGATCTCACTTGTTCCTTAAAAGAGTACAATGAACGTTCAACAATATTGATCCTTGCAGCTCGTTTCTTTTCATTCTCAAGCTTGACAACAATTCTTTCAGGTGTCACTGATTGGTCGTGTGAAGGGCTTGACAAGGTGCTGGACATTTCACAACATTTTGTTTTTTGACCATTTTGTGATGCGTTTTCAGAAATTGTCGCAAATTTTTCAGACACTGTGGTCTGTGGTGGATGTGTCACAGAACAGTCTCCAGAGAGAGTTTCAGACATCGAACAAGACTTGTCATTGGACTCATTGCTCAACCCTAATGGACTCTCTTCGTCGATAATGTTCGATGGAATGTATTCTTCTTGCAAACGTATTTCGTCCATTGTTTCAATAGTTGTCACAAAATCCTCATCACTGAACAACTTGTACGAAAACCAATTCGTAAGTTGTACTAATCTTTGACTTAAACGAAGAGTTTGTTGTGGGTCTTTAGAACGAGGTTGTTTCTCAAAAGCAACAATTCTCTGTGCTGCTTTGAAAACGAAACATCGATCATTCTGAAGCTCCTTGGAAGCATATTGTAAAGCATTGCTCGATCTTGTAATTGTTTCCATCATAATTTCTCTATCTTTTCTTAATTCACTAAAAGCATATTTTAGAGCGTTTCCATTCGATTTTACAGCCGCTAATACCACTTCTCTATCTTTTCTTAAATGATGAGAGGCGTATTGAAGTGCATCTCCGTTTGATTTCACTGCTTGAAGCACAATTTCTCGATCTTTCTTGAAATCATCAGAAACAAAACGAAGAGCATTGCCATTACTTTTCACAACCTCGAAAATAATTGCTTGACTATAGGTTTTCTCAGCCTCAAAAACCACCTCTCTATCACTCTTTAAAGTATCAGAAACGTATTTCAATGCATCACCTTTTGATGCCACAACTTGCAAAACAAAATATTTGTCTTGCTTACAGTCATTAGAAGCATATTGAAATGCTTTTTCATAATCCCTCACAGCCTCTAAAATGAGTTCCCTATCATTCTGTAAATTTTCAGAAGCGTATTTGAAAGCTAAACCATTTGACTTTACCGCTTGCAACACAATTTCTCTGTATTTCTTGAGGTCACTATGAGCATTTTGAAGTTCATATCCATTCTTTTTAACTGCTTCAAGTACAATTTCTCGATCCTTCTTAAAATCTTCAATCACGTATTGCAAAGAGCTAATTGATCGAACAGCCGCTAAAACGATATCCCTGTTGCGTTTTAAATGATCAGAAGCAAATTGAAGTGCAGTACCATTACATTTCACAGCTTGCAATACAACTTCTGCATCTTGTTTTAAATGATCAGAAACATATTGCAATGCAGAACCTTTTGATTTCACTGTTTGCAATACAATTTCTCTACTTTTTGCAATATCACCAGAAAGATATTGCAATGCATCACCATTGAATTTCACAGCCTCTAATACAATCTCTCGATCGTTCTTTAAATTATTGGAGGCGTATTGTAATGCTTGACAAATTGTTCTCACTGCTTGCATCATAATTTCCCGGTCGTTTCTTAAATCTGAATGAATATAATCCAGAGATGCGTGAAAATAATGATACTTGGCAACAGCAAAATAGACCATTTCTCTGTCTTTTGAAAAAGTTTCATGAGCATATTGAAGTGCGTTTCCATTCGCTTCCACTGCCTGCAATACAATATCTATATCTTTCTTTAAGTTATCAGAAGCGTATTGGAGAGCAGTATTACTTTTTCTCACTGCTTGTAAAACAATATTTCTATCCTGTCGTAACTCAATAGCAAACTGAAGAGCATTTCCAGAATTTTTCACAGCCATTAACACAATTTCTCGATCTTTCTTTAAATTATCAGAAACATATTGAAGTGTATCTCCATCACATTTTACAGTCTAAAACAATTTCTCTGTCATTCTTAAAATCTTCAATGGCGTATTGTAAAGCCCTACCATTACGTTTCACAGCTTGCAGTACGAATTCACGTTCGTTTTTCAGGCTATCCGATGCGTACTGAAATGCATAACCATAAGATTATTCTACCTAATCCAAAACGATTTCTTTATCGTTTTTTAACTCATGAGAAGCATACTTTAAACCTCGGCCATTTTGTTTCACTGCTTGCAATACAATCTTCCTGTCGTTTCTTAAATCCTCATGAGCATATTCAAGAACGCCATAAAATCCATGAAATCGTGATCTTGTTGCAGCTAAAATAATTTCTCTATCTGTTCGTGGGCATAATTTAATATTCCAGCATTCGCATATGCACTGCTTTCAACACAAATTCCCTATCTTGTTTCAGGTTTTCCGGAGCAAATTGGAATACATTAGCCGATTCTTTTAATGCCTCCAAAAGAAACTCCTGATCGCTTTTCACATTAACGGAAGCATATCGAACAATAATAACTTTTGGCCTCTCTGATGGCTTTCAATATAAATTGTTTGCTGTTTTTCAGATCTGTGGGAAGTATTTTCTCAAAACAAGATAAGCGTTTGAGATAACAATTGCACTTTTGATGATGCATGTAAAAAGAGAACAATATGACGAGAAAGCATTCATTATTAACAAATTGCGAGGAGTCCATGAAAAGAATTCATTGAGCTTCACTCTTCTCATATTCTCCACAAATCTTTTAAAAAAGTTTACAAAATCATGCATCTACCGTCCTTCTTCTTAGTATTCTTATTATCATTCTTGAATCTCTCAGGATGCAATACTGCAGTGATGGCCAAATTGAAACATTCCTTCAAACCAACTTGTGTCTTAGCAGAACATTCACAATAAGCAATACAGTTCACTTCTTTTGCCAATTGTTCTCCCATTTCTTTTGTTATTGGATGAAGACCTTGTTCTTTCAATTTCTTCAGTGTGACATCATGTTCTCTCATGTCAACTTTCAAACCACACAAAATTACTGGAACAGATGGACAATGTTTACGTAATTCTGGCATCCAACGATCCTTAATATTGGTAAAGGAAGAAGGTTGAACCACAGAGAAGCAAGCAATGAAAATTTCAGTACTGCATTTGTTTACATTTGTCCATGTGCGCAGGTGTCATGGTCATTCATGAATGACAAGTGACAAAGTTAGTCACACACATGAAACAATACATCGTTAGTGATTCAACATTTCAATAAATGTACATACTCTGGATAGGAGAGAGGTCGCAAACGACTGTTGTTTGTGTCATGATAAATATTAATATGAGAATAAATGTCATTTGTGATTCAATTTTCCATACAAATGAAATTTTGAAATGTTCCAAAAGTCAAGTTCATAGATTGCCAATTCATGTGATCACAATCAAACTCATAATAAATAATACATACTCGTAACTAGACGTGGTCATCAATACAGAATTGGCATAAGAAAAGAGGAGAGATGGAATTTAACCTTTTGTACTTACTCTTCTTGTCCAGCAGTATCCCACAAACCTAACGAGACTGTATGATTTTCGTACATGACATTGGCGCAATAGTTATCGAAGACAGTTGGCACATATTCTATAAATGGCGATTTGAATGTTTTGTTGTTGGTGGTGGTGGTGATGATGAATCCGTTGTGTGAATGTTAAAAAGGACCGTTATCATCGTGTATCATCACGAGGTCCATACATCATAAAACATCAAATGTCAACATCGAATAATTTTCGACCATCATCATCGACATCATCATCGATAATCCAATATATCATAATATAAAGGTCGACACCACGATGATGAAGGAGATGATACAAGAAGGAATAGAACGTTTCACCACCACACAAAGGATTTACAAATCGTTCCAATTCAAAAGTCACTTTTCAATTTTTACATACCTGTTGGGAACGAGTCTGTACTATAACTAATCAACATGGAGGTCTTACCAACGGCTCCATCTCCCACGACGACACATTTAATATTGGTATCCATAGTGTTGTTGTTTATAAATTCCTAAAAAAATAATTGTTGTTGTTGTTGACAAAAAATTGTTAAATTCAAAGTAACCGAAAAAACGAGTCGAAGATTTTGTGAAGAAGGATCAAAGTAGAAGAAAGAAGACTCAACAACAATCGAGTTGGTTGTTGGTTGGAAAAGGTTTAAAAAATTTTTTTGAGTGATGATTTTGGATTTCAAAGCGTAACAGAGAACTCTGTGATTGACATCTGAAGGGTGAACAACGAACTGTTGGATTCTGTTTGGTTTTGAGGACTTTGAGGGAAAGTGGGAAGAAATGAGAATGAGCAATTTAAGGCTAATCGTGGTCTTTTTGTTTGAGAGGAGGTGACCAATGAATGATCTTCTTCAAATGGCAATGTGATCACAGCAAGAAATATATTTTTCAATAAAAAGGCGTTGCGAGACAACATCAGAACTGGCAAACATCACACCCAAATACCCAATAATCCCTTATTCACGAATCATCTCGGATTTCACCTACTACTTTCATTATCATAATCTCTCTCGCACATCCACCTTTCACCAAAGAAACTCCGACAAAAAATTCTACGGACACACACGCATGATGATGACCCTCTTCCACACGAGAAACGTTTCACGAAGGATGATTGTTCCTCTCGTATTCTCGATATTTTGTTGTATCCTACACGTGTTTTTGATGAGCAATGTGTTGGGTAGTAGTTGTAGTACATTATCATCACCGACATTAATGATCCAAAGAAAGGCTCTTTCGGATCCCATCTTGAAAGTCTGTAAATCTGAAATTCCGAATCAAATCAAGAGTATGATTGAGAACTTTCCAGCCACTTTTGCAGTTCGGGTCGTGATGAATCAAACCATGGAATTATTCGACTACAATTCTGATCCGTTTTTTCAACCAGCTTCTAATAACAAATTATTGACCACTATTGCAGCTTTGAACCAATTAGGAAGCAAATTTAGATTTCAGACCACCTTTTATTATGACTACAAGCAGAAGAGCGTTGTGGTACGGCCAATGGGAGATCCAACTCTCACTTTTGAAAAATTGAAGATTGAAATTAAGGGTGTCCTTCAACAATTGAATACTGAGAGTGTGGAACAAATCATTGTTGACAATAGCTTTTTTAATCCAATTCCGTTCACCAATGATGGTGATTTTAATTTTCCTTCCAGCTGGGAATGGGGCAATATGCAATATACATTTAGTGCTCTACCAAGCTCGTGCTCTTTGGAACACAATATATTTAATTTTAATGTGAAGGCTGGTACGAAGGTTGGAGATGCATTGATTGCCACCATTGATGACAAGACTTTTGAATTTGCAATTCCAATTCTTCAATTTGATACCACTTTTACGAGAACTATGAACTGTAGTGGTGGAAATAACAACAAACAGCAAGAGACTGTGAATGCTTTTTACAGACCTCTTGATAGAAAAGTCATTGTGCGAGGCCAACTTTGCACATCAAGCATTTCTCCACAAAGCTTGACGATCTTGGATCCTGATGAATTTTTCGTACAAGCAGTGAAATTTATTTCCAACAAACCTGTCACTCTGACGTATCTCAGCGATGAACAACGAGCCAACATGTTTTCATTCAGCAAAGACACTATTTATTCGGATAATATTTTAAGAATTATGAACACAACACTTCAAGAAAGTGACAATACCTATGCTGAGCTCTTTTTAAGACAAATAGGTGCATTTCTTAAGCCCAGTGACAGCTTGACCCCATTCCCATCCATCACACAACGAGGCATTCAAATGGTCAAGAATATTCTCACAAGTGCACCATACAATCTCTCACCTAATACATTTTTCCAAGATGATGGAAGTGGCCTTTCTCGTCACAACCTCGTCTCTGCGAGAAGCTTAGTGGATGCACTAGTTGGTGTCTATTACAAGGGTGCAGGTGGTGTTGGTGGAGAGGTTTACAAATCCTTGCTTCCTCTTGGAGGCGTTTCTGGAACATTGAAAAATCGTTTCAAAAACTTTCCAGGAATTGTTTCTGCAAAAACTGGTTCGTTGGATGGAGTTAGCTCATTGAGTGGCTATATTCGAAATGAGAGATTTAAAGATCCAATAATTTTCTCAATTATTGTGAATCAGTGTCCATTAAGTGCGTCACAAATGCATCAAATCATTGATTCGATTGTAATACTTTATGCATTTATGAATCCAGATTGTTAGAACACCTAGATGACCGTTGTAATTTCATTTATTGACATCACAGTATTGAGTCAGGGATCGATCGATGCTCATTGCAAAGAACACTCTAATAAGTTTGCGCACACGAAACTTTGTTCTCATGGTGTCAATTGAATCACTTGAATAACTTCTTGGGACTTTTCAAATTCACATTCACTTCAGATGTGAATAAGACGGTGGCCAAATTATTTAACTCAGGCAAGAAACTAATGATTTTGATTGAGTTTGAGGAATGGATCGCATGACTTTTGGAGATGAAACTTGTTGCTGACGAGAGAATTTGAGTGAAGCTGCCAGTCTTTCCTTTAAAACTCTGTCTTCAAGACACAAGCAAAATATTGGAAGAACAATTCGTCTATTCTTGGTCTGGCCCATCATTGTTGAAAACATGCCACCGTAATCATAGGAATGTTCTTCCTCGTTTTCACCAAAAAACATTTGACCTTCTTCGCTTGTGTATGCAAAAATTTGTGAGTCATGATCCTCATACGCCACATTCTTCTCTGCAATCTCCACCACACATTCATCATCATTGATTTCACATACAATGCCAGTTTGTCCATGCCAAGTTGCATCAACCATATTCAAAATTGACAAATCTTCATCAACATTTACCAACACTTCATCCCTCTTCCTGATGAGCGAATGTGTGGACGAGTGTGAAATGAATCTCTTGACTGAACTCGAAGTACATTGGTGTGTGGATCTGAATTCACAACAAGCTGACAATAGGGGATTCACATTTTGTCCAGGACGTAAAATAGGTTCTTCCTCTAAATTCACATTCTCGTTTCTCTGATGAATTTGAATATTTCGATGGTGTGAAATCCTTCGACTATTCTTTTCCATTTCCATCATGTAAGGCAATGGAACTTGACACTCCATAATCATGGCATTTCGATACGCCTTTTCTTGCTCCTTTTGTATGGATCTCTTCAAAGTGGAACATGGTATTTCTTTCTTCAATGAAGGTCGAACAACACTTTGCTGTTTGTGGTATGTTGTATGAGTGATTGATTGTTGTTTTTTACCCAAGAGTGAAGGATTGGAAGGTGTTATTTTAGACGTGGACATGGATGGAAAATTGTATTTTCTTGTCGTTGTTGTTGACTGTGTTGAAGTTTGACTTGTGGTAGTAGTGGTCTGAGGTATTCTACTCGACACTCTTTTTATGAACATGGTGATATATGGTTGTTATACGATGTTGTATTTGATGGATTGAAGGCTTTAAGATTTTGATGTCTCTTTTCGGTGAATTCACTGAATGAATGGTCCCAAGTGTGAAGTTGTCTTTTTTTTCTTCAATTTGAATCAAGCACTCCGTTGAAGACATTCACTCCAAGTTTTATCCAAATGTGAAAGAGTGCATGAAATAGTCCTCACTTTGACTCAAAATTGAGAGAATGGAGTCCTTTCGTGGAGTATGAGCATTTGTGAAACCCATTTCAAAAATGGTAATATTTTGATTAGTGACTTTAAAAGAGACATACAAGGAATATTCGAAGATAAAAAAGAGTAATTTACAATTCTTCTTGTGCGCATTAGAAAAATTGCCAATGAGAACAGAATACATCCTTATAAGAAATAGAACCACCTGGTCGCAATGCCATAAAAAGGGATTCATATCACCACAAAAAGTCTCAATATTATAAGTCAACCATTTTGAGTTTTCTCTCAACCTTAGTATTTTTCCAATTATGCAAAACATTTACTTGTATACCTCTCGTGAAGTGAATTCGAAAATTCATTTCAACAACCTCAGGTTGACCAATCTTATTGAACTAAAAAACTTTGGGGAACGGAGTTGATTTTTCGAACTCCGTTGTCGGAAAAAAATGTCAAACTCTCTTTCATTCACCCTCACCATCATCCTCTTCATTGTCTCTTCTTTGTGTGTCATTTCCACCTCAGAGGCATTCCCCACCAGCACCACCACTTCCTCATCAGTCGTTACAGTCTACAGTCGTGAACATTTTGTGTTCGGAGTGGATGATCTCGAGAAAGGACTAGCAGTTGCCAAACTCTCCGATCAAATCCAAACCAATGGTTGGACTCGACTCGATATTCGCACCAATTCAGCTCATCCCGATCAAGTACAGACCTTTGCTGCGGGAATGGCAGAAGGCTTACTCTCCTATTTTCAAACTTGGCAGTTGTATCAAAATCAAGTCTATGATTGGAATTTTACAGAAACAGCGACTACTTTTATGAAACATTCATGCCGGAATGATTCTTCATTGTTGTGTAATTATGCATATCCGGAACGAATTGTTCTGTTTTTGAAACGAAATTTGGAATGGATGAGAGAGGAGGCGAAAAGAAGAAAATTTGAATTTAAATTTTGGTATCATGTGGATTTGTTGTTGGAACAATTTGATGGATTAGTACACGGGTTTATGAGAATGCAAGAATTGGATTCGAGAATTGCTGAAAATAAGAGAATGGATTGGTTTGATTTGTATGTGTTGCAATCGGCTGGAGATATGTACACTTTGGTGGATGCATTGGGTCAAATGGATTCTCACCAAGTCATCCATGCGAGAGCTAGAGCTGAAGCATTTAAGATGGGAATTCCATTGGAAGTTTTCCAATCAAGAGCTTTTAATAGAAAATACAAAGAAGATGCTCCATTTACTGAATGTAGTGCACTTATTAAGGTCACATCCTCCTCTTCACAAAAGAAATGTGATGATTTATTTGTGGGACATACCACATGGAGAAGATTTAATATTATTAACAAATTTTTCAAGAGTGTCACCATGTCACTTAAATTTGCAGCAGCTAAAACTATCACTTTGAGTTCAAGTGCAAGTTTTTTCTCAAGTAAGGAGGATTATTATGTCATGGATTCGGGAATTGTTGCATTGGAAACTTCACTTAGTACTTACAATTCAACACTCTTCTCATTGATCAAGCCAGAATCGTTGTTGTGTTGGGTGAGAAGTGTGGTGGCCTCTCGATTGGCATATACTGCAAAGGAATGGGTTGAATTGTTTTCCTTGCATAGCAGTGGTACCTAGTAAGTATTATTCTTATTATGATTGAGGTTGAGCTAGTTGGAATGATTGCAATGAACTTTCATTTTACCCTTTCATGAAATTTTTGGAATTCATTAAATATGAAATTTAATTTGGAATTAAATTTCATATTACATTGCTGCAGTAACAACCAGTGGATGGCTCTCGATATGAAGAAATTTACTCCTGGTAACTGTCAATTACAGCCAGACACTTTATGGATTATTGAGGAAATTCCAGGAGGTGCCAATGAAAAAGCTGATGTCAGCGCTGTTGTCAATTCACAAGGAGGATACTGGCCATCTTACAACATTCCCTATTTCCCAAATATTTACAACAGTTTAGGCTACAATGAAGCAAAGAAAAAGTTTGGCAATGAAATGGATTATCATTTGTGTCCTCGTGCAAAGATCTTTGCGAGGGAACAAGGAAAAATTACAAGTGATTGGAAATCTTTTGGAGCCATGTTGCAATTCAATGAGTGGCAAACAGATCCATTCAGTGAAGGAGATCCAGCAAAATCGATTGCTGCTCGTTACGATTTGAGAACTCCACAAAGTGGATTGAAGCCATCTGCATTTGGAGGTGCTGATTCAAAGTTAACTAGTTACTCGAATGTGATCAACAATCCAAAACCTGTCACTTTTGGTATTGCAGGTCCAACTCACCAAAATCAATCTGTTTTTACTTGGAAAGATCCCAAATGGAGTTCCATTCCACACTTGGGTCAACCAGAGACGTATGATTTTGGTTGGGTTGAATTGAGCTCAAAAGATGAATAAATGATAACAAAGAGAAATTTAAAATAGATGTAAGGTTGTGACAGTTTTAATGTTAACCTTCCCAAAGACAAACTCAGTTAGCTAACTTCTTGAAGGTGACATGATCCAGAACGACGTCATTCATCAATGTTAAGTTCGTCGAATCGAAAAACAATTGAAATATCGTTCGCGTCAAGACACTCAAGATTTTGCTCAGGCTTTTCTAATTTCATCTTCTCGAAATGATATTCAGCGAGTGTTTGCATCCTTAAAATTTCTGTCTCTATCAAGCCTCCAATATCATTCCTTTGATGTGCCATCTTTTTCAATTTAGTAATAAAATCAAGTTTGACCTGTTTCACTTCACTTATCAACTCCAAAGAAAGTGGCTTGGATTGTTTAATGCGTTGCTCCTCCAACAAGCTCTCAAATATGATCTCCATCAAATCAACACCTGAAATGAGTTGAGACAAAGTTTCTTTGTTGGCTCGAAATTTTTCAAATACTGAAGTCACATCCACAGTTTCATCAGGAGAAATAGATGTATTGTACATTGACGATTCGTCTTCTTGCTCCGATGATGATGCAGCATTAATATTGCAATCTTCAGCACCATCAAACATTCCATTACGATATTGAATTAATTCATTGTTGTTATCATTGGCCAATGAAAGAAAATTAGAAATGACCGTTTCATTATTTGTAGCTTGTTGTTGCAAATAAGTGAGAGCTTCAACAGCTTTGATTAATTGAGAGTGTTCATGTTGTACAAGTCGATATTTGTTTGCAAGTAATTTCAATGCACGTAAATCATCATTCATGTTGCCATATGGAGAAAGTTGTGCAAAATAATTCACTCGAACTGAACAAGCCATTACAATTGCCTTTGTTGCACAACAAGGTAGATAATTAAACAATTCATGTTTGGTGAGTTCAATAACTTCTCTAGACACTCTCAACAATTCTCTCACATTTTTCTTTGCACAATTCATTAAAATTTCCAAATGTAGCTGCTTTGCAATTAGAGATGAAACTAAAAATATTAAATTGTGTTTGTTCCGACTAGCCGTCATGATTAGATCTGTCACTGCAACAAACGTCTCCAGAATGATCATCAACTGATGGTACGTCTCTTCTGAAAGAGATTTACACGATTTGGTATTCAATTTTGATGTTTGCAGATTTTTGAACATGGATGTCATCTCCAATTCGTCAAAAATAAATGTTTCCGGATTCAATTCCTCAATAAAATATAATTCATGAAATTTTGTTTGAGAATCTAAGAGGAAAGCAGAAAAAAATTGACGATTCATAGTTGGTAATTTCATGGTATTATTAAGGTCATGGGCCTTTGTCGATGAAAACATATTAGAAAAGAGACGTTGACACTCCTTAATGTATGGTTCAAGTTTAGCCCGAACCGTCATATACATGGCCCTCGATTTAGCTTTCTCTCCATTTCCTAACATGTAATCAGCCATAAAATTCATTGCGACCAGCACACTGATTGAATCCACTTCATCATAATATTTTCCAATTATTTGCTTTCCATTCATAAATAATTGATCTGCAATTTCGTGAAGAATTCCCATTTGTTGCAAACACACGGCTTGCAAAGTTTGTAACACAGCAACATCTTTTTCCAATTCACATGATACTTGATAGGGCTGAGTTTGAAAGAAAAACTGTTCGTTGAGTTGAAAATTAAGTGCTTGCTCTAACTTGATTCGATCATACACTGGATATCCCAATGCAGTAACTTTGTAATAAATATCCAACGTTTGGATTGCTGAAAAGCGATAGTTCATTTGACGCTGTATATGAATTTCATTAGGGGAGATGATTGTACAATTTGTTTTGTTTCCGTTGTGCTGTTGGATAGGATTATTTGTTGCGGAATGGAACGATGATTGTTGATCTACTTCATGAAGACTTGAATTCTCAGTGTTGGCAATTAAAGAGCAAGGAGTATAGGGATGATAGGAATGTTGAGTCGTTTTGGAGTGGTAGTTATTACCACTTGTTGTTGTTGTTGAACCTCCTTTTGACCTCTTCCTCTGAGAAGAGTATTCATTGGCAATAAAAACAATTTCCTTGTTATATTGTGATGATGATTGAGAAGGCTTTCTTCTTCCCGATGATGATGATGATTCATAAACGCATTGATATCCTCTCCTAATACAATACTGACATGATGGTAAAGTTTTTGAACATTTCCGATGTAATTGTCTGCAAGACAAACAAGAACTTGGACTCAATGTTGGTGATGATGAAGATGATCGACTTGAATCCGAAGAAGAAGAGCTTACAATCTCAAGTGGCTGCATTTTTTGATAATCAATATGGTCTTCGAAAAAATGTCTGAAAACCAAACCATCCTCGGCGATGAAGACACTAATCACCTTCGCCATCACATCTCTATCAAAGAGGTCGCTGGTTGCCTGCATACTGCAAACAAATCTCTTTCTGCTCAAAAATCGGCACATGATAAATTGAGAGAAGAGATGGAGTCTCTAGAATGATCATCGGTCATGGAAAATGAAATTCTAGAGACTCCATCCTCCGTCAATATAGCCAATTTGTCGGAAATACAACCTAGCCCACCCAATACATACAACTCCCCAATGTTGTCGCAACTAGAGGTCTCTAATATTATTACAACCTCTGGAATCTCAGTCTTTAATACCTCAGCCATGACCGATGACCATTGCTAGAGACTCCATCTCTTCTCTCAATTTATCATGTGCCGATTTTTGAGCAGAAAGAGATTTGTTTGCAGTATGCAGGCAACCAGCGACCTCTTTGATAGAGATGTGATGGCGAAGGTGATTAGTTGTTTCGAAGACATAAACAACAAGAATCGTTTGGTTAATTTAGAGGAACAAATGGGTTTGTAGTCTTAGAAATTTCGGAAAAGATTAACCTAATTGCCACATTTGCAACACCAAAGCTAACTGGGGACATGTATTCACTTCATGCACCATGTGGTCCGGAAATCAATTCATTGTACACAAAATGGGACAACAGTTCCCTCAAATTCAACGCCCCTCTTGTCAGACTTCCCTCAAACCATTCCCTCTCTTTTATTCCAATGTATTGGAATGGTAATATCAAAGACGAACCTCTTCAATAATTAGGATATATAATTAAACCCAAAACTGCAAAATTTGCAACTGCTTGGGAAACATTTAGCAGTCAGCCTGGCAAACTCAACTCCGACAACATCTACACCTCACACCTACACACCCATTAGACACACTATCGTCGGACAATTGAGTACCTATAATTTGTTTATTTTTCAATAAACCCATCCCTGTATTTTTTGATAGTCAACATTCTTTAGTCGGTTAATTGTGCACACATAACCCGTTTATTATTCAATAAACTCATTCCTGAATTTTTTGATAATCAACATTCGTATAATCAATCAACAATGTTTTCCACCAATCAAAACAAATAAAATTATTGAATTCATTCAGAGAGGATTCTTTAGTTATTGAATATTATATAATAGGATCATCAAAAGCTTGATTAATAATATTAAAAATATAAATCTTGATTTTGAAAATTAAAAGAAAAAAAATGATAAATCGATTTCTACCTTCCACACGCCATCCTTCATCTGCCCACACCAAGAATGAAAAAGAAGCCTTTTGTCAAAAGTGTTTCACGAGTGGTCATTGGACCTATCAATGTACAGAGAAAAATTCAAGTCAATACACAAAAAGGCCATCCTATACTCAACGATTGGAAATGATGAGGAAAGGAATTCCTATTCCTAATGATGCGGATGATGACTTGGAAATGAAATCTAAAGAAGTTTTTGAAGACGAAGATGCCATATGGACCAATAGTGAAAGCGATAGTTATTTAAATCCGAACGGATCAGGAGGTGATTCATCGTCGAGTAGTAGCACGAGTAGTTACAGCAGCGGAAGTGATGAGGCCTCAAAAAAGAAAAAGAAGAGAAAAACAGCAAAAAAGAGAAAGAGGACATCCTCTACAACCAGCAGCAGTAGCTCATCGGAGTCATCTTCTGAGGAGGAGCCTTCAAAAGAACACAAAACAGAAAATGAAGCCTTACTTGAATACAGAAAAAGATTAAAGCAAGAATTAGAAAAACAATTACAACAACACAAGGAAGAAGAGGAAGCTGCAATGAAACAGTTATCATCATCAAATCAGCAAGCTAAAGAAACCAATCAGAGTGAAAAAGCTCACACAAAGAATGAGGACTCAACAACAGCAACCACATGGCAGACAACACAAGGTGAAAGACGATTAGGATCGTCAACATCTACTCTGCCAAGAGCCCAACAAGACACTGCATCAAGCTCTGCATCAGGCGCACCATCCACTGCGAAACGAGGTATTGAGATGGCAGCTGAACGAATGGCTCAAGAACAAAGATTTTCTCAAACTCGACGTTATGGAGGAAATAATGACAGAAAATCGTACGACAAACAATCTCTTCGGGATCTTTCTGTGAATGAGAGTCGTGAAGGATCGTCATCTTCTACATCATCCCAAAGATCAGCTCCACCTCCAAGGGCCTATCAATCCAACCGATATGGTCGAGTTAAAGATGACACCAAAGAGTAACATGATGTACGATGTGTGGATGGTTCGGTTCATGAAATTGAAAAGAATGAAAAAGCTCCAACAGAATTAAGAACCACTTTGGAGAACTCTAAAATTGGTATAGACAGATACACTGGCCATTTTAGCAGAAGAACCTCTACAACCATTTTATCAAGTTGCGAAGGAATCACTCAAGCGGATATTAAAAGACTCGGTAATTGGAAGAGCAACTCTGTTCCAGACAGATATCAAGCAGTCAATACAAACACAGCAACCAAAACTGCCCTCAAAATTGGTGAAAAACTGGTTGAACAAACAACTAATATTCAACCAAAACAAAAGAATCAAATTGAAAATACAGAGATTAATCCTTGCAAAATGTTTACAAACTGTATGTTTAATAATTGTACAATAAACTTTTAATTAGTCATTATTGAAAAGTTGCAACTCAGTTAAGGCCGTTCCACACTCAGTTAAGGCTGTTCCACACTCATTTCCACAGTTCCTTGTTCATCGTTTTCGTTGTGTTCCACACTATTTTTATCACAACTCGGTTTTTCTGTTCCAAACCGACTGACTTGGTCCCACTACACTCCCTTCAGAGAGTTCCAAACACAGTAAAAAATAACTAAATAGCAGCCTTTAACATAATTCTTTCGACAACTATATTGAGGCATTACAATTTTGTAAAAATTCCACATTTGGATATTAGTTGTTTTAGGCAAAATTACTTCCTCTTGGTCTCTGGTCTGATCTCAATGTATTTTCAACCCAAAACAAAAACAACCACTATTATCCTTTCGACAGTGCCATTGTCCTTTTATATTACATATTTTACAAAATATACTACAAACATTCACACACAATTATTATTGTCACTCCAATATTTACACATTCAAAAACAACATGTCCATTCTTCTCAGAACACTTTCAAAATCTCGCACTCACTCCTCCAAGCTTGTGTTTCTTCCAAAGGAGAGTGGATCCGTACTCTTGCAAAGAAACTTTTCACAAAAGCTCACTGCTCTCTATGCTCTCGATTCCGACAGTTACAGCGATGTGAATTCCTCTCTCGGAGGCAGTGGCTACTTTGGTGCTCAACGTCAACAAGGATACGATAAAAGAGAAAACACTGTTGAAGAACAATATGCAGCCAAGAAAGATTTTGAGCTTTTATTGAATATGGCTTCTGAATTTAACAAAAAACATCCATCCTTGAGATATAAGGATATATTCGCAATGATGAAGGTGAGTAGTTCTCGTTAAGGACACTCCATTATTGATTCTCACTGAAAAGAATTACTGTGAATATTATTAATGTAACTTGTTGTTGTGTCATGTGTTTATGACACAAAGGAAAAACATGAGGCAGGAGAAGCTGCTGATCTCGCCCACATCATTCACGACTTGACCACTCGTAAACCAGATGATGTTTTGAAGGACAGTTATGTCGCAGGCGTTGATGTGCAAACGAAAGGTATTTCTCAGTTCACTGATCAAAGAAAAGGACAATCAGGAAGAACAACAGGAAAGGTTCCCGAAGAGAAGAATCCTCAAAGTGTCGTCGTTCCAGCCAAGGAAGAACGCAAGGCCAGTGATGAAAATTATCCTTATGTGGCCGATTTGACTTATGAACTTTAAGCAAATCCTCAAAATAATTTCTTATTAATTGTTCATATCAACACACTTTCGTGCTGACATGTCATCCGTTTATTAGTAGAGTGTATTCTTTCAATCTGACAGGTCATAAATTGACACAGATGTTCTTTTCGCGAATGATCATTAAATCATTGTGATACTATGATGCTGATATTCTTTTTCCATGCCCATGTTGTGTTGCGGTGGTATTGCCACAGATCCAAAATTTCTCTTTAGTGAATACTATTTTGCAAATATAATGGATTCACCTCTCCTTGCATGATCAGCGATAATAACGTTTCCTCTGTGGTGTAGGTGTGTTTTTTTCGAAGAGTCTCCATGTCACTCTCTGGAGTAATGTATAAAAATTCATAAATCGTGTGGTTACTGATATAACCATTGACACAATGAGGACATGTGTCAGCCTTATTCTTGGAAGGTTCTGGTGGCATGCAAACAACTGGAACTTCTTTTCTTCGATTAACCTTCTCAGTTGTGACTACTCTGTACATGGTCAATAATTTCAGTGCTCTATTATCAGTTTTTCCATAAATGACCATTCGTTGCTTACAGTGAGGACAAAGTATAGGAACACGTTTCACTCCTAAAATACATTTAAAAGCTCTGAATTGTGTTTTTAAATCAATGTTCATGGATCTCAATCTCTCCAGCAAGTCAATCGGTGATGAGGCATGTCCCGTACTAATCACTTGAACACCGCTGAGAGCAATAGAAGTGGCAGTTTCGAAATCTACTTTATGTCTCAACTCTCCAAAATAAATAATATCTGGATCATGTTTTAAGAGATTGTTGGCTGTCTCAGCAAGAGATCGCTGTTTTCCTTGAATCTCTTGAAACATGTCAATTTGACACACATTAAATAAACCATGAGTCTGTAAATTCACTTCCACAGGATATTCGAGAGAATAAATGGCCAGTGCTTTTTCTGCAGACATTTGACAAAGAATTCCTCTCACAATTGTGGATTTTCCTGTTGTGAATGTCAACATCAATGCCATTTAGATATAAATTTAACACCATTTCAGAGTGCATTACCACTCAAATTTTTCATAATACCAAATCATGCACACATTACCTACCTGATCCAGTTGGTCCCACGATGCAAACATGTCCCCCTTGACCTTTTTTACTTCCAAATACCTTACTAATATCTGGAGGATCTCCTTTTGGTTGTTCCACTAACTCACTTCTTGGCACGAGTGGTTTTGTACTTGTGTAAACTCTTTCATTTTCTCTCGAAAATAGAGTTGCTTTTACATCTGTATCTGGAAATCCTATTTTCCACTTATTTTGCTTTCGATTTAACTCTTCAGCATGACTCATCGTTTGATAGGACGACTGGAAGGATTTTGAAAAACTCTCAGATGATTTTCTATTTTGTGGATTTTTCATGGCATGAAAGAGAGCCTTCACAGGTAAAATTATATTTTCATCATTCACATCATCAGCACTGAGAGATTGTTGATTTACGAAATTTTCAACGGCGTTCTCACGATTATTTGCTTCAAAATTAATCCACTGATTATTATTTTGTTTCAATTCTTCATTCATGATTGGTTCTTGATCCTTCGTGCGTAAGGATGATGAAAATTGTTTCCTCTTCTTATCCTGCTCTTCATCACGATCTTTGTTTGGGGCTTCGGAATGAGCCTTTACATTCGTGAAGGAATCTTGAACTTTGAACACATTCGGCATCAAGTGCCTCAAAATAGTTGAAACTCTTGACCGTTTCATCTCTTCATTGGAGGAACCAACCATTGATTGAGCCGAAGATGATGATGAAGGTGTTGTTATGTTGTTGTTATTGTCCTCCGATTGGTCTTGTCTTTTCCCAGCCCATTTCCGTTTCATCATTTTTTCATTTTTATAATCTCAAGTTCCACCTGAATCACTGAATAACAATTGCATGGTTTAATTAATCATCATTAATTGTTTAAAAACAATTCAAATGGTGATGGAATGGCCGTATTCTTTGTATAATTCATGAACTCAACAAAATATCAAAAACTTCTGTCTCAACCACTTCAACGTTCAACATTTTATTGAACCAACAAAAAAAACAACAATAAAAAAAATGGGTCGAAACAAACAAACCAAATCCGATAAAAAGTATAAGAAGAACAAAAAGTTGGTGAAGGCCAAGATCAAGACTCAACGAATTGCACACGAAAAGAAAGTGAGGGAGGTGATTAAGAATGAAAAATTGAAGAAGGAGGATCTTTCCGATTCCGAGAAGGAGGAAGAACAATTGGAACAACATTATTTGAAGGCCGTGAATAAGAAGAAGCCTTCTTCATCATCATCATCGGATAACAAACAAGCCTCAAATAGTAATAGTGGGTACGTACAAAGAGTAGAGAGAAATAAGTTTGGTTTATATTTTCATGGATTTGTACTTTTTGCAAAACACTTGATGAATCATCATTCCTTCAATATACATAACCATACTATATTCATGCATCACCTTATTATAGAACCATCACAAAAGAAGAAATTGCAGCCTTTTTTGAAAAGTTAAAGGCTGAAGGAGGTAAAACTACCAAAGACGAGGAAGAAGAAATCCAACAATTAATTTCTGGAGTGGACGAAGACGATGATGAGGAAGTCTTTGATGGTGGAGAGCGAGAAGACAATGATGAAGAAAATATTCCAGCAGACCAAGAGGAAGACGAACAAGATGAAGCCTATTTCCAAAGAATTACTGAAGAAATTGAAGAAGAGGATCAAAAACAAGCAAAAGAGTTTGGTTCTCGAATCAAAGTTACAAAAGCTCTCATTGCACGATGGGTGAAGAAGATTAAATCTAGCAATGCAGTTCAACCATTGTACCATTTGGTGTTATGTTTCCGATCGGGATTGAAGAAGGAATCATCTTCAGATGAAAAGAAAAAGAAGAAGGATGAACCTGAAATTCCATATGTGATTCCTGATGCAGCCACATTTGCAAGAGTGACAATGGCTTGTGTCAAATGTTTGGGAGATTTGGCCACAATATTGACCAAATATGAACATGGATCGTAAGTAGACGAAATGCTAATTTTTAATCGTGATTTTCTTGACTAATTTCTTTCATTCATTCTCACACACGTATCAATATTGGTCAAAATGTATCATCATTTCATATGCAATAGAAATAAGATGCCTGCAAAATACTCTGGTTGGAAACAAGTGAAATTGGCTCTCTCGACATTTATTAATGCATTTTACACATTAATGGAAAGCAGCGTGGATGAAAAGCTTTTGATTTATATTTTGCATTATTTTACACGACTTGTTCCATTTTATGGCTTATTTGAGGCACACCCAAAGAAAATTTTGCGAATTATGCTCAATTTATTAGGTCACACGAATGAGGACGTGAGAGTGAGAGCCTTCTTAATTATCAATTCGATGGCTGTCATTTATCCATATCCATTCCTCGAATTGTGTATTAAGGGAGTTTATTATACACTCTTGAGAAATTCCAAAGGTTACAATCCATCGACATTCCAACAAATTGACTTTTTAAAGAATTGTCTCGTAGAGTTGGCCTCTATCAATTTTAATAGTATCTTCCAACATGCTTTCATTTATATTCGAGAACTTTCCATCACAGTGAGAAGAGCCATGGATACAACGGTACAAAATGGTTATGCATTGTGCTATAATTGGAAGTTCTTCCATTGTTTGGATGCATGGGCAAAGGTGGTTTGTGCCTACTTCAAACAAGAAAAGATTGGTGAATTGCTGTATCCAATCACTCAAATCGCAATGGCAGCTCTTAGTCTCAGCAACTCGGCCAAGCATTATCCATTCAAGGTCAAACTATTGACCATGTTGAACAGCTTGTCTCGAGAGTGTGATAGAACCTTTATTCCAATTTCTCAATTTATTTTTGAAATTCTTCAATTGAAGCAAGCGACAGAGACACCTAAACAGAATCAAAAACCTCAACCATTATATTTTGAATTTAAACTGAAAGCCATGCCTGAAGAACTCAAATCTAGGGAATTCCATCAAAGAATCATTGACGATTGTTGCTTTTTACTTTTAGACCATTTGGCTACACATAGCAAATCTGTTGCCTTTCCAGAACTTTCATATCCAATAACCAGTTTTTTGAAAAAGTATGTCAAGAATCACAGCGAGACTTTGCACTTTGGTATTGCCAAACAAATTACCAATCTTGTGAAGCATGTCAATGACAATATAATTTTTGTGAATGAAGCCAAATCGAAAATATCATTCACACCTCTCGACTTTGACAAGGCCAATCAATTCTTACACGGCACAGAAACACCTCTCGAGAAATACTATGCCACCGAAAAGAAGAGACAAGACAGAGAATTATTGGAGAGAGTTGCATCCAAATTGGACGAGAAGGTCACCTTCGAAGAGGAGGATGAAGAAGAGTCAGCTCTCAAAGAAATTGAGGAAACCAAATTGAAGAGAAAGAGGTCCACTGCACTTGAGGAAGAAGAAAACTCTGCAGCACAATCTGAGGAAAAAGAAACTAAAAAGAAGAAAAAGTCCACAACCTCCAAGACCACATCGAAACAGGACACTCTTAAAGAATTGGATTTGGACAATTTTTAATGTGAATAGCGTTGGTTGTTGTGATATGACAGTAAATAATAAATTTATATATTATTTTAAATAATTAACACCACCTATGTTACATGCATTGAGCGCATTAATCTTTTAACAATTCCAATACATCATCAACAAATTCCTTCTCTGGATTGTCTCTGCATTTCTTGGCCAATTTAAGAGCATCGGTGAAAGCCTTTACCACGTTGGTGCCATCAGCTGCTGAAACATAATACAACGGAAGTTCTCTCTTGGTTGCGAAATTGAAAGTTGTTTTTGTCACATCCATATTTACTAGGATTTATGGTAATGCCATTAGTAATGTTTGAATGGATTGAGGTAAAGAAAAAAAATTAATAATTAATTTCATTCCGTTAAGACAAAATAATTTGAATTAATAAGCAACATTTCCACTAATACTTACAATCAATCTTATTGCACACCACAATAGCTGGAATACCCTTTCTATATGTTTGCAACTCGTTGTACCACTTTTCTAAATTTTTGTAAGTGATTTGTCGGTCATCAAAAACAAGAATACAAGCATGTGCTTGATGATAATACGAAGGATGTACATTATTGAATCTCTCTTGACCAGCAGTGTCCTTTGAAAATATGGTGTGTCAATATTTAACTTAAATTTAAGTCCCTATTGATAATCTAGAACACATACCCAAAATTCAACATCACAATCCTCTCCATCTATTTTTGCTCTATAAGGAAATATATTCAACGCAAATGTTGATTGTTGTTGTTCCCGATAACCATCAATTAAAAATCTTTCAACAAGCTGCAGATCATTGTATTCCGATCGAATGGAAGCGTTTATGGGAGTTATTGTTATTGGACATTTTCAAATATCACCTCGATGAACAATTTCTCAATTCAGTTTGAGCACATACTTTAGACTTTCCGACAGCAGAGTCTCCTAACAAAATGACTTTCACGACCTTCGAGGAGTTGGACATTTTTTCTTATTGGAAATTTGTAATTATTTTGTATTTCAGTGGAGGGAAATGATATCCAAGAGCAAAATTATCGGGAGACGGAATTGAACCGTCGACCTTTGGATCTGGAGTCCAACGCTCTCCCTCTACTAAGCTATCCCGATCAAAATTAGACTGACTAGGTGATTGCTTTTCTTGGGCTACTGCTGTCAAACCCCAATCCGATTTCCAATGAGTAAAAAAGAATGCATTACTTGGACAACTATCCCAACAAAGCAAAATTTCGAGAGGAGGATTTGAACCGCTCTCCCATACTGAGCTATCTCGAACAAAACGTGTCTTTTCACTGGAATGTTCAGAAAGCAATCAACGAACTCTTCTTCAAGCCGTTCGATTGTTGGAAATGCTCTCACAAAAAAAGACTTGTCATGCTCTGTCGAACACCTTAATTATTTATAATTTCCGTTCCAATTAAGCCATAATTCGTGAAAATTGCATTCTTCTTTTTTCGCGTTACTCTTTTCACCGCAAATTTACAATCGGTATCCATAGGTGACAATTTGAGAGCGTGTGAAAAACTTTCTAATGCATCGTCATACAATTCATTCATTTCAAACAAAACTCCCAAATTGTAATATCCAAAAGGAGACTGTGGTTCAAATTCAATGGCTTTGGCAAAGCATTCGCCCGCTTCTTGAGCATGGTCGGAATACATGTGACACAATCCAAGTGTGTTGTAGTAATTTTCTGTTGAATAATTTGCAAGTTTGTCTGGAAATTTTTGCACCAAATCATGATATCGTGTGAAGTATCGAATAGCTTGATTGAAGAGTGTTTCTGATTTTTCTGATTCTTCACTTTCACTTGAATATTTGATGATGGCAAGTAAATAATAGGATTCTGCAAGATATTGATATAATCTCAATCGATCACTTGTTGAATCTACCAGCGTTGATGATCTCTCGATGATACATTTCAATTTAATTTTACAGTTAGCTGTGGATCCACTTCTCAAATGCAACTTGGCCAATTCGAACAAGGCTCTGAAATTCTGTCGATTCAATGTGCATGCCAAATCGAGACTTGACTTGGCTCTTTCTAAAACTCCCAATTTTAAGTAACACATTCCAACTCGCTCATAGGCACAATCAAAGGAAGGTTCCTTAATTTGTGACGATTTGTAATATTGGATTGCATTTTGATAGTCACATTTCCTTTCATAGTAAAGTCCTATGGCGTAGTGAGTGAGTGCATGATTCGTATCCAAGGTTGTTAAATAGGATTGCAAATTAATATCTTGAACATTTGACTTGTCTCCAAGAATGGTGCACATAAACATGGCACTTTTCAATTCACCTTTATCGGCCATATCATTTGTGTTTGATTCCTTTTCGAGAGCTAGCAACGATTTTTCGAAATATTGATTTGCCAATTCATACTGCTCGTCACACACCAACGTGTGGCCATAGTCACGTAAAAATGTTGATTTTTTGGACAATGAAGAATCAATTTTAAGCGCCTCATTAAAGTATTTCAGAGCATCCCGAAAGAGTAAACCTTCTCGCAATGCACAAGCCAAATACAAATAGATTTTAGCCATCTTGACATCACTAGAAAAGTATCGAGTTAAAAAGTCTCGACACACTCGCTCCAAATCTCCAAATTTTCGAGTGGATTTCAACTTTTCGCATTCATTAAGTGTTGGATTGAAATCCCTATCACTTGCTTGTTTTGAACAAGCAACTGCACGTACAGATCTTGCACGCATGGATTGACTTGGAATGGAGACTTCACTCGAAGAGGAAGAAGATGATCGACGAGTGGTGATCCCAATATTGGGTGATGAAACAGTAGTGGTTGTTGTTGTTGTTGACAAATTCGATTCAACAATGTTTGTTCGATCGAATGAATCCGAAGAGCTACTGCAAGTGACAGTGAACGAATTGTTATTATTATTGGTTGGACTTTTGACAGCAATGGTGATGGAAGACTTTCCTCCAAAAGAAGAAGACTTTTTTTCAATAATACGTTTGATAATGTTACTATGTTGTTGTTGAAAGTAAGTACTTCCACTCGCACTAGTAGTTTGAGAATTAATGTCAGATGGTGTGTTGAGAGAAGTAGTAGTAGCCGCAGATGTAGAGATACTATTGTTTTCAATGATGGTATTGCAATTGTTGTTATTGTTATTGTTTGAAGAAGTGTTTTGGTCTTCCGCGTATTGTTCAGTTGTCTTTTCTTTCTCATTGCTGAGGAGGCTAGATGGATCGTTCTTTGGTTGCTCTTGAGCAGTGTTTGGAGTGTGACACCGAGGATTCGTGCCACCTTGTTGGTTCTCAGATTTGCTTCGTAGGGTGTCATTTGTCATTGATTCAGCAACACCATTATTGGAGGAAATTGGTGTTGTTGCTTGATGAGCAGAGGTTAACCTTCGAACCATGACTTTCTTCCGAATAATTGTTTGGGGAGGTCTTGTGGATGGAAAATCATTGGGAAGGTTGGGTGTGCTTGTATCGGACGACATTTCGACAGCTGGCAGGAGATGAAGGTTTTAATGTTTTTGATTTGTGAGAGTGATTTTGATGACAATGATTGATTTGAAATCTCGTAGTGGTGGAAGATAATCCTAAAGGCAAAATTGAAACAGAGTGATGAAAGGCAGCAGAGACGCTTTTTGTTTTTTGTTTCTTTTCCTTCTCGAAAAGATCTCAACTCAAAGGATGAACTTTTGACAATTGACAGGATTAACGGTTGAGGATGGAAGGTCCAGAATGATTGGCTCGAATCATTATCCCGTGAATTAATTGATTAAGACAATTACGGACATTAGCCTTTTCACCTGTAGGCCTCTTAGATTGTTGTGAAGAATGAAATTTCATCACATGAATCTTTGTATTAATTCATAAATTTACAATTCAAAAGAATACAACAAGAATGGATCAATTACTGGCCTATCTGGACTCTCGAGAGACTACTGATTCTACAAACAATAACAACAACAAGAACAACCACACCATCCAGCAGCAGAACTCTTCAAGTCTTTTGCCTTCTCATGAAAAAGAAGAAGAAGGCAATCATGATGTTCTTCTCATGGATTCCGACTTGGATCCAAATACAACAACACCAACACGAACAACAACAACCACAACAAGACTTTCAGAGACTCATCTGCTATCGTACTTGCAAGAATTAAAACAACAACAACAAAAGCAAAATCAAAATTCGAAGGAGGCTCATCATCGTTGTGATGAGGAAAAGCCTTTATCGGAATGGAATGAATTGGATGTCATGATCTTTTTGGCTTTTCATGAAATTCCTCCATCGGTCATTGAAAGATATAAAGAATGGAATGGGGAGAAAATTAGGATGAAATTACGAGAAATGATGAATCCAGAACAACAACAACAACGGCATCATCGGAATGATTCTACTATGGCGTGTGATGGTGATGATGATGAGGTTTTGGAATTAATTCGGAAATATGTGGTGCACAACCTTGATGAATGATGAAGAACCTTTTGATGTCCAACAAAAGAAGAAATTATCAACAGGTGCACAACCTTCATTATTCTTCTTTTACTAATTCCTGACAAGCTTTCACAATCTTCTTGATGGATTCTTCTCTAAGATCAGGATATTTACGGAATAGATTTCGTTGATGGGATTGGAAAATTGTTTTTGGTTCTTGTTGATCCGAAGTTTTTGCTTCAATTTTCACAAAGATGGGATACTCATCGAGACACACCGACTTGATACTCGCATCGGGAAAGACTTGCCGTATGGCCTGAATAGCTGTGGATTCTTCTTGAGTACCTCCATCACAATTCTCACAAAAAGTAACTGTGAATTCTGGTTTCATTTTGTTCTAATGTTGTTGTGTTTGGTGCCATCCTAACAATTCGTTCCGGCGGTGACATCGATGGCTTTCATTTCATTAACGGAAAGCAACAACAACACCAAGTTGTAGTATAATTATTGCACACATTTGGACCATAGGGTTTGGCTTTCCAACCACTCGCTTGTTAAGCTGAATCGAACGTTTACGACGGCAATAATAAAAAAGCCGCCTCACAATAAAAGACCTCAAAGCACATTTAACAGCCAGGCTGCTACGTGTGGCACACGACATGTCGTGGCAATGCTGCGTCTAGTATCATCATCACCACCAACAACATCCAAGTTGTTGAAATGTCCTTCTGGATCCACACAAAATTCTGAATAATCATTCACCAGAGTTAAAGGAGATTACAAATTGAACAAAAAAAATTTGTGCGCAAGTTGGGAGGCTGTTTGATCGTTCTTCTTCGGGTTCTTGAAATCTAGAAATTGTTCACCATCATCATCGTTGCGATTTCAATGGTGCAAAATATCACTGTTTAATTCCGATTTACTAATATATAATTGAAGAGCTCTATTTAAATATATTTAATAGAAACAACACTTCATCGATGAAGAGTAAATTAATTGGTCTCTATCTGACAAATCACGGAAAAAACTTTCAAGAGTACAATCATAATTTGAGATATTTACTCGATCATTTGAATGGCGCAAACAACTTGACTTGGTCATCGGCGGCATCACCATCTTCATTTCGGCCCTTGAGCTCAGTACAATTGAAGTTGCATATATTAAGCTATTCAATATTGGAAATTTCACCTAGGACCTGCCCATCTCTCTACTACCAAACGAATGGACATGAGGAAAAGAAGAAGGACAAGTTGGATGTCAATTCTCTTGTTGAAATTGAAAGGTGTATTGTTAGACTTATTTACGGAAAGTTTGACTGTGAGAACAAATTGAAGATTTACCAAATATTTCATCATTTTCATATTTATTTAGAAACCTCAAAACATGTTACTATCAAATTTGATACGTTATTTGACTTTAATCTTGTGAGAGTTTTGTGGAGTAAGGCCAAATCTATTCATTGCCAGAATGGAGGCTCTCCGGACAATTTCTACTTTTCAATTCCTCAGAGAAATTATGAAGAAATACTGAGCTGTGATGAAAACTACCAAAATTCCGGCATTACAGATGGTAATATTGATCATGACAAGAATGAACAAGAAATGAAAACTCAAAGAAAACACAAGAAACGGAAAGTTCAATCCAAAGACGATCGCCACTCCTTAACGTCTCTTCAACTTCTCAAAAATTGGTCCACCCAATTAGCAACATGTTGCACACAATTAGAGGAATTAAGAGTGAAGTTAGACTATGATTTACTCAAATATATGATAACGAATGATGACAAGTGTATTTGCCCTCAACTGAGAAATTCTGAGGTCATTATTCTTCCAGAACACTATGAATCTATTCCAACTACCGCAGCTACTACCACTGCTACTGTAAACTACCCACGAGAGTTCTCTTCTTCGACCTACACGCCCTCCTGTCACGACCAACCTCCCAATTTTCGATATTATTTCGTGACCAAATTGGAATGGATTGTCTCTCGTGAATCCACTCATCATTTCTGGGAAACACTCCACACCATGGCGACTCATTTTCTGCCACAATTTCCCAAGCTAGAGTCCCTAAAAATTAAAGGGTTTCATGTAAATAGTTCCTCCACATGCCCAACTTCTCCTTTAGGCCCTTTAATAGACTATTATTCCGAACATTCATCCACTTATCTCAAAAGTTTGAGCATGGATATTTGTTTTTCATTTACCTCGAAATCATGTGGAATATTTTGGAAGGGTTTGTGGAACGATATTTCTCAACTCTCTTCCTTGGAGAAATTAGAAATGCATGTCGATGTTCTCTCGTGTGAGTCGAATGATATTTTAACTGTGGTGGAAGAGGCCTTTTCATTGCATGGCGAGAATAATGGTATTGCACTCAAAAATAACAATACTGATGAGGCCATACAAGTGAAAATTCCAAATTTAAAAAGAATATCAATGAGCATCAAAAAAGATGGAAAAATAATTATTGACCAATCCATGTTGTTAACTTTGCTTAAACACAGAGTCAAAGATTTGCAAGAAATTGATATTGATTTTCGGGTGAATAATGAACTTGAATTCTCCCAATGTTTTGAGCATTGGAATTGCTTTGACACTTCGTTGACCTGGTACAATATTAGAAAACTAAAATTTTCGAATGTGAAATTGGATTCAGAAAAGTGTGACGTGCTGGGACGGTGCCACACACTGAGATGGCTCATTTTGAGTCACGTCGAATTTGTTTCACATGATGATGCAGACGACGATGAAAAACGTTTTGTCCTAGAATGTCTTGCACAATCAAGAACCATTACGCATTTGGAACTTCCCTATTGCAATCTTGAAGATTATCATTTGGAGCCAATATTTTCGAGCATGAACCAGCTTGAATTACTGAATTTGAAATTTAACAATGTTGGACCTTTATTATTATTAACTCATTTAACTAAAGTGGACATTGGAAACACTGCACCGACTGTGAGAAATATCTTGATACATTTGTATGCTTTGAATTTGGAAGGAAATTCAATGATCACTGAAGAGCATATCAACAAACTACTCGAACACAACGAAACATTGACCTATTTAACTCCTCAAAGCAATGATTTGTTACCCCTGCCTACGTTTACATGGCAGTGAAGTTGGTGTATGGCTCTGTATTTTTTTTAATATCAAACACAATCAACAAAACTCGCTAATGAACATGTCAATACATTATTGAATTTAAATTTATTAACTTTTTGCACAAACAAGCAAAGCAATCTATGTTCATTCATCCAATCAATGAATGACTTCTTCATTGGCTTGTGTCTCTTCGTTTGTGGTGGATGCCACATTTGCTTCAGGAATAAGAGGTTCATACCAATCCTTTGTGAACCCTGCCTTCAAACGAGCTTCATGATTAAAAGGAGGTCTCAACACTCCCGTTGTGGTGTGATTTCGCACCAAATGATGAAATCTTTGTCGAATTAAATCTTCACTCACTTCTTGTTCATTTGTCGTCGTTGTCAGCATGTCATTTCCAACATGAACAAAATTCTGCTCTTCTCGATTCTTTCTTCTCTCCTCTCTGATCGCATGGGCACAACAAAACTTGAACCATTTCACTCCTTTCTGAACATGACTAATTTCTTCTTCCAAAATCACACTCAACACATCTGCACTTTCAAAATCTTTGGCTTCTCTCAATTTTCGAATATTATTTGGGGTCATATCCAATCCACGTGCCTCATGTACGGTGTGTAAAATACATAATCTTAACATGACATCATTTTGAGTGGCAGTTGCTGCACTCCACAATCCACCATGTGATGGAAATTGACCGTAAAAACTTCCCAATTCTGTCAATCGTTTGCTTAACATTTTGAAATGTCGACATTCATCCAATGCCACGTAAAACCAATCAATGAGAAATTCGTCAGGTAAATAATCGAGAATTGCAAATCGACAGATAATATCCCAGCTTAGATCAATGGCGTAGGATTCCATGTGACAGATGGAACTTAATATAATGATTGACATTTCCATTATTTCGAAAAAGTTAAAATTCCAGACATTGGTCGTGATTGATATTGATTGACATTGATATTGATCGACAATCAAAATAATAAAAAATTAATAATAATAATGAAATCATTTCATCATTAATTTCTAAAATTTTCATTTCGCAATTATTATTGGAGTAATTCCAAAATTAATTTCAAAATCAACATCATCACACCATATTCGAAAATCATTACAAATTTTTAACCCACTTACTGAATCAATGCAGCTCTATTTTCCACCGTTCCTGATCCTCTTTTATGTAATTGTTTCGGAGGAACAATGGTTACATTGTCAGGACGAGCCGGAACATTCGGAGGTCTTACTCGAAACATTTCATTTCGATCCAAAGGTCTCACACTTATTTTTCCCTCTTCATAAAGTTGTTGTGCTTGAAACGAGAGCTTGACTTTTTCATCCGTATCTTTAGTATTTAAAACTTGAATTCCGAAAGAATATAAATTTTGAAGAGTCGTCTCGAAAGGAAATGAAAATTGTGACATTTTTTCAATCTTTACAAAGCATCTGAAAAGTTTGGAATGCACTTGAGATGAATACACAATGGTCTTATGCGTAGGTAACAACAAACAAAACGTAGGGGACTGATCTCATATGGGTCGCTCGTGGAGTGTCATTGTGTTTCTCATTCAAAACTTTGGATAATTATGTCTTCCTTGATACTAATTTTGGAAGTTTACAAAAAAAAATGTCTTCATCCAACACGGATCACCATCCCGAAGAGATTGAGATTATTCAGCATCATCCCATTATTCCTCAACAAAACCAACAACCACCATACCATCATGATCCAATTCATCATCATCATCATGAACTATCATCGGAACATGAACATTCAATGAACCACGAAGATGAAGAAGATGAGTCTCATCGTTATTATGGTGGAGGAATGATGATGGGAATTCGCTTGAATAACCGATCCTCAGAACTTGAAAAGAAACCCTTTTTAATGATGAATATCGAATCTTCCATGCCCTCCGATCAGACCATCATATCGCCGTTGGCTACAATTGCTCCCAAGGTTACACAATTATCTGCTGATTCTCAAAATTTCTTTGATAAATTGGAAGATAAGAGAGTGAGCATGTCTCCACTCGATTCACTCTATGACTCAAAATTTGGATTTATTATCTTGAATGGTGCAAAATATTGCATGAGAATATTTGGTCTCTTTATGGTGATGGTTGCGGTAGTGCTCTTGTCTTTAAACTTTTATTTTTACTTTACAGTGACGTTGCCAATGATGAACACGAAAATGTGGACTTATACTTTTCATTTACTTCTTGGATTGTACTTTGTATTGTCAATTTCATTTAATTACATTCAATGCGTTCGAGTGAGTCCAGGTGTGACTCCAAAAGATTGGGTCGATTCTCTCGATAATGTGGAAGCCTTTAGAAATGATACAAAATCAGTGCCAGGAAAAAATTGGAGCAAGTGGTGTGGACGATGTCAGCAACCAAAACCCATTCGAGCACATCATTGTCATATTTGTGATGTTTGTGTTTTGAGAATGGATCATCATTGTCCATGGTTAAATAATTGTAAGTATTTTTGGATGTCATATTTGTGTTTTTTAATGGGAATGGTTAATTTTGGTCACATCATGCACACAATGATGTCTGCATTATCATACGAACAATCAATGATTCCTTTGTATTGTCACACACATTTATAACTCATGAATACTGATTTTTTCGTTAATTATTATATACTGTGAATGCATTCACGCTTGCAACAAATGTCTCATTTCCACAAATTTTGTGACAAATAGGCGTTGGCCTTCAAAATCACAAATACTTTGTTGGTTTTATTGGATTCTTGGCTTTTGCTGCATTGTATAATTTTGGCATGATTTCACTTGGAGTGTTTGGTTTCTATACACCTGATCCCATCTTGTACGCCACATGGAGCGGATGGTTGACATTTGTGATGGTTCTTTCAGGTTCTCTTGGTCTCACAATGACCACTTTCACAGGATGGCACGTGTATCTGGTGCTGACCAATCAAACCACCATTGAATTCCAATTTAACAAGATGAAGTCTGTGAGAAGTAAGGTTTCAGGATCTGAAAATCCTTACAATATTGGAATTAAGAACAACATTCAACAGGTGTATGGATTAGCTGCCCCTGAGGATTCCATTTTCAGCTGGATCAAACTGTTGTTGTTGCCCAATCTTCAAAAGTCTCCTGTGGATGGAGTCAATTATCCTACTAACCAGCCAAAAGGAGGCGAAAATGTTTAGTGATCCCGATATGTGAAGGAATAATATAAAGTGAGTGATAGTGCTTTGGTATGCATGTGCGTTGTTATTTGACCTCAATCGTGCCGATTCAAGGAAGAGAGGGCCGATGGTTTACCCACACACAATTTTCTGATGAGTGATTTGCTTTTGGTACCTCTCTCCAATAAAAAAGAGAAACTAAAACTCCTTCATGTAACATATCGACAGCCGCACGCTTTCGTTTACTACCATTCTCATGAAATCGAAAGTTTATTCAGGTTAGTAGTAGTATTTTCAAAACTCCACCATCGAGTGTAAAATTAAATGAACTATACAAACACCCTACTGTGTAGTGTTTTATTGGGCCCTTACACTATTCGGAAACGAGGATCAAGAGGGCACTCTTAGAGTTGCTTTTTCTTGGCAATGTTGAGCTCGTTTTGGAACAACATCTTGTAATCGGCAGCTTGTGGGCCAAATCTATAACAGAATCTGAAGAGTGGGTTCACTGAGGCTTGTGAGTCAGCACCGTTCTTAATCATGAGGAAAGGATGTGGATTGGATCTCGACAAGGTGGTTTGTGAGTCAAAGAAGGTATACCAAAACAAGGAGAAGAGAGAGAAGAAAATACCAGCAGCAACTGGGATAGCAATAATGATACCTCCCAAAAAGTTGGAGTACCACAATGGTTGGCCACCACGGAATTCCAAAGGCTTCATGGAGAGTTTGAACTCTGGTGTCGAGTAAATACCTGAGACTTGATCAAAGAAACCTGGTGTCTTGTGTTGAATGTGGAGGAATCTCACTCCAGCATTAGCCGAAGGAACAAACACAGTGTTTGGGTTTCTCTTGATCAAGTTTACGAGTTTCTTTGAGGCTATATTGGGAGATTAGTGATGAAAGTGAGGTCAATATGAGAGGCGAGAAACACAAAATATTCGTAAAAATTTGAGAGTTGTATGAAATCATCATCACCAAGCAAAACGGCAATCATTGAGAAACACAGAGAGCTCGAACACCAATATTCAAAAATACACCATCAAAGACCTACCTGGTACAATGCTCTTGTTCATTTTTTTTGCTTTTGTTGATTGAGTTACGCCCAAATATGTACATTTTAATACAGTTGAGCGCAATTACAATTTTTCGCCATCTTTGGCACTTTTAAAAAATTTTTGGAGAATGTTTTTATTTGAAAATGGCAAATCGATAATGCCAATACGTATTTTCTAATTAGAAGAGATACATCATATTCACCCCACTGGACTTCAACTTTCTCTCAAGAAAATATTACTCTGAAGGTCGTAAACAAGATTCAAAAATATTCGGCTTTTTTTGGATAAACTTTAAGGACAGAATTCTTTTCAACATTGTCACTGAAAAATGCTCGAGTAAACCGCTGAGTGTCACTCTCAACAATTTAGAAAAGAATTATTAGCCAGAAACTGGCTTGATGTTAGGTAACGTAACAAAAAATTATTACGTTGCATCCAATTGATTGGGTGTGTCTGTATACATCCAACGTTGGATACAAACACACGAGAAAGGTGAGTCATTGCGCGTTCCCGCCAATTTTTGTTGTTAAATAAAATTTTGAAGAAAAAAAATATTTTTTATCAGAATGTCGTCCTCTCGCAAATCCATTTCCACTTCATCATCAGCAGCCGCCAATAATACTTCTCTTTTAAATTCTTCCAAATTGAATATTGGCTCATCATCGAGTAAAAATAACAACAGACCAAAGGTCTTCTTTGATGTTACTATCGGAGGAAAACCTGCTGGTCGCATTGTTATGGAGTTATTCACTGATATTGTGCCAAAGACTTGCGAGAATTTCCGTTGTCTTTGTACAGGAGAGATTGGCATGTCAAAGAATTTTCCAAAGAAGAAATTTCACTTTAAAGGAGTGCCATTCCATAGAATTATTCCGAATTTCATGATTCAAGGAGGTGATATCATCAATGGAGATGGAACTGGATCCGATTCAATTTATGGAAGACAATTTGCTGATGAAAATTTTAAAGTTAAACACAATAAGGTATGTTTTTGAATCTTTTGATCAGAAATCATTTGTGTGTATTAATGATTGTTCGTTGTCATCATTTCGGATGAATACTTGCTTGGAATGTCATTTGAACTGATTCACTGATTTGATGTGAAACTATCAACTTTTAATGTTGATAATGCATCTTGTATAATGTACTGAAAAATTTCAACATTTTCATTGAATATTGAAAAATGATAGACTGGATTATTGTCAATGGCCAACTCTGGAAAGAACACGAACGGGAGTCAATTCTTTATTACAACAGCAAAGACAAACTGGTTAGGTAGGTGTCTTCAGTGTGAGTGAGTGAAAATACTATGGCTTCAAACATGTTAAATTTATTATGGTTCATACGTTGTCACCAAAACAATCTAATATCGATTGAATAACTTCACAAATGCTACATGAAACGTGTCCATTCATCATCATTCGAACAACTAATGTTCAATATCTTGCGTATGGATTGTACATTAGATGGAAAACATGTGGTCTTTGGACAAGTGATTGAGGGTATGTCTGTTGTGAGAGCTATCGAACGACAAGGAACCACTGATGGAACACCTAAGAGTCGTGTGATAATTTCAGATTGTGGAGAGCTTAAGAAGGAGGAAGAACCTACTGAGGTCTCTCTATTGGAAACATCCATTCTTAAAAAAGCAGACACAAGAAAATCATTGGCAAGTGGATCGAATAGCTCAACCGAATCTCCAAAAAAGAATGTTGACACCACCCGTGCCCTAATGTTCTCTGGTCTCTCTGAAAAGGTTTCCGAAAAGGTTTCTGAAAAAGAAGTGATTGAAATGTTAAGTGGATACAAACTTGCAGAGTTGTCACCTGTCTGGATCTTAGGAAGAGGATCAGGATTAGCATTGGTTGAATTTGTTTCCACCGAAGAAGCAGAAAAACTGGAACAAGATGTTATCAATGCCACCTTGAAATTACCATGTGAAGTACATCACATTGAAAATGCTAAAAAGAAGCAAGGCGTGAAACGAGTAAAACAAGATGCAGTCAACAGTGACGACGACGACGAGGAACAGAGCAATGAATATGAATCCAAGCAAAAGAAGGTGAAAACAGAACAAACCGAAGTTGATGACAAGGATTTACAAAAAGCCAAAAAAATTCTAAGCTTGTGGAAACAAAGTAAACAAAAGCAACAATAAACGCATTTGCACCAAGATTTATATCAAAATTTTAATAAAGCTTGATAGTTGAATGTGATCAATTCATTCAATTTATTAAGGCTGCTCCAAGAAATTCGACCCCATTGAAACAACATGATCCCTTCAAGATGCTCCAAACACAGAATAAATTCTCCTAAAGGAAATTTCTGAAATGGACAGTAAAATATAAACAGTATTCAAAAACTAAATCCTTCGCGGTGGTGTTGTCAAAAACTGACGATTCTAAATGAGATTAAAAAATGTCTCAACCACAAGCAACGTCCGTGATTCCTCTTGCAAAACAACATTCTCATTTCCAACTGTGTCCACCTTTGTCCATACCATCCTCTCATCATGGACAAGATTATTCGCCACAGATCGATGAAGAAGGACCATCATTAAACAATACAACTGTGGCCATGACCACCTCTCCCACTGACACTTTTCAAACTTCAAACATCATTCAAGTGTCACCAACAAGTGAGAACAACAATTTTTCATCTCTTTCCTTGATCCAATATACGAAGTCCAATTTGATGAATTTAAAAACTCTTCAACGCGCACTTATTCTCATCATCTGCTTGTGCGTTCTCATCATTTCCATTGCATGGAATTTCATTGCTGGAGTTTTAATGAGTCTCAAAGTCATTCTTTGTATTGCTTCAGGAATTGTTGTTTTCAAAAAGAATTCCATTTTTCTAGTCATTGTGTCCATCTTACTCATGCTTGAACTTGTTTTGAATATTGTTGCTTCGATTTTCATGGTAACCTTATATGCAAAGACCTTTTTGAATATAGCCTCTCATTTCCGAGAAGTGTTATGGTCCATGGTCATTGTGTTTGGTTTGATCCAAATGGTCATTGTTGTGTTGAATGTGACCATTGCAAGAAGATTTGAAAAAGAAGAGAATTTGCAACCCATCATGGAGAAAGAAGAAGTATAAAATCATGATGATGACTTGGCACGAATGGAGTTTCAGTTTTATTTTGAGATGGGAATTCTCAAAGTACAAGAAAAGAAAAATTCGAAAAAAACTATAAAAAGAATCAACCATTTCAAATGAAAAAAAAACAATGAATAAGATGGATCATTCTTGCATCAGGCCATCAGAAAAACTTATCTCGAAAGAAAATGTTTCAGTAGTAATTGTTTTGAAACAGAAAACCAGAATGACGGTGGAAGGAAGTCGATTCTTTCACGTCACCACTCATTGTGCTGTCAAGAGAGTGCAAAGTGATCATTCCAATAATCATCATTGAAACCCAAACGGTGTGAATTGTAATTTTGTGAATGTTTCCACAACGGTCAATAAAAATCATTCATGAAAAACAAAGTCTTTTTCATGATCGATTTAAGGTTAAAAAGGTTTCTTTCTCTGAATATTCATGTATGATTAAATTTTATTATGAAAAAAAAAGGCTCCTGATCATTAGGACCATTCCATTGTTTAGTTCTTCTTCTTCATTCATGAATGCATGTGCGTGCGAGAACTTTTGTATTTTTCACACTTTACAAATATTACATGATTTGTTGATAACTTCGTGTTTTCCATTTACAAAGAAACACAAGACCTGCCACCACTGCACTCACCACCAATCCCAACACCCAAACATACACTAAAATAGAGGTCATAAAAGCAGAGTCCACAATCATGGAAGTTCCAGGGTAACAATGTTGCAATTTGTATAAATTTGTATTACAATTCAAAGAGACTCCAATTGGAATGTCATCCACCACAAGAGTTGAAAATTGTTGTGATTCTGAACTCCAAGATTCAAAAAAATCCTTCTTCATGTGATGAATGGAAAAAACAGTTGATGTGAAAAATTTCTTCCACACACTTAGAGTGGAATCCATTGCATTGTTAATGAACAAGATCCATTCCCAAGCATTTTTCTTGTCACTTGTCAATTGTTGTTGTGAATAATTTTGAGGAGGGGAAGGATCAACAATGCCACACAAAAGTTGTGCTCTCACATCATTGGGAAATACATTTACATATTCATTATTTTCATTTGGATCTGTATAGGTTGCATTTTCTTGTTGACATGCTGAAACTAATTCCACACAAAAATCTTGACAAATGATTGGTGTCATGATGGAAATTCGACCAGAACCACCATCTGGATCGGTTTGAATGGTTGAATTGGCAAATAGATAGGATGCTGGAGAGCAGGCAATGCATTTCAATTTTCTTAATTGTTCAAAACATTTTGGGAATTGTGTCTTTGTAAAATTGCATTCATTAATATTTCATTAAAATAATAATTTCGTGTAAATGAACGAATTCAAGAGTCATGTAGTAATATTTCATGATTTTGAATTAACAACCATGTACACATCATTACATGCAATTAAATAATATTTAAATAATATTTATTAAATAAATATTAAATAAAATAAATATTTAAAAAAACGAAATGATAAACCTACCTGATTAATTCTTGCCTCCAAATACACTTGAATTAGTTTGTCATTCTTATTGGTACAACAACTTAATCCATTATAACAAAAACAATCGACACACTAGGATCATGTGACATTCATTATTCACACAAACATTAAGATCATGAATTTCAAGATATTGTTTTGGTGATTCAATCCACAAAGAAGAAAAAGAATTCCGAGAAAAGTCATTCATGCCATCATTTGATGATCAATAATTATATCAATAATTATAAAATATCAATAATATTATATATTATCAATCATTCAACCATGACCTACCTCGACGGGTTGAACATTCGAATTTGTAAATGGACAATAATCTGTTTGATTGTCTGCTCCAGGAATGTATTGTTGTGTGGCGTGGATGGTTGTGGATTTGTTCCATGAATCATGTTGTTGTTTTACAATTTGTGTGGTCATTCCGAATGTTCCAAAGAGTGTGAAAGAGGAAAGAACAATAATGATCACCATCATGATGACTCCAATCCGAAACGGAAGAACACATCGATGTGAAGGTGTGGACGAGAGAAAAGAGGGGTCGAGGAGGTTGAGAGACAAATGCCTTTTTGACATTTTTTGAGATGTGGCTCAAGACTCAAAGAGGGAGAAATAAAAGGTTCTCAAGTTAAAATTACTGGGAATGAATTTCAAAGAAGCAAAAACCAAAGGGGAGCAATGGGAATCGAACCCATGGCCTCCTGCACCCAAAGCAGGAATCATACCACTAGACCATGCTCCCTCGAATTTTAAAGATTTTTGATATTAAAACGAAGATTAGAGGGACGAGTTGAAGAACACAGTTAATCCAGTGTCGAATGATGGAAAAACAAAGATCATCAAAGAAACATAAGGAACTCGTAAATGAATAGTAAATCTGTCACAAACAAATCTTGAAAAGCATGAATTTGTTTCATTTTAGGTTTCCGACATAAAATCAAAGAATAAATACTGTTGGAGTGCAGTTGAATATCATAATTAAATTGTAAAGTTACTTTTGTTGAGACCATTAAGGTTGTGTTTTTCGCATGGTGAAATAATCAATGACTTGTCCTCGATCGTTGAATTGTTGAAAATTTACAACAAAGCTCGTAAGTGAGTCACGCTTAATTTTTAAAAGTCCAAATCCCTCATCGTTGTTATATCTCATGTAATTCCACTTGATGTTTGTGTTGAAATCGTGATTTGGGTCCATTCCTCCCAAACTTCCTCCACTTCCATCCACAATGTAAATGGTGTCTTGTGGATTGATATAATTGTGTGGATCTTTGAGTTGATCTTGCTCAATGGTTCCATTATAAATTGGATGTTGTCTCTCTGAGAAAACGAATGCAAAAAGCAATAATGATAAAAAGTGTTGTTTCACATGATTCGGAAAAGCGATTGAATAATATGCCATCCTATCAAATACACTTACCATATGCATGCACATGACCACAAATTGCCATATCTACTCGATACTTCTTGTAATCATTTTCAAATAACTCCTGTAATATCCGTGAGTCTCCTACAACATTTCCATTAGCATCTGAAAATCCTTTTTCAGTTGAATAAATTGGTCGATGTCCAACAGTCATGAGGAAAGGTGTCCGAGTTCTATTTGCACTCATGATTGCATTCTTGACATAGGAGACGTGATCTCCTTGAAAAACTGGATGGAATGGAGCATTGGGATAATTGGTTTCTGTATCAATAGCCACAATTCTTATTGGTCCAAAATCAAAGTGATACCACATGTTGTGACCATATTGTGAATCATTTCTGAGTGGCATCCAAAATTTGTGATTATAAGCAGTAAAGTTATATTCAAATGAGTGTCTATTTATCATATTGAGTTTTGAATTTTCATTGCATTTTCATTTTGGTAATCAATGATTTTTCATTTCACGGTGAATATTAGATTTCGAAACCATTGATATTATCAATTTTGAAATATGGACATCAATTCGAGCCGAGATTTAACAATATCAAAAAATCATGCCAAAGTGTTTGGCTTAATGTTAAATCCTCTCGTTGCACCCAAAAAAACTTACTTATCAGGTCCCAATCTTGGTCCATACTCATGATTACCCACAGTTGTCATGTAAGGCACATAAGGTTGAACACCTTCCCAGTGCTCAAAAAATTTATCCCACACATACTGATACATGAATCCTGGATAAGAATCAGCATAACTGATATCTCCTACATGATAGATGAAGAAATTTCCATTTCCAGTGTTGTCCTTCACAATTTTTGAGATTCTCTCAATGTTTGATTCACAAAAGAAAACTCCCATATCTCCAAAGATGACAATGGTCACTTCGGAAGGATCTCTACTTCTTGTTGTAAAGTAAAAAGTCGAATCCGATTGAACAGTGAATACAGGTTTTCCATTCACAACATGTCCAAATCCAACCCGATAATAATACGTTGTGTCAAAACTCAAATTATTCAACAAAATGGCATGATCAAATCCTGTGACGCTCGAATCTCCGTACGATGTGGTGACTGCTCCCATTCCATACCATTGAGGATTTGATTGTAATTCTTGCTCGCTTTTTCCAATAATTGCCATTGGCCTCCCAATCTTGTTTTCATCATAGCCAAAAGTATGAAATTGAATGATCATTTCATTCGTATTCTGAGTCAGTGCCAAATGGATGTATCTCACCGAGAAATCACTACTCGAGGCTTGCTCTCGATGTTGTTTCACTTTTTCAAGCTGTCTCAGCAATAACGGATTTCGTAAGTCTTTCTCTAATTGTATCAATGAGGAAGAAGAAGAAGAAGAATGGCAAGGTCGATTCAAATCGGCAGATGTATGTCTTGATGCGGATGTACCTTGTTGTTGATGCACAATTTCAATTCTCTTGTTTGTTGAATGATTGTGCTGATGCCGATGGCCCTCTGTGAACGTTAACATACTGAACATCAAAACAACAACAAGAATTGTTGCCAACTCAACGGATGAACTCGTCGTGTTTCTCATCTTCATGTCCCGTACTTTTACGCTGTTGTTGTTTGATGATGATTTTTTGTTGGTGATGAAGGTCTATACATTCGGAAATGGAATGTAAATTAACGATCCTTTCGCTGATTGATCTATTTCTTCAAACGAAAGAATCACGGGTGGCCAACTCCTTCAGTAAAAATGACCAAGATTCGAGACAAGATTCTTTACGAGCGCACTTTTATTTTTTACTCGATTAATAACACCGACCATTATTCAAATTTTGTTTCAGAGTTGAACTGTTCTACAATTAAGCATGCTGAAACCAAGATTTTCATATGGTAGATGCTTCTTTCCGTCTAGTTTCAGATTCTTTTGTTTGGTATTGTGAGACCTAATATTCAATTAATAACAGCCCTTAAAAAAAGGTGTCACTGATTTTGGCTGAATTAAACATAAAGCCCGTGTAAAGTGCAAACAAGCAGCATGAAATTCTAGAACAACAGACCACTTTACACTCAAGGATGTTCTATTTGTTGTGCACTTTTGACGGGCTTGGTGTTAATTTCAAACTCTTCTCAATCACATTGAACTCCACAAATTGAAATTTTTTTAAAACTCTTTTCGAAGAGAAGTTTGAAAACATTTTAGCAACAATTTCATAACACGTTTCTCAATGTAAGAGTTGTGGTTTGAGAGAGATGGTGTTGATAATGTGACGAAGAGGGGAAAGGGCCCCTTCAATACTATACCACCCTGGACGTGACAAAGTTTTAGGACGTTACCACCACGGCTCTTGTAATGCCAATTCAACTTATTGACGCACCAATAATTAAGTAGTGTTTCCTTCACGTGTCAGCAACAATATATTGCATTGGCAAGTTTTGAGGGGTTGAAATCATCATAAAATCATACTATGATCGTAGCTTTATTAAAAATCCCCAGCGAAATTCTCTCTTACATCTTGATGTGTTCACGAAAAAATACGCTTGAGTTGGCCACCCGTGGAAAGAATAACATCTCAAAGAAACAAATTTTCAACAATAAGAATGATTGGGAGTTATTGATTTGAGGATATGAGGTACCCAAGTCGCGTTGGGAGTCGTTCCAGAGTGCCCTCAACGAGTGATAAGGTACATCCTTGTAGTTGAGTTGGTTTCTCACGACATGATAACCCTGAAAAACGAGCGTTGAGGCTTGCGTTTCATGAGCAGTCCGTGATTGGAAAATTGGAGTACCTGCTTCAGAGAGACAGAAAGGAAGAACTGCTCGAAGATGGAAATTTTAATTTTTATTGTGGTTTTTGAGAATATTTTATTAATCGATTTTCAGTTGGGGAATACAACTTAAATATATTTATTTAATATAGGAAAAAGGAATGTTGAGTGTTGGTGTCACAATATCATAACTTGATGATAATTTTTTGGACTTCTTCCACTTTTATCCAAGTATTTTAACCTCAAACTACTCGAGTTTGAAATTCCTCTATTCTTAAAGCAAGTGTTAGAGTCTTGGATGATGATACTGCATCTCTACCTCGTCATCCATCATCTTAAAATTTTCACAATACCTCTTGGATGATTTCATACTAAGGTATTCTTGTTGAGGGATGATGCTTTATGAGGAGACAGAATAGAAGATGGAGGCTCGTCTTGATGGAGAGAGATTGGAAGAAGTGTTTGTAAATAATACACTAGAAAGAGTTAGTACATTCAATAAGTACTCGTAGAGTGTGTATTCTCGAACGATATCCATTCAACAATTTAAGAAAACATCAAAACTCACATCACAGTTGAATACCTGGATATAATGGTTTGTGTACATCAAAAACTTCAAACGAATCATTTTCTTGTTTGTTCACAACTATTCTCTCCTCACATCTTCTTTCATTCACAACATTTCCTGTACCTACACAAACAAACCCTCCACAAAACTCCTCTTTCACTATTTATTAATTATACACTGACACTCATATTTCACATAGCCTCCAGTGTATTCTCGTTTTGTATACATTCATCTCTTTGGCAGCATCTTTCAACATGTGTCATCCATGTTGTCCCCAACCAAGACGCTTACTACATCTTCTCTTCTCGGTCATCATCACCATCACTGGACGCAAAATGTCACTCATCACTCTCCAGTGGAGGCTCGTAATGGAAAATAATCGACCAAAAAAATCTCGATAAAAAAAATTCTCCAAAAAATGAGTAAAGTGATTGCTTCTTCATCCTCTCATCATCGTCGGTTTTTTCATCTGCCTTCTCAGCAACCACAACCGGTCCCGCTCGAGGAGCAACAAACACCATTGAATCATTTACAACATACAGCGGCAGTGGCCATGATCGGTCTTCAACAATTGCAGCAAGTGGCTTCTCAAATGAATTCAACCGCTAACGAACTTTCAAAGACTTCTTCTTCATCATTATCCCATCCATCATCATCATCCAAAAATAAAGGACAGATGGAAGAAAAAAAATCAAAGACGAACAAAACAAAAGGAATAGAGAAGAAACATCATTCTCATAATGATAAGGATATTCGGGAGGGAGATTTGATATTTGTAAAATTGGGTACGTTTTTTTGTATAACGATCATTTTTAGTAATACGTCATTATATTGAATTAAATACATTCTTCGGATCAATTTGAAATTAATGTCATGATGATGGCCCATCATTTTCAAATACAACCAACACAATTTAGATGGCTGCCCCTACTGGCCAGCAAAGGTCATTTCTCCTCATGCCCCACACATTCCAAAAGCAATACGAGAGGAAATTCTTGAACAAATGGACGAAGAAGACACCAATACAACACTGATCGAATTTTTTGGAGATGATAAATCCAAATAGTAAGTATATTTATTTAATATTGGAGGGTTGTGTTTCATATACAATTTGGATTGTTCCACATCATGACTCCATACAACAATATTTATACAATTTGTAAAAATTAATAATTAATGCCATTCACATATTTCACCACTCAAACAATTACATCTCACCCCATCACACCAAAAAAACTAGTTATTGCATGGACAAGGTTGTAGAAATTTATACCAAGAATGCGGATGTCATTACCGAGAAAATGACAAGAAAAAACAAGAAATTAGCGGAGGCCATGAGACAAGCTTTATTGTATGCTCAATCAGAAGAATTATTAGACGACAATTCTTTACAAAATCGAAGACAAAGTTTTTCAGGAAATAATTTAACAATTTCAACAAAAAATGATAAAAAAAGAAAAGTGAGCCCAGTATCTTCTTCCAATGGTAACAAAAAGAAGAAGGTCATTTCTGATGACGATGATGACGAGGCAAATAGTATTGAAATAGTTTTGTCTGACAATGACTCATTGAGTGATGACAATGAACTCCGACCAACCAATAACTCTCATCATGACGAAGAGGAAGAATATTCATTTTCTGACGAAGAGGAAAGAGAAAGTCCAAGCAAAGCAAACGAAAATCGAAGCGAAACAAATTTGAGTCAAGCGATAAGAACACTTGCCATTCATGTAGAAAGAATTACAAAATAACTGTGACATGCTCAAACGACCAATGTGGAAAAACATTTTGCAAAAAGTGCTGTGGAAACCCTAAACTCGATAAGAAATTTTTTGAGGATTGGCTTTGTGGCGACTGCAAGGTTTGTGGTGTTTGCGAGAGTGCAACATGCAAATCATCGCCAAATATTACGGAAGATTCACAAATAGCGAGCCGTCTACGAATTTGTTCCAAATGCGACTCTGCCTTTCATATTAACTGTTTAGAAAATGAAGGAGCCTTTGTGCTCTACAAGGAAACATTCACATGTCCCGATTGTACTGAGAAGAAAAGTGAATGGCTTCGAAGAAGAGGAGAACACGATGCAACGTTTGAAAATTATTTATTTACTACCTCCAAAGGAGTTTTAGACAGTGTCACACTCGACTTTGTTTTGAACAATAATGATGATGCAGAAGACTCAGACATCATGGCATCAACAGATGATGACCAATCTGATAGTGAAGACAAGCCCATGACTAGTAAGGGCAATAAGAGAGCATCATCATCCTCTCCCGCTACCATCAATCATAACACAATTACTAACGCTGCCACAACAACCAGTTATTCTTCATTCGTGGATAACATTTCTACTGATTCTGGCAATACCTCACCGACCACAAAGAAATCTCCAAAATCTGGACGAGCAACAAAGAAGAAGTTATGCTCACATGAGCATCACCAATCACATCAGTCCTCAGAGTCCCCCAAAAATTCCTCCATTTCTCACCCTCATTCATCCATGTCAGCAGACATGCCTCATTCCCCACCACCTCATCGAGTATTTGATCAATCATCATCTTCCTCATTTGAAATACATCCTTCTACCACCCAATACTTGAAGACAGAATTTGGTCCTAATGAACGATCACAGAGTCACTCTGCCACATCACCCTCTTCTGCTCTGAACAGCTGCTCTGGAAAAAGTAGAAAAGCAACCAAAGTCAAACCAAGAGGAGGTGGAGATGCTTCTTCTTCTGAGAGCAGTGGAAATTTGCATCCACCATCGAGTGTTTCATCCCCACTCAAAGAAGATACAATACCAAGCCCAACCTCAATGAGTCCAACCACCTCAAGCCCTTCATCAAGTAATGGTGACACACCTTCCCAAGAGCTCATCACCCTATTCATTAAATGTTTTGTGGATGGAAATAAGACAGACTACACGAAGAGAGTTCGTGTGTCAAGTCATATTGACATTTCCCAACTCAAATCTATCACCAAGTCCATCGTTCTCAAGATGAAGAAGTCAACCAAGTTGGACAATCACAAAATTTATCTAAAGAACATTGACAGACATGGACATGAGGTACTCTTGGATCTCGACGAGGATTTCTTCCTGCATGATAGACTCCAAAACAGCGACGTTCTTGTACTGAAGATGTAGATGCGAAAATGTACATAAAAACAAATGATCATCTACCAGTAGAGAAGCACAAGTTGTGAATTCCCTTCTTGAGAAAAACAATTCATGAAATAAAAAGAAAAAAGAGAATTCACCAGAGAAGAAACATTTTTGTTTCTGTGCTTTAAATTGGGATAATTCAAAAGTGATCAGAATTAACTTTGAAGCAGTCTTTGAAGATATTTGCAGCAGTACCAAATGAATGAAAATTCCCTTTATTGTTTTTGTTAATTAATATCAAGATTCTTTCAAATTGAGTTGATAAATTAAAAACATTCCGTCTAAATATTGTAAAAGGAGAGTGTAAACCAACAAAATTCACAAGTGCAACTCGGAATTTCGCAAGCATACACTTGTTGTACTATTATCATACACAAATTGAGAGAATTAGAAGGAGTATGGAGTTGATGGGGAGGCAGTGAAAGGTCTTGTACGGGATCATGAATGTACGAGTAAAATTGAGAGAAAGAAGAGATGGAAGGTGATTGGAGTGTAGTTGTTGTTGTTGTTGTTGATTCGAAATGACTTCATCGAACATATAATTGATGATGAGAGTACCCAATGAAAGCTGATGATGAAAAACGGAAAATGAAATTAATGTTGTTTGTCTCTCAATTCTTTCAACTCTTCAGAAGGAGTCAATTCTTGTGGCTTTCTGGTGAGTAATTTTCCTGGTTGATTAAAATCTTGTTCAATCACGTGTGGCTTGTATGGATTTCTCTTAATCTTCTTTTGTAACATGTACACTCCGTACAACAAAGCTTCAGCAGTTGGTGGACATCCTGGCACATAAACATCCACAGGAATAATCTGGTCGGCACCTCTCACCACATGATAACTAAAGTGATAATAACCACCTCCGTTGGCACAAGATCCCATACTGATGGAATATCTTGGTTCAGCCATTTGATCCCAAACCTTTCTCAAAGCAGGAGCCATCTTGTTGGTCAGAGTTCCAGCAATAATCATGGCATCGGATTGTCTAGGAGTGGGACGGAAGAAAATACCATAACGTTCCAAATCGTATCGGGCAGCAGCCACGTGCATCATTTCTACAGCACAGCAAGCCAAACCAAAGGTAACTGGCCACATGGAACCAGTTCTAGCCCAAGCAAATAAATCATGAAGAGGAGCTCGTAAATATTCAACAACGCTCATGATGATGACGGTAATGGAAATGATGATGAAAATTTTTTTTTTAATGTTTTCTAAAAAATTACATTCATTTTATTTGAAAACGAGAATCATCATCATCATTCCGAGTCGAAAGAAGAAAAGCATTCAATATGGTGGAATACATGATGATTTTCAATTGAAAGGAAGGATTATGTAGATGTAATCAAAGATACATAATTTACTTATTTTAAGTATTGCAATTGAATAGTTTCTATTCGTTGGTAAATCATTTCGTCGTTTTCAAAAGCCTAATTCAACCACCATTAAAACCACCTCTTCGGTAACTTTAAATTCACCACGATCGATTACCATCACTCAATACAAACACTTGTCATTGAAACTGACCACATGGAACAAGGCATTGGATGGCAAGTTAAAGACATGTTCTTCTTTCATGACATGTTCACAACTGCTTTTTCTTCTACTGTTGGATGCCCATGTCCAACGAATGCGGTACCTCTCAGAACCAATCTATCAGTGGATAACTTTCTGTCCACCAACCATAACATCATTTCTTGTAAAGTCCTTCTCTTCCTTTCACATTGAAAGAAGTGTTGAAAATTTTGCAAACCTTTTCAACATTTGTGGATGAAGTGAGTGGTCATGGAAAATGTATTGAAACGTGTGGTGCATTTAAAAACAAGTGAAGCCATTCAATGGTTTGATTCAGAGTGTGAATACAAGTGAGTGGGTTCGATTCAAATGATTGGAATTGTCTCGTTTTGGTGGTCCATATTCGATTCTAAACTTTAGCATTATCGTTATGACTTTGTCAAGTATATCATTTGGTTCAATTGTTCTTTTATCAGAAAAGTTCCATTCTTGAATTATTCTTTCAATTTTGACTTGTTTCCATTAAGAGACCTATTTCCTAAGTGGAGATAGAACCCATAGAAATTATTGTGAATTGAAATAGTTGCGGATTGTAAATTAAATACTCAACTGAGATTTTGAACTTGGGAAAGTGTTACAGAAAGAGGGAACTTACAAATGAAATTGAACAGAGTTTTACGTTTTCCAATACAATGGCACTCAATAATTAATTGGTACCATTCCATAATTACAGATCAACATCATGTTTGAAAAGTGACAGAACATGGAAGGTCCCACAAACAATAACATTAAGGTCACACGCATCACTTCTGAATATTATTAGGATTGAGGCAATTTTCCAATGATCGACCTAGTCACACTTCTGGAAAGAAAAATCCTTTTTGAAATGAGTTCATGACGACAGTTCAAATCTCCATGAATCAGGTCCTGACCATCTAGTCAACCAACCAACCACCATGGTGAAATAACCAACCATTAATGAACGACAACGCCACTCTCCAAACTCTCATTCAACGAGTCTCTACATGTCTTCGTGACAAAACAAACTCCAAATTCTCATTCAATCTCTCTCTGAGAAATTCTTTCGACGGATCTTTGCATTCATAGTTCTTTTTGAATTAAAAAAAACCTCACCACCAAAAGAGTGGAATAGAACAAGAATTGGATATTCTCATTCTCTCTCTCATCACTATTTACATTAGATTGTATGGTTACTCGTTTTATCGATCACTCTCTCATTGAACGATTATTACTTGTAACCATTCATTAATCATTCTAATCATAACTCATCAGTAGTATCAACATCGATATTGACGAAAGAGTGTGCTAGCAGGTTCTCCTCATATATTCCATTGTTTGAATTGTTGTAACGTCTCTTCTTTTGGTTCCTTTTGAGAATTGAATGAAAGTCTCATAGAATTCTTGTTGTTGTTGTTCGTGTTGTTGTAAAAGCGAAATCACACCCATCGTTACCGGTAACACATTGGTTGTATTGAATGAAGAAGAGCAGTTCAACCCTCTTGCTATTGACCACAAATTTGATTCACAGATAACGCCATTATTATTATTTTTAGAAATGGATGCTCACATGCCAAATGTCATGCCTTCATGCGCATCGATTAATGCCATGTCACAATCATCATCTCCAGCAGCTATTCTTCTCAAAAACACTGCTCTTCCTCTCGACACTAGAATGGATGTCATTCAATTCGCAAGAACTGTCGTTTCTTCCCTTCGCCATCCACATCACTCAAATGTCAAAATGTCAGAAGATGAACAAGAATTGAAAATTATTGCACATTGGACCTCTCAGGAGAACAGATTGAACCTCATTCCTTCCACCGAAAGTATTGAGTCCTCTGATTCTACTCTTTCTAGCATTAGTTGTTCAACAGGTTCCAACAATTACAACACTACGGAGCTTTCAAAAACATCTTCCTTGTCCTCTCTCATCGATGAAAAGTATTTCACTCCAAAAAGAAAGAACACTGCTGCCTCAAGAAAGAATCCTCAAGACTTGAAACATTTACAACAAGGAAAACCAAACATGAAGAAGAAGAAATTCTCTCCATTATTGAACAAGGATTCATTTGAAATTCCAAAAAAGACTGGAATTTTCTTTTCTGTCTTTAATCTCATCAATGACATTTTAAGTCCAGGAACTCTTAGCATGAGTCAAATGACTGCTCAATCTGGTATCTTTTCCTCTTATTTATTAACCTTCTTGTTTGGAGCTGTCACTCTTTTCACTCTTTGCCTCTTGTACGAATTGAGAAGAAATCATTTAAAATCAAGTTTAATTGAATTGAGCGAAAAAGCATTTGGAAAATTGGGAGTTATTTTCACAAGCATTGCTATCATCTTGTTTAATTTCGGAGGAGCTTTGGGAATGTTCATCATGTTTGGACATATGGTTCCAGATTTGTTACAACAATGGAAATTACAATTTTACAATCCAAAACAATTTGATTCACAAGAAGGATTTGTTTCACCACAACTTCAATCCATTCATGAATGGATTTCCACTCTCACAAGCAGAACGGCTGTTTTAATTTATTTGACTCTCTTAATGATTCCATTTGCGTTGAGAAAGCAACTCACAAGTTATGCTTTTACTTCATTCCTATCCGTGAGTTCCGTGTTCGTCATTGGTGCTTGGCTTGCGTATGAAGCAGTGAGTGGAAATAAGAGATTTGTTCCTCCTCCTTCCGATGCTTTGAATTTTGTGAGAGGTTCACAATTTTTCTCGGCATTGGGAGCTTTGGCTTTCATTTATGTGTGTCATGACATTTGTTTTCACATATTTGAAGGATTGAAGAGACCTACACGATTGAGATTCTTTGTGGTTGCGTTGTGTGTCGTGTTGTTGACTATTGTGACGATTATTACGGTGGGAACGAGTGGATTTTTATTGTTTTATGATCGATGTTTGAATGATGCCAATGTGTTGAATTTGTTTCCATTGAATGATCCATGGGCTATTGCAGCTCGAGTGTTGTTGTCATGCAATATTTTGTTGTCCATTCCATATGCCTTGTTCATGCCAAGGGATTGTTTGAAACAATTGTTGATCTTGTTGATTCCTAAAAGAGTGCAGAAAGGGTCCGTTTGGACGAGTTTCAAAAAAAGTGCATTGGCAAAAGAGTTAGGTCATGTGGTTTTGACACTTTTTATATTATGCAGCGCATTTGGAATTGCAGTGGCTGTGAATGATTTGGGAATTGTTTCAGATTTGTTTGGAGCAGTTGCTGCTGCTTCATTGGCTTATATTATTCCACCTGCGTTGTTCTTGAAATTGGAATTCTCCTGGTGTGGTGGTTGTCTAAGTGGAGAGACAGCCTTGAAACGATGGACCAGTAGGGTGTTTAGAAGAAAGAATGGCTCTTTGAACAACGCCAAGATGTTGAACAGTTCTTCAGAGTTGATTGAAATGAGCGAACAACCGGTTGAAAGTCAAAAGACATCCTCTCAACTTGATCAAGTTGCAATGGCAAACGACGAGTTTTATTATCAAGAGACTAGCATTTCCAGAGGTTGTTTGAAATTGTGCATTGGTTTGACATGCATCTTTGTGTTGATGTTGGGACTACTCACGTTCTTGAGTACCATTGTCAGTGTTGCCTTTAATAAGCTGAGTTAAATAAATGATCATTGGTTTCAAATTGGATCAAGGAGTGATGAATTGTTAGCCTTCAGGCTTAACGTCACCTTCTGCTTTGCCAACAACTCTTGAAATGTTGGAATAAATACTTTAAAATGTGTGTTTCGAAATCTAGAGTGAAATGTAATAATGTTTTCCATGACTGTTATGAATTTTGGAACAAGTCGAATTGGTGGTCACACACCATTCATACCACACTTTTCTTGTGACATTATGATCACAGTTTCGCCACATTTGAACTCCGATGTCTTCACCCTTCTTGACAATGACTGGAGTTTCAATAGGGAAGAAAATTGGGAACCAACTAAACATTCCTGAAGAAAAAGTATCAGGTAAAATGCTCATCCATACATCCTTATACAATTGACATTCAAAATAGCCAATGAGGCCATGAACAACTGCATTCTGCTGAGATTTGAAACGAAGAGAGACGTATCGATCATTATTCACAAGTGGAACCTGCAAAGTGTCATTAGTTTCATCGCAAAGACTTTCCTTGAGAGCTTCAGTGACTTGAGGATTGGGATGAATAAAGGTAAAACATCGTTGAGGTCTGTCAAGAACAACACCTCTATGAACCAGGCAAACATATCCAGTCTCAAAAGCAGATGCTTCAAAAGTAGTCGATTTTTGTAAATTTTTCACTTCACTCCAAACCTTGTAACTGCAAAGAGGGCTCAAATAGGAAGTGTAACGTGCAGGTATGGAAATTCCTTCGCCGTTCTCTTTCAAGAGGCGTTGAGCCCCATCTAAACATTCAGGACTCAATTCATTGTCTCCAAACGATCCTAATAATTCAGAAACTAATAAATCTGCCTTCTCAGGAGGATTCCACATACGCATATCTTTTTGAATAATTTCAACAATTGGAATTTCCAAATTTTCACCTGCATGAGCTTGTGTAAATGTTCGCCAAATGGTCTTTTTGTAGTAGAGGAGATGACTTAGGGCATTAGGATTCTTCTCCACTGCATACACCAAAACTGGGACTTTGGTGGTTCGAGCTGCTCTCAAAACAGCCTTAACAATTGGGCCACGACCTGCTCCCAATACCATCGCAATGACTCGTAGAGTTTTGATATCCTCTTCGTTCGAGACCTTCTTTTTCTTTGCTTCATACAAATCTGAGAGAGCCTTCTCTGCAGCCTTCTCATAGAGCATGTATTTGATGGGGTCTCTTTCAAACACTTCATAGGTTTGACTGTCTAAATTGTCAATCAATGGTTGTAAAGGTCTCTGCAAAAAATCTCTAAAGGACTTGCTAAACACTTCTACATTGGTGAGCATGCAACTGGTTTCAAAGAGTGACATAATGATTCTCTTATAGAGAGCCATATTTGGGCTTGGTTCATTCTCAAAGCCTGTTGCACTCAAAACCAATTGAATGTTGTATTTAAATGTTTTTCGAAGGAATTGTGCAACATCGTCATGGAGGAACGAAGTGGTATTGTTTGCAGGCCTTGAAAAGAGATCCAAATTCAAAATAATTGTTCTCACATTTTCGGCGATCCAAACAGAAAGAGATGTCACCAGAGGATTTTCAGCTCCAAATGTTTGTTTTTCGAATGCATTCCACAGTGTGTCCTGTGGCGCATATTGTTCAAGAGTGACACCTGTATGGGTTTTCTTTTTTTTCTTTTCACTTTCTCCGTGTTGCTGACTCGATTGTTTGAGTGATAGGCTTAATTCTTCCACGTCCTTATTTTTCAAATCCAAGACTGGAATGAGTAAAGTGTGACTATCGCACATGGTCCTCACTAAATTCCACAAGTAATAATTGTTGACACTAAATCGTACCCATATAGCCGTATTTCCCATTGTTGGAAGAATAAGATTAATAAATTGAGCGAGTGCAATGGCCATTTCCTTATTTTGAGGCTCTGGAAAGAGAACGGCAGGAATGCACAGGTGTGTGGCCCATTGCAATTCCTGTTGAATAATGAGCTTGGCAGCTTGAACTTGCATATGAATTTGTGAGAGAGTGCCTGCTGTGGATGGAATGGCAAATGGTGATGAATGATGATTATTTGTTAATTGTTGTTTGTTTTGTTTGCTTGAAGAGGTCTTTTTTCCTTCAAGAGGCGCCGACGACGAGGAAGAAGCAGCAGCGTACTCATCCAATCCAGGAACATCATAGGGCTTATCGGAAGAGAGTAACTTTTTGTTGGTGGGTGAATAAATTCCAAAGGCTGCTTGGAATGCTGCTTCATCGACTTTACCGACCATGCAATGGGACCAATCGGTGGTACGGAATAGATATTGTCTGGATGAAATGTTGTGTTTTTGGCAAATTTGCCTCAAATCTAAGAGATGGCTGGTATTATGGTTGGGTTGGTGGGAGAGTTGAGTTGGATTGGTGGTGGTAGTAGTAGCGGTGGTGGAAGTCTTGCCCGATGAGCTCATCTTGCTTTGTAAATTTTGTTGTTGTTGTTGATGATGATGAACGGAAATATCCATCAAGAGAAAATCCAATCCGAATTCATTCACGACGGCAATTCCTTCTTCCACACTCTCTACATGTAATTTACTTGAATTATTGTTTTTAGCCATCATGTTATTTGGATTCGTTAATGATTTCAATGATGATAAGGTGGAATGAAATTCCAATCCCATGAATGGTGGTGTAGCGGTTTCCTGACTCCATGTATTGGTAATGGTGTCCACAATGGGATCACTTAAATCGTCCATACTATCTTCAGGTTTGATTGTATTAAAACACAATTAAATACAATTAAACACAATTAAAGAGTTGTTCTTGAGTGAGTGTTGGATGACCCGGTAGCAGCGCTGCTGATTTGATGGCAAACAATTTTTTTCTTCTTCGATCAACTTTTTTATTGACGACAATTCCCTCTTTAAATAACAACACATTAGAAAGCAGTAGTGCTTCACATCCCATGCCTTTCTATTGAAACACGTGTTTAGAGCCTTCTTTTGTGAGAGGATTTCGGTGATGTTTGTATCGAGTTCTTCCTGTATGCTAAGGCAGAATTCTATTGAATGTGCTGTATCCAATCATTACTCTATGACACAAAGTGAGAATAGGTAGGAACATGGTAATTTTGAAGTCTCGTTTAAGCTGTTGAAAATCGACAACTGAGCACTCAAAATTCAATTGAATTCATTCTTCTTTGTTTCATTAGAGTATACTTGAAGATTTGCTTCACACTTCACTCTGACAGCCAAGCAAAAACAAGCAACAGCAAATGAACACAATAATGACTAAATTACTCTGATTCATTGGTGCTTTCTTCCAATGACGAGCTCATGGACTCATTGTCAGAATGCAGGGTTGACAGTTCGCCATGGCTTCGTTTCATTTTTCATCTTCTTGCTTTTGCGTTTTTACAGATTTTAGAAGAAATTAAGGAGTGTCACACATACTCAACGGTGAATAGCCGCTCGTCAACATAAAAGCTCTCGTTAGCAAAAAGAGAAGCAAAAGGGAGTATCAACTCGATCTTCAAAAATACCAAATATTTTCAAAGAAGCAAAAAGTTCAAGGGGAGCAATGGGAATCGAACCCATGGCCTCCTGCACCCAAAGCAGGAATCATACCACTAGACCATGCTCCCTCGATGTTATGTCTTACAAATTATATACAAATTTAGACAATGGATGTTGGTAACTGAAGAACAGGGAACAAAGTTAATCAATCACCCGGATAGAGAGATGACGATTGTAAAAGGGTATTGAATGCCATGTATTAAGGTTGATTGAATGGAGGTTGATTACAAGAAATCAAATATTCTGAAACTGCCGTTGCAGACATAAGTCACAGGTCCTATCATGTTGACACGAGTCATTGTTGTCGCATCATCTTGTTTTCTTCGATCATAATTAAAGTACAAATCTCCTCCATTGAGTTTCACTTGAACCGTGCACACGGGAGGTGGTGAAGATGATGGTGTTCCTTCATTATTTTGACCATTTCCATAAAACTTCCTTAAATAGACTAATTGTGAAACAGCAAATGCTCCAGTTCCACATGCATTTGTTTCACCACTTCCTCGTTCCCACTACCAAGTTGTGTGTTTTTTTTTCCATGAATAAGAGACGCATGGTGTCATGGAAAAATTCATTTCTGCAGTTCGAATAATTGTGTGTACATTTCAACCCATTTCAAACTTACCGTTCTTTGTCTCACTCTCAACACACAATTCGATTCGAGCATCTCGATCAGTGTCGATCTATTTTCTCGTTTTTTCACGTTCGTCGGCAATGCGTCAGTCATCATTTCAATAAATTCCACATTGGTTCGTTGAGGAAATATTTCTCGATCATTTTCAATCACAGAACCAACAAGAGCTAATGGAATTTTGTTCACATCTTTCCAAATCGTCTCGAAGACACTCGATTTATCATTCATTCCAATTTCATTCACAAAACAAATTGCATGAGGATTTGGAACCAACAGACAATACAATGGAATTTTCAACACATGTTGTTGTGTGTAATGGTAGAGAACTTTTCGAACAAGTCCTTCTTCTTGATTGACGAGAGGAACTTCCATAAGTGGGTTTTCAAAATCTGTGGCCATGTCAAAGTTTGAAGCTTGTGTCTGTAATTGCCCCATTTCAATTTCTACCCATAATGTATGATTGGTTGGTGTAGTCGCTACTAGTAGAATTTGATCATGAACAATGAAATAATTCTCGTCATGACAGAGTTGTTGTCTCTTTTTGTTGCCTTCCTCTTCAACTCCAGCATAACAAATGCAATCATAGACTTTTCGGTGGCTTTGAACTCGAACATGATAGCCATATTGAACATTTGAAAAACGTTCGTGATGTGAAATTTGATTTTTTTCAATTTTTTTCATTGCAATCAATCGATCACAGGCATACTGAGCGACACATCTCAAACCATTGCCACACATTTCTCCACTGGATCCATCCGAGTTATACATTTCCATTCGACAGTGAATGGTAGTATTGTTGTGAGAAGATGATGATTGAATTGTATTTTCCTCCAATAACTCTAAATTTGGTGTTGTGATGAAAATCACACCATCGGCTCCAATTCCAAAATTTCGATGACATAATTTTTGAATTATGTGTTCAAGAGTGTATGAATGAGTGTTTGGATGATGATGATGATTGGACAATGAGCCATTCTCATCATTTTCATTTGGTCCAATATTCAAATGTTTAATAAATTTTCGAAAATCATTTTCAGAAGGATTGGAATGTCCATTTCCGAAACAACAATCAATGTAAAGATAATCATTTCCAAGTCCATGCATTTTACAAAATGAAAAACAATCATTGTGAGTGTGTTGTTGCGATTCCACTAAGGATGATGACGAGAAAATGGATAAATTTTGTTGAGCCATTTTTTTCGAACGATTTTTTGACGTTTTGCGTTGACAGGTTGAGGATTTTTTTCATTTCTATATTTATGAATGAATTATTATTTCAATAATGGAAGAGTACGATGTGTTTGAAAATGCTCAAATCCGAAACAAATATTGGTGTGGACATTTATACACCAAAAATGTTTGCAAACACAATGAAATAATTATTTATGATGAATTAAATCCAAATTACTGTTTAGAATTTTCATAAATGAAATCAAGGACTCCCTTTGCAGTCATTGGTCCATCATGACTGATTGGGTTCTTTAAATTACCATCTTTGAATAAATAAATAGTTGGAAATCCTTCTAAATTCAATCGATTGGACAATGATTCATACTTGTCACCATCGACTTTGGCAATTTTGATATCCGATCTTTTAGATTCGGAAACAACCTTTCCGAGCTTGGCCAAGGAAGTGGAGAAGGCTTGGCAGTGTCCACACCACTAAGATCGAGTTTCGAATGTTGATCATTGTCGAAAGTTTACAAGAAAATTATTTTCCAAATCAGGATCATCATCATGATTTGACAAGAATATCAATAGGTCAAACAATTAATTGATAAGCCAAACAAATAAGTACAATTACTATACTACTACTAATAGCAATACTACTACATACTGGTGCATAAAACTCTACAAGGACATACTTGTTACTCTTGATGAATGTATCAAAATTTTGATCGGTTAATTCCGTGACTCCTGTCATTACATCTTCGGGTTTTCCTCCGAGAATGAATGGTGCAAAGAGAATGGAGCACACAAATAAGCAAAAAACAATCAAGGTTGTTGTTGTTGATTTCATTCCGATAATGGCTACACTAGTGGTGGTGGTCAATTGTTTACGATGATGATGTTGTTGATATGGACAACACGTGTATTTTTTTTTGGATTGATGAAAAGTTGTTGTTGATCTGCCAGCTGTCACAAGACCTCTATCAAAGATAAAGTTTACAAAAATCGCAATAGGAAATTGTTCATAAATGATTCATGTCAACTATTTGACTGTTTTTAGTTTGTATTTATTCCTTGGTGTCTTGTTTAGTCCTTTAAAAGTGATCATGTTCCTCCCATTGTGAATATCTTGTATAATATTTCCCTGATGGTGTAGAATAAAAACTGTTATAGACATCACAACAAAATGAAAGATCGAGTGAAGGCAGAATTCTATGACTCACACAGCAACACAAATCAGCTAGAGACGCCATCCAATATGGATATCCACATGATCTTAAAGAGTTTCCAATGAAATTGTTGGTCTTGTAGCAACAACAAGAAGTCATGCACCAGCAGCATAAAATGCATGAACAGTTGCATAGAGAAAGAAGAGGTACGTCGCACCATTTTTCAACACAACACTTGTCCAAAGTTCCAATTCCTGCAGTGACGTGAAATAATCTCTTATCACTTGGACGAGTGTGACTCATACTCGAGACACTCACTTGTGGATACCTGGGCAGAGAGAAAATATTGTGCTTCATTTTCGTTGTGGTTCGATCGAATTCTAAAGTTTGAAATGTAAATGTTAGCAGCAGTTGTTCATTTGTCAAAGGTCGCTCGACTTGAATTTCATCATCTTTTCCAATTCCAAATTGTGTGAAATATTTTTCTCTCCATTCGTCAGATATTGAAAGTTCTGACTTGTAAATGTGTTGGAGGGCAGTCCGAACGAAATGTATTCTCTGATTATCGTTCATAGTGTCAAATGAGACTAAATTGAAATAATTAATCATTGCAAGAGATCCCACTTGGCCACGCTCATAATCAACTTCCTTGATAGAGGGCAAAGCAATTTTCTTGTTCATGATTTGCCTTCGATATCTACAAATAAGATTTTGATGAAGTGTTAAAAATTTGTAGATTTTTGGTATCTCACCATGTTGAAGCAATCTACTGAGATAATTCATTTCCACATCGCTGTACACTTTCTTTAGAGGTATTTCACACTTGTCCATAATGGGTATTAAGCGAAAATAAAAGAATACATATAAAGAAATTTTTGCAACATCCTTGAGCTTTTCCTCGAGAGAAGATCGCCAAATTGTAAGTTTTCTAAAAGCTAATACTCGTTTGTAATGTTCGACTACAACTCCAAGGTATAGGTCAATGATATATGAATCGACTGTTTCGAAAAGTGCGTAGTACCTTCTCCTATTGTTCAATCGAATAATTGATTCTCTAGGTATTCCTCTGGTTGTTTCGTATTTTTCGGTTATATGGATATGCAGAATAAACTTTTTAAATACTCTGAAAGGATTCGCAGTCATCTTTTTCGTGCACGTGAGTAATGTCGGATACTGACTGCGCCATTTTTTCAACCTGTCCTTAATTGTGACATGTTGATTAATCAGTTTCTGTCTCTTCTCTTCTGTTTTTGCATGATAGGTCATGTTAATCGCAGGTTTGGTAATGTTGGATTGCAAGTCATTGTTGTCGTCATCAATTCCTAATGTTGGCGGAGTTGGCCCATAGATACCATCTAAACACTCCAAAAGAGCATCTGATTGTTCCCAATCAATCACAACTTCTACTTCAAATTCTGCAATTTGTTTACAATTTTGTTTTCCAAATAGTTCTATGAATTGTTGCAGTAAGAGACTTGGATTTTCGAGTTCTTCTTCCTCACTGTCAATCCTACTTTGAGTGTTGTCCTCAACTCCAAACGCCACATTTAAATAAACTCTCGGTAAATACATATTTTCCATTCTCTCATTGATACGATTGTTCGAATACATTTCCATTATATTTTCCTCAATTTCAGACGTCAATTTGCAGTCATCACCCAACAAATTCCAACCACCCGATAACATTCGGAATAAATTTCGACATGAATATTTGAGAGATTCAATTTCACTTGCTCCTGTAAAATAGCTCAACACCAACTCCAAAGTATCGAGATCCAAATCGCAGAGTTTAGATCTGGGAATAATTTTGTGTTGTTGAGTTTGTTGGACGTTATGGTGAATGGTGCTGAGAGGATCATCATCAATTACATGGTTGTTGTGTTCATGTTGAGACATTTTTTGTGAAGGAGAAGAATTCAAAATGTTGTTTACGGAATGTTATAAAATTTTTTTTCTCCACAATAAAAATTAGGATTAAATTGAATCTCAACAGAAAACTTTTTTCAATGCCTCAGCCTGTTAATTTGTAGTGACAAAGTTGATTTGTAGGTTTCAATTATTCTTCCCACAACTCCACGGTGACAACTTCAATAGAATCATCCTCTTCAAATTTACATCTCACATTGGCGTTATCGATTCTAAAACCATACAACTTGTCATCTCGTCTCTTTCTCATGTAGACTGGTCTTGGGTCGCTTTGTAGTACCTGAATGATTGCTTTTTTAAGTGCATCAAGATTATCATAAAAGCGTAGCTTGGGTAATAGTTGCTCTAGATCTGTTATTGCCTGTTGAGAAAATGAAATTTTGGATTCATCAATTTGTTGCACATATGTATCTTCTTGAATCCATTCTGGAACTGTGGTTTCAGTATTGGGCAAGCTATCATACCTTGAAATGTAGGGCTTAATATCAATGACAGGTGTACCATCTATAAGATCAGCACCACTCAGGTACACAAACTTGCCTTCAATTTTCTCAATTTTAGCCACACTGAGTCCAATACCGTTGGGTCTATGTGGAGATCGAGTGGCATAAATACCAACCTTTCCGTTGCCGTTCATTCTTGGAGGTCTAATTTTCACACGGTCATTGCTTTCCAACGAGTTCTCATGGAACACAAACATGAGCCAGCAATGGCTAAACTTTTCTAATCCGTCTAGTGCCAATTCTCCTTGAGGTATTGTTACTTCGAGTATTCCCTTACTTGCGTCGACTAAACCAAATTGTCGTGGACAGCCATTCTTTGTCGGAAAGACAGAGTGAAAAATTCCAATGGATTTCATGTTGAAGGAGTAAGTTTTTGTGTGACTGTCATAATTGGATATTACTTCATTGTGGAGACTTGATGCCGTTTCAGTATGGCTGGTGGTGCTGCTACCCGTTGTCACATTTTCTGTATGACTCACTACTGGTTCCTTAACTTTGGAAGAAATTGTTTTTCTATTTAGTTTTCCAGCATAATGAGAAGGAATATATCCAATATAAACTTTGGTCAACTCTTTTTCGTCGCTTGAAAGAGTTGCATTTGAATCCGATGTTTCATTTCCTGTGGAAAGCACGTCAGAAATTTGTCGTTTCACTCCCTTCTTTTTCTGCTGTTGTGAGAACCACAAAGAAGGAGCAACTACTACAAGACGCCATTCTCCCTTTTCCAATTCTTCAATTGAGAAAATTTTTGTTCCCTTATCTAACATTAACAATACATTATTGGAATCCTTGTTTTGATCTTCATAATTTTTATGTTCGTTCATTAAATTATTTTGGGCTGTTGTTGAAGATGACGTCTGCCGTTGAGATTGATGAAGAGAGCCAGCAGTAGTCGTATTCTCAGAATTGCTCGGAATAGTTCTATATAGCACACAAGATGGCTTTTGAATGACATGACTAGGCTCCAATTCTTTTTCGATGAATTTTTCAAACTCCGATACATCGTCAATGGTTTGAAATTCATATTTTCTAGTAGATGACTCATCCAACAACGGTATATCATTCTGCTGATTATTCCTTTCTATTTTGCTGTTGTTATATTCATATATAATTTTGAATAAATTCAAATTCGGAAAATATTGAACAATATTCATAGCTCCCTCGGATGATGGAGATGAACTCGGATTTGAAGAGCTACTCGTAGTATCTATCCTTGTTGTCGATGGTAAAGTACCCATCGTAGATGACATGATCTTATTGGAAGAAAAGGTTCGGACCAATCGAAAAAACAGCTTTGAAGACATTTTTTTCAATATTTCAATTCTTTTGTAAGTCGAGAGGAATTAATTCAAAGAACAACAGATTATGCGCATGATCATTGATCTATATTGGAGGGGCTTTGAAAAAAATCAAACAAAGAAACTATGTCAATACCTTCTTCAATGTTGAAATTGTTGTTAGAGATACCAACTCATCATGAATGGGAGACCATCATAGAAGTAACAATGACATCATTTGTTGCACTGATACATTCTCTATCTCTTTCGTCCATCTTAATTAGGTTTTTAACAAATAGAGCGAAAAATACTTGCAATCTAAATGAGGAAATTCCAAAAAAAGGTTATGTAGCTCTGCACAACATGACACAAACGAACACTTAAAATTTATCTCTCGTCTTTCTTCCTCTTGTCCACCGACGTTATGCAGTGCAACTTTACCTTTAAGGGAGGGAGATGAAGCTTCTACAATTGCACCTCTCACCAACACTATCAGAAAAACTGATACTGGAATTAAAATTCCTTAAAGGTCACTTCATTCGGGCTTTAAATATTCAACACGTTGTGATAAGAGCTTATTGGTATTCCATATATTGTCATTTGCTACCAATCACCCATCCCAGAACAACTGTCAAGAAAAATGTCTTTATGTTTGTTTACGACAAGCAGAGCTCTATTTCGATTCTCTCTTTCAACTCAATCTTCTTTATGATTATTCTCTCCTCTCTTTGGTTCTTTTCCAACAACAACTATTGGTGGGTTCATGCTCAAAGTTTCTCTTGCGAAATGACCCAAACACAAGATTTCTCAAAACCATGTTTCTCGATGCGAGTGGGAAGTTCTCGTGCATCTTATTCCAACCTAACTTTGATTGGATATGATTTGTTTTCATGATCCTTCGCCTGACTATTTGTGTCAGACACCACCTTCCACTGAGATGACATCCACACTGTCAGCTGTCACATGTGGAAACTTTCTCAATGACACTTGGGTGTCTTTGGAAGCGAATGAATTGTTACAACTTTCCTCTCACTTGTCGAATATGTATTTTTCAATTCAGAAAAGAATGACAGTGTGGCAGATGTCAAAGGAAGAACCCTTTTACTCTCGAAAGATTACTCTATGCATGGGTTTCTGATTTTAAATTGCATTCAAATATCCTATTGTCAGCAGTGACTGTCTCGACAAGAATTGCAAATTACCCTTCGATTGCTTTCATCTCACAAAGTGCTACCGCAATTTTTCTCTTTGTTTCTTCTCTTCATGTCCTCTTTTGTTGGATTGATGTCATTTATATTGTCATGAAAAATAGAACCAAGTCCTCTCCAATCATTGTGTAAGTACTTGTAATTAATCTTTCAAATTCAAATTGAATTAATTCAACTAAAACAAATTCCAAACAACAGAGCATGCAGTCACACGGTGTGTGGTGTTATATTGCTCCTTCTATTGATCTATGTGATGTTGAACATCTTATCCATGGTCATAGGTAATAATGATATGGGCAAGATGATTGTTATATTTTTTTCAATAATGTCTCTTTTTGTAGTATTTACTTGGTGGATTGTGTTGCTAGTTGCAGCGTTTATCTTACTCAAAAGATTATCAAAAACTCACAAAGTTCGAATATTTGATTATAAATTTACGAAATTTGTGATTTACGAAAGCGTTTGTTTGTGTCCCATAGTGTTAGAATATTAATTTGCAGTGGTGATGTTTTAATCCATGTGGTCCTTTTTTGTTTTGGGAATTCAAGGATTGGTGGCGATGATGATGGTCGTCGTTGTCATTATCAGCAGTTGTGCTATTATTCATGTATTGATGATACGAAACTGAAGAATGTTGAAATGGGGATGATGATTCCATCTTGAACCCAATAATGGGATCATTGAAATTTTGATGGTCGGAATAATAGACCGAGGAGGAGGAGGAGGAGGTCTGTAGTAGTGGCAGTAGTAGTAGTAGTGGTGGTGGTGAAGTATGGTGAGGATGATGATCATTCATCGCGTGTTTCATTGCCAGAGATGAAACTCTCAGCCTGTTCTTGTTGTTCTTGTGAACCAAGTCGCGCGTGTGATTGTGAGGATTGCCTCTCTCTTTTTTTGTTGTTGTGAAAAATCTCTTCGTTTAAAACCGTATAAACATCTATTGGAAGGGTTGTGAAAAATCTCTTCGTGTGATCAATGATTGGCTCGGAGCGGGAGGACATCAACATTAAGAATGGAACACACGGAGTACTCGAGTTGTTGTTGTTGTTGTTGTTGCTTTGAGGGAAGTTCCTGATCTTGAAGAAAAAATCTTTTTGAAAAAGAACTGACGGTTCGACGAATTCAATGGAATTAGATCATCCACAGACAACAACATCCTATTAGACATAGCCATAGACGAATTGGGTATCTTTTAAGGTAATTTTCGTGCATTGATCAACACGAAGATGTTGGGAAAGAGGCAAGTATACTTGCCTAGAACACTCTCTTTTTTAATAAAGGATCATTGAATGCAATAACAACCAACAAGAAGCGTGTGTATGAATCACACGATTTCAACAACGTGTGTGTGTTGTGTGAAACATTTTTTATAAGTTGGATCAACAACAACATATGTGTGTGTGAAAATAACGTTTTTGCTATACAATCAAGAATGATTCTGAATAATTTACAAAACCATACATTTGCCACTTCCAGAGCTTTGTTTCTTTCCACCCTTCTTTTCTTCTTGTGGTGGTTCCAAAACGACAGCAATACACTTGTTGAAAATATCACGCAATCCATCTTGAGTTCTTGCAGAGCATTCACCAAAATCAGCAGCACCAACATCTTGTTTCATTTGTTCACCTTCCTTATAGGTAATTGGTTTTTGATCCTTCTCTTCGAGAATCTTAATAAATTCTGGATCATCACGGAGATCTTTCTTTGTACCAACGAGAACGATTGGTGTATCTGGGCAGTGGTGTCTCACTTCTGGAACCCATTTGCTCTTAATGTTTTCCAATGAACTTGGGTTAACAATTGAATAACTGTTTTTTCAATTCATGAGTGTTGTGACAAGTAAATGACAAGTGACACATTTTGGAAAGTATTGTTAACATTAACAACAATCGTCATCTCATTCAACCACAACTTACCAAGCCAAGAATACATTAGTATCAGGATAGGAAAGAGGTCTCAAACGGTCATAGCTATTCATAGTAAGTCATCATCAAATGACAGAAACACACAAGTTGTCATCAAAAAGGTTCACAAATGTTTCGTTTCTAACAACAACAACAATAAACTCCATTACTTACTCTTCTTGACCAGCTGTATCCCACAATCCCAATGAAACGTTAATTTCCTTATATTTGACGTTGGCATTGTAGTTATCGAAAACAGTTGGAACGTAATCCTCTGGGAAAGTCTATTGTGATCAATGACAGTTGAAAGGAATGAATTGGAGATTCAGTTATGCGTGTTCGTTGAAGAGAGGATGGAGAAATTTGGATAGTTTGTTATTGGAAGAGGAGGAGAAGGACAAGTGTATGATTGTTGTTGTTGTTATTATTGTTGACATTCGATGAATCCATCATCATCATCAGATGACACATATTTTTATCATCATCGGGAGAAGATTCAACACCCCCAACGAATCACAAGTGAATGGACATTATGTGAATAATCATAGATATTACGAGAGAGTTTTCAAAAGTGTCAAAAGTCATCATCATACCCACGACCATAGCAAACCATCATCATCACGAAAATGAAAAATATTTCGTTTGAATGTCTGATTGACAACAATAATACACTTACATTTGAAGCAAATGAAATCAACAAACAAGTCTTTCCTACAGCACCGTCACCAACGACCACACATTTAATTGATTCATCCATTGTTATTGTTGTTGTTTTTGTTTATCTGTTGAAGAGGATTCGAACCAGAGAAGGAACATGAGAGATAGAAAAAGTTGAGAGCACCCCACAGTGAGAGCGTTACTTACAGGTTGGTTGTGTTTGTATTTTTTTGATGGCTGACATGGATGACCATTTTGTTTGTTTATCTGTATGTGACAGGTTAGATGCGAGAGACTTGTCTTTGGGTTACAAAGGAACAGAGTACTCGTTAGAGTTCCTTTTTCAAGATAATTTCATTACCCACGCCTGGATCAACAACCACAGAGTCAATGTTCAATAAGAAGTAATGAGCAACGGTGAGTTGAAACGATTGGATGTGAAGGACACCAATAACAAACATTAATTTCCACTTCATTTCCAATGACAAGACGAGCCAAATGTTTCTCAAATTTGGAATAATCTTGCTGGTTTGAAATACAGATGTTCAATTCAGAGGAATTTTCCAACCATTAGGGGAACTCTGAACTCTGTTTGCTTTTCAATTATTTCCTCACTACGGAATTGCAGTGTCTTTCCATTCATCTTTTCCTTAGGAACAAAGGAGCCTATTAAAGTGTTTGATTCAAGAGAATAACCAACTTGGTCACCTCTAGGACATCAATACCATCATCCTTCATTAAATGTTCCTTACGAGAAATGCATTATAAATCCATGAGAATAGGTTTAATATATTAAAAGTCTCAGAGCTTGGAAGAATTAAGAGTACTATTGCCTAAATCTCACACGATGGCACACTCGATCTTACAGCTCCTGAGCGGATGAGCTTTAATCAAACCAATTTTCTTCTCCAGTCATCCATCACATGAAAAATTCATGTTTCTACCTTCTTGTAAAATGTGAAAAAGACATGTCTTTTCAGGGCTGAACAATCGTTGTTCTCAGAGTGAGGATTTGTTTTTAAGGTACTTTGTTCTCTTCTCTCCCAGAAACGGAAGATGAATCATCTCACTCTGGATCAATGAAAGATGTTCATGCTGAACTTGTTTCATCTCAATCACGGAGAATGCAATAAACACCCATATTGAATGTCTCCATCCTTCCTTTGCTTTTGATGTCTTGCTCTTTCCGAAATGCTTATTCCGACACGATCGGAATTCACTGCTGTCGGAATTCAAAATGTTCATTCCGAATATGGAATCCCACTAATTTTAGAATATAAATACAAGAAACTCCTCCAAAGCATGTTCACAACAACAATTTCAAAATCAAAACAAAATTTCCAACTCCTCTCTCTAACTGCAATTACTGTATAAACACAACAAGAACAACAACCATACTTGTTCCCTTAATCCTTTCATAACAATCACACCAATCACACCATAAAATCTCTCGATTGATTATTCATCACAATATATATATATATTTATACATAAACAACAACCATGTCCTCTGTATTCGACGGTGCCATTGGTATTGATTTAGGAACCACTTACAGCTGTGTCGGTGTCTACATGGGCGACAATGTTGAAATCATTCCCAACGATCAAGGTAATCGAACCACTCCATCCTATGTGGCCTTTACCGATCAGGAACGTTTAATTGGAGACTCTGCCAAGAATCAAGTGGCCATGAATCCTCACAATACAGTATTCGATGCCAAACGATTGATTGGACGAAAATACAGTGATCCAAGTGTTCAGGCAGATATGAAGCATTGGCCATTCAAAGTCATTACAAAGGGAGATGATAAACCACTCATTCAAGTAGAATACAAGGGAGAAACTCATGTGTTCACACCTGAACAAATCTCGAGTATGGTTCTCACCAAAATGAAGGAAATTTCAGAAGCCTATTTAGGTAAAAAGGTCAAAAAAGCAGTCATTACCGTTCCTGCCTATTTCAATGATTCACAAAGACAAGCCACAAAAGATGCAGGTACTATTGCTGGTTTGGAAGTGTTGAGAATCATCAATGAACCCACAGCAGCTGCCATTGCTTATGGTTTAAACAAGAAAGGTGAAAGAAATGTTCTCATTTTCGATTTGGGAGGTGGAACCTTTGATGTCTCCATTCTGAACATTGAAGAAGGAGTTTTCGAAGTCAAAGCCACTGCTGGAGACACTCACTTGGGAGGTGAAGATTTCGATAACAGAATGGTCGAATATTGCTGTCAGGAATTTAAGAGAAAGTACAAGAAGGATATTCATGACAATCCACGAGCTTTGAGAAGATTGAGAACTGCCTGTGAGAGAGCAAAGAGAAATTTATCAAGTGCTGCCAATGCGACGGTTTCTGTCGATTCCATTATGGATGGCATTGATTTGGACATTCCAATGACAAGAGCCAAATTCGAACAATTGAATATGGATCTCTTTAAACATTGCTTCGAACCAGTGAGAAAGGTTTTGCAAGATTCTGGATTGGACAAGTCACAAATTGATGACGTGGTTCTCGTGGGAGGTTCCACTCGAATTCCAAAGGTTCAAGATATGCTTAAAGAATTCTTTAATGGAAAGGAATTGTGTAAGAGCATCAATCCAGATGAAGCTGTGGCTTATGGAGCTGCTGTTCAAGCAGGTGTTTTGACTGGAAAGGAGACAAGAGTCTTGTTGATTGATGTCACTCCTCTCTCACTCGGTATTGAAACTGCTGGTGGAGTCATGACCAAGTTGATTGAGAGAAACACTACTATTCCTTGTAAGAAATCAGAAACTTTCACGACCTATGCTGATAATCAAACAGCTGTCACTATTCAAGTCTATGAAGGTGAGAGAACCTTGACCAAGGACAATCACTTGTTGGGAAGATTTAATTTGGAAGGAATTCCACCTGCTCCAAGAGGTGTTCCAAAAATTGAAGTCACCTTTGAAATTGATGCAAATGGTATCATGAAGGTCTCTGCCAAAGATGAATCCTCTGGAAAGACTGAGAATATTACCATTACCAATGACAAGGGTCGATTGAGTAAGGAAGAAATTGAAGAAATGCTCAAGAAGGCGAAAGAAATGGAAAAGGAAGATCAACTTGTGAAGGAGAAGATTGAAGCAAAGAATCAACTCGAGTCGTATGCTTATCATTTGAAATCATCAATCGACGATCCTAATGTGAGTTCTAAATTGTCTGCCACTGATAAGGATACAGTGATGAAGGCTTGTGATGAAGTGACTCACTGGATTGACAACAATCCAAATGCCACCAAGGATGAATTTGAGAGAAGAAGAAAGGATTTGGAACACACTTGTGCTCCAATCATGACAAAGTTGTATCAAGCAGGAGCTGGTCAACCAGCAAGTGAGCCACATTTCAAGCCCTCTTCAACAGCAGGAACATCCTCTCAACAAACCTCTCAACCAAAATTCGAAGATGTCGACATTGATTAATAAATAACAACATTTAAAGTGACAAGAGCAGATTAATGCTTTCAGTGTGCAAGCATGAAAAAGCCATCCTTTAGGAGGACAATAAAACAACACATTTAAAAAGATAAATATCATCAAATTTATTTAGTTCTTTCTTGGTTCAACTTTCATGGACAAGTTCCACAATTCCTTATCATCACAGTTAAGGTTGTGGAAAATATCTTCCTTGAGAATGTATTCCAAATATGGAATAAGTTTGAATGGATAGTGAAGAGTTGTCTTTAAATCTTGAACAGTTCGGATGGTCTTGTAATAAGTACGTCTCTTCTTAAAGTTGATTAATTTCTTATCAGGATTGGAAACATGATCAAGCAAGTCTTGATTACCATCCTTAGTAAATGTCACGTCTGTTAAAAATACACCAGTGAATGGAATACAAGGCGATCGATCAATACTCAACGACTCTAATCGTTTTCTCATTTGAGAAAAATTATTGGTAAAGAGATTGTTGCATTCTTCAATGAGTTGCAAATCATCCTTGCTAATACCTTCTTTTGCAGCTTTCAATCTTGAAATTGGGGCAGAGTTGAGACCAGATGAAATGGCCATGATTGATGTAAAATTATTCATTTGCAACAATTCTCTCATAATATCCAAGAATTTCTTATAGACCTTCTTTCTATTGTCAGGATTGACTTCCGCAAGTATACGGCCTCTTACCCAGTATGAAACATTGTTTGTACGATCAGTAATGGCGCAAAGTGTTGGAGCAAGTTCATACTTGTACTCCTTATCAGCCCATGCATTGTCGAAGAACTCTTTGGCTTCAATTTTCATGAATAGTTTGGCATCAATTAAAGTCAATTGTCTTGCAATTTCTACAGCTGGCCATTGAAGTAAATCGAATGAACGGTCGAATGGATTCTTGTAATTCTTTCTTTGTGACTTTTTGATTCTCCATTCTTTGATGTCAACGATTGGAGTTTCAAGCTCTTCGAATAAAACTCCCTTTGGAAGTTGAGGAATACAATCTTGAACACCTTTTTGCTTGATTGTTTCTTGTTTAAAGTTCAATAAGTTCTTGATTGCATATCGACGAATCTTCTTTTTGGTGTTGCTCTTGAGCTCTCTGTCATTGTCAATGAGGAATCTGATCAATTCAGCAATGACAAGATTGTCGAATTCATGGAAACTGTCACGAATCCAGTCACAAAGGAATTGCTCAACACGGATACGAATAATGTTCTGATTAGGATTGGGTGTTTGATAGAGAGTTGACAAAATCTTCAAAAGTTGGTGAGGTGTGGTGAATGAGCCATATGTGATTTGGAAGATGTGTTTGAATTTACCGTGCTCTTCAGTGTCACCATTAGCGATATTAATTTCAAGCATTCTTTCGACAAGCTTGTTAAATGTAGCTGCACGGATGGTACCATCTTCATCCAAAATGACATCTCCATCTTCTTCTGGAGGTTGTAGATTTTCGGATGCATGCTTTTCTTGGAGCATCTTTTCGTAAGGTCTCAACAAGAGTTCCAAAGAAGCTCGTACCACATCGTGCACTTGATCTGCATATTTTGGATTGAAACTCCAGTGAATAATCACGGAACCTAGTAACCAACGCCATTTTTGTTCGACGTGCTTCTTCTGTACAGGGGGCACTCGTTCCTTCTTTGGAATGGAATCATCGTAAAGCTCTTTGACAATTAATTGGTCATTCAAATCTCTTACAAGTGGCAAAATACATTGCCTAAAAACAAGATGACATAATTGAGAATCAGATTTCAAAGTAAGTTGTAACACCAAGTTCATAATCAAGTGAGAAACTCGTCTGAACAAAAGAGCCACAGTATGGGGTTGTCCTTTGACATTTTTAGCCTCAAAAAGATCCGCAATTTGTTGTTGACGTTGAAGAAGAATGTCAGTAATTTGAATATTCTCTAACATTTGAATGTTTTCATCTTGGGTACGTAGTTCGTGTACAATCTCGTCGAACAATGCTCGATTCGTGAGAAGTGAGGAAACCAAATAGCTGACAATGCAGCCCACTTCACAACGAAGAACGGCATCGTCACCCATTTTACCAGAGAAATCCAAGTTGTTGAAGCTCACAGTTACTTGTTCCAAGAATGTAATAAGGTTAAGCATGACATAGAATGGTCTAGTCTTCCACCAACACACATGTTTGTCCTTTGAAAGACCTCTCAAAATCCATAATATGCATGACGAAACCACAACATAAATCTCGTCATTTCTAAATCTTGTCAAGTTTTCATCGTTTTCAAGGAATCGATCGACGAATTCGAGATACAATTCTGCTACAGTGGCACGTCTCGAATCTTCTTGGTATCTACTGTCATAATCAAGTTTACAGAAATGGTCTAAAATAATCTTGGACATTTTGATGAGGAGTTTGTCATTACCACTCTTTACAACATCAAAGAATAAGTCAATCAAAAGGGATGAAAGAGTGACCATTTTGTGATCCGTCACAGGAGTTGCATTAAGTTCTTCCATTAACTGATCCGTCTGATTTGCTGATTCAGACTGAGCCTTGTAATACAAACGCAATAGATGAAGATTTAAAGGTATGTAGTAATCATAGTCGGTCAAAATTGCAACAAATTCTACTTTGAGTCTTAACTTTCTTTCATCAATGCCATCTAAGCTTGAGAAATAACGTTCGATTAAATGCTCAACATAGTGAAGCTTGTTTGGTATGAATGGAATGATATCTCTCAAGAAGAGAGCCAAGTTTCTGTTACCTCCAATACCAATATTTTGTCTTCCGTGACCACTGGCCAGTAAGAGCTTGTAAATACGAACGACCATGTTGTCGACAAGTTGACGTAATCGATTCAAAATGTGTCTATCCGAAATTGGATAATCTACTTCATGCTCGTCATGTGAAGAATTTCGCTTCTTCTTTGGTTGTTGATCTTGATGTTTTTGTTTCTCATGGAAGAATATGGTCATGGACTTGATAATCGCATCAAAAATAAACCATGAGAATCGAATTGGATCATGTTCAGATAATTGATTTCTCTTTTGTTCAAGTTGTTGCTTGACATCTTCTGTGTCTTTCTTTTGACGAGATTTCTTAACAAGGTTGGTCAAATCGAGAAGATAATCAGATCCTTTAGCTGGAGCCATCTTATCAGATTCAGGTACTTCGAGATATTCTGCCATGAGACGCAACAAAACGCTGAATAATGGATATTTAGCACCGCGAGGTTCTGTCAAAATATACTTGATATAACTTGTGAAGAACACGTTCAGTCTTGAGTGGGATTCAGTCTCATTATTGGACTCACTCAGATAATGGTAGCAACCACGTAAGCAAACCAAAATTTGTTCAAATGATGCAATCTCAACTTTTTCAATCACATATGTGGCAGCACTGGATTGAAGCATGGTTGAAACACGTCCCAACAGACCAAACAGTAAATTGAGAACCACAGGCAAATGTGGCATGAATATCTTGAAATCAATCTTGTTGAATTGTGGGAACACATAATCACACAAGAAGGTGAGTACCTGAGGCTTTTGATAATCAGGAACGTTATTCAAATCATGCATGGTGGAGAAGAACAAATTGAGAATATCATCCGCTGGGTCGACCGATGATACGAGTTGAGCTCTCAATCTCAATTTACCGATTTTTAGGTTTTTAAGTTTCTCTTCAGAATCCTTCATATAGTTTGCAGGAAGTTCCTTATAGATTGGAATTTCATCTGGGAATACATGTTTTCGGAATTGGGCAAACAATGAATAACTGTCGTTTTCAAACTTCTTTGGTTCGTTGAGTTCCATGAACGAGTAGCCAATGATCGCTCTATGAGAAGTTCCGAAATCTTCCTTTCTGATGTCGTTCGCTCCACTCACATAGGAAAGCTTTTTCGACTTCTTATTGTCAATATCCAAGTGATAGAATACAAGAAGTACGTGCTGATCTCTCTTTGGCTCGCAAGGGAGATCAATCTTGAATTCGTCATAAAAGTGTGGTTGTTTTTCTTCATCATACGAGACGCAAGAGAAATCAAATTTGGCTCCCTGTCTGCTGAATCTAGTCATGATTCTTGGTTCTGCATTAACAGAACCAGTGGTTTCATTGACAACTTCATTATCTGACTCTCGGTATAAAATTTCACAGAAAATATTCTTAGCACCAGTTGATTTCTCAAATTGAGCCACAATTGGATAGAAAAATAGGTGATTGAGTATCTCTAAATTTGGATACTTTGTGAGTTGAACAGGCAGCTCTTGAATTCGAATGTAGTCAGAGTCTGGAAGTGATTCATCATCTCTTTCAGGTTCACTCTTTGCAGGGCTATTAGGAATAAGTTCTCCCCTTCCAATTTCATTCAACAGACGTTCCTTAAGAAGTGAATTCGAAGGAGACAAAGGTGAAGGAGTTGAGTTGGAAAGAGAAGATCCAAAGCCTCCATTGAAAGTGATGTGGACGTTCGACGTTCCATCATCCAATTGATTTTCTGTACTTTGGGGGCTAGAAATGTATGATTGGTTTGAGCCAGATCCAACAATTTGGTGCACGTTGTTGAGAATACTGTGCTCACTTGAACGAGTTTTGTGAAAATATTTCTTCGTGCTGTTTGAGAGAGGTCTATAAATTTCTGCTCTAAATAAGAATCCTCCGTCTACTTGAGTTATGTTCTTTAGCTTCTTTTCTTTTTGAATGGTTTTAATGACTGATATCACGTCGAAATTGTTCTTATAATCATAACCTTCAATGGAGTACATGGGTTTCACTTCGAACTTGGTCGACATTAAATGAATCACATTTCCTCGTTTGCTAAACAGAGGCATGTAACCAAACATGATTGCTTGTCTGAAATGAGCTACTTGTTGCTTCAATTCAACATATTGTTTCTCCAAATCATTAATTTCACTGTGCTTTGAATCTTTCTTGTACAACTTTAGTGCATCCTTGACACCTGATGTTGGGAGTCTATAAACTTGAATAACGAGATAAATTTGATCATTTGGGTAGGTGACACTGAAAAGACATTTCTGTTCAACAGTGACTGTTGGGGTTGAGCTCTCACCTCCTCTTGGTGTAAGTACTTTTTCTTGAGCCGTTGGTGAAGAAATTGGAGTGATTGTTTGGAGGTAATTCTGTACCCAAGGGGAAAGAGTTTCTAATTGTTCAGGTGCTACAAAGTGGAAATGGAAATCCTCACTAACTTTTGCTCCTCTCTCTAAATCATAAAGAGCAATAGAGTAATAATTAATTTCATTAGTGGGGCGTTCAAATTTTGGTGATGAATAAAATGATATCACCATTTGTGTTCTCTTTTTCATTGGATATGTCAACCCAGCTTGATTCTGAGGTTGACGGAAACACATTGATGTTTCTAACGGTCTGTATTTGAAATTAGGCTTCAGACAGCTCATAAGTCTTGCAGTGGATGACGGTAAAACTTCATTGTCATTAATTTGAAGCGCTCCCGTTTCTGGATTGAACACAGATGGTTGTTCTTCACTTGTTGGTGATCCCAACAGAAGTGATCTTTTCTTAATGAGTGGGGGCTTTTCGAATGTAGAATCTGCAGAAATGAAATCAAATTGCTTCACACGTCTCTTGGCGCTGCAATGTTTTGCAAATTCAACCAAGCTTAACTTTTTCAAATATTGCTCTTCTGGATCGACCTCTTCTTGTACCTGATAAGAATCAAGTGTTGTTTGTTGATTTGAAGAAGGTGTACCTGAAGATGGAGTTTGATTTTGGTTATTTGCATCACTGTTGGTAGTGTCGCTTTGATTTTCTTGATTACCTGTGACAGCCATCTCAAGGAAATCATATCCATCCAACAGCATTTTACCATCACCAATTTTTGGTGCTGTTCCTCTGTGTGAATCAAGTTGTCCTGAGGATGGCACGGTCGAATGAACCTTGTTTAATTTCAAAGTAAAGAGACTTCCTTTTCTCTTTCCGTCAAGGCCTTCGTCATTCTTTATATTTCTCAATGAGCCTTTCAGTGGTGACAATGTAGGATGAGCCTCCGAAAGATCTTCGTGTGAAGAGTCAACATTTCCAACAGTGGTTTCATCATGCAAAACAGCTTGTGAATGAGTTGAATTGCTGACTTGTATTTGATCCTTTCCTAGTTGGCTATTTGTTGCCATTGTATCCAAAGTGTAGAGGGCTTTAAAGAAAGAATCAACAATACTCTTTCCAGTATTTTGATTTTGCGATGAAGTGTTTGGTTGTGACAATGTCAAACTCAATAAATTATTGGAAGATAAATTTGAGACACTCTCTTGTTGATGAGTGCCACCAGAATGATGATCTCCAAGAGGTTTAAATTGTACGGCTCTGTACACAAAGGAATCCTCTCTCTCGAGAACAGTAAAAGGTTCAAAGCTCATACGATGGCACTCTTGCAAATGTGGATATTTGGAGTGTTCCAATTCAGGAATATTGACAACAGGATGTGTGGCAGGAGGAAGAGGATGGAAAACAGGTTTTGGCTCAGGGTGAACATTTAAACGTTCCTCAACTTTCATCCACAGAGGTAAATGTTGATCATCCATATGAAGAAGAAGATCATTTGGATCATATGCTGAGAAGGCAACGTGGGTCTTTTCATGAGTGTTATTGTTACTGTTGTTGTAGGGATCATGATGAGTGGAATGTCCTGCCTCTTGTTGGTGAGTGGAGGAGTCTGTGGTGGTTGTAGAGGCTCCCAAAGATGACTCTTCTGATCTCTCCTCATCCGTACTCGCCATCGTTGTTATGGATGTTGTATTCATTGTTGCCGTGTTGATGGATGATGTTGAAGAGTGTTGTTCTTGATGATGTTGGTCCTCCTCTCGAAGTACAACGACGGTACCACTAGTCTCAGTCTCATATGATGATGGTGGTACATCGTTATTGTTATTATAAACATTATTGTTATTCGATGATGATTGAGAAGTAGTAAAAGACGACGATGTAACTACCACCGATCCAAACACAATATCATCACTTGTGGTACTGGCTGCTGTCGTGGGTGTTGTGTTTGAGAGGGTCAAATGACCAGGATCCTTATTCTGTGAGGGTAATCGTTGCAAAGTATTCGATCCAGTTGGAGTTACAGGTGTATTCAAATCAATAATAATAGTCGTAAACAATGAATGGTTCTTCTCTCGTCGATGATTCTCGGCAACTGCTGAACCAATCATCACAGCATTATCCTCCTCATGAACAGGAACCGTCTCACAGACAAAGGCAGAGGTGATCGTGGAATCACCACTTTCTATTTTGGGTAAATGTCCAATCACTGGTGTTGTTGTTGTCGTTGCTGCTGCTGTCATGGATAATCTTGGTGAAGAAGATGCAGAAGTAGTAGTCGAAGTAGTAGCTAATGTTTCATTTGAGTGGATGTTATTGTTGTCAATGTTGTTGATAATATTTTGATGGCTGTTATGGACATCAGTAGTGGAAGAATTTAAAGAGGATATGGACGACGAATTTTCGTCAACATTGATGTTTGTTGTTGTTGTACTGTCGAGTTGTGGAGAAGGAGCCACAGAAGTGGTGGTTGTCGTGATTAGGGTGGAATCGCCACTAGTTGTGGGACCACCGAGACTTGGATTCGATTCTGTCGTCATCATCAACGATTCGTCTTGTTGCTCTTTTGATGAAGAATACGAGTTGTTTCCATCACTCATGCCGTCATTCATGTTGTTGGGATGAGATGCTGACATTTTTTTTAAAGGAATGGGCTGCTCAAATTTGGTGCAGTTTGAGTGTTGAAAGACAGGAGGTGAGTGTAATGTGACTGAATTGTTTGATGTTTTTGATGGCTAGTAGGTCTCTTGGGTGTTGATCTTCAATATTGAATAGGTGATCCTGATCCAAGACCAATCAAGAACTTGGAGATGACGAATTTTATGGTTATGAACAACGATTCGTATATGAACAACGAAAGACAGAGATGACGACGCCGGGACGATGATGAGAAAGACGAGGGAAACAGAAGCCAATTCGGAGGCTGAAGCAATGCTCGTCAAAGCAATTTTTAAAAAGCTGTTTCCTCTGACATGTGGCAGGACAGGTACATCTTTGGAAGTTAACAATCTACGAAAGAGAGTAATTGATATCTGTTCTTGTACACAATGAAAATGACAAAGATGACAAACCATCCAACTACAATTCTTATGATTTAATAAATGAACATGATCCCTGTCTCAAAAACAAGTGACACCGACCTTTGAATCGAACAGCAAATTGCCATCTCCTTCGAAGCTCTCACATTTCTCGTTCCAAATCAAGTCAACGGAAGAAATTTGTTTTCACATGACGGAAAAATGTTTTCTGACAGCTACCGCCTTTCATGCGGAAGGTCTTTCTCGCGTCGACCCTTCTTTTGTCAAAACCAGAGTCAGTGGTTGAATATCAACAACAACAACAACAAATTGTTCTCCTCTACCTTCTTCCTCTTGATCATGATTACTTGGTGTTTTTGGTTTTTGATACTTTCAACAGAGATTCAGTTTGTGTATTCCTCTAACTCTTCCACTTGTGTGAATTTTCTTTGAAACTCATTCCTTCCTGATTTGGCACCCACTCTGAAAAATCCACTTCGAGGATTTGCGAGCTATGAAGATGCCTATGCAACGAATACATTTCCCCAATCATTGGAATATAGATATTTTCCATTGAATGCCTTGATGAATTCAATGAATAATTTCACATTTTCAAATTCAGCAAATAACAATAGAGATAATTTAGAAAAATATTTAAATGATGTGAAAAAGAGAAAAAGACAAGCCATTTTGAGAGTTTATTTGGATTATCCAAATTGTTGTCCAGATGGAACGTATAACACTGGAGTTCCTTCGTTTTTATTTCAAGGTCAAAATTCTGTCACATTAACACCCTATTCTCAATATGGAGGAGGTCAATCACCAGATTATTCCAACGAAAGATTAGTGACAGCTCTCGAAGTGTTTATCCAAAAATTAGGTCAACAGTACGATGGAGATTCAAGAATTGCATTCATTCAAGTTGGACTATTAGGATATTGGGGAGAATGGCACACCTATCCAAATACCAATCAGATGGCTCCTCTTTCGACACGATGGAGAGTTCTCACTGCTTTTTATAATGCATTTAACGTGACCAAATTATTGGTGTCACAAGATTCGATGCAATACTTGTCCTCCTTTAGGGAGTGGATCTACGAATAATTTATGTGATGTTTCTGTGACTTCTCCTCCATATCCAACTGTTGCATTTCCATCGATTGGATTCCATGACGATGCATTTACCGACGCTACCTACAGTTCAACCAGTCCTCAAGATTACTTCTTTTACAATCGATTACAATCGAGAATTCCAGACTTGAACAAATTTTTGACACAAGATCCCACAAATGGAAAAGTTGGAGCAGTCATTGGCGGAGAGTTGTATCCAAACAATCAAGCGAGTATTTTCAAATCAACTTGGACAGGACAAGATTTTAAGGAGTGTGTTCAGAGGACCAATTGTACATGGCTTTTGAATGATTATGTTTTTTCAACACTCAAGAAAACAAATGTCGATGAATATTAACGCGCTTTGAATGCTTCCGTGTTGTTGGGTTATGCCTTTACTGTGAATGATGTTTCATTGTGTAATGAAACATCAACTTCTGTGAATTTGAAAGTGACTTTACAGAATATTGGAAGTGTTCCGTTTCCTTATCCAAACATTACACTTTTGGTTTCACTGAGAAATGGAACTTTGACAAGTGACACCATATTGGCTTCTCAGAGTGTGAATATCGTTGGGGTGACTCCAAGCAATGGCGCTCAAACATTTTCATTGAATTTCAAATGGTCTGCATCGTATGGAGTGAAATATTCACCTCAAGTACTATTGAGCCTTCAAAGTAAGCATGTCCCATCAGAAATTCCAATTTCTTTTGCTGTGAAGGGAGCTCCCACCGATGGCTCTCCATTCCTTGCATTGGAAAATCAAGTACAAGTCTCCTCAAACACTCCAGAGCCATCCACGAGCTCTACTCAGCCAAAGACCTCTCCTAAGGTTTCTCCAAAGACTTCTCCAAAATCTTCAAGAGGATTCAATAATGGACAGGCATCGCTTGCGATGAGTGTGTTTGGTCCACACAAAGAGAATTGGATTGTGGATGCACTGTGTGCCATGCTCTTCATGTTCCTAGTTCGGCTGGTATGAAAAAGGTTCAGTTGCGAAATGAATTTGGTTTTGCCAATCCAGCAGCGTTCACAAAGCATTTTTTAGAACCAACTTTATTATATTTCAATTCAGTTGTTTATAAATTGTAACTTGTGCTCCAAAACTTTATAAAGGCTTCTAAAATCAACAGATCTCTTCAGTATTCCCATTTCTGGTGCTTCTTTCGAACAGTAATACAAGTTCAGTTTGAAAGGACAGTGGATGCAAAGGACGGTTGTGAAGACATCCTTTGATACCACACTCAAGAGTTGGAGGCATTAAGAAGACAATTCTAAACGGGTGGTGTTGTTGTCGTCATGGGACATGTGTTTCACTCTGTTATTCAGATGCTAGGTGGTAAGGCATTGTTTTGAGGAGATTTGAGATTCAATAAGGTGAGCAACTTTCAGTGGTAAGGTTAGTTGATTTGTGAAAAAATTCACAAATACTGTTGACCTTGCTCTTTATTCAACAACATTTCAGCCTCTTGGCAAAATTTTGTTCCCACTTGCATCATTTCTACAATGTGCGCTTGTTTTAACTGGAAGGACGCTTCAGAGTAGAGTCTTGATAATTCGCCCATGATATCATCCTTAATAATGCGAAGAATGGTAATTTTGTTTTTTCTAATTTCGTCCAGTAAGTCACTGATATTGATGGTTGGAATACTGGGACTCTAATATATTGATATTTTTTGACCAATTTGTCAAGATATATCTGGAAAAGCACTTTCAGTTCTGGAGTGAATGGGAGTATTTGTGTTTCATCTCTCGAATACATTGAAAATATCAAACAAAATATTTTGGATTGAGTAAGGGGAACATATGATTCGTCAAACTTGAGGCTTTCAAAATATTGTTCAACCTTATCCGAATTGACATCATAACAATCTATACGTTTGAGGTTTGTTAAAGTTGTTGCAACATCGCATGTTCCCTTTTCAATAGAAGCTAATAACAACCATACATTCAAATGCACTGAGCGGTTTTCAATCTTACTCCTGAGCAAAAAAAGAACCCTTATTAAATGTTTCCAACACGATTCATTTCCTTCTTTTCGCGCAACGTGTGAAGATCTTAGCTAAACCCTAAAGGTGGATATACGGAATTTCCTTGAAATTAAATAACCTCCGTTGGGTGAATTTGGATCTTTTGTTTTCAGGCTCGCCACAAGCCAGTGCTCACCTTTGTCTCCAATTTGAACTGGATTTATGTATTTCCTGTTTTCGACAATTACTTCAGAAAAACAGTCTTCACTATTATTCTCACTTTGTGTTTCATCAACATCCAGTCTTGGCAACGAACATAGAAGATATTTTTCGTTGGGTCGTTCCGAATGCACCATTTCAATATTTACATGTTGAAGAAGATTCCTTGTTTCATACTCATCACCACCACTATAGAGTAATAAGGGACAGATTAGTATAATATTCCAGTATTTTCCTTCCTTGTCGCCATTCAATTCCGAAACCTATTTCATTAAAATAAATTTTCCATTGTCTCTTCCGGAGACCTATCTTTCGTTCGTTTGGTTTGAATCACTACCCCCAACGAATTGAGCAAACGTTGCCCAAGCAAGTATTGATCTGTCGCTATTCCTTGCCAATGTTGGTCGTTGTTTCTGATTGTCTTAAATTGTATTGGATGGTTGTCTTGATGGTAGTTGATGGAGATGGTGTTTCTGTCTTCTCTTCAGAAAAGAACAATGAATTGAACCACTCCGTGATGCTCATTTTTTGTTGATACATTTAGCAAAAGTGGACCCGTTGGCGGGAAATCATTTCTTCCTTAAAAAAAACCTCAAGAGTCAAATACTCCCAGTTAACAATGCGAATGAAACTCGTTTCTCTTCAACCCGCTCTTTAACTCGATTCTATTTTCAAACAGGACTTCTAGGCTTCTTTCAGGTCGTTGTTTTCTCTGTTGTGTCTGGTGTTTTTAACGGATGCAGAAACTGTTGTTTTAAAAAAGCAACAACAATAGGTGATTTTTATAATACAGCCTTTTACACCTCCGTAGTTTGCCTTTCTCTGATTTGGATTCTTCCGTTGAGTTTACTTACACAGACGTACAATGGCTCCGATAAGTGTACTGAATTAATGGACTATAATGCAAATAATTCAACATTTTCCGACCCTCCCAAGTTTGAAATCTATTTCCCTTGTATGGCTGCCCATATATTGTAACTTATTACAACTACTGCAGGAGGTGTTGGATATGTTCTAATGTTCATTTCTAAGAACCAAGAATATTGTTCTCTTCCCTCCATTAGTGAGTATATGAAAGAAAAAATCAAAGCGGCTTTTCTGCATGACTTGAATACTGTTCATATTCCCAATTTCGTGTTTGAAGATAAGCGTTATAAGTACCTAATTGTAACACTTGCTGTAACACTTTTCATGATGCTTGTTAATGTGATGGTTTTTGTTTCAAGTTCACTATTGAATTTCTACAAGTACAAACTAACTTCTTTCTTTGTAACCATTTCAGGAGGTTTTGTACTCCGCGATCATCATCAGATCATGTATTCGAGTTTCAAAACAATGGGAAAAAGCGATTGAACACTTGACATTCTCGTTGGACTTGATCGGAATGGGTCACAAAACACAACAACTCCGAGCCATATCACTTGCCACGAGTCGTCATCTGAAACATGTGACCAGTCTCAATTTATTCAACACAAAAATTGGTATTCAAGGATTTGTAGCGATTGCACAGAGTCAACACTTGACCCATTTAATTTAGGAATGTGTGATGGAGGAGATGATGGATGTTCTGCCATTGCCTCCAGTCAAAATCTGAAACATTTAACTGAATTGAATCTCTCATTCAACAAGAAAGAAAAAGCTTGTGTGGCACTCGCTCAAAATCCATGTCTGACTCGTTTAAGAATTCTCAATTTGAGTGACAATGCCATATTAGAAGGAGGATGCCGTGCTCTCTTTGAGAGTCCGTACCTAACATTAGAGGCTTACGCTCGAATAATATTGGAGACAATGCTTGTGAATTCATTTCCGCTAATTCAAATACCAGCATGAAAAATTTAACGCTTCTTAATTTGTACAAAAATAGAATTTCTGAAATGGGAGCAAAATTACTTGCCACAAGTCAACACTTGAGTCATTTAACTGAAATTGATTTGGGAGGAAACCCATTGGGACTCATGGGAGTGAAATACGTGGTTGAGAGCCCTTCAATGACTTGTTCTCTGAGATCTTGAACAATGTAATCTTGGAGATGAATGTTGCAAGGCATTGGCCAATTGCAAAAATTTGCAACATTTAACGGGGCTTCATTTGCAAGACAACAAATATATTGGAAATTTTGGATGCAAGTATATTGCAGAGAGTCATGTGTTGACCAAATTGCAAACTCTAAATTTGTCTGGAAATTTTAGTAATGAAGGATGTAAATTTTTGGCTTCAGCAAGTCAATTCATTCATTTACGAGATTTGGACGTGTCACGAAATGATAACATTGAGGAAGAAGGATATGTTTCATTAAAAACAAGCTCTCATCTTGAAAAGTGCAAGATCTACATGTAAAGTCACGAGAACCTCAATGAAAGAATGGTTTTAAGGCTCTTTCCAATCCTGAATTTTCGTTGACACTCAAGACATGTCTGCACACGTGCAAGTTGAATCTAGAGAAATTTTTGTTAAATCTGAGAAGAAATGTTTATTTTGAACTTATTTCACAAATAAATTTCTCATTGCTGAATTAACCTTTCCATGGCTCCACTGGGAATCATATTATTTGCCATGATTGCCTTGAAGAAGAATTTAAACTTCAATCCAGCATCCATCAAACACAATAAGGAAGCCAAACATCCCGACACTGAAGCAGCCAAACCACATTGAATGAAATACACTGCAGAGGGCAATGATCTTTCATACATTCCAAAGAAACAACTTTGAAAGAGACAAAGTCCCATTGCAACTCCCGAGAAGGCAATATACGACACTAAATAGCCAAATTTGGCATTGTCAGAAATTTTGGCATCTTTCGGATCGGCATGTAAACACTCATTCATTTTTGAAATGAATTTAAACAAGGTTAAGAATGAGAGTCCTGTTGTTACGAGCAAGGAACAAGTGGTGAAAATCATGGCAATAAGTATTTCGTAAATCATGAATTGGGATTCGCTCATTAATAAACCCATCATGACAAGAGAAGCAATGTGAAACATGGTAACAAGCAAGGAGAGGATGAAAACACCTCCATGAATGAGTTTCCAAAGAGTGGAAGATGAGGAGCTGTCAGTGGTCATGTTTTTTTTTGAATGTTGAAGAAGCATTGTTCGAGTTCATCCGGGTATTTAAGCCGAACGAGACAGTTTTGGAATGCAATGTTGTTTTGGTTGGCTCATTATTACAAAGTAGTGGCTCTAATTAGAATCTCATTAGATTCTTTGGCAAACGAGGCAAAACCCGATTTTTTGTTTTGGAAAGAGAAAATCCGGCGTTCGACATCATATGCTGAAATGTTTATCTGTATCTGTACTGTTTTACGAAAGGTTGGAATGTTCTGTAATATACTCGAGAGTACTAGCGAATTGAACCTTTTTTCAAAGCTAAAGGACGTCCTTAATCCCTTAATATTTTTACTTCCATTCAACGACTCCAAGGTTGGAATTTTGAGCAAGACCCTTCGTTCTGCGTTGAGTTTGTTCGACAATTCCTTTTGATTCATTCCATTGTTCTCATCACTTTTTGGAATTCCTGTTTAATGATATTCCACTTAGACTAGAATCACATCATGTCGACCGTTGGAATTTTTCAGCAATCGATGGACGAATCGAAGGCAATGAGCAACAGGGAGCTCTATCTTTATGTGCCATCCTGTGTGTTGTTTCCTTTTGATTAATTGTGTTTTCAAAAACAATTTCCATCTCGAGAATGTGAAAATCTTGTCCACAAAAAATTAAATATTGTTTATTGGCCCTTCGGTGCCTCAATACTTGTCATAAAACAACATTGGACTTCATTTTCGTTTAGATACTACTTCTGAATGTCGAATGTTTTTAACAGGATATATCAAATATTAACAGATTACATGCTTGTGTTGAGCAACTGTTAACATGGGTTGAGTCCATGATTCAAACAGAAGGCAAAAATAAAGCAGTGTTTTGTCTGTTAATGCATATGGTTTCGTTGGTTTGTAAGGTTGAGTCGTCAATTATTGTAAAAAGGTCATGAATAGGTATATATAGTGTTGATGGATATGATATGTTAATAATGATATGTATCGATTACCAGCATTGTCTTCAAAGTTCTAAGTCACAACAATTAATAATGTTGAAGGGCGGAGAGCAGTCTTGGATCCAATATAAGGTGAGATGCTTCTTTCTTGTTCTTACATTCATTACACGTTTCTTATCGAATTGTTGATAGCACTGACCATCATAATACAAATATAGTATCTTGCCTTTTTGTCCATGATTAGTATGATCGTGAAGTTTGTTCTTTTGCTTTGTTTTTCTTTTTGGCTTGGCTTTGTCGGTGGATGATTGTGTGGTCCTTCTTGTTTTGCGAGGTTTGTTCTTTGGCTTGTATTCTTTTTCTTGTTTTGATGGAGTTGGTTGATTCAATGTTGATAATGTATTCTCATCTTTCTCAACTGGTGGATCGTTAGTTTTCTCAACTGATGGATTTTCTCTAAAGGTGATTGCGTCACCTAGATGATGTTGTAAAGATTGTAACAAGTGATGCGAATGATCTAATGGCTTCCGTGCCTTTTCTTCACAATTTCTGTTCTTTTCATTTCGTATATATTCATTAAGTTTGGCGTTTAATTGTTTGAGGGTAGCTGAAATGTAATTCGCTTGTTGTTCAATTCTTTCCAAACGTCTTTCCAGGCTGTGGAGCATGCAAGAGTCAATTCTGATGTTCATCTTGCGGTATTTTTTAAGGGCTCGTTGTCCACAAAAAATGTCTTCTTCCAGCCAGCAACCACTTGCGATGTACTCCAAATCATTGGCCATGATTGATGATTTAATTTACAAGCTTCAAAACAACCAACCATTGGAGATTCCGAGCTCTTCTTCTTCATCATTACTGAAAACAAATACTTTAAAAGAACAATCAAAAAGAAATAACAATACCTCTTCTTCATCAAAACCACCAAAAACAACACAAAAGAAGGACAACAAGCCTTCAACACCATCCATTCCACCCTCTCCTTTCCATCAAACATATATTGTCGTTGCAAAAATTGAATCTGTCGAGAAACATCCTGAATCGGAAAAGCTTTACAAGATGACTCTTTCCGTTGGTGGCCAACAAGGAACAACAACACGAAATCTTGTTGCTGGCTTGAGAAAATTCTACTCGGAGGATCAACTGTTACATCGTAAAGTATTGGCAATTCTTAATTTGAAACCTAAAAAGCTTGCCGGAGTGGTCAGTGAGGCTATGGTTTTGGCAGGCTCCTGTGGCTCTGGAGATGATGATGAAAAGGTGAGAGTGTTGGATCCAGCAGAAGAGGCTCAGGTGGGTGATCGAGTCATTTTGAAAACAGATTTTGAGCACTGGAAGAATGTCTATGTCAGCTCTCCAGAGGAACGATGTTCACCAAATCAATGGGAAAAGATTGTGAAAGAACTTGCTGTTCTAGATGGTCAACCAAGTTATGCCAAACAAATTTTATGTGTTGCAAGTCAACAACCACTCAAAGTGAAGTGTGAACTACCTGACGGAGGTGAAATTCACTAGTTGAGAAAGATGTGATGGCATGATTCAAAACGAACTATTCTTTGAGATACGCCTCTCATAAACCGACCCAACCTATTTTTAATATTCATGTTGTTGCACACAGATTTTCTCTTTGGGAACTCTCTTTTATTGAAATTTTGCGCTTATCAATTGATAAGGACCAGTTCGCTTTTGATTCGCTGGTAAAAACTTTTTTAAATTTTGTAAAATTTGAACGTTGGGAATTGGTGTGACAGACCTTCAGCACAATCTTAAAAGGAAACTGAGTTACGAGCTTCACATTCAACAGCAAAAAAAATTATCTCAATAATCACTCGAATGCCACTCATACTCATCACTGGCTGTATGTTCTCAGGCAAAACAACAGAGCTCTTCGCATATGTCGAACAAGTCGAAAAAGAAGGACAAAGCTGGGTCATTTTCAAGAAGAATATCGATACTCGTTACTCTAAAGATCATGCATGCAGTCACAATCAAGTTCAAAAGAAAGCAACCTCCACCGAAAACCTCATGAATGTTCTATCCGAGACAAAACAGCATGACATGATCGCTGTGGACGAAGGTCAATTCTTTTCAGACCTTGTACCCTTTTGCGAAGAGCTTGTCAAAGAGGGTAAGACAGTGGTCGTGAGTGCTTTGAACGCTGACTATAAGAACCAACCGTTCCCAGTAGTCTCTGCTCTATCCTCACTTGAGTATACTGAAATCATTGAAAAGAAGGCCGAATGCCAATATTGCAAGCAAGAAAATGCAACATGTTCCATCCTTAAAGATCAACCTGACATGTCAGCTACCAGTGAGAGCTTTATTATTGGTGGGGCGGAGAGTTATTGTGCCGCCTGCATTGAATGTAGAAATAAACTTGTAAATAAATAATAATATTGTTGAGAGAAGGGTGATCATTACATCATATCGCAAGGATCACACGAGCTGGAAAGATTGGTGTTCTGCAACAAAGAGAAAATCATCAAAAGATGCTCGAAACAAACATGATTCATCTTCACCAAATGTGCTTTTGCAAATCCAGATCTCCATGAAGACAGGATGACAAACATCTTGACAGATCATTTTCATACTCAAGGTATTCTTTGGTCGTTCTGTTCTGATTCTTGGGTTCTCCTTCAAGAGAGATCTGTTGATGACGCAGTGGAAGATGAGTGACATTCTAGCGGTGGCCATAACAGCTCATCTCTCGCCTCCAGCAAATACAGTGAAGCACGATCTGATCTTCAAAGAGCTGTCTGCTTTGATCAAGAGTTGTCGACTTTCTGTTCTTGCAACGACAATTTATTTCAATAATTGCAAAATGTCGGTGTTGGTTGTTAAATCTTGGCAAGCTCTTTTTTCTGATTTTTCAACCCATCTTTTCCAATCACTCCATTCTGCAGCTGCATAATTGTGGACAGAGCCACTGATAAGACATCTTTGTGCTCTAATTGTTACGGTGATATAAGGTAAATCTTTGTTTGCACCATTTTGCAACAAAATCTTCACAGCCTCCAAATGATTCGCTTTAATAGCTACATGAAAAAGAGTTTGTTTGACCTTATCAAACCAATTATTCTCAAAATTATTTGATTCGTGATCTCTAATAAAGTTTTGGAATTCGTCAACATGGTTAATATCAAATGCTAAATGGTTTAGTTTTGAAACATCACCGTTGTTGTTGATTATAGCAACAGCTTCATCCCAACTCAATCTTGACATCTTTTTTTGCTTTGTACTCCTCTCTTGAATATGACAGCACAGGTGTGTTGAGTTTGTGAGACGACATCCATAACGATTTATGGGTCATAGTCCATTTCCCTTTCCTTTAAGCGGTCAAAACCGAATGAGGGTTTTTAGGTCTTATTGAGGGACATAATTCTCGAACACATGTATCAAATTGGATTCTTTGGTCAAAGGGGTTGGTCTTATTTGGATGATTCTTCAGTGGTACTCTTATGAATCAAAGCCTCCAAAGTGATTGGTTTTCTCGTGACATGTCTGCGAAGCAACCACAGAACACCACATTATCACCTCCAATACATCAACATGAGAAGAATCAAGATAGAACATGGCAAATGAACCATTGCTCTAACACAGATCATCTACGTATATTGAAGATGTGCTACCTACAGCAAAAGAAACAATACAAAAAAAAATTTTAAAATGAAACAAAATTTTGGGGGGAAAATTTCAAAGGGGAAGAGGGGGAATCGAACCCCCGGCCACAGCTTTGGAGGCTGCGATGTTACCATTACACCACCTTCCCTTGGTATTCTCTTTTATATATTAAATAAAAACATATTGATAGGGGCAAATGTAGTAGACATGGTGTTTTGATTCATTCTCTTCAGTGTAATTGAAATATTTGGTGGCTGTGAGAGAGTAGACATTGAAAGACTGAAATGAGAACAGCAAAACCTGGATGGAAAAAGAACAAAACGTTAAGGAATCATGGACTGATGGAGTTGGAACGAACGTCATTTCATCGATATAAAAGATTGGTCATCCATAAATAATAATATTAATAATAACAAATTCACCCAAATCCACTTACCTGTTACCCATAAAAAGACATACAAGAAGGACCCAAACCCAAACCCCACACACATCCCAAATAGTTAAAATTCACAATTCTTGACTTGTGTTCTGGATGAATATTACTCCACAATCCAATCATTCCAGTCAAGGCCACCACAAACATAAAAACAGCCACAAAGAGAAGCATTAAATCAGAGACAGCATAACCATAAATACCCTTCACGAACCACACCAAAAGAAGAATGACATGATACACAAAGGGGAAGATACTCCAAATCATGAGAAGGGCCGACATGACAGAGTGTCCAGTGGCCCATCCGCTTGTCTGGGGTTTCATGGGTGTTTGTGGAGTGGTGTTGGAGGCAGTGGTCGTAGTAGTAATGGTGTGTTGTTGCATTTTTTGTGTTGGTGTTGGCTAAAAAATGTCAACTGGCAGCTTGTAAAAAATATTTGACGTGATGAACAAAAAGTTTTGATCACGACAAAGAAATTATCAGCAGAGAATTTTGCGTAAACAACCTTTCATAGGAAGGGTTTACTTTTAGGGATAAAACCGTTCTCAGTGGTCGCTCCGTAACCAGGGGGAGGAGGAAGTGGTATAAAATGCCCACAACATTGGTGGTACAGATTTTTGAGTTGAAGCATCCTAAGCTGAGGTTTCGTTTCAATCTTATCAATCATATCAAAAGATAAAGATTTAAAAACAAGTTGTCTAACTCGTAAAGAATCTGTTTATTCGTTGAACTCGCGATAACAACCTTTTTCAGGCAAAGGAGAATATATTGCGTAGCTAGTTCGCCTATTAAGAGAGGTCAATGGGAATTCAACTAAACATATTCGTATAGTATCCAATGAACTTGATTAGAGTCTATGTGATGAAGTTCTGAAGTGCTCTCGTTTACAAGAATATTTAGTGGCATTATTTTTCATTACCACCTGCCGAGCATTTTAGTGCTGGGGTTACATTCAGAGTTGAATTTCTTCATTATTACAGTTTCATGGGAATTCAACTGTTTATATTTAATAAGAGGTCTTTCGGATAGATCCTTTTTTATGTTTGATAAATATTGAACTGCTCTCCTTTACAAGAATATTAGATGGCATTACTATAACGTTGAAAATATCTAAGAATTTTTTAGACATCGGATAGGTCGTTAATTTTCTCAGTTAATACTCTTACATGGAAATTCATTTAGACGAAGTTACGTAGAGATCTTAACGTTAAAGCTAAATATTGATACTTGTGTTGTCCACTGTTGTAGTATAGCAGAAAATCAAATGGTCACTTTCACATCATGATCTGTGTTCTTAAAATTTTCCTTTAGTACCTTTTGTTCACAAAATATTCAAGCACTTTTAGGAAGAAGATCTTTCTGTGTTAATTTTCCCAAACAATAAGATTTCATGGAAATTCAATTGTTTAATATCGATACCATATCGTTGGATCAGATGGAATTATGTACTAATTACCGACTTATATACTTTAATTTACTAGAATATTAGCTCACATGCGATTAAAACAAGTTTTTCAGTAGTATTTTTAAAATCAAGCGAACTTGTTTGGGTTTCTTCATTAAAACAACACCATGGAATTTCATCTGTCAAATTTTTGTATGCAAACACTACTATGGAGCAGTCTTTAACACGAGAAGGTTTGAAATTCTTTCATTTGCTTAATAATATCGTATTATTAACGTCTTGTTGATTATGCAAAGTCTTTAAAGCCGACACAAAAAAATGCCGAGACAACGCCAGCCAAAATCACACAACTGCATCATCAAAGAATGTCCACGCAAAGGAAAACAATTTTTTACTGGAGGCAATTCCGTTAAAACAGAAGAAGCAACAGCTTTTCAACTTTCTCACTAAAACAGGGTTACAATCCGATCATTGTGGTGGTGAATTATGCAACTCTCATGGAAGTAAATTCTATGCGTTCAAAAAAGAAATAGGACATAAATCGTCTCGGGATTGTGATAGGAATAATGTTGAGTGTGATGAGAACAACCACAACAAGAAAAGCAAGGTTGAGAAAAATTGTTGTGGAATTTATCTGCAAGATTATGAACAATATTTGTTCAACGACAAAATTTATGATTGCACAAACCAAGTGATAGGAATACCGATCAATAACCGAATTTATTCGAATTTACTCAACCGAATATAATTTAATAGTCAAAAAACAAGGATCAAAATGTAATGCATGTAGAACTCTTGCAAGAAAGTTGGGCAAATGGAAAAAAATCATACATATGAAGACTTGTGTTCGAGTAAGTTCCGAGGGCGAGATCATCTTCAACATCCAACAATCATTAACAACCATATTCATCAGATAATTTTGCGAAGAAGGCTATTGTATTTCAAATTATTGATTTATATGGCAACTTTTCAAATGTTTGTGCTGTCTTTGCTCTTCCAAATTCCAATATGTTCTCTTTTATTATGGACAAGGTTAGAGAAATAGATCAAAAATGGTCTGTTCATGAAAAATTTTGTATAATTGGTTCTGTCACGGATGGTGAGTTTGAACCAGCTACAGTAGAGAATTTTTTGAACAACAATAATGAGCGCAAACAATGGACTCATTGTGAAGGTTACATTCACATTCTCAAGCGATTAAGAAATCCATTAATTGACAGCAGTCATGCAATATCTATGATGGGTTTGATTTATCTGACTTCCAAGTACGACAATCTTAATAGAAAGTTAAGAAGATCAGATTTAATCGTCAAAGATGAAATGAATGTAGAAAGTTGTTTGAATCTCATTAAGGAGGATGTATTGCAAGCATTACAAACAATTAGATCTAACTTAAAAGAAGAATTCCATGATATTCTTCCTTCTGTACCAAATTTCTTCAATAACTTTGTTCTTAGTGACAGCAAGAATATTCATAAGAGTGGAATAACAGACTTTATTATGAAAGATATTGATATTGCTAATTTAAACAAAATGACAGAAAAACAATTGAACGAGTATTTCAAAAAAATTACAATATTCCGACACTCACCATCCAAGAAGAATATGCTATTGTTGATTCTATGTATTATTATTTATGGCATACTCGAAAATTCTATTACGCCTGTCATGATGAAAAGCTTTCATTGGAGGCTAAATTGAATGATTTATATGATTGTATTCAATATTTTAAGACAAAACTGGATATCATTTCAGATCAAACTTTAAGGGGCATTGTTTCGATATATAGAATGCTGAAACGACTATGGTTTCATTCATGGATTTTGCCTGAATTTCCTTCTAATGACTCAATTATTTCTCACAATGAGAACCAAAGCAATAATTGTTTTCCATTCGATAATTATGAAAATTGGTCATCACAACAAAATTCTACGCAAGACCAAACTGTCGACAAAAACAACAATGATGATGATGTCTCAGATGTTGGTTCAGATTTAAGTTATGATTCCGTAGACAGTAATATCACTACAATTAGCGATGAATTACGTGCTATTGAAGCTGGACAAAAATTTTTCAAGCTCTCAGATAGACCTGTTGAAGATCAGAAAAAAATATTAACAAGTGCAATAAGTAGCAACGGTTTAGAATTGATTTTCAGTTTGATACAACACAAATGTAATAATTTTTGCATTTATGATTTGTGTAGCATCCTTTTAAAGTCACATCGAATTGTTGTAATTGAACATTTAACAGATACACAACGCCTATTTTCCCTACCTAAAAAAAGTTGCTCAAAGCATTACAATAGGTTGAATATTAAGTACAATGGTCTTCCTCGAATGCCGGACAACAAACTACCAACTCAAGAAACGATTAACAGAGAAAAAGTGACACAAAAAATTCAGTCACTGAATCACAGAGAAAAAAGCGTGTCACTCAGATCAAACTCATCTGTTGTAATACGTACATCAGTTGATTTGGTGTGTCCATTTTGTGGAAAATTTTATGCAACAATTGGCCCTCTAGAAAATCATTTACACAACATCCACAAAATAGATGAAGACAAAGCAAAAATTATTTGCAAATCAACAAACGCAACTCAAACATTAGTGAATGTTCTGAAACAACGAGTTCATCGTCAACAGCGACTCCATCAATGGGATGTATTGAAAGATTTACATCAGCACTCGATAATGTTGAACTTTCAAGCGAAGAAATTGCAAAATTGAAAAAGAGCACAAAAAAACAAGGATACCAACCCAATGTTCAGAATGTAAAAATTTAAAAGGACGCAAAGAATGTGGTTTATGCAAAGTATGCTGTTTAAACAAAAGAGGTTGCAATCATCATTTCCGATATTACAAAGTCATTGACTCACTTCAAGACTATTCAGTTATAATTGCAGATTGTTGAAACTACAGATTTCAAAGTCAGAAGTCTTACTGACTTTTATGCAGACAATCTTAGCAACAACAGCACTATTGAATTTCCACAATTTATTCGTCCTAGAAGAAAAATAGAAAAATCAGTCGTAGAATTGACTAATATTTCAAATGAAATGGTGCTTAATGGAGTGCGTGAAGATCAAGCAATTTCTAGATTGGTTGCAGAGCTTCCGAAAAAAGCAATAATTATTGCTCACAATTCTCCATTTGACAAAGATGCAATATTTAAAGCATACATGTATTGGAGGCAGAAAAAACTCTTGCAATATAATTTCAAGGAAAATCGGTTGATATTTGAAGATTCTTTAGGAATTATCAAACAAAAATTATTAGAAAAATTAGAAAATTACAAGCTCGGAACAATATTCAAAACCTTATTTGATCGTGATATTGTAGATCAACATCGAGCAAAAAGTGATGTTATTGCATTGAAGCAAATATTGCAACATCCCAGAATACTCGGAAATGATGTAATTAATTCTGTGAAACGGTACTTGTCGGAGATCACAATCAAAGCCACGTTACTCAAGATTTTGCTTTTTGGATCTCACTTGTGTCATTCATGGAAGGTGCAACATTGACTGGTTTGAGCCATTCCATTCGGAAACACGCCAATTTTCTCATGATGATGAATAATGGGAACCACAAAAAACTGTACACGAATCCACACGTAGTTGTTGAACATTCATGAAGGACTGAATGAGCATTAATTGTGAGAAATGACATGGCGTCTGTTTCAAAGAAGTGAAAAGAAATATATCGTTCGATTCACTGTGCCACCAATCACTGGTTGCATCTTTGAACTAAAACAATGTTCTAGTTTCAAATTATTACATCGTTCTTCAGTTGAGAATCAAGGAACAAATGCATGAATGGTGATATTGAGGTCCAGAGAGTAATGCATCTCGAATGAACCAATTCCTTTCAACGGCTGTGACTGTCATCCGTCACACAACATTCATTAAAAAAAATATTCAAAAACACATCATCATAGGCCCAACAACAAACTCGACAACAAAATGGCCAATAATTTTCAAGGCATGGAAGATGATGCTCTCTTCGAAGCACAGCGATTCAAAGGTCAACAATTAAAACGCGAAGCCGATTCCATCATCAATCGATCCATCTATTTTGGAAATAAATTCAAAGACGCTGTTGCCAAATACAAAGAAGCAGCCGAACACTTCATGACAGGTCTCGACAATAAGAGTGCCATTGAATGTTACACTGCTGCTCTCGAATGTATGGACAAGAAACCAAAAGATTTTAAATCCGTTGAAAAAGCTGACATGTATGTGGAAATGAGTGAATGTATGAAGGAGATGGGAATTAAAACACGAGAAAATTTTCAACAATTTGTAACGTTTGTGGATAATGCAGCATTCTTGTATGCGGAAGCCGGAAAGTTCTATAAATCGGGAGAGCTCGAGAAGGAACTTGCGGAATATATTGAAGTGGAAGGACTTAATTTTGATGATCCGAATTCTAATGAAAATTACTTGAAGGCGATTGAACATTATAAACATGCTGGAGAGACTTTTGAATTGGAAAATGCCAAAACGAGTACGAATCAATGTTATGTGAAAGTGGCAGAGTTGAGTGGACTCATTGAGAATTATGAAGAAGCCATCAAGTATTTTGAAATAGTTGCTGCCAGATGTTCGAAAGAAAAACTCACTGCTTTTAATGCACGAGAACATTTGATGAAGGTGAGTTTTTTTCGGTGTGAGTGTGTGTGGTTGACATGTTCATCTGTGATCCTTGTATTGAAATTTATTATCTCAATGTTTCTGTAACAACTTTATGTTTTCATGGTTTTTGGAATTGAATGATTTGTTTGACTGCTCTTGAATGTCATGCCTTTTGAACTGACATTATCCATAACAGGCTCTTTTATGTCACATTTTACTGCAAATGAAAAATGCAGAGAAGGACGATTTGACAGGAGCTTTCTATTCTTCTGTGGATGATTTGCGTAATGCCTACGATCGATATTGTGAAATGGATATATATTTGAGTGGAAGTTTGGAAGGCGACGTTGTTTTAAAGTTGTTTGATGCCATCCAGAAACGAAATCCAAAAGAAATGGCAACCGTTTTGCGCAAGTTTGACAGTCTCAAAGTTTTGGACAGTTGGAAGACGACCATTCTCTTGAAAATCAAGGACAATATTTCTACTCTCGATTTGACCTAATTGTTGTGTATGATATGTGTTGAGAGGATAAACATTGTGTTTTGGATCAGATGAAGCATGGACACATTTTTCGTGATCTGAGAGGAAATATGATGATTTATTGATCTTCAGCACCTTCTCCGTCCTCACCTTCACCCTCGTGGGATTCAGTACCAACTTCCTCATAGTCCTTCTCCAAGGCAGCCAAGTCTTCTCTGGCCTCAGAGAATTCACCTTCTTCCATACCTTCACCGACGTACCAGTGGACGAATGCTCTCTTGGCATACATCAAGTCGAACTTGTGGTCAATTCTTGAGAAGACTTCAGCAATGGCAGTCGAGTTGGAAATCATGCAGACAGCACGTTGAACCTTAGCCAAGTCACCTCCAGGAACAACAGTTGGTGGTTGGTAGTTGATACCGCACTTGAAACCAGTTGGTGACCAGTCAACAAATTGAATGGTTCTCTTAGTCTTGATAGTGGCAACAGCAGCATTCACGTCCTTTGGAACAACGTCACCTCTGTACATCAAGCAACAAGCCATGTATTTACCATGTCTTGGGTCACACTTGGCCATCATGCTTGCAGGTTCAAAGGCAGAGTTGGTAATTTCAGCAACGCTCAATTGTTCATGGTAAGCCTTCTCAGCAGAAATGACAGGAGCATAGGAGCACAACATGAAGTGAATTCTTGGATATGGGACCAAGTTGGTTTGGAATTCAGTAACGTCAACGTTCAAAGCACCATCAAATCTCAATGAAGCAGTCAATGAGGAAATGACTTGAGCAACCAAACGGTTCAAGTTGGTGTAGGTTGGTCTTTGAATATCCAAAGATCTTCTACAAATGTCATAGATGGCTTCATTGTCCAACATGACAGCAACATCAGTGTGTTCCAACAAGGCGTGAGTGGACAAGACAGAGTTGTATGGTTCAACAACAGCAGTAGCAACTTGTGGAGATGGATAGACAGTGAAACCCAACTTGGACTTCTTACCATAGTCAACAGACAATCTTTCCAACAACAAGGCACCCAAACCAGAACCAGTACCACCACCAACAGAGGAGAAGACCAAGAAGCCTTGCAAACCAGTGCAGTTGTCGGCCAACTTTCTAATTCTGTCCAAGCACAAGTCAACAATTTCCTTACCAATGGTGTAGTGACCTCTGGCATAGTTGTTGGCAGCATCTTCCTTACCAGTAATCAATTGTTCTGGGTGGAAGAGTTGTCTGTAAGTTCCGGTACGGACCTCATCAACAACGGTTGGTTCCAAATCGAGGAAGACAGCTCTTGGGACGTGCTTACCAGCACCAGTCTCAGAGAAGAAGGTATTGAAAGCATCGTCTTCAACACCAATAGTCTTATCGGATGGCATCAAACCATCAGGTTGAATACCGTGCTCCAAACAGTAGAGTTCCCAACAAGCGTTACCGACTTGAACACCAGCTTGACCAATGTGGATTGAAATGACTTCTCTCATTTTGAGTTGTAGATATTAAACAAGTACTACCGCAATATTCTTTATAATGAAGAAAGAGCGTATTTTTTTTGTGTGGAGATTGAGGCTGCTAAGGAGGGCGCTTTTAACGGCTTGTTGTGGTTGTATACCGCGTGATTTACAGTTGTAATCGAATTGGCGGGCCCGAATGTTTACGATCCAGTTCAAAGTTCGCTGGTTTACAACATGTCCAAATTTGACCTAATCGACTAGATGTGGTCTTGTCACCGTATGGGTTTGAAAAACTCTGATAGGGTTTTCATTCAAAAATATGCCAATTTATTACTGCATGGTGGGTCTGTTGAGACGTGAAACAACATCTTCAAATTGTGAAGAGATGACCTCCGAAGAAGAACGATTATTATTAATCAATTCCTCGGTGGATGGTGGTTCATCATCTTTTAGCTCCAAATCATCATCGGGTCGATTGCACTCATGTACAATAATCGGAGAACACTACATACCACCCAATTCCACAAATCCATACACCACATCTAATGAATTGAGAAAAACTTGTCTACTCATTGGTGAAAAACTTTCATGGCAAAACCAACGGATAACAATGATGGACAATACAAGATCCAAGTTAAAATTTAATTGTCAAATCATTGATAATTTATTATTTATTGCATGCACAGAAGAGAAGATTTTCCGATTCGGATTTCATATTCTTTATTTGAGAAATTAAAAAATCCAATATTTGATTTGACAGATTTGGCATTGGAAAGAATGAAAATATCAAAATTAATCCAAGATCAAATGATCTATTGTAGTGATATTGAGAATGATAAAATTTATCAAATTAGGAAACGTCTTAGAGAGGTAGAAGATCTAATGCCTGCCACAATTTATAACCCACAACCACCAACACTCATAAATGCTCACTGTGATGAATTACGAGCGAGTGCTACCTTGTTTTCAATGGAGAGAAACAAGTTTGCTCATAGCAGACGGCAACGAATTGTTCGATTTCTTCGACACATGATTGGATGTTGTTGCTGTGGTCGATGAGATTGGAATTGATTATTTGTGGATCCACACTGGTATTCCTGACAAATTATATTATTTTCACCAAAGGATATTCCTGACAAATTCACTACAAATTACCTTGATCAAGCCAATCCCCATTGTAGTGGAATTTTAATCTGTCGAATTATTAATCATCATTTCCACAAGTCATTTTCGAAATTGACACAAAGTTTAGATTCCAAAATCAAAAAAATGTCTTCATCGACAGATCATGGAGTGTCATTCATTGAACCCAAGCAGCTTGCAGATCTCATTAAAACAAAACCTCAAAATCTCATGATTATTGATGTTCGTGATGCTGATTTTGAAGGTGGCAACATCAAGTCAGCTCAAAATATTCCGTATTTTGATGAGGAAAAAGCAAGGGAGCTTGCTCTTCGAGTGTATCAACACAATTCACAACAACAGAATCAACCAAAGTTACAAATCCGAGCCAAACAATTATTGAATGAATTGCATGCTGTGAATGGCGGAGTAACCAAATACAATACAACTGGAAGCGATGATCACAGAATTTATCAAGTCATTTTCAATTGTTACTACTGCCGAATGAGAGGTCCGACTGCTGCAAAATTATTTCAAACTGTTTTGCAAGAAGTGTACAACAATCAGGCACCGCCAAATAATGTGCACGGGACATCAGTAATATTACTTCCAGAGATTAAGTTTGTTAAAGGGGGATGGAGTGCTTGGAAAAGGTTGTACAAAAATGATCCAACTTTGTGTGACAATTGTAAACAATTGGACAAATTCATTAAGGCAGTTAGAAAATAATGTCATGGTGTGAACATGGATGTGGTGATTTAATATTAGGTTCCATCACAGCACTTATGGATGTCACATCCGACCAGCTGGTGGGGAGAAGAGTGGTTCGTGGAATGAGGTTTCACTTTATCAAGTAATCAAAAAGACAAATTGAATCATTCAATTTTGAAAAGGCTAAAGTGGACACGGTAGAGCGAAAATTTAAAACCCAGAAAAGGACAGTTACATGAGTTTACAGTTTACTTTCAAAATTAACAGGTTATTAAACTGTTTGCAAATTCCTACCTACTATTCTGATTGTTTTTGACATTGCTAGTGTTTGATGATCTCGAGTTGTTGTTATTTGGGCGGTTCAAATTGAGAGAAGGAGGATAGGGTGGAATGAAGAAGGGTTGCTGTGGTTGTTGATTTGAGACATAACTGTTGCTGGTCACATTAGTATGAAACATGGCTTGAAACCGTTGTTGCTGTAACTGAACATTCTGGTCATGAGCACTTCTTTCTACAAAGCTGGTGGATGCTTGATAATTATTCATGGGTATTCGAACAGGTGCTGTAGGGGGTACAAATGATGTTGAGCTTCTCGTTATGTGTTGCAAATTGTTGTTGGCATTATTTCGCGAGTTCGTTAATGGTGGTCCTGCAATGGTTTTGTCACTATCATTACTCATAGGTGAAGATGAATTTCTTACTTGTTGATTTAAAAGAGTAGAGCTACTACTGGAAACGTTTCCAATGTTTGTACTATTTTGAGCCCACAAGGTAGGGCAAGGAGGACAAAGAATTGTTGTTGTCGAGATATCATTAGTGATTTGTGTTTGGTGTGAAATTGTTGGTTGTGTGTTGTTAGTCGTTGCACTCTGAGTTCCACTATTATTTCCAACATGATTCAGTAAATTAATATACTGAGATTGAGCCCGTAATTCGGCAAGCATTTGTTGTTGTTGATAAATTTGAGATAAGTGTTGTGGGTTTAGTGATTGTTGTTGATTGTGTGGTCGATTTGGTTGTGCAATTTGATGTTGAGCTGCCACTTGTGGTCGATACAATGGTTGCGTTGTGACTGCTGATTGAGGTCTACTTTGTGCCATATTTTGTGAAGTAACATGTCGAGTTGTTCCTTGTGGAAAGGTCGCTGTTGTTGATGGTCGAAAGCTTAAGGCAGAATTAGAAACAATTTCCATGAAAGGATGTTGCTGTATTTGTTGACCATGTAAATTCGAAACAGTGTTGTTGAGGGATGGAGTGGCAGTTCTTCTTTGGTGTATCATCGATGAGGGATGAACATTGTGAAAAGATGTCAATGTCCTTGGCTGATTGCTGTTGTGATTATTTGTAGTTGACATTGTTGGAGGTCTGACTAAACTCGACGTGACGTCACGACGTGGTGCATTCACAGGAGTGAACGATGGCAATCTCACATTATTTGGAGCTAATTGTTGAAGAGGTGGAGGTGGAGGTGGAACATGGGTCGTTTGTGAAGTCACTGTTTGATTTCGTTGCATGTTACTAATGTTGTTGATGTTGTTGTTGGTTGTGTTAGGATTGCTGTTGTTTGTATCTTGAAGAAGAGAGGATGCTCGTCCAATTCCTGTTTTGGTTTCACGGCGATAATATTGCAGAGCACTTCTATTGATACTTAACATGCTTGAATAGTCTGTTGGCGTTTTGGCATGATCATGATTCACTGTTGGAGCAGTGTCGTTGCTTGACTCCAATTGAACAGGCAACAAACTTAAAAGTTCACTACTTGTTTGTATCGTAGCAGAAGATTCTTCTAATATGGACGAAGCACGAGAATGCCGTGTTGACGTTTCTGATTCTGCCACAGTAGTGACTGTGGTGGAATTTGATGTCATTGCCATCATGGATGGACTTGTTGTGTGAAGAACGGAATTTGTTTCAGAAGACAATGTGGTGACAAGAGGAGAACAATTGTTCAATGGATTTTCTGTAGGATGAGCAAAACTGCTTGATGTGGAATTGATTGAAGATGATGGAATAGAAGTTGGTGGTGGTGCTTCTGTCTCATGGGTGGACACATGTTGTGGCTGTTCCAAAGTAATCTCTTTCTGTGTGACGTCATGTGAAGATTGATTTTCAGCCATTATTGATGTTTCAGGTGTAATCATAAATTTCAATGGTTGTTTGTTGGGTTTTTTCCCTCTTGATTGCAATGGTTTTTCAGATATTTCTGTCATGTTCAGCTTTTTAGCAAGTATTTCTTTGGTATCTGTTTTCTTCTTCTTTTTTGTCTTTTTTTTCACACCTTGCAGGTGAGCTGATTCTTCAGCAAGTTCTTCTTCGTCCACTTGAAAATCTTCGTCAGTGTTGTCATCCGTTGTTGAACCGTCGGTAACTTCTATATCACATTGGGAGCTATTTGATGCTTTTTGTGTTGATTTTTCTTGATTCCAAGTTTTTCTATTTCTTAAAGTTTTCTTTTCAATTAAATAAAGCCATTCTCTAATCATTTCTTTTTGAGTATCTGTAATGGAATAATAATGTGAATTGAATTTGGGATTATTGAGCTTGAGAAGGAAGGTGTGTAATTGATGCTTGTTGTGAGATTGAACTTTGGTAGTAACTTCATTTTCAAGATAATCTCTCAATTCTTTGACTTTTGAACTCGAACTGGTTATAGACTGTCCAATCAATTCTGGAACCAGTTTTGATAATTTTTCAAAATAGTCAACAAATTCATGAGCTTCAAAAGGTTTTGGGTCGAATAACCTCCGTTCTAAAGTCGGTAAATCACAATAGTCAGGAAATGCCTTCTCCCAAAAGTGTTCATCATTGAGAGAGACATCTGTCGTAACTTCTTCGATGGGTACAAAGTAAGCACTCGTAATGACTTCATTATCATTCTTTTTAGAGCTCGTTTGTTCATCCATGATAGAAGAAGAAACACTTGAGTTGCTTGTAGCGATTTCACTTGTTTTTTTGCTTTCTTCGTCGATGACCATCTTGTCATTCTTTCCAATGACTGTGTCAACTTGTGTCAAAGCATTCATTTTGCTCACCAATGCTCCCTCATTCTCGTCTTGAATATTAACTTTGTTGGATTGTTGTAAAAATTTTTCAATATCTGCATTCTCTAATTCAGAGTCCTTGTTAGAAATATCTCCTTCACTCTTGTTGAGAAACATGTGATAGGTTCCATATCTTATCATACGTTCTAACTCTTCTGAGGAGAGAGACTCGAGTTGATCGCACATATTGTCTGCAAGGACGACTTTTTCTTTTCCTGTAATAAATTATTTCAGTGTTAAATAGTGATATCATTCAAAAAATAGTTTAAAACAAACCTAGTTTTTTGCTAGCTCTCAAAATAATGTACTTCTCGTAGCTATCTTTGGTAATGAGGCGGTACACAAAAACTTTCTTTTGTTGTCCAATACGATGGCATCTGGCAGCAGTTTGTGAGTCATTAAAAGGATTGAAATCACTGTCATAAATTATGACATGATTGGCTGCTGTCAAATTAACTCCCTGTCCTACCTTTGTGGACATGAGAAAAACTCTGCACTCATTGTCATTCTGAAATTTTTTGATATTTTCTTCTCTTTCTTCAGAACTTGTTCCTCCATCTATTCGTACGAATTCAATATTTTGCATGTTTAAATAATCTTCTAAAATATCTAGCATTTCGAGGAATTGTGACAGAATTAGAACTTTTTCGTTGGCATCTCTAAATTTTTTTAACAGCTTGTGTACTAATACCATTTTTGAGGAACTATATATGAGAATTGCTTGATCATCTTTTTTTTCCTCTTTTCTCAAATAATTTTTCATTCCAGATATCAAACATGGATGATTACAGCATTTCCTTAAGGATATGATCATGTTTGATAAATCCTGTGTTGAAGAGAATTTTCTTCTCAAAAAGCTTGCTTTTTTTTCAACAATCGCTCGATAGATTGCTTTTTGAAAAGATGTCAATTCCACCTGGACAATAATTTCTTCTTTTGGAGGTAGCTCATCAACTAGCACTTGAGCTTTTGTTCTTCTCAAAATATATGGGGTAATAGCTGTTTTCAATTCATTGATATTGCTCTCTGTTTCCAAATCTCCAAATCGTTCTGTAAAATCGTCAAATGATGGAAATTTAGCAGGAGCTATCAGATGCAATAAGCTCCATAATTCTTCCGTATTGTTTTGCATGGGTGTTCCTGTTAACAATACAAGATGATCTGTCTTTAGTGATTCAGCTTCAGCTCTCCATTTAGTTGTTCTTGATTTGAGTCTGTGAGCTTCATCGAAAATGACACAGGCCCATTTTCTCTGTTTGATTTTTCTCTCTTTTAAAAATTCATACGTTGTGATCACTAACAGGGGGTTTCTCTTAGCTATACAGTCTTTAAATATCTTGTTTAAGGTTTCTAACGCTTTTTCTTTGGATTTACCCATTTTAGTTCCCCATGCAATGTGAATCTTAAAGTCTGGAACCCATATACTTGCTTCTCTTTCCCAATTTCCCAAAGTGATGAGAGGAACCACTACAAGGAATGGGCCACACAGGTTCAGTTTCTTGTGAAAAACGTTTAATGTTGAAAGTGAAATAATAGTCTTTCCTAGACCCTGTTGTTGGAATATTAGGAAATAGTTTGTCACAAAACGTCAAAAATTATTGATCACAATTTCAGATATTGGTTAAATGTGTTCACATCATCAAACATACCATTTCATGACCCAAACAGGAATTACGTTTCTCACAAAAATTTCTGTACAAGAAATTGACTCCTTCAATTTGATATTCTTTCAACGAAAGAGTAGAATTCTCTCCAAAGATATCAGAGCTCTTAATTATTGGCGAGTAAACATTTGATTGTTTGTTTTTCGTATTTTTCACATTGTTAAACTTTTTTCGTTTGGAACTTCTTGTGACTGGCACATCTTCTTCTGAAGATGATGCTAATGACCACGAGACAGCACTTGAATATGACGAATACGAAGCTTCTTCTTTTAGTAGTAACGTATCATTTTCATTTGATTTTTCAATAATGTCATCGCTCTCATCTGAAGAGGATGTGCTATGACGATCAGTGGCAGTCAAAATTTTCTGTTCGGATGTTTCTGAGTCACTCTGAGCATCAAAATTAATACTTTCCTCATCTGAGGAGCACGATATCACAACTTGGATCTCTTCAGGAGGACTGACACTGTCCTCGTTAGACTCCTCATCGCCAGAATGTGGCAATACCATTTTTCTTCCCATGAAATAAGGATGTGAGAGAGTGTCCTCAGTTGAAAATTTTTCAATTTCTCGTCGAATTTCAAAATGTCCAAATGGAGCTAAAATAGATCGCGTTTGTTTCCTAAATTCGTTTAATTTTACAATTTCTTCATGTTGAGCATGTAATAATTGTTTTCTTATTTGTCCTCCATTTTCGACATATAAATTTCGGTATTCAATTTTTGAATAATAATGAAAAATATTCTCTTTCGCATATTGGAGAGTAAAAATGTTGTCGTACGGAGTGGTTATGACAGGAGTATCTTCGTGTCGCTTTTTTGAATTGTGCAATTTCTTATTCTTGGCTGACGAGTTTTTATCATGATTAGAATCGTTATGTTTTGATGAGCATTGCCCGGAAGACCATTCAACCGATTCCGACAAGGAAGAAACTGAAGAGGATGAACGTTTTTTAGAAGAAATGGAAGTGGTCGTTGAATGACTCCTCGAGGATGGAAAAGATGAGGACGAAGACGGTGATGATGATGAAGATGTTCCGTTCCGAGTCATGGCTTTTGTTGTTGGAACGTGCACAATTTTTTGTTTGGTGGAGGGAATATTTTCTTCTTGCGTGTTCTGGAACTAATCCAGTTGTGGTGTCGAAAAAGATGATTCGATGTGGTTTGTTTATTGAACAAGTCAATTGCATCTCCATCTCTTCTTTGAATCCTAAGTCTAGCAAATTGCATGAATTCATGAACTGTGCTTGCGTGGTACAATTACATTTAAAAAGGATCAATTTTCTCTAGAAAGGCAAAGCGGATCCCTATCATGCTTCTGACCTTTCTCTTGTTGTACATCACGGTGAAGAATCTTTCCGTCTCGCTCGTTACAGTATAATGACGCTGATGTGTACAGTCAAAGTATTACCTCAGAGAGGTCTCTCGTAATTCATGAGTGCCACCGTTGTCATTGAGTTGCATGCACATTGTGGTAGGGGTGTCAGAAGAGGAGCTGATAGAAATATTAGGACTGCTGGTTTGGTCGGGAGCTCTAAAAGGAAAGCCATATTCTTCAGGGCAAACGGTGTGATCATAAATGGATGAATTTTCCAAAGTGTGTTGCTTTGCTAAATGTCGAGAAAATTGTTTTCCAAACGCATATCGATTGATCTTCTTTCGAGGTGGTATGAGCTTATTCAAAGGGTCGTTGTCAATTGCTAAATTATAGTCGTCATGGTCAGTTGAGAAATGGCTTTGAAATAGTTTAGAGTAATAATAGTAATAGTATGAATGCAAATAGGGATGCATCATGGACATGTTATATTGTGAATCCAAATAAATCATATCCTTTAGGGTGGAAAAGTCTTTTCTTTCAGTAAGTACATTAAATTGCTTCATATTTTCTTTTGAACAAGTAATCTTTTTGAGTTCATGCCTCTCCTTGAAATATTCTAGTGCTCTTAGTAAATGTTGTGGTGGTGTCAGACTCTTAGTTAAATATTGATGAAATATTTGATATTGTACAGAAAACCACATAGTTTGTTCATAAGTGAAATCATATGTGCTATTTTCCAAAAGGCTTGAAAAAATCTTGAGAGGGAACTTCTGTAATTTCTTGCTTAATTATATTTTCTTGTTCCTTTTCATGCTCGAACAGAGCTGGAAACTGTTTTCGATTGAGTCGCATCACGTCTCCTATGAAAGGATAAAGAAAAAATTGAGGGGCATCATCGTTTTCTTTCCGAGTCAGGAATTGTGTGTCACAATGATTAGTGCTAGTGGATGAGTCCTTATTATAATTCACTGGAATCGATAATTGTGGAGAGTCGGTTCTCACAAAATTCTCTACAAACAAATTGCGTTCATTCTCAAAGTCGTCTCTTGTTCGTTTTAAATGTTGTTCTGCACGTGCTAAGCTTGATCGTACTTTGGCGAGGGCATCAACCGGAGCTTTTAACTGGTTCGTTTTGATTGAAGGTTGATCGTCTCGCTGTGCTTTTTTTTGTACCTTTTCAATTTCAACCACGAGATTTGAAATTGAGTTGAGCAGATCCTCAATATCAATGTTATATTTTTCTGAAATGATTGAAAATAATGTTTGGAAATAATTACTCTTGTTGGAATTGCTATTCATGCAAGCTTCGTTATGAAAGGATATGAGATCACTTAGGAAACTCTCTAGCTCTGTAATTGTATGTTCATTAACACACTTAGCTTCATTGTGTAAACAATCCAAAGTGATAAAATCTGCAGCTTCAATAATGTCTTGAAGTTGAAAATTGTCCTTAAAAATTGAATTAATAAATAAAATTGGTATTTCCTTTCGATATTTCAGTATGAGTGAGCGAAGTTTCGAAAAGGTTGTAGTATATGTGCAAGTGGAATCCATCAGAAATTGCTTTAGATCTTGAAGTGAAATTTTTGGAATGGCAAAGTGATTAACCATAAAAATAATTGATGTTGCAATTAAATGCACACATTTTTTTTAACAGAAAATGGCGCCAATAATGAAACATCCCTAAAAGCAAAAAATTGTTATGAAATTTGAAATCGCTTGGTTATCTGGACTGCATCTCTGTACTTGGAATACATCTCTGTTCGAAAGAAATCTTGCTTTGAATGTTCAATCTTAAAAACTCCAGTTTATGTTGGAAATTGAAAGCGCTTTCACTTCAAAAAAAATGTACGAATTTGAAACGCCCATGCGAGACATGATCAACAAAGTTCGCCTCACCTTCAACACCCACAATCCTTCCGAGCCTCTTCCCATGATTCGGATCGATTTAGAATTAATATCTTCACAAATTCAAAGTTATTTCGAGATGGAAGATAATGAAGATGAAAAGTCTGCATTTGCAGTCTATCTGGCAGAGTTAATTTCTCTCATTCCATACGGATATCCTGTTGTTGCTACATTGATGATTAGTCTTGGTGCTCTTGTCGAGGCAGGAGCCACTTTGAATGAAACTGCTATTGGTTATTTTGTGGCCTCTTTTGTTGGTTTGCTGATCGAATTGTGTCCACAATATTTGAAAATTAAAAAGAAATGCAACTCTTCAAAGGTGTCAGAACATGTCAAGCAAATATTGGAGGCTCAATGTGAGTCTATGAGTGAAGGTATTGATAAGGTAGAAAAATCAGTTGTCTGTATTACAAGTCGATATGCCTTGGCACGAGAATTAATGAGACAACATGCAAACTTTCCAGAATTGCAAGATCTCATGACGAAATTAAGATTTGAATTTAAATTTCTATTTTTTGCTACACATTTACTTCATGATGAACCACTCCTTATTATTCATCCAATTGAGAAATGGGGCGTAAGAGCTAAAATTTCATGCATTATTTCGAATTGGATATTGCACATGGCAACTGCGTATTTTCTAAAACAACAATTCCCTTCTCTTTCTATTCGAGCACCGCGACTCGAACAAGTTGAATACTTGCTTGGACAAAACCCCAGAGCAAAAGGATCCATGTATTGGGTTTTTGAAATGTATAATTGGACAGCATTGGATTCTCTTCCCTCTAGTGATGACGATGAGGAAGGTGAAAAATATTTCAACAAGGGACTCGACCACAAAATTTGGGCTGAAGGCATTCCAGAGGATATTACCAAATTTGAAGGCATTCGAGTAATATTGTTGGGTCCATTGCAATACCAAAGAAGTTGTAATTTAACCACAGATTTTAGTGCTCAAAAAGCTTCTTTTGAAATTGAACAACAGCTGTCTAAAGATGAAATTGAAACTCTTTTAACCAAGATGGTGAATGTTAGCAAGGAAGAAAAAAGAAGAATTTTGGAAGAAAGAAGCTTGGAAACTGGTGTTGCTTTGGTTGATAATGATTTATGTGACTGATTTGAACTGACATTCACTAAAATATTCATAAAGAGTTTTGTCATGATGAACTCAAGTCAATTAATTTCAATGGTACTTGAAGAAACATAGTTTAAACATAATAATTCGATAGAAAGTCTATTATCTCACATTCAGGTCACTGTAGTTATTGAAAGAAAATAATTCGAAAAAAAAATGAAACGAAGCCTTCATGAAATATCAACCTTGCAGTCAGATTTTAATGATGATGAATCTAGCTCCAATCTATCATTCGAAGAAAGCACCATACGAGCCATAAATATATGAAAATGATGGCTTCTCAAAGGACCAATATGGCAATGGATGAAGGAGAGGATGATTCCGAAGAGCCTCTCGTGAGAATTGAATTAATTGATTTTTTATTCAACCCAGAAGATGATTTAAATTATCAAAAGCTGAAACAAAAATTTGATAATCAAACCAAAGGCTTTGCCAAATGGTTACTGGAACGAGAGAATTGGAGATTGAATCTCGAAAAGTTTGACTCACTCCTTCCGATTGAATTTCTGAGTGACAGAGAGTGTATTGAAGAATATTTCATTTGGAACAGAGTGGGCGAAGATGAATTTAATCCATTTAATGCCATTGCTCCTTGGATCACAAAGACTTTCGAACATGACGAAGATGCCGATGAATGTGATTATGAGATGTGTGTTGTGTTGAGGTACATAGGTTTAGGGATATATGATATTTTGAACTACGTTCCTACAAACAAATTGTGGTCAAGAAAACAAGATCTCGTCGAAGTATTGAAATTCGTGGAAGCATGCCCTGTGAGATTAGACCCATATGATATAGAGGTTGTTTGCACCGCAGTACGTCAAAATGGCAATGAACTCGAATATGCTTGCGAACAATTTAGAAATGATGAATCGATTGTATTGCAGGCAGTTCGTAACAAAGGAATGCCTTACGTTTTGCATCAGAAAATTTAAAAAGTAATCGACGGATAGTGAGTGCAGCTTTGGCTGAAAATATGTCTGCCTTGGCATTCGCCTCCAGATACTATTAAGGTGGCGTTAGATGATGTTATAACCCACAAACAGAAACAATTTTGTGAAAAGATTTACTTGAAATTTATGCCAAATCATTTACAAGGAGATAGAGAAATTGTTGAACAAGCAGTGTGTATTAATGGACTCAACTTGGAATATGCCTCAGAGGCGCTAAGAAATGATCGAGAAATTGTTCTCAAAGCAATAAGAAGCAATCCATGCTCATACGTTCATGCTTCAAGTCAACTGAAAAGAGATATGGATTTTAAGAAACAATGCCTAAATATCGTTCTTAATAAGGATGGCATTGAACAAAAAGGCGCTATAAGCTCCTATATCCAAACTATGTTTTCCGATGACAAGGAAATGGTGTTATATTTAATTGCCAACCACTCAAATTTAATTTGTCATTCCTTTTTCAACAGGATGCCGAACGAGCTTAAAAACGACAAAGAGGTATTGACACAATGTATTATGGCTCGTATTCATATTGACACGTTACCGAATATTGTTATCAGCAATCGCGATCTTTTTCTGGAACTGTTGAAAAATGCATCAGCCTTTTACTTCGAACAACATATGTCACAGCTAACGGAAAGGATTGTTGATTTGGATTTTATGTCGACACTCGTTGAATACAACGAACAAGCGTTAAAATACGCTTCTGATGAGTTGAAAGGTAATCGCCAGTTAGTTCTTAAAGCTGTAACAAATTTTGGTAGGGCCTTGAAATATTGTTCGGACGAGCTAAGAAAAGACAGAGATATTGTGAGATCTGCTGTTAGGAATTGTGGAATAGCGTTAAGTTTTGCCTGTCCTGAATTAAGAAATGATATGAGTATTATTTTGGAAGCAGTTGAAAACTGTGGTTTTATTATTGACAATTTATCAGCAAAAATGAAAGAGAATTATGAACTTCATATACTGTTTTGTACGGAAATATTTACCCAACACCTCTGGAGAAATCTACTTTCCAGAAACTGCAGAAATTAAGATTGCAATATGCATACTGTGGCTGTGAGATTCCCTCTCGTTTCCTAATGGCGAAACCACTTGAAGTACCATGTTTTTATGAAAGTAATATCTATAGACATAGTTTGAGAGGATGGAATTCATATTTATTTGACAAGCGATTTGAAACTGTAGATTATTATTTTGAGGTGAAATTTGATGGATCAGAGTAATTTAGTCATTTTTGTATTGATATGCAGTGGCTTGGTTTTACTTAATTGTGAAACTTTATTGCAAGAGCCCACTCGTCAACTTCAAATTCGTAAACTTTTAATTGAACTACAGCGCGTCATTTCGAATGCTGAAGAATTGAAATTTTATTGTTGATATTTTGATGTAACCAGAGTTGTTACCATGATTGTCTGTGCATGACATTGTGTGACACGTCTTACCAAGTTCCCTCTGTACGGAGGTTGGATCACGTACATTTCTCCTGAAAGGTAGCCATCACATCTTCCATCACGATATTCATAAAGGTCCATTCACTGTTGATATGTCATCTCCAACAAATGGTCTTGCCAACCAGACAAAATGAAGAAGAGCACGCCAAAAAATTAGAATCGAATCGATGCGAGCTGTTTTGATCCTCCTCTCCCTTCTTTAATCATTTCTTAGTGACAAATATTCTAATTAAGGCTCCTTTTTCTGAAGCTGTCATCGTGAGAACAACTTGTTCAATTTTTGAATGATGTGCTAAACTACACTTTTTGCTCGCATAATACGAAAAGAAATGTCCACTCACTCACTCCTTTTTACACTCCATTTTCACACAACATTATCATGCAGGAGGTTCAATCACAAACCACTGTAATAATTTGTTGATGTTTTTCAACAGTAATAACTTATTGAATGATATTGTTCATTCCTTAAGAGAAACTCAGAGAGGAAGATTGCTGATGAAAGTTTCACACACACAATGATGATAAGGTCATCAGACAATCAGTTTTTATGATGTCATCGAAAGGATATTCACGATTCATCATCAAATTGGATTGAGCATCAAAGTCATCATCATCATGCATTCCACACCGAGAGAGGTAAATGATAAAGGATTTCATCATCATCACACCGTGATGTGTATTCAATTACATCTTCTCATAAAATTGTGAGGTGAGCATCAATCATGATGATGGCATCATTACAAACAACTTTGAATGATCCGTTCTTTCCACACAAAAGAATTGGAACGTGTTGCGATATACACACACAGAAATGATATTAACACATGTGATGCCATGCTACTTCATTCACACCACATCAATTATGCATCCATATGTACTTCGAGAACGAGAACACCTGTTGGTTGGTGATTCGTTCCGTCATTCATAAAAATTATTTTTCTGCACCCGCACACTCGATGTTGCTTCTCATTCTTATTGATGACAAGTGGCAGATGTTGGCAGTGAGTGCTTGTGGTGGACCTCATTGACGACCATCATGATGATGCGTGCCTTGTGGTACGTACCAAAAAGCCCCCAATCCGGCTCATCCCCAAAAGTAAAATTACTTCAACGAAAATGTTGAGCCAAGTCACTTGCCAAAAAGCGTTCCTCACCAATTGTAATCCAAAGTCAACCGCATCACGCACCAACCACCACACGTCACTTGCCATTGTAAAATTCAGCTTAACCGCACGTTTGCTTTTAATTTTTTCAAGCTGTGCTCCTCTTGATTTTGCGTTTTCGAAAAAAACAAACAACACCATACAACTCTCAACAACAAGATGGGTAAGGAGAAGGAACACATTAACGTTGTCGTCATTGGTCACGTCGACTCTGGTAAGTCCACCACCACTGGACACTTGATCTACAAGTGCGGTGGTATCGACAAGAGAACCATTGAAAAGTTCGAAAAGGAAGCTCAAGAAATGGGTAAGGGTTCCTTCAAGTATGCTTGGGTTTTGGACAAGTTGAAGGCCGAAAGAGAAAGAGGTATCACCATTGATATTGCTTTGTGGAAATTCGAATCCAAGAACTTTGTCTTTACCATTATTGATGCTCCAGGACACAGAGACTTTATCAAGAACATGATTACTGGTACTTCTCAAGCTGACGTTGCCATCTTGGTCATTGACTCTACTACTGGTGGTTTCGAAGCTGGTATCTCCAAGGACGGTCAAACCAGAGAACACGCTTTGTTGGCCAAGACTTTGGGTATTCAACAATTGATTGTCTGTATGAACAAGTTCGATGATAAGACTGTCAACTACTCTCAAGCCAGATACGATGAAATCAAGAAGGAAGTTGCTGACTACTTGAAGAAGTTGGGTTACAAGGTCGATGATATTCCATTCGTACCAATCTCTGGTTGGACTGGTGACAACATGATTGAAAAGTCTGACAAGATGCCATGGTACAAGGGCAAGTGTTTGTTGGACACTTTGGATGACTTGAAGCCACCAGTTAGACCTGTTGATAAGCCACTCAGATTGCCACTCCAAGACGTTTACAAGATTGGTGGTATTGGTACAGTCCCAGTTGGTAGAGTTGAAACTGGTGTCTTGAGACCAGGTATGGTTGTTCACTTTGCTCCAGGTCAAGCTCCTGACTCTGAAGTCAAGTCTGTTGAAATGCACCACCAATCTGTTCCTGAGGCTAAGCCAGGTGACAACGTTGGTTTCAACGTCAAGGGTCTCTCCACCACTGATATCAAGAGAGGTTATGTTGCTTCTGATTCCAAGAACGATCCAGCAAAGGAAACTGCCTCATTCGAAGCTCAAGTCATCATCATGAACCACCCTGGTGAAATCAGAAACGGATATACTCCAGTTTTGGACTGTCACACTTCTCACATTGCTTGTAAATTCGAAAAGTTGTTGGCTTTGATCGATAAGAGAACCAACCAAACTGTCGAAGAGAACCCAGAAAAGATTAAGAGAGGTGAATCTGCTATGGTTAAGTGTGTTCCAACCAAGCCAATGTGTGTTGAAGCTTACACTGATTATCCACCTTTGGGAAGATTCGCTGTCAGAGATATGAGACAAACTGTCGCTGTCGGTATCATCAAGAAGGTTGAGAAGAAGGAAATTGCTGCTAAGAAGTAAATTTCTTACAATGGTGTGTTTCCAATAAAATCAAAAATTTATTCAAAAAGTAGTTGTTATTCTTGTTGAATATGTTATTTGTAGGTTTTCTCTTTGATGATGATTGTCTTCTCTCCAACTCGTTTGTGAGCACATCAATATCAACAAATGCAACAAATGATGATTTCACATGGATCTAAAGTGTAATGATGTCAACAAGCGATGAATTTCCTATCAATTTGGAGAATTGTTGAGCTCCAAAAAATGACTTTATTCGGCAGTACCAGATTGTTGTTTTTGTTGCTCATCATCACATTCGTGTTATTATTACTGACGAGTACGTGGGTGGTGAAAGCCCATTCAAACATCAAGAATAACAATTTCATTATTCATCAAGAACAAAAATCCTCTTCATCGCTTCCACTTCTTCTTCGTGAATCGAAATCCAACATTCAACTCTTTCCGATTCCTTCCATCAATGATCGAAAAGTTGTTGTTGATAAGGATGACAAGAATGATGATCGAAATGAAGCACAAAATATTCTCCTCTCTGAGTATTATTTACAACAAAAACAATTATTGAAAATTCATGAACAACGAAGGCGACTTCGAAATTTTAAAAAAATTAACAATTTCTATGGCTCTGAAGATTTCCAAATTCGTCACATTCATTTGGCTCTTACACAACAGCCCAATGAGATGGTCGTTCAATTTCATACCTTTGCTTATCATTCTTCGTTGGGAAAGCCACTTGTGAAAATTGGCAAGACCAAAGACTTGTCCTCCAATTTTACAGTATTTCATGTTGGAGCTGTAATGACTGGATATGGAGATACAAATCACACAGGTTTTGATTATTCAATTTTAATGTCACCTCTTGAATTTGACACCACTTATCATTATCAAGTGGGATTGGGATTTGTGAATTCGTTGAGTGGAGAGGTCACTTTTATGGTCAAGTCCGAACATGTTTATAATTTCACAACAAGAAGTTCTGATCCAGATGAAATATCTGTACTCATGTTTGCCGATATGGGAGTTGTTTTTTCACCAATGAATGTGAAACGTATTCAAAATCGAGTTCGACAAGAAGCAATGAATGGAAATTTCTTTATTTATCATATTGGAGATATCAGTTATGCTGATTTTTATCCTGGAATTATGTATCAATTTATTTGGAATTTGTGGTTTGAATATTTTGAGGGAATTCATCCCTATGTTCCTTATATGGTATCAGTGGGTATGTGTGAAGTGTTAATTAATTCATTATTGTGTTATGGACTCATTGGACGATGAATTCTATAATTCTTCTTCTAATACTCTTTTGGTTACGTTTTTACTAAACAATTGTCATTACATACTTTTTTATTTAATGGTTATTGAACTATCTCACAACGGACAGGTAATCACGAGTACGAACCAAGACACCCAGACAATCAAGATTATGAAAAAAACTTTGCTGCTTATAATCACAAATTTTGGATGCCACTTCGAAACAATTCCCAATACGGACATAATATGTGGTATCATTTTGATATGGGCCCTGTTCGATTTGTCTCGATTGACACTGAAACAAATTATCCAAATGCACACGATAGTCCTTTTCCTCCTGTTTTCAATGGAGATCAGTTTTCGTATGTCACAAATGCAATCAAATCAACCAATAGAAGTCAAACACCGTTCTTGATGGTGTTGGGACATCGTCCAATTTATTCAGCAGTGAAAGGATTTAGTGAAGCCAATGGAAATGTCATTTCACAATCGAAAACTCTTCAAAATTTATGGGAACGAGTGTTTTATGAGGGACATGTGGATTTATATACATGTGGACATGTTCATGCTTATGGTATGTTTCATGTTGTGAAAGAGAATGCCGAGTGTTCACATTTTAAATGTGAATTTTCATGACTATTTTTTGAAACATTGCATCGAATTGTCAATTGTCAACATGGTTCTAGAGAGACAATATCCATTATATAACCAAACCGTTGAGACCAAATCAAACCCAAATAATTTAACAAATCCTAGAGATACAGTTCACCTTATTGTTGGAACAGGTACGTTTTTGTGTAACATTTGTCAAAAGTATTATTTCAATAATGACACAATTATTTTCATGCGAATACAGGAGGATGTGTTGAAGGACTTGAACTCAATGAATGGTATAATAAGAATATTTATTGGAATTATAAAATATTCAATGATGTAAGTGTTGCTACCATTTTATGAATTGAAAACAAACAAACGTATTGAATGTGGAAATATTATGTGTGTAATTTTTCACATTAGGATGAAGGATATGGAATCTTGCGTGTGAAAAGAGATAAAATCAACAAGAGACAAGTGACAGTCACTTGGGAATTTTATAGCACCACTCATGATGAATTAGTAGATTCTTTTGTCATGACCAAGCTCTATTAAACTATCAACAACAATCATTGTTCGTTAATTATATAAATATTATATTATTCAATATTTTATATTATTAAATATTTACAAAAAAATCAAATCTCACAAAAAAATGTCTAAACACAACAACCATTCATCCTTTCCACTCCGCTCTCCGAATCACAGCCTCATCCTTGAAAGCCTTCCCGAAGAATTATGGCTCACGATTATATCCTTTGTGGATTATCATTCTCTTTGTGCATTGGAAAAGACATGTTGCTTTTTTCGGAAAGAACTTTTAAATCGGGATGGATTTATGAAATTATTAATTAATAATTTAGTGGTGGTGGTGAATAATTATTCTTCATCACAGCATGTGAATAATGAAAAATCTGGATTTCAACATGTTTTCGATGATGATGAATTATATGAACAAGAAGAGGATTATGTTTTTCAAAATAATTTTGTTTTTGATAGTCATTGCCATGAAGAAACAGCTGATTTAGTCATTCAAGAAATTAAACATGGACATCGACAACGATCGACACAAATTCTGAGAGAGTATTTCTTTGAAAAAATTATGAAAGAAGATTACAGAGAAATTGAGAGAGAATATATGATGAATTATTTGGTTCTTGAAGAATTTAAATTTCAGTCATTGCGTGATGTGTATATTGCCTGTCACTTGTTTAATGTCAATCCATTTGTCTCATGGAGAAAGATTTTACCGACCAAGAAAAATAATGAACAATATAACGCAATTCTTATGGAAAATGCTGAAGAATTGTGTGGATTAAGAGTTCATTGGAAAGGAATTGTTATTCAAAATTCAAATGGAATGCTCACATGTTATTTGTATGATGATGACGAAGATGTCACAGATTTGTTCAATATTGAACTCTCTGCATTACCAATTGTCATCCTTAAACATGTGAAAAATCTCTCTGATTTTAAATATTTGGACACTGTTGAATTCATTGCTGAAATTGAATCCATGCCAGATCATGTGACAAGTAATAGAAATTTTCTTGGATTTATTCAAGGAGCTCACTCTGTTCTCGATCAATTTAGCTCTTCAATTTCTCAATACATTCCTCACTATAACGCAATTGACACACTTTTAAAATCTAATTTATATGTGACTTTACGAGTGCAAGGAGATGGAACGTTAATTCGACAAGTAGCGAACAATAATTTAGAAAACATTAATCTCACTGTGACTCGATTCACAAAAGAGGCAAATGCTCAAGAAAATCATGGACAGGTTATTCGTTGGAATGCACAAATTATTTGGAAATTCATATTTGGCACACATCGATATCTTCTTGTGAGATGCGTCGATCCTCAAAGCGCTCTCCTTTGTTTGGTCAAGTGTGAAAAGCAAATTTCCACCAATTCACTTCCTTCTCCTGGAGATACTGTTTCCATTAAGGCATCCATTATTGGAAATCGATTGTTGAATCTGAAAAAAGTGCATGAAGTGCTAACACATGAAAGTGTCGACGAAAAAAAGAGGAACACTTCAACGACCTCTTTCCATCACCAACTCTTTTCAAATTCTATTTTGCAGACTTCAGAGTCAACGTTGATTTGGAAAGTGTTGAGGATTATTTTGAAAGTCTGTTGGTGGTTGTATCTAGTTTTTGCATGGATTATTGGGACATGTACTGGATTTACCTTGTATTAAATTTTTTGGATAAATTGCATTACATTTCGTCTTTACAATATATAAGGTCCTATCTAGAATTCTCTTGTAAGCTTCTTGATCATGTGGAGTATCATCCTCTTTCACCAAAGCACATTGAAATGTTGTGGAACTGAAATAAAAGGGGTTCACTTTTGGACAGTCATGAACAGCATGTTTCTCAACCTTTTCATCGGTCATAGTGACGAATGGGAACAACCATTTGACAAGCAAAACAGATGGTTAATTGCTTTTTTCTGAATTGAGAGTATTTCAATCTCTGTTCGAGTCGTTCATGAGGATGAAAACCGTCGCTATAGTCTACAGCAGGAAATTGTAATTGTTCATCAAGGTCAGGTGCCGCGGCACCATTTGATCCAAGAAACAATTGTTTGAAAACAATATTCTTCAAATTCTTTGTAAAGTCATGATCAAGATATTAATCTTGAAATATTTCTTGTCGACAGCTGAAAATTGTGTGCATCAACCAATCAGATGATCATTTCATTGAAATGTTAATAACATTCCAGTGAATAATTATACCCAGGTCATGATCCTTGCATTTTGTAATGATCGGCTAGATAGATGACCCTTATGAGAATAAAGCATCCGCTCCCTCCCTTAGCAAAGTGACAACTAACACAGTTAAATTAATTCGTTGTAAACGCGTTTGATCAACCCAGTTGTTTTTCCTCACCAAATGTCATCCATGCAAGATAAAAGGTTCGAGATGACACGTGTCATAGTCATCATTTCGACAAAAAAAATAATTCACATCTTTCACACACAACAACCTTTTTCTGAAAATGATCACTGTTCCACACATTGTCAATCTCAACCTCACTGGTAAATGGAGAGAAAATGGCGGTAGAATTTGGCACTGCACTCAAAATGGACATCATTTCACATGGACTCAAGAAGGTACTGGAAGAGTTGCCACTGGTATTGCTGTTCCAAAGGTCAACTCTTCTGAATTTGCTGTTGTTTTGACTTTTGACAACACTGTGCATTGGTTGTTGAAGCCATCTCCTGATCACAATCAATTGCATGGACCAAGTGATACTTTCACTAGAGTCTTCCCATTGGTTGCTGAAGCTCCATTTGGTGGTTATCAAGAAAAGAGTGGAAAGGTTTGGCAAGTGACAGCATCTGGTCCATCCTCCTTCGTGTTGCACAATCAACAAGATGGTAGAAATGCTGATGGTTACTTCTCAAGAGATCCATCCACTGGAATGTACACTGTTTTCATTAACTTCCATAACAATGGACAAGATCACTTGTTGAAGGTTGTCACCAACACTTTGGCTTCCTTGCCTTTGAGCAATGGTGATGTCTTTACCAAGATTTATTAAATGGAGTTGAGACATGATGAAGCAATAAATCATTACTAGAGACAATTTCATATGATGACATGGTATTGCTCTATATAATTATTATTAATTATTATTAAATTATTATTTGGTTGATTGGTTTACAAAAAATTATTTCTTTTACGTTAACACGGATAACATGTTGAGAACTGAAGACCCGGAAATGTTTAAATCAATGCCAATTATTGAATTCTCATTGCCTTCGAAGCTCGCTACATGATCTTCATACGACGACACAAACGAAGTCCTCTCGCCATATTTGTCCACAATTCCAAACGTGTCTCGGACGAATTAAAAAATTAATGAATCAATCCTCGTCGAAAATTTGAGCTCAAAAAAATACCTCCATTTCTGCTGCTCGCTCGTTCCTTGTATCGGAGAAAAACAGGTGTCTTTTTTCCCTATCTCAATATTTTGAGTAGTAGTTGTTCGACCATCATCCAAACAATCAATTAACCCTCTCTTCCTTCTCCTCCCTTTGCTTTCAACAACGAAAAAAAACCACTCCATTCGGACTCCTGAGAACGAATCTTATTAACTCCATCCTATATTTATTTTTGTTATCATCATCACACCATCACTAACAATTTCTCATCAAAATGATGCGAGAATCGGACTTGGATTTGCCAAGCAGAGGCAAATCGTTAGAAAGCAGCAGCAGACCATCCCTCGACGAAAATTCTGTCGGTTCTACTGCAAATAGGTCTTCCATTGATGTTACTCTCAATGAGCAGGAACAAGGACACACTATTGATAGTTATGCTCAACTAGACGCAGCCTCATCAAAGCCTGTGTTGAAGCGAAACCCATATATTTCTCTTCTTTTCCACAACAAGAGATTCCTCATCATTTGGATGGCTGGTGTGTTATCCGGAATGGGTAACTACTTTTCTGAAATTGGTACGTTATTTTCTAGAAGATGAATGTGCAAACAATCACTAATTGCCTCAACGTTATGATTTTATGATTTTTATTCTGCATTAATTCATTTTCTTAAAAGCTGTTGTCTATGAAATTGAGCACAGAACCAATATTGGTTTTGCTACTGGTGCTCTTTTCCTTTCCATCTTCGCCCCTTCGTGTTTGGCCATGCCCTTTGCTGGTTTGTGCTCCGACATTTTTGACAGACGAAAGGTTTTGATTATTGCCAATATTGTGAGAGCTGTGATTGCGTTTTGCTTCCTTTTTGCCTTGTTGATTAAGGACAACAACCCACTCTTATTTGGATTTTATTATGTGTGTATGGCTCTCATGTTCTTTACGAACGCATTTTATGATGCTTCTCGTGGTTGTTTGATGCCGCTGGTTGTCGATCACCATGACCTAGTCGCTTGTAACGCACTCGATAGCTTGACATGGTTGTTCTGTTCATACACTGGAGCTGCCATTGGAGGTCTTGTTACTTCCATGTCGTCCAACATGTGGACTCCCTCTAGCCCATTGACAAAGACAGAAGTAGGCTTGGTCACAACCTTTGTTCTCAACGGCGTTTTGTTCATTTTGGCCTTGATTTTGACAATTATATTGATGAGATATCCCGAATTGAATCCTCCAAAACCTGCCGACTTCCCAAAGGGAGGCGTTGCCCTTGCTAAACACAGTATTAAGGAATTATATCAAGGATTTAAACTGTTGCTTGGAGGAAAGGGTTATCTTTTGAGCTTTACCGTCATGAAATTATTGGGCTCTTTTATTTGGGCTTCTGTTGAGTTTATCAATGTCAAGTTATCTGAATTTCCAACTCTGACTTTGATGGATAGCCCAGAAAACACAATGACCATTGCATACAGCTTGTTCGGTATTGGTTCTGGACTTGCTCCTATGGTTTGTGAATTACTTCTAGGTAACCGAATTAGACGTTCTGTGAGAAGTGCATTCTGGACAAGATTTGTGATTTTAGTTTCCTTCTTTATGTTGGCTGTTGGATTTGGTATCATGACATTTACTATTCACGCCTCAATGTTTATTGCTGCTAACTTTATTCTTGGTGCTGCTGGTGGTACCATGTGGGTGTACAGTATGGCTTCTATTGAACATTTAACTCCTAACCACTTCTTGGGACGTATCACTGCTTTTGACATTTGCTTTGGATTCGGTGCCGGTCAAGCTTTGGGAGTTTTGGTTCCATCTCCATTCTTGAACGACATTTTTGGAATTAAGCAACCACACTTGTTTGCATTGGTCATGTTCTGTTTGGCTTGGGTGTTGTTTATTTTCTGGATTGTTTGGTTCTATCTCACTAGGAATATTGATCAACACCATGTCGAGCATGACGATCACAAACATTAGACACCATAATGTTTCTCTCTTGTTTTCGAATAAGGGATGACCAGTGAAATCGAGACACGTGATGATGTTACACATAGTGTAGTAATGTGATGTCTTTCCTGATGTCCCTAATTCAGACATTTTCCATTGATAAAAACCATTTTCTTTCATTTTCTCTTGAGATTTGGACCCAGTTTTCCCGCCAAAAATCTATTTACATTTATTAAAATAAAAAAATGACCTTTTCGTTCCCTCAGAGTAGAGAAGACTTTATGTCATTGGTGCAACAAGTGGCCAAAGAGGACGTGAAGAGGTGTTTGGCTGGTATTCCGGTCACGCATCCTCATTTGGCCAAGCTGATGATGGCTCCTCATGACTCGAATTGTTTTGGTCGAACCAGTGCCAAAGAGGAAGAGGAGCAATTCTTTAATGCATTTCGGAACCAACAACAACACAACAACAACAACTCGACAACTCACATTCAACAAGAGTCATCATCATCGGTTGAAGTTCCATTAATCTCATCGACTAAATCTAATAACAATAATGTTCAACACTCCGAGCCCCAATTACCGGACAGAAATCAACCAAAGCCATCAAACACCACCAATGACACCTCTCAAATTTCCAACAAACAAAGAACACCTGAAAAACCTTCTCCTAAAACAAATGCAAGAAAAAAATTGTCGGAAAAAACAAATATCATAAATCAACAACAAAACTCCAAAAAGAATGAGCAACCAGCTTCACCTTCTCCAAAGAAAACATCACCGAAACACACAAGTCCCAACAATGCTGACAGAAATGTATACGAAAGACTATTGAAACCAACAGTTTCAACACAAAAAAAGTTTGAAAAAGAAACAAAACCTCAAAAGAAGGAAGAAAAGGAATTTAGAGAATTGAGAAAGGAGCAAAAAAAGGCGACATCTTTGTTGTTAAGAAAAACACCTTCAACAAAGAAACAGTCACCAAAAACCTCTCCAAAGAATAATAAGAATGTTTCATTCTCAGTGGCTCTCGGACAGGTTCAATATAAGGACTACTGTGAAGAGGATAAGGAAAATATTAACGATATGAATGAGACTTATCAAGAAGACATCGAAAAGAACCTCAATAACTTAGATCATGTAAACTCTTCTCCTCCTTCAACACCTTCCCCTCCCAATCAGACACAACAGCAAATAGTGGTTCGAACATCCCCTCAAACTCCCTCACCGAAGGCCTCTGAAGCCGAAAATCCCCCAACTGTTGCTCAAACAAACAATGGTGTTGGTGATAAATTATCTCCAAAGAATGATAGATCACAACCCAATCCTACCATTGAAATTTTGAACCCTGAGGTTGAAGTCTGTCACACTCTTCAAAAAGATTCTTCACTCATACCATCCAATACATCCACAAGTTCAACATCTTCGAACAAAGCAGCACCTCAGAAAAGTACTATCAATTATGAACAGTTAGAGGACATGGTTATGAACGATTTGTTACTGGAACTTGCAAAAGAGCAACACAAAAGAAAAGAAATCAAACATCAACAATTTAAAACTCTACAAGCAAAGAATAAGCAAAATCAACAATTTGATGAAATGTTGAATCTTTTGAGGGAAATGGAGCAAAAAGAAAATTTGATCCGAAAAAGATATCAGAACCAAAATAACTTGGAACTAAGTGACGACACCTCTTATTTATCCAGCAGTCTTGATTCATCTTCGTCATTGTCAACAACGGACGTTACGTTACGCAAACAAGTTGTGTTGGACGAGCACACCAAATCAAAGATAAGAAAGGCACGACAGAAACAAAAACGATATTTTGAGACTCTTTGCAGACCTCATGAAGTTTCTGTTGAAACTCTAATGCAAGTGTAAGTGGCTGTTATTTTCTTTTTCGGTTGATTTACGCCAACATGTTTGAACAGAATTGGGGAGGATATCATCAACGAAGTGTTTAGTGAAGTGTGTCATGAGTTTTCTGACGCAATGTCAGACATTGTGAAAACAGTTTCTGCAAACGAGTTCGGTTGTGTAAACACCAGTACGTTTACATCATCATCGTCAGGACTAGCTTCTTTAGGTCAAAACGAAAGTGGTTTATCATTCACCTAATTTATAAAATTATTAAGCACATTAGGGTAATGCCAATATGAACAAGTCGGAGAGGATCATTTCAAATTGTACTTGTCAAACACGGTGTATTTGTAGATTACAGGGAAATGACAATTCATCATCACAGTATACTATTGATATCATCAGCGAGATTGACACGCCATATTATTGTCATCCATTGGAGAGAACTCAAAACCATTCGTTTCATTTTGGAAACAACACTTTTTTCTCTGAACATTGAACTCACAATTTATTCATGCATTGATGACAATATTTATACTTAATAGTAGTATTGTTGTTGATATGGATAATTATATGGTTGATCGTAGTAAGGATATTGTTGTTGTTGATAGTTATAAGGGTATTGTTGTTGCTGTTGACCATACGAATAGGAGGGATAATTGTATTGTTGATCATAGGAACTTTGTTCTTCATCCCACTCATCTTCATAGGCCATTGGACCTTGTCCCATTTCATCAGCAGCACCAGCAGCACTATCGTCTTGGGTGGGAGAATTCGATTGCTGTTGTTGTGCAACAACAGTGAAGACCAGGAGGGCAATCAATGCAACCAAAAGGAAAATGACAACCTTCTTCATATTTTTGTAATTGATGAATGAGATAGAGTGTTGAACACATGTTCAATTTAAGAGCTAAGGCTGTATTTGATGTTTCTAAGAAAGGACAAAGTTTGAAATTGTCAGAAATTGAATGGTCGATTTTAGTAATTTGTCATTTACTGCAATCGAAGAAGAGGAAAGTGAGGTCTGATCAGGTATTCCAAATAAAGGAGTTCTTCGAATTTATTCTTCTAGACCTGTTTCACAAGCTCATTGTTTCTGAAGACGCATCACCACCAAATTGGGCACTTTAATATATTTATACTTTATGGATCAACCCTTTGGTGCTTCCTCTCTTCATGTCTCACTAATTGTTTCTGTGAAAATTGGAACTTGTTCAAACAATTTAACGATCTTGTAACTCCTAAAAGAGAACTCGAACTTGATGTTTGAATCATTATCAGTTTTAGCTCCAATGCCATAACAGGGATTCGATCAATTGCTCCTTAACCATTGTAATTTCTATAAATCGATCTATTTGGTCCACTATAACCACATAGATTCTTTAGTTTTCTAGAACTATAGGAATTCATATAATAAGGATCACTTTCCAAATCCCATTCAAAGTCGTGATGATTCGGATCTTCTCCCCATTCATGTTCAAAAAAAGAAGCAACACCAGAACCATCCACACCCTCAGGATCAGTGGGAATGGGAATGGATTGAGTATTCACACCACCCTGACACATAGAATATAAAACAATGACAGAGAGAAAAAGGAACATAAAGATGTATTTCATCGCGATTCAAATTGATCAATGGTTGTCGACGAGAGATTGTTTTTGAGGATTTGGCCACAAAGTCGAGTGAAATAATTTCTCATATATTCTCTCTTGGATTTTAATTTTACTTTTTTGTAGAATTTCTAAATGAAGTGGATGACTTTTATGACAAGTAGGAGTTTTTGACCTGTGGTCGTTTTCAAAATTCCAAGTCTAAGGATTCATTTAAGGGAAATTAGAAAAAAAGCCTCAATAGAAGCACCTGATGTTGTTCGTTTTGCAAAACACCACAGAGAAGATCACTTTCATGGTTGCCATTCTATGGCCAGAGAAGCCTTGCAAGAGTTTCGGAAAGGCTTATTATTTTCTGTCACTTTTCATCAACTGCCAAAAAAATGTCCACCAACAACCACTCGCCCCGATCATCACCACAACATTCAACCCAGCCCATACAACAACAACAACCACCAACAAACCAACAACAACAACAACGAAGAAACAGTACCGATAGTCATCAAACTTCTCTCTCTGCCGTGTCCACCACTTCGACCTATTTCGATCTTGAAAATGCCTTTGAAAAAACCATCGCAACAAAATCTCTTTCTCCTTTTTTCTCCAACAACAATTTAAATCCTCTTCAAAAAGATGCTCAAAAGATTAGAAATTCATGGATCAGTAGTGTCAGTCAGCTTTCTTCAAATATTCCTTTTACAATTCCTCATATTGAAGTGTATGTGGAAAAGTGTGAAAATTTACCGTCCATGACGAGTAGTGGATCTTGCGAGTAGGTTTTTGTGATTTGTGTCATTTCAATGATTTTGAAACTTGATTGATCATGAAATCGGTTTGAAATTTTTGTATCATGTTGTTCGTCCTATTCATTCATCAAATTGATAACAACAATGATCATTACTGTGTTGGAAAATAACACAATCACACTACACCACAAACATCATCACGACCCATGTTTTGATTACAATCTTTGTGGTGACGATTACAATGTTGAAAACGAACTCTCTGAAACTCCTCGGATCTCATTTGTTAACAACAACTATATTCCATGGTGACAACATCTCCTATTAATAACATCAACAACAACATGCCAACAGTCCCTATGTTGTTCTTTCTGTCATTCCATTAGGTGACAATGAATTACGTGACTTTTCACAAATTCCTTCCGAAGAGTCCTGTAAGAGTTCCAAAATTAAAAAATCATTCAATCCAGTGTGGGATGGAAAAGAGAGATTCTTTTTAGGATTTCCAGGACTCGTGAATCAATCAAATAATAATTATTTTAACAATTCAGTTTCTCAATCATTTAACTCAAAGAAAACACAACAAAAAACTATTTCAACATCATTCAATGAGAGTAAGAGTAAATCGACGGAAAGTTTACTGTCATCAACAACTACGACGTCACCCTCATCGTCGAACAATAACAATATCAATAACTCTCCTCATTCCTTAATTCATTTCCAAAATAAGAATTATTATTTATTAATCCAAGTTTTTCATTATGATCGATTGAAAAAGGACTCTTTTATTGGTTCTGCAAGAATTGGACCTCTTTCTAAATTACCTTATGGAGTCATGTTATCCAAGACAGTGTCACTTCACGAGGCAGGAACCAATGCCACTTGCAGCATTAAATTAATTGCTCACAATTTTGGACTGACATGGGAAGAATTTGAAGAAATGGATTCGAATGGAAATGATGATTTTTTAACCTTTAAACCTGTGTGTGCAGATGTAAGTTTTTATATTGATATATACTTGTCAATCCATTGACATTTCACAACAACGGAACACTTTTTGTTGTCACATTTTTGTGTGTCATAAAAAACCACTTTCCACAAACACTTTTCAAAACAGCCCGTAAAAGCAGTTTTGGACAAAATTGTCAACTCTCGCTATGCCAATCAATTTCCAAATCCAAAAGATGAAATTCGATTTGCCACCATGCTTGCCGACAAAACTCATCTATTACAGACCTACCTAAATAAGGATTGGGTTGAAATCATTCCCACCGCCACTCATTCTCTCAAAAAACAAATCATTCATCATTCGACAGACACTTCTCCAAGAGGAGGAGGATCGACATCCCATCACCATGCCCAGAGTCATTCTCAGAGTCATCAGAATCATTCTACGGTCTCAATAATGAGTGGCAGCAACAGCAGTAATAATTTAGATGCATCTGCAGCAAGTTCCTCCTCTCCTTCTCATAATGAATTATTGCATGAAGCTCCATCATCCTCTCATGAATTGATTTGCGACGAACAAGTTGGAGTTGGTTCAGCAACAACAACAAGTGGAGAGGAATGTGTGAATCCTTCCACTGGAAGAATTAGAAATCGAACAACCATGACAAGTAGTGAAGTGAAAACTGTTTCATTCATGAGTGGTAGTGGTAACAACAGTACTGCAGTGGTGACATTACCACAACGTAGTCCACATGCATTTGATGAAGATAATGAAGACAATGATGATGTTGAAGATGATCATGTGAATGACGATGACTCTGAACCAACCGATGGATCAGATTCTGAAGAAGAAACAGAAGAAGAAACAGAAGAAGAAACAGAAGAAGAAACAGAAGAAGAAAAACAAGTCATGAATGAGTTTATTCAAGAACAAAAGAAACAATTATTGAAAGGCAAGGTTGATATTAAATTGATCATTGTCGATCAGGAACGAGATCAAAAATTGAAAAGTTCTGCTCGAAAATTACTCTCACCCATTCTTTCGAAATTTACTTCAGGAAAATCAATTTCTAATTTTGGAATGTTTCACAGTTCAATTCTCATTGGAAATTGGATTCTCGAATGGAATGATAGTGCATTGTGTGTACCAAGAAGAACTCTTTCAAAAGCTGCCTTATTTTGTGCAGATCTTGAACCAATTACAACTTTGGAGGATTTAGATGTGGTCATTAACAAACTGGCAGACGTTATTGTGGAGTGGAATACGACTAAAAAGTATAAGCCAATGGGTGGTAATCGATGCATCTATGGAAATTGTCAAGATTTTTGTGAGGCAGTCCTCGCGAGAATTGGTGTAGATTTTCATATCAAGAATCCATATGTGAGACACTTCTTTGAACAGTTAAAGAAGAAAGGTTCAACAGATTTGAAATTATATTTCCAAAAGGAGGAAGCTGTAGTGGAAAATTCATTTGCGAACAAATTCAAATTATTGAGCGCAAGTGGTGGAAGCAACTCGATCAAATTTTCAACTCATGAACAGTTGGATCAATTTGTTTTACGATGTTTAAGAATTGATCCAGAAATGAAGACTAATTATCCAGATGTATGGAGTTTACTGAAAGGTTTTGATCGAGCATTCTGGCTTCGACATTTGGCGTGGGAAGAAATGAAAGAAAAGAAACGAAGAGAGCTTGTCTCTGTCGAAAGAAACTTATTCAAAATTTCACAGTTGCGACGTGCTAAAAAGATCACTAATGAAGATGTCGTGACAGAAAATCGATTATTTGAGAGAGCTAACGAAATTAAGAAAGAATTCGAGAGAATTGAAAAAGAGGGAAAACCAGTGCGCCCTTTCATGGGCAAGCAGTTGGATGAAAGGAAGGAACTTGTCGAAGTTGATCTGTGTCCATTCTCTAATCCTTTAACGACTTACTCCATAAGGTTGTATCACTAACAGGAAATGCATTCTGTGTGTTTATTAATAATAACTCAAACGAACCGATTCCATCCTTCTTGTTTGATGATTAAGAAAATAAATCCAAATAGTCCCACTCAGAGGACTCACTGCTTGATTCATCAGTTATCATTGTATCTTCATCATCAATGATAGGTGGTGGATCTTTTCGTAGCATGTAACGCATTTCACAGTTTGTTTCTGTATCTAACACAACCAAATTTAGTATTCCCTTCTTTATATCTGCAAGGATAGTGAGCTCATTCATCAGAGAACATTCCATCGAGAGAGCTGTCATTTGATTGGCAGCCTCTAAACAATTGTCAAACCAATCACGTTCCAACAGTTCATCAGACACAATAATTGCATCATGTTTGCTAAATAAATACAAGGATTCCATTTGTTTACGAATGACTTTCAACCTCAATAGATTCAACAGTTGAACCTTTTCATGGGAGCACACTTCTCGAACTTTGAGGATTCTTTGCTTTTCATAAAGTTCAACTTGTCCCATTCGAATTTTTGAATTAATACCATTAGCTTGAAAGATATGGATATAAAGGGGTGACAAACCAGTCTTTCCTTCAAAATACGCATTATCTGTTGCAATGGATCCAACTTTGGCTGATTTGATCAATACATGTTTTGCCATCTCTTTTTTCAAAGCATAATAATTTTCACAATTTGTAAATAATAATCCAATTTCTCCAACCAATACTTCTTTCAGTTTTGTCAGAGCTTTGACAAGTTGTTCGTCATGTGATGATACAATACAATGATTTTTCTTCTTTAAATTCTGTATCAGTCCATCAATAGCCAATCGAGTGAGCGAGTGTTTCCCAATATACAACTCTGAGTATCCATCATAATCACGATTGGACAAGGCTCTCCTAAATTCTTGCAATTCATTCGTTTCAACTCCCGATAAATTCAGAATCATGATGAAATTGAAACGTTCAAATAATTCTGTAAATTGATCAGCGGTTTGTGATTTACAGACTTTTCGGTCCGAGGCATAGAATGGAGAGGCTTTATCCAATCTCCATCTCATGAAGCCTGTGGGAAATTCCAATCGAGGCATTTTGTTGTAACATGTTCGTTTGGATTTATAGATCTATGCCAAGAAGAATTCGTTTCCTTTCTGAAATTGAAATTCAAGAAATTCGATCTCGGCAAGCGATCAAACCCTAGATAGGCTCAAGAAATAATTGTTGAATATGAATACTCTCATGCGCGTATATGTAATGTAGAATGATTCCTCCCTATTCATATTATTATTAGTTTCATTTGATCATGAAGGATTAATTATCTCATACTGAGACAAAAAGGAAATAGTGCGAGGTTCTTCGAGGAGGTCCTGAAATTCAGGACAAAGCTGATCAGCTGCATCTAGACCTAAGATACATTCTCTTGTCATTGATGATTAATCTCTTTGAATTTAAACAAAACAAAACAACGGTCAAGATGGCCATCCTGAAACCCTACACATTTGCCTCGGGTCTCTTTTGTGGACTCACCACTGGATTGCATCTCATTTGGGGTAAGTCAATATTACGCGTTATGAATTTGATCAATTCTTTTCGAATTCATCAAAACATTCATCATGATCATTCAATACATTGCTCTTCATTGAAATCAAAAAAGGAGGTCATGATGTCGTTCGGCCATTTCTAAAACTTCATGAACAAGATCCCAACACACTGAACGAAGAAGTGACTTTCATTCTTCATGCGTGTTGGCATATCGTTTCTCTCTCATTGGCCACCACATCGGCCATTCAAATTTCATATGGCCTCGGAAGACCTTACTTGATTGGCAACTCCTTCATCAAAGTCACTCCAGAACTCGTGAATTTCATCAACACATTCAATGGGTTAGAAGGTTGTATTGTATTGGCGTGCAGTTTTTTCGGGAAAGTCCATGAGGAAGAAATGAAAAAGAGAAGATTTGAGAAGAAATGGTTGCACTTGTTGTTCCGATTACCTCAATGGGCCTTGTTTTTCATTATTGCTGGTCTTCCTTTGCTTGATTAACTGTTCAGGAGCTGTTCTTTGAATCAACTGCAATATTTGCAAATATTCATGAAGAATAAAATCAAGTTTTACTGAAATTCGAAGATTTTGATTAAAGTGGAAGCGCCTATTTGGGATTGTGGACAAAAGATTATCAAACAAGATCATCCAAAAATCAACAGCAGCTGTGAGGAGGAGGCGAGAACTTGAATGGGTCCAATCAAAACCAATGGAAGCAGTAGCAGATGAGATTTTGATTGAGCAACTTTCCATTTCCCATTCATAAACCATTTAAAACCTTTCCGAGATCAGTCCAATCCTTTCCAACAGAACAACAACAACAAAACAAATTACATCAATTTTCAATTGCCACCATCACCTTCCGTATCTACAATGACCATCAAACCGTACGTTTTCACAGCAGGAGCTGTCAGTGCTTTGGGTTTTGCCCTTCATGTGTCATTGGGAGGCAAGCATATCGTAACACCTCTCTTAAAGAAGCATGAAGAGAAACAATTGAATGAAAGAGTCGTTAATTTGCTTCATGCTTGTTGGCATATCACTTCTCTCTCATTGGCAGCTTCTACAGCCGTTCTTCTCTCCTATGCCTTGGGAAGAGACTATTTGATGGGAAAGAGTATCAAGCTCACTCCGGAACTCATTGAATTTGTGAGCGAATTGAATCTTGGTGCAGCATTGGTGGTTCTGGATTTCTCCTTGTTTGGAGTAGTTGATCAAGAGAAGGAAGCTAATTTGGAAACCAAGCAAGTGGTGTTGCATCGATTGACAAGATTCCCTCAATGGATGGCATTTGGTGTGATTGGTCTACTTCCACTGATTGAAAAAAAGTAATTCTTTCTGATTGCTTTAAGTTTTTCGAAAGACACATTCCAGAGGATGCAATTTCGAGGTTGTCATTAATCATAAATTAATAAGAATTTTCTTTTCGAAATTAAAAAAAATAGAGAACATGTCATCACCTTCTTCGTCATCCTCTGAAGTATCAGAACAACAACAACACTGTTCATTTGTAGTTCCTCTACATCTTGTTTCAAATTATTACAGCACCAATCCAAAAGTGAATACAATTCCTGGTCTCTATGTTTTTCCAAATTATATTTCTCAAGAGGAAGCTGAACATATTGTGAATAATATTTTGGATGCAAATGGGTGGTGCAGCGGTGAAATTTGTAGAAGACAACAACACTACGGATACTTGTATTATCACACTAGACATCATTTACCAAATTTACAACCAAAAAAACAAGAAGTTTCTTCATTAAAAAGTTTGGATTTTGATTCATTTTGGAGCGAATTATTTTGGGACAAGATGATCAAACGAGATGGATTATTTAATTGTGACACGTCCTATCACGTTTGGAAAAATAATTTGGAATCTAATACTCGAGAACAACATGATGAAAATGCCAAAAGAGCCGAACCACAATGTTTGGTCAATGAATATATGGGAAATCAAGGAATTGCATCACATGTGGATAATGTGAATGCATTTGGAGATGTTATTGTTGGTATTTCACTTCTCAATCCTGTTTACATGACCTTTAGAAAAGACAAACTAGAAACAAGAATTTTACTTCCTCCCAATAGTTGTTACATTCTTACAGGAGAATCTAGATTTGAATGGAGACATGGAATTACTCACATGAAACAAATTTATGTGCCTCGAGAATATCTCGTTCCAGAAGCAACTAAGAGTTCAACAAATAGTTCATCAGAAGACGAAACAGAAGGTAAAATGTTCATTCGAGAGGAAAATTATCGAAGAATTAGTTTAACATTTCGATTCATTAAAATCGATGGTACCAAGAAAGTGGAAGGAAATGAACCAAAAGAAGAAGGAGCATGGTAATTCAGCGATTCACCTCGAATCATCATCAACAACAACATGGTGAGCTCAATAAATGTATTGTTGTTTTCATGATGGAACGCAATAACTAATTACAAACAACACATGCATTCAAGACAAGAATAAAGAGCATCGTATAGTCAAATAGTTAGACCTTTCTTTTATTGAGGGAAGAATTCGATCATCGAAGAACTCGGCACCAAAATCGTAAAATAAAAAAGCGCAACGGTTACATCCTTTTACGATACAATAGACCACCATTCGGATCGGAGGACTGATCAATTCTTTGGGCAAGAAAATCACATCAGACGCATTGATGAGGGATTAAACAAGGTTGGATTAGTTCTCAACCCTCCCTATTTGCTGTAAATAATAATTATAACTTGTTCATTGAGTTACCCTCAATTTTGTATTCAAACCCAATTTTGTTCTTGTACATAATTAGAGAAGAATTCATTCTCGAGCTCGAGTTTTCAGGAATCATCAGTTTCTATTTGAGAAATAATAATGAATTGTTTATCATGCTTTTGTGTTGGAGGAAAAAGGGGCAATAATGTGATCAAATTATCATCCGCGGCCAAAAAGGAGTTGCATAGGATTGAGAAGAAAATTTCAGACCTGTTTCTTCATAATGCAAAAATTGAGATGTTCATTATAAACTCCAAAGAGGAAATCATGTAGGTTTCGTCCATGATTTAATGCATTTTCACAATAATTTGGTCACATATGGAAGTTATCACACTGAACATGCATCTCTTACAACAGGAGCTGTCGATTACGAGACCCTCATTCATTACACTCAATATTTAAAATCCTCTTTGATACAATTTTCGAGGAATATCAACAATGACAAAACCTCTTCTTATTACTCAACGCATATCAAAGGGTCACAAACAATTTTTTCACTGTACACTTTAGAAATAGGATATGTAAGTATTTCATTTCCTTTTTATTGACATTGGATACAATTGATTGAATATTTGAAAAAAGGATGTGGCCTTTTACACACGATTACCATCTGAACTTCATGTGTTCGGCATTAATTTAGCTGAAATCGACAATAGCATGATGTCTATTCTCACCGACATTACCAATGCCATTGACTATCTCAATAATGAATGACCAATTTGAATATCATCAAGCTGGCAATAAAAACAAAGATACCTATTATCCATGTCGGACATGTTGGAATTGTTGATATCATGACGAGGACCATACCACATCTCTTCTATTTGTATTCAAACAAAAAATATTACCATCATTCATAACCGCATCACAGCAACAACGAACAACCAGATACATTCTGTCCGAGCAAACATCATCATCAACAACAACAACCCCATTTCATCATCATACCTATGGCCACCGAAGAACATCAACGTAATTGGCAAATTTTGAAAAAGCTCCGTGAGAGGCCTGAGAACAAGGTCTGCATTGACTGTCCAACCAAAAACCCGGACTGGTGCTCTCTTCAATATGGAGTTTTCTTTTGTCTTTCATGCTCGGGAGAACACAGAGGATTAGGAGTTGATGTTAGTTTTGTAAAATCAGCAGTTTTGGATAAGTGGAGTGACGAACAAGTACAATCACTCGTACACGGAGGAAATAAGAAGGCCCGAGAGTACTTTGCGAGTAAAGGAATTGATAAACTCAGCATCAAACAAAAGTACAATTCAAAAGCCGCGAAGGAATACGCTGCTCTTTTGAAACAACAAATTGCCAAAGCGTAAGTGGGGTTAACTTTAATGATGTATTATTCATTTGTTTTCTTTGGAATTTTCGAACGAACGGTGTGATGATGTATTGTGCCAAATCGAACCGAATCAAATCCTACTTTCATATCATCCCGTACAACAATTTTCAACATTATGTTCCATATGAAAACAATTCAAATGCACCATCATCATTAATAATAATTATTATTATCAACACAGTAACGAAGGAGCTGAGAAAAAACCAACCCTCACTGTCAACACCGAAGATATGAACACATCACCACATGAAAAAGTTAAATCTGCACCACCACCAAAAACCAACAACAACTTGGATTGGGATTTCGAACAGGAAATGATGAAAGATATTGTTTCAAGCCCATCACCAACCACTCCTCAAGTCAACAATGAACCAAAATACAAGGTTCTTACATCAGCAAGCTCCGATCCAAACAAGACTAAAATCAAGAGTCACCTCCATCAAAACACCAAGTCATCATCTGCATCCTCAACAGGAAAGGATATTTTCTCTCAAGACGCCTATTTGAAATCAAAGAATAGCAAGAATGAAATTAATGATGAAGATGACTTTTTCGGAAAAGAAGGAGTTTCAGAAAAACAAGTCATTAATGATGATGATTTTTTCGACAATGACTGGGATAAAGATTTTGACGACCAAGGATCGTCTCACAACATTAAAAAGGCCTCGTCTTCGCCTAACATTTCATCTAGAGACAACGAATATGGAAATAATAATAATTCTTATAACAATAGTAACAACAGATATAGCGGAATTGGAAGTAGTAATGGATCTTACACACCTACAAACACTTATGGTGCTTCTGGAGATAAATACAGAGGAATTGGATCCTCATATACAGACAGAAGGAAAAATACACTTTCAGGGATGTCTCTCACAGAAATGTCAAGCTCTGATTTAGCGTTTTATTTGAGCGAACAAGCTAAGGATGTTGCTAATAAGACAAAAGAGGTTTCTAGCTATCTGGGAGACCAATTACAAGTTGTTTCTCACAATGTCACAAACTGGTTTAACTCGATGATGCAACCTAATGAGCACAAGTAATTTTTTCACGAATTCTGAAAAGAAATCCAAGAACAACATTTGTACTTTATTCCACTCTTGATTCTTTTTCCCATTATTGCGAGCATGTCACAAATTGATACGGTCTTTTTTGATTTTTAATTAAAGTTTCAAAGCAAACTCAATACAATGCCAGAGTTTTCTCATTTCATGTCAATTCACAAGGCATTGTCAGAAAAGCAACTTCAAAAAAAATGTTCTCCTTCATCAAACAGAAAAAGATTATGGAAGATCTCTCCACAATCAAGAAAAAGCAATTAGTCAAACATGCCGATTATATCTTGGAAAAGAGAAATGAAATTAAGAAAATACAGGAGATGGATGCGATTGGTAAAGCAACAACTCCGAAGGCTGAAATTGCTCCATCAGAACAACAACAGAAGAAACAAACTTCATCAAAACCATCAACAAACAAGAATGACAACACCACATTTATAAACAATAAGAAAAGTGTTAACAAATCAACAAATTCCAGAAATGAATATGGAGGAACATCTTCACAAGTTTTGGTTTCGGAGGAAACACAAGAAAGCTCAGCCACAGAGTCATCAGCTGTGGAATTTCCTCAAACTGAATATCAAAATCATTTGTTTAAAATAGCTGAAAAATTCGAAAAAATTGATCCAGACCTTTCAATGTTTTTTATGAAGAGATTTTATGATGAAATTAATAGCTCTGCTAATTTGGACAAGCACGCAGACAAATATAACAAGTGTTGTCTATTTTGTGGACATTCATTTCTGAACAGAAATGAAGGATATCATCTCATGAAGCAACCATCGAACAAAGTTGTAATTAGAGATGTCACCAAGGACGACAAGTTGTGTTCACTTAATTTGAAGAAATTTTTTGGATCTAAAAAAGAGCGAGTGAAATGGTCTCATATGGTTCATTGCCTATGCACCACGAAAACAGCCTCTAATAACGTGCTTACCTACCGATGCAAGAATTGTCACAAATACTTAATTGTTCCATTTGACAAAGATGTGGCTCTTCAAGTATCAAAACCGGAAAACAAACAAGATGTACAAGCCAAACAAAGAGAACAGCAGAAGAGCCATGCAACCTCAAGTGAAGGCGTAACATCTCCACAAGTGAATATGACTTCTTCCAGCAACATCTCAACCCTTCCCTCATCAACAACAGATAAACCCTCACCCACAAAACCTCAAAAGAAACAAAATCAGTCTCAAGTTTCTCAAAGCACCATACCAAACAATAGCGAAAACTCAAACGAAAAGAAGAGAAAGAGAGATAACGTAAAATCTTTATCAGAGACATCTCAAACTTCAAAAAGCAAGGAAACAATCACTACTCCTAACAATAAGGAAGCCAAGAAGAAAAAAAAGAAGAATATTTCAAGCACGACATCAGCTAGTGACTTTTTGAAAATGCTCTAATTATGGCCATTATTCATTAATTAGCGTGGGTTTAACAGGTTTCGAGTAGGGTACTCCATTCACTGCATCTGTACGATAGGTAAATACTTGAGGTGTTGAAAATGTTTTGGCATGTGATACATATTCACTTTGTGGATGTGCCACATATTTGGATTTTTGCTCAGTTTCACCGATCTGACCAACCACCCCCGTTTTTGTGTTGCTAGTCATAGCGATCCTTGAGCTTGCTGAAAGTTTCATGTCATTAATTTCTGCATGCTTTTCATGAATTGGGTTAAAATGGTCCTTTGAGGTGGGTGCCATACCAAAGTTGCTGGTATGAGAAAATGATTGAGGAATGACATTGGCCTTAATTCTCAAGTCATCCTTCAAAACACTTGGAGGTGGAGCGCTCATATCTACAGTGTGGACGAAAGATTGCAATCCTGTTTTGACTTTTCCACGTTGTTGTGCGTCTCTATACACAATGGCTTCGCTTGACGCAGTTGAAAAGGGTTTTGTTTTGTCGTGATTAGATTTCGTGGTGGTACTATACATGAGCTCTTTCATTCCCGAGTTATCACTGTGAGTGGCCATTTTCATTGTCATATCCAATTGCATTTCTTCAATCTTTTGTCTGTTGAGTTCATAATTGTTGGCAATATTCGGTGCCAGTACAGGTGTTGTAAAAGAAGACTTGGTCTCTGAAGCGTACTTGACCGAAGGATGCAACAACCTGTATGTTTCATTTTCTGTATTAAATCCAATAGGTTGGCACTGATTGATAGTTCCTTCCAAGTGGTGCTCCTTATGATCTGCCGTGTAGGTTATCTTTGTATTCAGAGGAGCTCTCTTATGTATGGATTGTTTGAGATTTTCCGAGAGCTGAGCTCCATGATGAGTGTTCCCGTACGTTGTTTCGTAAATACTAAACGTTGGTTTGTGATGCATCTTGAACAAGGTCGTGATAGGTTCAGGTGTTTTTATTGTTTTTTTAACGATTGAATATATAGAATTGCCGCCAGAAATTACTGTTTACTTTAATTTCGAAGAAAATTCATTGTAGCGTCTCCCGAAATGCCTTCAGCTGCATGTATTGATGAGTTTCTGATTTCCGTCGATTTGAATCTGATGTGTAATGAACGAACGGCACAACCTCTTGAAATCGACTCACCCTCTAACTCAACCGTGAAAATAGTAACCCTGATTGGGGAAATTCTCGGAGATGTACCTGTATGTAAAGTGGAAGAGGTGTTCATAGGACAATCGAAAAAAAAAATGATAATGAAGAAACAAAAGTTGCCTCACATCTTCTCTGGAGTGGTTGCCACTATCGCAGTGGCAGCATGTGTTTGCATGGTTCTCATCACATTGGGTACTTGTTTCAATAGTAATGGAGGAGTGAAGGAACCAGTTTCGGCATGTGGAAGAACAAGTTGCATGTTTTTGTGTGTCGACTTTGCTCGTGGTGATATTTGCCTTTTCAAGAATGACTTCATTGCATTATTCGACATTTGGAACGTATCGACCACAGGTGAAATCTGGTTACTTTTGGTTCTATGTGTTGCACTTTATACCATTAGTGCTGAGTATGCCCATGTTAATCATCATGGCCATTCTTCCAGATGATTCTGAAAATGGAAACATTCATTTGGGAGCAGCCATTGTTGGAATGGGATGTTTACTACTCTATGCTTTGATTAATGTAGTGTTTCAACTCATTCGAATGGTCAAATTGGCTCTAAACAAATCGACCTGTTTGTGTCATGTCCTTTGGAACAAGAATGAAAAGGTATTACCCAATGTTGTGTTTTATGTGGCCTGTTCATGTGGAATTTTGTTGAATCTGGCTCTTGAGGTTATGGCTGTAGTGGGAATGGTGGTTTGGATGAATGGCAATTTATTAGGTGAATGGCTGGCCGTTTTCACCATTGTTGGCACGCTCATTCCTCTCTTTGTGGAAAGTCACTTTGAGTTTTTTGGTAGAGCAACCAACAAATTCTTCGACCACGATTCATGCTGATGAAGAAGAAAAAGAAGAAAATAAAACCTTATTACATGTTGTTGAATGAAATTAGAATAGAGAAACAACACCACTCCTATCCGTCTCTCTAAGCCATAGAGTCCATGAGAATTCAAGTCCTTCTTCTGCTTCATTCCTTTTCGAAAAGAATTGAAAAAATGAAACAAGCCAGGCTCTTCTCGAGAAGTTGTTCTTCTTTGCTCGCCAATGGTCCTACAACAACAACAGCACTCTCGGGAGTAACAGCAGCAACCATTACACCATCCACAGCCATCATTTCCTCGATACTCTCACATCATAGTGAGTCATCTTTTTTGATTTCTTCATCAAATACTACGAATAGTGTACAAACGAGAAACATCAAACAAAGGAAATTTAAAAATGTTTATCAAAATCCTTTTGAAATGGTTGAGGAATACAAGAAGAATCAAGGAAATGTTCAATCATTGATGGATGCTCCAGACTATACTGGTGTTATGCTGTATGATAGTCTTTTGGAATTTAATTTAAAGAGATATGAGGAGGCAAAGAACAAGGGAGTTATTCCTGGTATGTAATAATTATGAATGTTATTATTGTTATTCTTATTCATGAACAACCGCGATGATGGAAATATGAAAATTACAATCTCGTCGTGTTTTCAACATTTCGCTATTGCTCCATTTGTTTTACAATTTTTTGACTTGTTTTATTCCATGATGATGAAATGAATGACTTCTCTATTTACAAATTGCTCTCTGTTGGATGATATGATGAATTAATTCATCACTTCAACTATCATCTCCGAAATAATACGTTCTCTCATTTGGCTTCATAATAATTAATGGCTAATATTATTCAACAATAGGTGAGGAATTGCTTCAGGAAGAACCTCTCCACCAAGGTTGGGTAAACTTTATGAAAGCAGCCAAACCAAAAGAAGGAGAATATCAACCTGGAAAGAGCATTCGTACAGGAGCTATTGGACTAAAGCTTGGAATGATCCCATTTTGGGACAGCTATCATTCTTTTGTTCCTCTGACTGTTATTCACATTCCAAAATGTCAAGTGGTTCAAGTGAAAACAAAAGAAAAAGATGGATATACTGCCGTTCAACTTGGTGCAGGACCTATGAGTGCTAAAAAGTTAACAAAGCCTTTGTTAGGTCATTGTCAAAAGGCCGGTGTGGAGCCAATGCATGTTTTCATGGAAGCTAGAGTTACCGAAGATGCCATTTTACCTGTTGGTTTTGAGATTACTGCTCGTCATTTTATGCCAGGTCAATACATTGATATTACAGGGCGCACAAAGGGTAAAGGTTTCGCAGGTGTCATGAAGAAGTGGGGATTTGCGGGTCAACCAGCAAGTCACGGTGTTTCTGTTGTTCACAGATCTCTTGGTTCAACTGGTACAATGATTAATAAGGTATTTAAGGGCAAAAAGATGGCTGGTAGAATGGGAGGAGAACAAGCTACACAACTCAATTATTATGTCTATATGGTTGATGTCGAAAATAATTGTATCTATGTTAAGGGATCAGTGCCAGGAGGAAAAGGCTCTTATTTATACTTGTGTGACGCTAGAAGAAAAACATTACCTGCTTCACCTCCATTCCCATCATTTATACCTCCAGAAGGAGAGGACTTCTCAACAATGACCAAAGAACAATTATTTTTGGAAGCTCCTGGAGTTAAGCCATACATTTGGGAGACTATGGGTATTACCAAGGAAGAACTTGCTAGAGCTGAACGAGAAGAGTTACCAAAGGTTCTTACTTCATCAGACATTGCCTCAATTCAATCTGCAGATGCTTACGAGCAAGAATTAATGGAAATGAGACGTACGAGAAAGAAGAAGAGAGACCACAAATACGAAGAAGAGGACGAGGAGGATGAAGAATAATTTTAATGAACATTAAATTAGCGGAATATTAAAAAGCATGCATTTTTCAACACTAACGTGTGTTCACTCTTCAATAATTACAAGATTCAACCATATGGTGAGACACCTTTCATTCCTCTTCTTCGTCATGTTCCTCCTCGTACGAGTCTGAATTCAGGAGACTCTACTGTTCAGCTTCATAACACCGAAGACATACTTCAACGGAAGAAGGAGAACCATGGCTTGAACAGAAAGACTCTCCACAATCCACACACTGAACGGGGTTGCACCCTTCTCATACTTGTCATAAAGACAGAGAGTTTTTCGTTTGCTCTTGAGGTGACTAATGATTTTTCGAACACTTCCTTCATTGCCTTCCATTTTCACAACGACAAAGCGACTCAGAACTCAAACGGGTCTGCTTGAATCAAATCCTTTTGAAACAATTTGGGAGAGAGGAAAATGCATGCCTTCTCCTGAGTTTTGAGAGCCAGAGCTTCTTCGACCACTTCAGAAGGGATAGTACAGACTCGATGATCATGAACAACTTTAAAGGGTAGGTGAGAATATACTTGTTTTCCTTCCTTCATGATATTATACATTTCTGTGATGGATTCTTGAATGTGATTGAATATTTCTTGATATTCAGATACTTTTTGAACCATTTCGTTGTAAACGGACACTGGTATGGTATATGTCGCTCTCTCTGAGACACCATCATGTTGTAGAGGTCGTTTCACTTTTTTGGATGGAAGTGATGCTTCTTCAATGACATGTACTTTTTGGCTTTTTGGAATGATTTTCCTTGGTTGGACTGTCACTGGCTTTGAATTGGTTGCATTTGATTTTTGCTGCTTAGAAGACGAAGAGGAAGAAGTGGTCTGTGGCATTGGTTTCTTTTTTTAAGAGTTTTTGAGTGAGGATGAAATTTCATTGAACACACCCAAAAGAACATTTTCAGAAAGACGGATCACAACGAACCCTTAAAAAGATTGAAAGAAGAGGTCCTTTACTTTGAGCACAATTTAGACTTCGAGCCACACAACGGGATATTGTTTGAAGAGCTACCTAGCACAAGTAGTTGAAAGACACGTTGTCAAAATCTCATTGAGTTTAAAAGAACTGAATGGGAAGTACAGATCACTTTACAGAACAATAAAAATGACCACAACACGAAGATTTGTCGCTGATGACATGTTCAAGTTTAACAATGTCAATCTTGATTACTACACGGAGACTTATAATATTCCTTTCTATTTTGAATATTTAGCAACATGGCCTGAATATTTCTATACAGTGGAAACTCCTCATGAAGGAACGGTTATGGGATATGGTAAGTCTTGGTGTCCGATCCATCGATCTAAAAAACTTTTCCGAATGTTTCATTTTGTTATGCATATAATTTGAAATATTACCATGATTTAATTTATTATTATTATTATTAACATGACCGGATGAAACCTTTGGGAAAATTGCCGAATAATATAAAATATAATAATTATTTAATTGGAATTTTGATATTTACCAAATAATAATTCGAATTTTTCATCGGGCGAATATTGGATTCATTGGATAATTACTCAATTCATTTGGAAATTGAATTTTCATAATTATTTAAATTGTTTTCATGATTGAATTGAAAATATTACATCTTGCTGTACCATCGAACTGGTTGTACTCCTTCGCTCTGATGGTATGATGAACTTCATCTCAATGACATTCATTAGTAATGGGAAAAGTGGAAGGAGATAAAGCACGTAAAAAGTGGCATGGTCACGTCACCGCTCTCACAGTGGCTCCTGAATATCGTCGTCTTGGCTTGGCAAAGAAACTCATGTTTCTCTTAGAGGAAATCACTGACAAGATTCACAAAGCTTATTTTGTTGACTTGTTTGTAAGAGTTTCAAATCGTATTGCCATTGGCATGTATGAAAAGTTAGGATACACCATCTATCGTCGAGTACTCAATTACTATTCAGGAAAGAATGGAGAGGATGGATTTGATATGAGAAAAGCCATGCCCTTAGATCCAAAGAAACAATCCATGATACCTCTTGGGCGAGACATTTATCCAGAAGAATTGGAATCAACTTTATAAAAACCTGTTGGTGTGTTTACAAGGACACAAACATTTGATGCATTGTACTGCTCGTCGACGAGCATGAGAATGTATTTTCTTGAATTTTTATCTTGAATCATCAAAGATATTGTGGCTTTCGTATTCTTAGGGGCGCGGTCAGAATAATGCTTGTGTGAAGAATATCGAATCTTTTTGTTTGTCTGCACACGTTCAAAACGTTTGACGAATTAGCTCAAAAAATTACATCCACAATGCCAGCAGTTACGAAGGGAAGAAAACACCAACAATATTTTGAAGAGGAAGAGGAGGAAAACGATATCCAAGTATCCGATTCTGAAGAACAACAAGAGGAAGAAGAAGAAGATGGTGAAGTGAATGGACAAGAAATTCAAGACGTCAATGACGACGATGAGGAGGAAGACAGTGAAAACGAAGACAAACAACATCATCACAAGGGTGGATTCAAAAAGCACAAGTTCAACGACAATGGAAACTTTACTCGAGGAAGAGGTGGAAGAGGTGGAGGTTTTAGAGGTGGTCGAGGTGGACGAGGAGGTCGTGGTGGTTTCAGAGGTGGTCGTGGTGGTGGTGGTGGATTCAGAGGAGGAGACAAGTCCTTTGATGGCCCACGTGGTATTGAGAAACAACACAAGACCGATGGTTTTGGTGGACGAGGTGGAGGTCGTGGAGGTGGCTTCGGAGGAGGTAGAGGACGTGGTGGTGGAAGAGGTGGTGGTTTTAGAGGTGGAAGAGGTGGTCGTGGAGGTCGAGGAGGCTTCAGAGGAGGAAGAAACAGAGAATAAGACGATCTGAACGAGTCGTTCAAGTGGATTACTTGCAAATCCACAAGACATTCATCGTGGTTGTTCTAATTGTTGTTGTTGTTGTTCTGATTGTTGGAGATGATGATGAAAAAACAGCCTTAGAGTTTTCAAGTGTTTGGAAATGCATTGAACAAGGCATTCAAAGCATGAAGGAACTAGTTGAATGATTAATACCTCTATTTATGATGATCTAGGAACTCTTTATTTATACCCCTATTCGTTGTTGATTCTCTCTCTTATAATTGGTGTGTTTTGGAGGAGAACCAATAAATTCAAAGTTATTTCAATTCAAATCTTAAAAATATTTATTTTTAAAAATATTGCTCATCATCATTCTTCATCGCGCTTATTATTGAGAGAGAATGGCTTCATCAGCAACTCTTGGACCATGTTTGGCGTTGGCCGTATGTGTTGGTGGAATTGGTGCCGGCCCATATTTTGGAAGACGCCTTTTTGAAGGAAAATTTGTAGGTGATTTTTGATAGTGTGGTTGTTATGTATGATCGTTGATGACTGTTGTTCACTATTATTTTGTTGTTACTGTTGTTGGATGAACATCTACTTGAAAATCATCATCAATTCTGATAATAATAATAATAACTATTCTCGTGATGAACAACTCATATATTTTGGAATGATGAATATACAAATTGATGATGACATGATGATAACAAAATAACAATAATAATTGGAATGTATTTGATTGTTATGAATTATGAATCGCCAAAATCACGGATTTGCTAATGATAAACCACAAAAAACATGGAATTAATTTGAAACAAATAATGAACCGTTAATCAATGAAAATACTTGATTGGGTGAATCATATATAGAGAGAAAAACAAAAGCCAGATTACTTTAGATATGGCTTGTGGATGAGAGATTATGCTGTCTCCGATACTATCCGAGAAAATGTCGAGCCAACAAATGGTACCATCAAATCGCCTGTGGCAAAACCGCTCCTTGGGTTTATAGGTCCTAAAATCGATACATCAAATCCGTTCAAAGCCGAGTTGGAAGAACAAATGGACAGATTATTGCTTGAAGTGGCACTTAAAGATGCCAAGAAATAACATCACAATGGCTATTTCGCTTGAAGATTGTCACTATTAATTTTTATCAAATGAAACTGCCAGGCTTGATAATTCTCTTAACTCTGAAACAGGGCAATTCATAAAAGTATTTTTCACATAATTATTACGAACATTCTGTCGTTGGTCATTTCAATTCAATATTTGCATGTTAAGTTAACAAAACTCTGGATGACGCTTGTAATCCATTGGTTCAGCTCCACATCTCTCATTCATGTGAGGGTAAGGCTTAATAGTTGAAAAGTCATCAATAGGCCAATACCAAGGACCTGCCACTTGACAAAACATGTAATTATCATTGTTGGCATTGCATTGATTTGGTCTTTGCCAATTCTTGTCCCAAATATCCAACTGATAGACATCCTTGGGAGTAAATTCAGCACTTTCAAAGTGGTGAGTCAAGTTACCAAATATTCCTGCAGCTTTAAGCAAATTCATGTACATGACACTACACACCATTTGAGGTTTGCCGTTATCATACAGCCAACCATCTCGTTCTGGAAGCGTCAAGGCATAATTGATGGTAATATTCAAATCTGTAATTGTTTCAAAAACGCACATAATATCGGTGCAGTTCTTATTCAATCCATAGTAATGTCTAAATCTCTGATTCATTCCTTTCACAAACAGTAATTGAATCGCTGAACCCATATACCAATTATTAAATAAAACAAAAGTAGCACCAATCATTTCACCTGACAATGGAGTTGGATAATTGTCATTTTCTGTATCAATCCATGCATATGCAATGTTGTTATACCCATATTCATTACCGTCGAGAGTTTTAAATAGAGCTGCGGCTGCAGATTCATTGTAGAGTTTTCGATATCGTGGAGCGAGACGAGCAATAACAATGGTTGAGTCGCCCTTATTCGATAAATACCATTCGGCCCATTTTGTTTTACGAATTCCTTCTTCTGTAGATTCCACAACATATTTAATTCCATCAATTTTGAGAATGGATGCAATGTGACCAATCTGTGATGTATGCCAATTGAATAAGAAATGATCAACCAAAAATCATTTTAAATCATTCATGGATTCAAAAAATGATGCAACAGTCACACATAGTATAACAAATGATATATCAATGAAATCATTATAACAATGTGACAAGATAATAATTTCAACATACTCTTGCACCAGTTCCATACATTAAAAGACAATCCAATCCACTCATTTGCAACTGAGCTACAAGATCTCCGCTCTCCAATTCCGAATCATCTAACCAAATTTCTTTCACGGGTCTTTCATTGAACTCAAATCCCATGTCACGTTTCAAAAAACTAATCTTATCTTCCTCAAAGTACATTCCTGCTAAAATTTTACCTGCATTAAATGCATCTATAATGGTTTGGAAAATTTGATCTTTAAATTCAAAAAGTCTCAATCCATTTTGCAAGACGTCTTGCCATTCACCAATTTCTGCATTCAGATTTTTTAACACAACTTCATGTTTTCCTTGCATAAATAAAACTTTCACAAAATAGTTTTCTCGAGTTGTAATAAAGTACCAATCATAGCAAAACATTGAAGATGGTTCATACGTATTAAATTCAATAGTGACTGAATGGCTATCATTATCAATATTTGTGATTCGAGCAGAAGTGTTTTTGAAGCAAGGAGCATTACTCCAATTTAAACCATTTCCTGAAGGATTCACATTTCCAATAAATGTTGGAACCCAATTTCTTCTGTGATCTGGAGGTTGTGGTTCCGAAGAAAATGATGATTTAGAATGGCCATGATGTGATTTTGGTTTTGAAATCAAAGGTGAGGATACTTCATGTTCCTTCTTGCTCGAATTTTTAACAAGTTGAAATAGTTCTTTCCAATTCATTGGTTTTGCAGATCGAGCAATTGAAAATGTTTTTACAGAATGACCCGTTTGTTCAATGAGAGCAGTTTCTGTTTTATGAAATGGAGATTCACTTTCAGTGAAAAAGTTCAATGCTCGATCAGGTTTGTTTTTTATGGAAGAAGAGGATCGATCATGTTGAAGAGATTGAAAATCATTCAATAAATGTTTGATAAACATTTGAAATTGTTCCGTACTTGATGTCATGTAGGAAACAGTGTTTGAAGATGAGGAGAAAGAAGAAGAGGAGAGTGATTGGAGTTGATGTGGTATTTTGAGAATAGGAATAGCAAGCGCTAAGTGATGATTGAAAGCCATCATGATGAGAATGATAAAGCAACAGCAATGGATGAAAGCTATCATCTTCATTGCCGTGGTAGTGGTAGTGGTGATAAATCGGTTCCGTAGTCCATTGGAGGATTCGGAAATACCTAATCGTTGCAACATGTATTTCCCTCTTAATAATGTACAACAATGAATGATGAAAGACAATATACAAACACTCGCGTGAAAATAATGTACAATGAATGATGATGATGATGTCCGGCTCGGAATGTATTCAACCACCTCGAAACTGGTTGGTTCCAGTTTGTTGTTGGACAAAAGATTTTTTTGTTCTAATTTTGCTTTCGAAAGGTACTGACTTATGCAAGTCACTCATTTCCTTTTGCGTTCTTTTATTGCTCATTGATAAGGCTGTTGAGGAAGTTGGACTAATTTAATTGTCATAGGGTTCGTAAGAACCGCCTTGTAGAGGTGACGAAATGGGCGTAGGAGGGTTGGTGACGGGATGGTTCGCTGCATGATCAAAGCTCTGTTTAACGGCGGCCAACTTGGGTAAGGCAATCTTGTTTGATCGCAAATGAGAAGGTAAAATATCTTCACTGCTTGGATTAACTTTTTTGAATTGAACAATTTGTCTAAACATCAATTCCAGAATGTGTTTAGCACTGAAATGATATTCAGACTTGAGCAGTTTTGTCACTCCAACAATTTCACCTGCTTTTTGAATAAAGTACTCTGCATCTTCATCCGTGCATCGATTTGTTAACTGTGCCAGTCTAACATCCTCAGAAGCAAATTGTTCATCCAAATCAAACAAATCAATTTCAGGAGGAGCAAACTCTCGCAATGAAGGAGGATAAACAGCAGGTTTTAAACTTGGTAAAGGTGTTTCAAAGGCTGGTGGAATAAATGTAAGAGGAGTATGTTTCACTCCTAATTGAGCATATAAATTAATAGCATCAGGAACAAGATCTGTATCAAATTTGAACATCTTATCAACAAATAATTCGTTGAAATCAATTGGTAGCTCTTCACTTTCCTGTAGACACGATTTAACCTTCTCTGAAATAGATTTAGAGTCTGGTAGAAATTGATAATCATTCACCTCTGGGGAGGTTGAGTCTATTTGATTTAGATCAAAGCCATAAAGAAGCCATTTGAATATGACATCTAACAAGCTTGAGTTTTCTTCCTTATCCAACCACTTGTCATCAAACATATGTACGCTACCAAGAACTGCCACTTTTCCCTTGTCATTCTTGGAAGAGTAAAAAGCGCCAACAGGCCTATTAACAGGGTACGAGACATGACCTGAAGATAAAATTGCTGTTGCTGGGCTCTCCACATTCAAGGTAGCTCCATATGGATATACAAACGTTAAGTGTGATGAAGGATCTGACGCGTCTTGAGCAGCGTCTAACGTCTTTCCTGCCTCCTTATTTATGCTTCGATTTAGAATTCCCTTTTGAACACAAACTTCTTTTGGATGATAATATTTAAAGAATGATGTTCTTATTACAGTGTCCGAGTTGATGAATATTCCCCACTGTTCAAGGAGGTAGTTGATATTCGTTTCAAATCTTGGTTCTCCTCCCTCCCCGAGTTGAAAAAGAACGCTTCCTCCTTCTTTTATGTATTGTTCGATAGTGGAAAACTCTTGTTCGGTAAACTTTAATCGGGGGCCACAAAATATTACTAGATTGGCTTGTTTTAGTTTTTCTTGCGTGATTTCTTCCTCATTACTGGCAAGTTGTATGAGCGAGATCATCAGTTTGAAACATCCCAACTCATCACCGAATAACTTACATTAGAGTTTTATATTCCATCCTTATCTTTTTATACAACTTTTGCAAATTATTCTTCGGAGTTCCATATTCATTCTTGCAAGTATTAAACATGATTGTCTTTGGCGATGGTTGTTGAGGCGCTTCGGCGGCGCTTTTGGATAATTCTAAAGACATTTTTTTTGTAGTTGAAAATGAAGGATTTCCCGCCACAACGAGTACCCAGTATTTTTATATCTGATATATTTCAATGATACTAGAGAATTATTATTATTTAATAACAGATCGAATCGATCGGAAATTCCTAAACACATAAACCATTTGATCATCTATTTGGTTTTATCATTTTTCAATCATGAAATTCCAATCCATTTCGAAATTCTTCATCAATTCTTCTAACAAATATTGTTAAATCCAAAATATCCACCTTGCATGAGATTATCCACCAGTGATTTAATTCCCATCGCTCCAGTCAATATTGATGAAATGGCAATAAAGATGGCAATAATGAAAACAATGAGACTTGGGCGATTGAATCGTTTCATTAAAAGTGCCACCACAACTTGACCTGCAATTCCACTCAGAATTCCACACACAAAGTACCAACCTAATAATGGTAAATGTAAATCCCAAGAAATATCCATAATTGTTAAAAGATTGATGTGAATATATTTTCAAAGTCGTGATACCAAATTGCAATCCATATTGTTGTGGAATTTTAGAATTTTATCACAACGTCAAGAAACATCAACAAGTACTTACAGAAATAATCCCATGAGACAACACCCATAATTAAGAATTGAATGGCAGTCGATGAGCCAGTCAACAATACTGTGAAACTTGAAGTGGCAACACCCACAAGAGGATGCACTCCCATTTCTAACAATAGAGGACCAACCACTAATGATGAATAATTCAGATTCATAGGTCGGTGTTCACAAAAGTAGAATGTGAATTCCACAACAATTGTCATTACTTGACAACACTTGTTTCAAAATAATGATTAACATACCCAATCCACCACCAATACCAAGTAAGCTTGCTGCAAGACCTGCTGTGAAAAAGACCAATGGAATGAGAGTGACATTTCGAGTGGTCCATCTGATATCTCCCTCTAAATAATTGTATCCATGTTGTTCCTTTTTGTGATGCAAATATCTCAAAATAACTCCAGCAATGCCAGACATGAGAAGCAATAAAGGAAATGATGCTCCTACAATGACCCAATCTTTTTATCATTGCATGTGTGTGAATATATGTATGTGTGTGAAAATCGAATCAACAATTCGACAAACTTACATTCGACAGAACATTTTGCAATTCCCAATACGGATGGAAAGGATTTTCCTCCTTTCAAAAACGAAGAAATAAACACAATGGACCAGCTCAACAATAATAAACACCAAGAAATGACAGGAAATGCAATCAATTCTGATTTCTTAATTTTCTCCAACGTTGGTGAATAAGGTTTTGATTCTAAGGCTTCTTCGAGTGAATTTTCCAAAACAAGATTCTTATCTTCCTCCTCATGGACATGATGAGAATCAGCATCATGATGCTCAACATTCTCTTCCAATGGAGTTTCCTGAATATTTCTTGTGTCTTGCTGCAACTCGAATTCGGCATTTGTCAATCGAGTTTCTACCATTTGAGGATGAGTTTCAACATTTTCTTCTTCCTCAACAGAGTTAGAAACTTGTTTTTCTTGTTGTTGAAGAGCTCTCTCTTCATTTTCCTTCTTCCACATTTGTCTTCCCTTCTTGATCGATCGATAACTCACCACTAACAAGACAAGCAAGAGCATGACTGTCAAAGACCAATTCGGAAACCACACATTAAGAAAGACTCCTACCACAGAACCAGCCAAAATAATGGGTTCCACAATGACTGCAATTTGATAATCAATGAGTGGTCTCTGATTGTCTAAAGGATGTCTTTTGAGTGCAAGAGTGGCATAAACACTCGCAGAAGCTCCAAAGATGATAATGGTGGAGAGAGCAATGGCAACACTTGCTGGATATCTTCCAATGAGGAATAAGACAGGAACTGTGTCATTAATGAATTCATTATTCATGGTTCATGAACATGCGAGTTGGATCATGTCGTAGTAGTATCAAATTGTTGTTGTTGTTGTTGTTGGTAAAACATGAAAGGTCGTCATGATGATGATTAAGGAATTTTTGTACTTACCACTGTCAGAGGTGTGAAATTTTGAACATGTACAACAATTCCTATATGATACATATAGATACTTACTGTACACACACAAGGATGTGTACAGTACATTCATGTGAAATGAACAACACAAACAGTGCGATACCACAAAAGACGAATGTAATTTCCCAAAAAGAGAAATTTCAAATCCAAACATTTTGACGGTCAATCCTAAATAAAAAAACAAATTGTTTTCAAACATTATATAATTACCTAAACTCCTCCTCCTCCAACACCTGAAGCAGCTGCAGCAATCCCTCCAAATGAAGAGAAAAACGATCCCATGAGATCCCAAATAGTAATTGGAAATAAATTTTTTGGTCCACACAAACCAAATGCAATCGTCACATGATTCGAATGATTTCCAATTAATTTCACACTTCGATTTTGCACTCGACACACCACATAGGGATCATCGATACACAATTCTCCCTCTCTTGCCAAATCACAGGATTGACAAGTAGAATTGATACATAATAAATGTTTTCCACATTGAATGGTCGAATTGCACGGCGAACCATAAAGAGGATCCACACGTTGCCAATCAATGATGGAAAGGTTGTTGTTGTTGTTGTTTGTATATTCCAATGATGCATTAGTCTTGAAAAGATGTTGGATTCCATTCTCTTCGTTTGGATACTTGGTGTGAATCCTTTCCAAGTGATAATTGCTATCATCATCATCATTGAATTTGAACCATGAAAGAGCTGCCACAGCTTCCGACTTGAAGAAAAAGAAACAAACAAAGACTGTGATTAGGAGGGTCGTCGTCAGCATGCTGAATGATGAATGTTGTTGTTGTGATTTCATGATGATGTTACTTTTTCTTCGGAATAAAGGAAAGACGGACGACGTCGGAACAACAAGTATTTCGTTTTTCATTTTCTTTCTTTGGCGAAATGAAGTGAGAGGAGAATGGGGATTCTCGTCTTTTTTGAGAGTGAAGAAAGCGATTCAATTACAACAAATTGAATGGAAATGCTGAAAGAGGGAAAATACAGTGTGACTGCCATGATAATCAAAGTGGAAGCTTCATGCATCACTCTATTCTCTTATTTTCCCTCATTTTCTGTTAAGCCATGTTGGTCATTCAAAGATCGCGGTGCTGCAGAAATCTCATCCTCTAATGGTGTATTACTCAGTGCCAACAATAATAACCACACACCTTGAAAACTCTTGAAATGAATTTGTTGCTTTTTCCTTTTTTAGACTTTCAATTCTTGCAAAAAAAATGAGAAGACCCTTCATTGGTGGTAACTGGAAGTGCAACGGCACTCTCTCCTCGATCAAACAACTCGTCTCCGAATTGAATCAAGGAGCAGCTACAAACAATAGTGTAGAAGTTATTGTGGCTCCATCTGCTCTCCATATCGGATTGGTTCAATCTTTGGATTTGAGAAAGGATTGGAAGATTAGTGCTCAAAATGTGGTTCAAGAAAAGAACGGTGGAGCCTTTACGGGAGAAATCTCTGCTGTCATGTTGAAGGACATGGGAATTGAATATACATTGTTGGGACACAGTGAGAGAAGACACATCTTTGGTGAGTCCAATGCTGTGATTGCAAGGAAGGTTAAGGCTTGCGAGGAGATTGGATTGACCATCATTGGATGTGTAGGAGAAACATTGGAAGAAAGAGAAAGAGGTGAAACCAATACTGTGATCACTACTCAATTGAAAGATTTTGGTGTTACGAATTGGGATAAATTCGTGATTGCCTATGAACCAGTGTGGGCTATCGGAACTGGAAAGACTGCCACTCCTGAACAAGCACAAGAAGCTCACAAGGTTTTGAGAGATTGGTTGAGTCAAAATGTAAGCTCCGAAGTTGCTGACAAAGTGAGAATTATTTATGGAGGAAGTGTGAAGGGTGACAACTCTGATGAACTCATTAAGAAACCTGATATTGATGGTTTCCTTGTTGGAGGTGCAAGCTTGAAAGGAAAGGAATTCTTGCAAATTGTGGAGTCTGGCGTCAAGAAGACCCAACAACAATGAATCGCCAAGAGCAAGTCAAAAATTAGTAAATTATAGCATTATGCACGACAAAAATTTATTTCGCGTGTGTTGTGGTGTTTAATGTTGTTGTTGAATTACAATTTTTCTACGACCTCGTTGCAAAGAGTTGCATATTCCAAGCTGGTATCACAACAACAAATGTAGCATGAATCATACATCATTTCAATAATTAAAAACTTACTTATTTTTGTGTTTCAACATGTTAAGGTAATTCAAACGAAACTCCTTGTGCCACTTGAGAATTTGAACAATCGAATTCACATCACAGACCAAGGTTGCCACAAGTAAAGCATTTCCAAAACACTCACTCTCAATGAAACAATCCTTCAAATAAATCAAATCGTGGTATAAATCAAGAAGCTTACACAGAACATGTTGAGTACTTGTGAAAAGATGTGAATTCTCAAATTGCTGCAAATGCTTATTCTTCATGCTATGTTCCACACCAATTTTAACTTTGCACGCTCTTGGCAAATTAAAGGATTTGTGAATTTTTGAGAATGAGTCTTCCCATGTTAAAAGATCATCTTGCATGGAAGAAAGTAAATGTCCTGACTTGTCTCGCTCGCTTTTGAGCCAATTCTTGAGAGAAAACACATCACTTAATGTTCGTTCTAGTTGTAGTAGTGCAAAAAAGTCAAAATTAACCATAAATTCTCTTAATTGAATCGAGAGCATGCTACCGAGAATCATCTGATGATCGCTTTGCATGGTGACCTCTTGTTCATCTTTTTTCAAAAAATTAATAAATGTTGTGGGTGAGTGACTACCATTATTCTCGTGATGTCTGTTTTTCACAACAATGGATAGAGAAGGGGTTTCGTTAGTGCCGCTCAAATTGTCATTCTCACTCATTTCATTCATTCTTTCCATTTCTTCTGCTCTCTTTTCTGCCTCAATCCTTTTGATAAACCTTACAATATCGTTAGAGAGTTCAAATTCTAATTGTGAAAAAGCTAATTTCAAAACTTCATAGGAATAGGAAAGAACTTGATCGATACCTTCAGTGTGCTGTAAAATTTTAAGCATGTTGGCAGCAGAATGAACTGATTTTTGCTTAATAAAGGAATCAAATATGATTCGAGGAGGCTGTGGAAGGCAATTAAAAACCTTGCTCCAATGAATGATATCCGTTTTTCGAAGACAGTTCACCACAATATCTATATAGGTTTCGTATATCAAATCGATCGATGCGTTAACTTCAAGACTTACCGTAGAATTGAGGAAAGTTTTGCAAAAATTTTACCACATAGGGCAATCCGTCCTCTATTGTGAAATTTCACGACATGCAATTAATAATAATTAACATACAATCCAATGAATGACATTGAATATCCATTCAATAATGAACATAGAATGTTGTTAAGTGAAATATTTCCAGCAACAACACACTTACGCATATCGACTCTTGAAAAAACTCCCTCTTCTGTTGAGCGCTCTATAGACAAGTAGGTGGAACTATCGGTACTTCCTAATGCACAATGCAACATCCACTCCAAATTTGCCACAAAGGACAAGGCAGAGTTTTTGTGAGGCGGTAATTGCTTGGTAAATGACACCAAAGACTCAAATGAGTCAACATTTTCTGACACAGATTCTGTGGGAGCTTTGGAATCTACGTGTTGTTCAAATAATAGACCTAAGAGGAGACCGTGAACATATGGATACATTTTTGGTTGCATTTCATAGTATGGAAAACCAAGTGGATTTTCCATAAAGAGTAAATCTCGACTGTTAAATCGAGAAGAAGGTACGGATAATTTGGAACGAGATTGTGAGTGAGTATTCTCTACATCCATGTGAGCGCTCAATCTCTGCTTCACAGTCTCTGAAATTTGAAGAAACACTCCAAAATCTTTCAAGACGCCCATTGGAACAGCTTCCGTATCAAAAGGAATGATATTTTTCACTCGAATGTGGTTAATTTTTGGAAGTAGAGAGAGATCCACAATGGACATGTCTGTTCCTTTTCTTGATTTTCCATTAAATGTAAAATAAATAAGCTTGTCATTGTACGAACGTTCTTGTTCAATCCACAATCCATCGACTCCATTTTCTAGAATAAATTCTTTTTGAGTTCCATGCAACTTAAAAGCTCCAAGATCTCCATTGGCATGAACGAAAAGAAGTCTCACCGAGGAAAGCAATTTTTTGGTTTCTGAAGCGTTCACACCAGTGGTTGATTTGCATGACACACTGACCATAGACCTAGGGATGCTTGTGTGAAATTGTGTCATGTCCATGATTTCTAATTTTGTGAGTTTCACTTGAATATTATTGTTCTTGTCATAATCGATTGGGCATGTATAGATGTGCAATTTCATAGATTCGTCGTACATGAAAATAATGGGCACAAGTTTCATTTGCTGTTGAGTAATTCTTAGTAAAACTGATGTGCTATCAATAAATAAAATTTTGGACTGTGAAATTACCCTTCGTTCAAGTCGGGAAACTTCGTCCAAGTGAGTCCTAGGATAGAGCAATAACTCACTTTCATTCTGGTCATTAATGGAAACAAGGGCAAGAATAACATTATCAATCCAAACCATTGCTGAGCATTTCACTTGATATTCTTGTTCTAAATTTCCAAACATTCTCCACTTTTTTGATGTTCCAGAATAAATGACACATCCTCTCGATCCAGAAAGTGCAATGTGATTTCGATCTCCGCTAATGGCTACATTTTCGATTGGATAATTGAATGTGAGATATGAAAGTGGAATTTGTAAAGGTTCCCAGTCAGCACTCACAAAGTCCATTCCAGAAGACATGTGAAATCGTAAAAGTTTGTTCGTTGTTTGAAGAATAATATCTGATGATTTGCTTTGGGCAAAGCTTGAACATAATATACTTTTACAGAATGTAAAATCTGCCAATGTTGTCGTACCATTTGAAACTGCAATTAAGTGATAACCTTCGCTATCCCACAATAGAGTTCTAACTCCTGAGCCAAATGGCTCTGTTTTTGCAGAAATTTCACAAGTGTTGACAGGACTTGAATGCGTTACTTGGGATCGAATACTTTTTACAAATGAATGCAAGGTTATTTTGTGAATGCATTAGATTAGAATATGTTTGAATTTGGTACAATTCAGAAAATGGAGAAAATTTGTAACAAACCTTTGCATTTCTTTTTCGGAAAATTGAGGAAGACTTGTCATGATGCAAACTCCTGATATATGAAAAATAGCAAAACCTCGCTTGCTGTAGCCAACAGCAATTGCCAACCCATCATGAGAGCTAAAACACATGGAAGAAGCATGCCCCAATTCTATTGTGAATAGGTCATTTAGCGAATGAATAGTGAAGAAAATACTTGATATTTTTCTGTCAAAGCCATATTGAACTTACCTTCACTCGTGAAACCCCGATAGGAAAGAGATAATTTTGATCGTTCGCTAATGGAATGGTTTTTGCTAATTTCATAAATAATAACGTCTCCATTGTTGCAACCGATTGCTAATAAATTATTTCTACTGTTGAATTGAACACACACAGCATCAATACCTTCAATGGTTTTCAATACTTTTAAGCTTTGCAATTGTAATTTCTATTGAGCAACATTGTGATTAGTCATTCATTGCGGATGGCAAAACCCAAATAACCAACCTTCTCTGAAGAAATGATCAAAACAATTCCTAAATTCAAAACTATAGCAAATATCTTGTTATTCGTATTGTAGCTCAAACTTATTATCCCCTTATTTGTTATTAAAAAATAGTGATTACATAAACAGCAAGTAATGATAATGTCACGATAATAAAAATCACACAGGATGAACATAGTAAATCACCATATGCACAATTTTCAGCCTATTATTCACATACCAATTCAGTGTCATTGGAGTCCACTTGTTTTCTATAACTTTGAGACAAATTTTCATAAATAAAATCAGGTCCAATATATTGTGAAAAGTCACTACCTCTCCATGATGTAAATAGAAATCCTCCATTCGTTGTTCCAACGACAACATTGTCTCCATCCGAACAGATTCCTCCAATATTTCCGTATTCACACTCTAACACACAAAAACTCGAAATTGAAATCGTTGAATTGACAAAAGCATTGGACTGACTTCTATGTTTGATATATTCTTGCTCGTAGGACTGTCCAGATTGAATGAAATGTTGATATCCGGATACCTTGAACACTAATAATGAATTTGTCGACAATGGAACAACCAGAAGAGAAAAATCATGAAATATCTTCCATAACAAATCTCCTCTCGGGGCGCATTTAAGCTCAATTCGTTGTTCAAGATGATAGCCATCCTATACAATTGTTTTTAGAATTCGTTTGTGAGAATTTGGAATTCCAAATAAGTATATAAATTCATCGCAAAACGATATAGACAATCATATTTATATATGAATATTATTGTGATCACATTCCGATGAGTGAGCAGATTAAAAGATTGATATTTACATGTTTCACTGTCCATACAGATAAACTTTTTGTTGTGGTTATTGCTAACAAGGGCCAATACTGATTAAAGGCTACTCCGATAACTTCCTCTTCACCATTCGAAAATTGCCGATCCACACATTTCAACGTATTGACCCAACCCACAGGAAAATACATGTTGATTATTTTTTTTACTGCTGGAATTGATCACCAGTTAATATTTAATTAATGATTTATAAATATTTGTTTCCATATTAATATGGAAAACTCACTGAACAATTCTTTACATGCATGTTTAAACTCTTTCGCCGAGAAACCTCCTCCCACAAATCTGGCGACACTCTCTGTGATTTCCTTCCACCATCCACGTGTTTGCTCTGGAAAGAAATAATAATAGGCCAAAACAGCGAATGCTCCAACCTGAACGGAATGCACTCCCATTCTGATCATGATGTATTGATGACGAGGTAAAGTCCAACTCAGCATGGTCATTAAACCAAAGGAGCTGTCATGTTCTTTGGGTACTGCTTTTGTCGTGTCCACATTGAATGCCTGATTGGCACGAAGAGATGAATTCTCCTTGTCAAACATGCATTTAAGCATGAATGAAGCAACATCTGCTCTCGAAATCACTCCTTTACCATCTTTCAATACGTCAAGTCCCTTTGCATATCCATAATCGAGAGTTAAACAAGAGTCCACCAATCGTGGTGGTCTCACAATAGTAAAAGTCACCTGTGAATGCTCACACAACGTGTCAAGTTTGTGTTCGGCATTTCCCAAACCATCATAGATGTGATTCAACAAGTACTTCTTGACCACCTTTCTAAAGAACCATGGATGTTCCTCACTGTCGACCAATGCCACTGAGGTGACCAATACAAAATGTGTTGGGTGATTCAACTTTTTCATGGCTTGAACGGCATTCACTGTACCATCCTCCACCACAGTGGTTGGAGTGTTTTCACGAGTTCCCAATGCACAAAAGACACCCTTTAATTTAGATGATGTGCTAGAATTGCAAATGAGCGTTTCAACATCTTGCATTGGTGGCATCTCCCTTGACAATGGTGAGAAGAGGATTAGAGGACAATTCCGATAAGGAAGAAGGATTTCGAGCTAAAACACGAACTTTCACTCCTCGAACGAGTAGAAGCATGAGCAGCTGTTTTCCGATCCTTGTGTGGCTATTTATTTGTGGAAAAAAGTAGTTCAATTGGAAAAGTGTGTTGTTTCAAAAGACTTACCTCCAAGGAAGGCGTATTCTTCTGATTGATTGTTGTGAGTTGTGTTTGCAGACATTTTGTTTAAGTGTGTGATATTGGAACAACGTGTTTTGATATTCTCTTTTTTAACTGTTGAGGAGTAATTGGAGGTTTAGGACAAATAGATGCATAACCCAAGAGATTGATCTAAAAGTCCGTCGCGCTTCAGAGAGCTGTCATCTTGTCAGCTCACAAAACGTGGACGTTGAGAGTTAATTCATGATAAAAAACGGTGCAATAATATTTATGTCATAAATCTAGTGGTAATATCTAAAGATCAATTTCAATTTTGTCTGAACAGGACAAATCCCTTTATGTGTTTACAAGAGATTTTCTCTGTGTAAATTACACAAGAATTGATTAAAGTTGAAAAGAGGGCCATATTGCATATCATGCCAATAATTGACAGCAATCACAACTCCTTCTTCGTTGTGTTCTTGGGCCACCTGATGCAGCCAGAGTGAGGGTAAATACAGAGCATCACCAGGCCCTATCTCAACTTTGAGAGGAGTAGCATACTTGTATCTTGGATATTTCTTTTCCATTTCTTCTCGTGATTCCTTATCTGGATCAATATCAATCCATGGGACAGTCGTTGCTTCATCTTCTATTTTCCACTCTTTCTTTTCAAAGTCAAATTTATAATGAGCTTCTTGATAATTTTTGTAAGGAACATTGACGACATCCGTTGGAGGATACAATGTGAAAATCTTCTTGCCAGCAATCACGCAATAAATGTTTTCGTAGGGGTCTTTATGGAGAGAACTAGTGCTTTGTGAATCTCCAATCCATAGGTTCACAGCATCGGGTAAATTATTGAACGCACGAACTGCAAATCCCAAATATTCAGGAACATCTTCCATTAGAAAAGGGTATTCCTAATGATTTTAAGGAAATTAAATTTTCATGCCTATACTCAACGGTACATTATTGTTTCAATAGTTACCTTTGTCAAACTAGAATTTTGATGTTGAGCATAAAATATTGTATTCATTGAATTCATTCCATTTACATCCTCTTCCTTAGCCTCTTCTGGCGAAATATCCTCTTTCAATAATCTTCTCTTATTTTGCAAAAGTCTAATGAATTGAGAAAAACTCATTTTCAACTCCATTGGTTTAATAAACTTGCCATCATGAACTGCATCTGCTTTTCCATTTGGGGTACATGCTACCGAAATTTCTCGTTCTCCAATAACTTGCTTGAAATAATTCACATTCCACTTATCAAATGCTGGCCAATCACAAACAGCATTCCGAAACACGACAGGCTTATTGAAAGACACGTAGTGCTGAATAAAATTTAAAATTTCATCTTCATCGTCGTAGCAAGGAAAACCATTTAACTCCTCTATTTCAGCTTCCTCCAATTCACTACCTCCACAATATAACTCTCGAGTTTGTTCCGATAAGAGGTCAAGCTGGTGGTGAAGTTTTACGCTTTCGCTCATTTTTTTCCATTTTTTTGTTTGAATGGCGAATATAATGCTTGGTGTTCTTCATTTCAAACAAGTTTGCTCTCTTCCAAAGCATCTTTCCATCTGATATTCGTGTACGATAATTCACGAATAGGATGATGCAAGTCCGTTCATTCTGATAGAATTGCCACCTAAATGTATATATAAATATAAATATCCAAAAAAATGTCCTGTTGTGGAACGTCATCGTCTGTTCATCCACCAAGCCATGAAAACGACAAGAGGATGGCAACATCCTCTTCATCCTCTTTATCATCACACGAGGATGAGATGAGTCTAAGCAATAGTAGTGATAGTAATCAGCAATCCTATCCTTCGTACCCTTTACGATTAAACAACAACAAGCCTAACTTTTCATCGATGGTTCACTCGTCCAACCAACAACAACAACGTCCCAGCGGATGTTGTGGAGGCAACGGAAATTCGCAAAACTCACAAAACAACCTCAACCATACGCATCACCAGCATGATCCATCACCAGCATCCACGAGTATGCATTATTGCGCGTGTAAGAATCAATTTCAATCAAACGCTGATTGCGAGTTCAAACAATTCTTAACCCGGTATACAGGCAACCAATTGGATCCAGGACCAAATACCACGCCCAACAACGGTGCTTTGTCTAACAGTGCCATTTCTCCTTCTACAACCAGTTCAGCTCGTACCGAAACTCGATCGTCCAAGTCATCGTCTCCATCAACGACTTCTACTTCTTCAAAAGCGAATACCTCATGCTTGCTATGTAAACTCAGACACCGAAAATGTGATTATACCTATCCATGTACTCATTGCGCAAAAGAGAATCGTACATTTTGCCTCTACATTGGAAATGTAAAGCGAGGTCCAAAAAAACACAAGGATGATATGGAAGAGGATGACGAGAATAGCGCTCTTTCAAAGGAAAACATAGATGGCATCTATAAGGTGATTCATCAAAATATAACAAACATCAAATCGGATCCTCAGGTCATTAGTAAGCTCTCGTTTGAGCTTTTCAAGAAGATTGTCGACAAACTTTTGCCTAATTCCGAACGAGATCTGGTTCATCAAATTGTGAGAGTAGCTCTACTTCCTCCAACAGAGCCTTTCACTGGAGATATGGATTACTACTTTAAATACTTTTACAAAATTGGAGAAAAAGACATTGCTTTGATATCTATTTTACAGGCAATTTGCTTGCAGCGATTGAATGAAAAAAGCCTAGGACAAAGAATGTTTGAAAAAGCAAGATCTAAAATTTCAGCCATGTTTGACCAAGTATCTGACTTTAAACTTATTGCTGTTTACATTTTTTTAGCAATATATTTAATTGGCGAAGGAGAAAGACAGAAGGCAGAGTATTATCTCAACCATGTCAAATTTTATGTCAAAGAATTTCAACCCAATATGCAAGAGGCTCAATTCCTGTTACGTACTGTTCTACTCTCAGAATCCATTTTACAAGAATCATATGAACAATTATTGAGACACTATGAAAACATTCTCCTCTATTTTACTCCTAACAGCATTACGTCACAGACCAATATGAACACCATTTCGAGTTATATCACTGCATCTAACGAGAAAATGTTCAGAGGTGGAAATTGTAGGATGGCAATTGATTCAGGTGATGAGCTAAAAAAACAACTTTCCCATTTGAAAACATTTATTGAAACTAATAACACAGAATACCCAATAGGATATCACCAATTACTCGACTCATTAATGAAATCATCCAATAGCCCCACTCCATACGCTGTCTCCATTTCTTCAACAACACACAACGAGAATTTGGATAAAAAGGTCGAACAAATCAACATGGCGATTGAAAATATTAGGAGTATTTATGGACAATGGGATTTTCTTGGAAACACCTTCATCATGATGCTTTATAGCATAATTATTCTCCACCATCACAAAAATTTTAATGGTGAAGAACCATCCATTGATGCAGTGAAATGTGCCGACATGATCACCAAGACAACGGAGTGCAATGATGACTTTTCCTTGTCTTCTTTTCCGGCCTCTATACCAATTTCTATTGCATGCAGGATACATTTAACCTCTTTAAAGTCCATTCTAACATCAACTTCACTCATCATCAATGAGTATGCAGAGCAATTAACCACATACATGCAACTTGACATTGATGCTCTTCAAATGCTTGCAAACAAATTTCCTTTAGTTGAACGAAAGTTTGGAGCGCTTATTAAGGAAGCCGTTGCATGCATGGGCAAATATCAAGATCTGAAAAGAACCTCGCCTAGCAAGTTCATCAAATTGCAGACCATTTCCCAACACTTGAGTGTTTAATCGTTATTAAGAAATTTACTTAATATCATCAAAGTTACTCTCTCAAAGCTGTGTCCATGTTGTTACTCACCAATTTGCCATACAACTGTAATTACAAGTTTCTTTACAACATTCTATGGTTGTTCGAAAAACAGCAATGGGATCGCCTTTACCCGTCTCTTGCCCAAAAGAGCAAGATTGATTCCTTCGTGGTCATCCCTGATTTATCCGTATCCTTTGCATGAAATGCATGAATTTCGCCAATTCTCCTCTTGTATTGAAAGCGCAACAACGGCCAATTTATCTGTGACAATCATCAAATCTGTGTGGGATGTTGAATCAACTACCTGAAGTAATCTCTTGTGTTGCCCAAACAGCCTGTGAGATGATGATTTGGTTTAACAACAAATGATGGTTCTCCCTTAAAAACCGAATTCGAACTTTCACTTACTTGTTTGAGTACAACTTTGCGATAATACAGCCGTAATAGTATACGCGCATGCTTTATTTCATGCCACAATAGTCAAGAAAAGCTCTGTTTGTGAGAGACTTTTCTAAAACGGACTTCCAACATCATAACTTTATCACAACAACTGTCATCCATGTTTCTTAATTCACCGCACATCGTTTAGGATAAAGGCCAAACTCAAACATTTCAAAACAGGGCAGAGAAGGTGGAGATGATTTCTCATTCGTACAATTCGACTTCATGAATGTGGGATCACTTATCAGAGTCACTCCTTTTGCAACAAACACCACTCCGAATATAAAAAACAATACATTCTCTCTCATTGTTTGAGCTTTCGGTGATCAACATTTGGTTCATCACCACCAAGGACAAGTCCCAGAAGCAAACAACAAGAAGAGCAAGCAACTCCTATTGGCATACTTTCCAGACTACAACAACCACATGCTTTCAGCAAGAACAACCACTTCTCCAATCTTCACCGTCAATAACAGCCAATAATAACAACATGTTACCTGGAACCTCAGAAGTGCCTACCAAACCACACCAACGAATCATTCCTTCTCTTCATGAATTATTGCATGGAGGAACAGACAATCATCATGATGAAAACAACATGCCTTTGAATCGAAACGATGCCGAGCAGCAACCTCTATCCAAAGCCCAAAAAAGTCAAGAACAGGATCTTCCAAGCATGTTTGCTCACGGCAGCAATTACTACTCCACCACTCCAACTTTTAGCACTACTTCAGGCATGCTGGGTCGCCCCTGGTACCATGACGAAATCAAAGTAGGTCAAACAACCACCTTCAACCATCATCAGGTACCAATCCGCAACCATACAAGCAACCACATGGATCTTCACTATCAACAGCCACCACCACCTCCACCACAAATGAAATCATTATCCGCACCAACAACTGCTTCTACACATGATGATCGAACATCCATGCCTGGGATCTCTCCAGTGACCCACCGAGAGAATCAAAAATCCATCTATTCAGCAACACCAATGGCAACAACAACAACCACATTACAGCATTCATCATCCTCTTCGACATCCATGCGCCAACCACCAACAACCACATTACAGCATGCACAACAACCATCATCATCCTCCACTCCTCATGATGTTGACAACGAACCATTGAGAAGAAGAATTGAAGAATTAGAACGAGAATTGCAACATCAAGCTAAAACCATTATGAACTTGGAAAGAGAAAACTCTGAATTGAGAAGAGAGTTGCAACATGTCCTGTCAACAGCACGATCTTCCAATACTCCAACTTCCTCCAATAACAACAACAACCCGACAACCACTGCTAAGGGTTCAACATGTTCGATTTCGCCTCCTCTTCTTCCACCTCCATTACTTGCATCCACCACACATTCAAGATCCATACCACCAACTCCTCCTCCTCTTTATCGATATGAGACCTCATCAAGCCCCTATTCTCGACAAACTCAAACATCCGTCAGTAACATGTTGGATCAGCAGCAACATGCATTTCCATCCATGAAGCATGTACAGCAGCAAGAGCCATACAACAGTGAGGATCAAACACAAAAGAAAGTGCCACATGAAGCGAGTCAAACCTCAAACATTCATAATGTCAATGTGGTGGATCCGAGTAAGCATGCTCTTCATCCTGTCCTTTCACAACATCATCAAGAAGACTCACATATCGATCATTATATTCATTATTCGAGCAGCTCGTTGCATGATCGATACCATCGTACATCTCAAGAACCATCATCATCGTTCCTGACTCCTCCATACTATTCCAATAATGAATACTATTCATCCTTAATTAGAACTCCAACTTTCAACAACAGCAGACATTTGACTCAAGAGGAAATGCATGCTCCTGCAACCACAACATCACCTTTTCAAGCATCCATGATGAGTTCTCAACCAAAAGTACAACAACATTTGAAACGACCATTGCATGATCCACCTATTCCAACATTTAGTACTCCTCCGACCACATTTGCACGTTCCTCAAAAACACACTCATCTTCTTCCTCTCTGCATGCATCCACCACACATTTATCATCTTCAAAAAAGAGAAAAATTACAAAAACTCCTCAGGAAGCAAAACCAGGTCCGAGAACCATTTCCATTGTGGATGAATCATCGGATCGAGAAAATCAAGTATCGGATTTGGAGCTCTTTAAGGTCAAGTGGAAAGGAGAAGAATATGTCTTGGTGAATGCCTTCAAAAATCGTACTCAGATATTGAATTACTATGTACCGGCCTATCAAAGTCAATATCCAGATAGGCCTTGCAAAATTGTTTTAAGCAATGAGGATTATAAGCAACTTTCGATTGAAAATCCTTCAAATGTTGAAAAGAAGAAGCATGCTTGGCGAGTTTCAGTATTTACAATTGATTTTTATAATTTTGTAAAGAATTTACAAAAATCTCCATCATCTTCTGTGAACAACAACAAAGTGAATGCAAACATGGCATCTTCTTCTTCTACAACCACCTCCAATATACTCTGAGTCATGATCTTAATTAACCTCAATGGAAGATTTGAAGAAAGCATTTCTCTCATTAGACAATTTGCAAGTTTCAGACGTTAATGGAAAAAACCTTTTGGCTGCCTTGCTGCTCCAAATGTAAAATTATTTTAAGCGTTTAATCCACAGCTCTAATTCTTGGTCCATTTAAGTTGTGGAATGTTTTTCCACCAAGTGGACACAAGTAACATTTCAAATAAAATTTCTCATACCAAAAAAAGATTCACAAACATCGATCTAGGATCCGAGACCATAATATCAGAGCTCGGAACTAAGTGTTGTTATCTTGAAAGGCGAACAGTAATAACCAGTCCTCCTTAATAAATAAAACATTAAATTCACCTGAAAAAGAGGATAGAAGTGGCATTCATTTTCAAATTGTAACCTTCAAATTGAACATATTCACTAACTTCAAATACAATTAGAGCGCGTTATCAAAGCCTTCGAACAACAGGTTCGAATGCCATCATGACAGAAAGTATACTCGTGACTTTTTGAACGCAAAAAGCCTTCACCATCAAGGAAAAAAATTCATCATTCAACAAATTCCGATTGTTGCACTTGGAATCACGTTATCACTTTACTTGAAGTGTATCTATTGAAAGGCTCTGTGTTGTATCCATTTTGCGATCCGGTTTTTGATAGACCTTGAAATACCTGTTTCAAATCATCATCACTCACTGGTTTGTTGTTAGAATTTCTTGAAGAAGAGAGAAAAGCCTTGATCGGAAACAAAATAATTTTCCAAATCAATCAAACATAATAATGGTCAAAGAAAAACTGGCGTTTACCAATCAAAAGAAGGCTTCCGCCACAAAGAAGCCTCAACCTAAACAGCAACAGGTTGGCCACCCAAAACTTCCATCATCATTGAATGTCTCCGGAGACGAGAACATTTCACCTCCATCATCTCATCAGCCTCCAGTATCTGAACCAATACCACCAAGCACCACTTTGTTGAAGTCAAACGATACAGTAGGAGATGAGCCAAACAATGAGCTTATCAACCGAATTAACAAGGAAATTAGAAATTACAGAAAGCAAATAGCAAAACACAAAAAACTTGGTGATGATGTAAGTACTTGTCTACTCCGATGGTGAAATAAGAGCTAATAATTGTACTAGATTCAAAACCAATTGGACTTTGAGGTAGTAATGCCAACCATTCCTGCTTCTCTCAACAAGAAAGAACTGTCTTTTGATGAGAGTATTGAGCGAAAAAAGATTGATACTCAAATTGAAGAAGTCAAAAAGAAGGAAAAGCAACTAAAAGATATGATTGAAATTTTAGAGTCGGAGTCAAAGTCTTTGGAGACTCTCGAGTTTATTCAAGGCTCTATGTCCAAAATTTTCAATGATGTAAGTTGTTTGACATTCTGGCAATTTACTTTGACACTGTTTTAGTATGAAACTCGCCAATCGAAATTGGAAAAAGATGTAAAACAATTTCAAAAAGAAATCAAACAAAAAGATCAACAATTGGAAGAAACACTTCAAGCGTTGAATAACACAAAATACCAACTTTCGATTCAAGCAAATAACAAAAAAGAGAATGTCACAAGATTATCCTCATACGAACAACAGATAAATGAACTAACTGAGGAAAATAGGAGACTCCAAAGTCAAATCAAGGAATTCGAAGCTCTTAGAGAAGAAAATTCCAGACTAAGGTCAGACTATTCAGACGTAAACAAATCATTTGAGAATTACAAAAATGAAACATCGCAACAACTTTCTGACCAGCGTAATGTTATTGAGGAGCAAAAGAAAATAATTCAACAAGGAGAAGAAGCAATTCGAATGCATGCAAACAGATTTAACCAAGCCAATAATGAGTTAATGATGCTTAGACAACAATATTTGGAACAGGATAAATTCATCAAATATCAACAACATCAAATTTCTATGAAAATGGAGGAGAATAGCTCCATTGCGAAAGAAAACAATACTTTGAAAGAAGAAATTTCCAAATCGACAAAACATATTCAAGAACTGTTGGAGAAAATCAAGAATTTAGAAGTTACTGTCTCGAACCTCACATCTTCCAACAAAAAATTGCAAGAAAAACTCCAGAAAACAGAATCAGAGTCTCAATCCACTATTCAACAATTAGAGGAGCAGTTAAAACAGCGTCCTGTGGTTGCATTCCCTGTGAAGTTCGAAGAGGATATCATTAACGATGCAATGGACCAAAAGAGAGCAAAGGATATTGTAGAGCTCATACAAGTTTTGAACTTTTTCAATATTTCCCATCCAGACTCTTTCGAAAGGAGGTCAATGTTCCTATCTGACCAAATGGCAATGAGTCAATCTGGAAAGGAAGTTTCAATTCTTACTCATGGAGATTTTGCTGCTCTAGACTCTCTTACTCGCTCATTATTTGGACAACATCAAACCATTGATCAAGTTGAAGCATCTGTCATGGATGGTGTTCAAAAGTTAGAGAAGATTTTGAATAGATGTGAAAAGGAATACATCCTTGACTTGTCCTACAAAGTGATAGCTCAACAAATTAGAGAGTTGGCCTCCTCACACATTTACCTCTATGGAAAAACACTTTATCCATATATTTCATCGAGTTTTGATAGCAACCCACTTTCCTCAAACAATGCCATGTTCAATGCTCAAGGCTATAATATTAAGATGGACGATTCAAGCATGTCTTCAACCACAAAGCTCAAGAGCAATTTTATGAACAGCGAAATTACAGCTGCTACCATGCCAACCACAACAACATCAACCACATCTCCACCTTCCACCAACTTTGACACCAATACCTCTTCCAACATTAATATAACATATGATGTGCCAATCAGTGTTACAACATCTCCTTCCAGCACTGAAGCATCAAACTGGAAAAACAATGATGCAGCTTTACTCACAGTTCCAAGCGCTCCAACAGAGCAGGAAATTGGACAATTATCTTCCTCACCAACAAATCCCAATGTTTTTGAAAGTTCTGAGATTCAAGAAAGCCATGAATCCAACATTGAACCACCAAATGTGCCCTTAGAGAGTCAGGTGCGATTGTCACCTTCTGCTCCTTCTCCAACAAGCGAAATTGAAGAATTAGTACCATCCTCGGCGAACATCATCAACAAGAAAACAACGAATTATTCGAGAGGAAGAGGACGAGGAGCATATGGCAGTCGAGGAAGACAGAGAAAGCTTTTTGTGCGAACAGAAACTAAACAATAAATCCTTAAATTTTCAAAGTTTGATCGATTCCTACTTTATAATTGTTACATTAAAAACTCTTCCAATACACACAGTTGAAAATGGAATGTCGCGATAAAAGGACGAGGATATTCAAGACAAACGTTGAAAATTAGCTCAGTGGATACATGCCCTTATTTTCCAAAAAATTCTATTTTCTATTCTTTATATTTTCACTGAGCCACTCTAAAGCTTCGTTTATACCAATGCCATTCAGTGCTGATGTTTTAAATATTGTCCATGTTCTGTTTTTTATCTTGCTTAAATTGAGTTGTTCGGAAACTTGTTCCACAGTCATTGCGTTTTTAGCATCCTGTTTGTTTGCCATAATTAAAAGAATAGCGTCTTTGAGCTCCTTTTCATCCAGCATTGCAAATAGCTCTTCTTTTGCAATACCCATTCTATCTCTATCACTTGAATCTACCACATAAATTATAGCATCCGTATTTGCATAATAGCATCGCCAATAGGGTCTAATGGATGTTTGACCTCCTAAATCCCACACCTGAAATTTAATATTTTTATATGTAATGGTTTCTACGTTAAATCCGATCGTAGGTATTGTTGTTACTGCCTCTCCGACTTGTAACCGATATAAAATTGTGGTTTTTCCGGCGTTATCAAGTCCTAAAATCAAAATACGGACTTCTTGTTCCATATTAAATAAGCCACCAAAGATACTTGCTATTAAATTGCCCATTGTTGTTATTATGGGTCTGTGAGGATCAATCGATGATCAATTGAATTTTGAAATTTTGATTATTCGGTGATGAATGACAAACTGTTGGATTGGAGATGATGAGACAATTTTTTTGTTTGTGATTCTTCCAAAATTACGTCATCAAGTCGTCCGTTCAAATTTCCAAACCCAAACATCTCTCATTCATGAGATTACTTGTGAAGACAACATCGGAATGAATGGGAAAGGATATTCAGAGCTGTTTTCGATTTACTATACTTCAATTTTGTTTTAGTGGAATTAAAAAATGTCGGAACGAGTTTGCTTGAAAGGCTCTTCTTGTTCTTCTCATCATCATGTGGAACAGCAACCAATAAGCATTATTGAAAATAATATTAAACCCTCAAGCAACTCTACCATTCGGATTAAACTATTCAAATCGATTGAAACACATCAACGAGGAGTTTGTTGGCATTATCGGAAAAAGGGATTTTGTAATTTAGGAGATAGATGTAAATATTTACATTTGAGGGATGGAGAGGCAAGACCAAACACTCGAGTGGTGATTCAAAACGATCAACATGATTCATCCTTGCATATTGAGGAGAATAAGAATAGTTTGCCAAAGAAGAAAGTTGAAAATTGTGAATCGGATGATCAAAATAATTCAGCAAGAAATTCCACAACAACACAGTGCACACAAACCATGAATACTACAAATTCCGCATCCATATTGGACAACTCTCGGTGTACTATCAAACTTTCGTATTGGATTTCAAGAGCAAAAGAATTAAGATATCCTTCATCTGTGCTTCGTTCAAGTTTTGAAGAGAATGGTTTTTCCATGATTCCAAATGCCGATGAGATGGGACATTATACATCTGTATTTTGGGGACACACGTTTCCACATACGCATGATGACTGGAAACTAATTATTCCTTCCTACACCTATTTCAATCACTTTCCAAATTCCCATCAATTGTCAAACAAGAGTTTAATGGCTCTAAATTTTCAGCTGGTGGATGAACAAACTTCTCCACATACCATACAATTCAAATCTCCTTATCTACCCGTGACGTTTTATTTTCCAAGACAAATTTCTCTATTTCTCAATTTTTTGAAGGTGTCACCCGAGGCCACTAATTACAGATGGATTATTAAACCAATTGGATCTGGAGAGGGAAGAGGAATTAGAATTCATGCCAACGCTCAAGTATTGCTCTCAGAAGAGTTTCCAACCATACATCCTTCAGAAATTGCAGCCTGTAGCATCAGTGAAGAAACCTTAAATTCTATCAAAAAGAAGAAAATAGTCGTTTCTCAATACATTCCAAACCCACTATTGCTTGAGGGGAAAAAGTTTGATTTAAGATTGTATGTACTGGCTATAGGAGGTGAACCGGAAAGAGTATATCTTTATAGGGACGGCATTGTAAGATTAGCAAGCGAACCATATTCTAATTCTGAAAATACACTCAACAATCCATTCATTCACATTACAAATAACACTGTGAATGATAAGAAGAACAAAGTTCAACACGAAACTATTAAGAAAGAATTTGGATTTTTCTGTAATTTGACGCTTCAAGAGTTGAAAGAACATTTTTCAAAACATGATCTTGACTGGAACATCTTTTGGTCCCGTCTCGCAGCGCTAGTTAAGGAATCTATTCAATTAACAATTTTTGACAAGAACAAACAAGACGAAGTCTATCGTGCATGTTCTCACAGATGTTTTGAAATTTTTGGATTTGACGTTCTGATAGACGAGAATTTAAATCCATATTTACTGGAAGTGAATTCAATGCCCGATCTCTCTGGTGTGAGTCATTCGAGTCACCTCACTCTGTCGAAGGACTTTACTGTAAAATCAAAAATGCTTGTTTCTGCATTGAACCTCGTGGGTCTTCAGATCTCGAACACCAATGCAGACCTTGGCATGGATGATGAATATTCCCTGTTCGAAGAATACGATGAACAGAGGTATCGAGATGACTTTGAGCGAATCTATTGAAAACCTTCCACTCTTGGTGTGTTTCATTCCTTTTCGAGGTCTAGTGTTTTGAGTTAAGCCAGAAAAGCATCTCGAGAATTCCAAACATAATTTAAAAATAATTTATTCCAAAATGAACAATGAAACTCTCTCATCTGGTTCTGCTGATGATTCGTAAAGAGATAATGGATAGTTTCCATAAACAAATGTATCACGTCGATAAGAAGTAGACTCTTTCCCAGGAAGGCCTTCTCTTTCTCATATTCGGTCGATCTCATGCGGAATTTTTTGTGCTGTTGCGCAAATGCGGATGAACATCAGAAAACAAATTTAAATCTTGGGAATGTGTCATCTTTGCATTTCAAAACAAAAACAAATAATTTTCATCCCTCGATTAACATTGATTAACATTGAAACGAACTATCATGAGATTCTTGAACCAAACAGTAGGCATGAGAGGATCACAACTCTTAAAAACACTCACAGGAACAGCATTGTTGACATGTGGAGGTTATTACATGATCAACAAAATGATGAATGATTATCAATGGAATTTGCATTCCGATGTGTTTGACAACCATCAACAATTGACACCTTCATGGATGCCATTAATGCAAGCAGAAGAAAAGAAGTTTAAAGCTCCACAATCAGGCGTCATTACAGGAAATTATGCACAAATGGCAATTATTACGATCAAACTTAAGGATTCCTTTGCTCACAAGGAATATGCCAAAGTTTTGAAAGCTGTTGGTGAGGTTCCACAAATTATTTCCAGATTATCCAATGGTGATGCTCCCAATGAAGATGAAGATGAATTGCCACCTGTGATGGCAAGTGTTGGTTTATCCACTCGATTCTGGAGTCAACTTTCTTTGAAGGATCCAAAAGCATTCCGCAAACCTGATGGATACACTGCAGATTTTGACACTAAGAAGGGAGAGTTTGGATCGATGCCTTTCAAAGAAAGTGAAATTGTATTGCATGTGAAAGCCAAATCTACTTCATTGTGCTATGAAACCATTCAAGAGTTTGTAAATTCCCTTCCAAAAGACTCGATTGAGAATGTACAAGAACATTATGGTTTTATGTATCAAGATTCAAGAGATTTAACAAAATTCATTGATGGAATTGTGAATCCAAGTGGAGTTGAGGATCGTCAGGAAGCAGCTCTGAACCATTCTGGAGGAAGTTTTTTGTTGCACCAAAAGTGGGTTCATCATCACAATCCAGATTCTAAATATACACTGAAACAACAAGAGGAATTTGTTGGAAGAGAACGAGCTTATGGTGCTGAGCTGTCATCCTTGCCACCAACTTCACATGTCGCAAGAATGAGAAGACCCAACGGTGAAATTATTCCAATTCTTAGACAATCCTTTCCATTTGGAACAGTCACGGGAGACCATGGATTATTATTCATTTCCTATTCTTCAAATACGGAAAAGTATGAAACCTTATTGAACGCCATGGTTGGTAAGGTACACGGAAAACACAACGATGCCATTATGAAATTCTCCAAATGTGAATATAGCAATTATTACTATGTTCCCTCACTAGAAGAGTTGGAGATTATCAAATCGAAATATTAGACCAACTTTCATGGAAGTATAAGTGGAACAATAAACAAAATGCACTTGTGAAATCATTTGAAATTGAATCAAAAAGAGATGTATGAATCAAAATCAACAACAGAAAACGCCTCAAAAAAATGAAACTATCGATTGTTTGGTTGGTTTTGTGTGTTTTCTTTTTGGCACCGATGGTGTTTGCCTGGAAGAGTCGTACGACCAACCCAAATTCTGAGAGCAAACCATCATCATCATCATGGATCAAAAGTAAATCCCTTCCTCCGAGGTCTGTTTGGAAAAACCTTGAAACAATCATGAGCTCGGCGATTTCAAACGGAGCCTTTCCTGGTTCAGTATTCTTGGTCGCTGATAAAAAGAATGGTGTCTTGTACTCGAATAGTTTTGGATATTTTACCTATGATCAGAATTCAACTCCAATGAGTCTTCAAAGTAAATTTGATATGGCCAGTGTTACCAAGGTCATCTCTACCACCAGCGCCACTGCTCTCTTGTATCAGAAGGGATTAATTGGATTGAAGGATAAAGTCACTAAATATTATCCTGATTTTGCCGTCAATGGAAAGGGAGAGATTACCATTGAGAGTTTATTGTTGCATAACAGTGGATTCCCTCCAGATCCAGATCCATGGTATAGCTCAACAGCATTTGGATGTCCAGCGACAAAATTCTATCATCCACCTCAGGAGTTTACTTGTGCTTCCAAGATTTACACTTCATGGATTAACCAAGTATTGCAAAATAAGCCTGGTCAGGTTTATGTTTATAGCGATTTGTCAATGATTTCCATGATGTATATTATTGGACAAGTGGTTGAAAAGAACATGGCACTTTTAGGAATGACTAAAGCTGATTTGCGAGAGGATTGTATTCAGCAAATTGGATTGACAGCTCCAGGTTACGAAACATGTTATTATGAAGCCTTTGTTAGAAAGCATGTCTTTGGAACCTTGCAAATGACAAGAAGTGGATTTATTCCAAAACCAGAAGAAAAGTCAACAATTCCACCAACATGGATGGACAATTCTTATCATCACGAGCTGATTCAAGGATTTGTTTCTGATGAAAATTGTTACGCACAGGGTGGTGTTGCTGGCCATGCTGGTCTCTTTGCACCAATTGTTGATGTTTACCGTTTCATGAACGAATTAATGTTCAGAACGAGAGGTGTTTTCCTCAACGAGACCACTTTCACCACATTCACAACAGTCAAGAATGTGACACAAAGTTCAAGAGCTTTGGGATGGTAGGTTTGTTTTTTCAGACTTTCACGATTTATTCAACAATTTTCTGAATGCCATTGCTTCACATGTGAAATCAATACTCTATGGAATACACATCATTGTCGCCTTTCTTCACATCAGGGACACCAATGCTGAAGGAAATGGATCCTGTGGTTCTCTTTCTAAGAAAACCTTCTTGCACTTGGGCTTTACAGGTACTCAAGTGTGTGGCGATCCGGACAGACAACTTTTCACCATCTTCTTGACCAACAGAGTGTATCCAGATAAGGACAACAACAAAATGTCTCCTGTAAGAAATGCTGTCAATTCTGAAGTACAAAAAGTCTACGACCAATATTATTCTTCGTTGTAAGGAAGAATAATTTTTCTTAATTTATTAAACACCTTTCTGAGAATTCACCAAAGACTTGGCGATATATTCACAGTACATTCACTCATCACCATTATTTTAATGATGCTGACGTAAAATTGCATTATTAGTACGGAGGTTCATTCATGTTAAAACAACAAATAAGGAAATCTAACCTCTGAGATTGGCTTTATCTAAAAAATCACATTCCATGAACCAGACCGTTCCGCAACAGCACTCACAACCTTTCCGCTTCACAAAAACAAAATGCCTTATCAAACCTTCCAACCACAACGAGGGCGCCACATGGACACCACTTCTTCTTCCCATCGATGGCCATCACAACGTCACAATCATGAGGATCGCCACCATCAAGAGTTTGATGATGAGGATTCAACCACCTACGTAGGAGAGGACAGTTCCGAGGAATATCTTCATCCAACCCGAGCCGCCACTGCCATCACTCCTTCTTGGGTTTCCGAAAAGAAACGTCAACGTCGACACAAATATTCATCAAAGATTCGCGCACTCAAACAACTCCTTTCCGACAAGAACAAACAATGGGAAGAAGATCGATTCAAATTAACTCTCAAAGAATGTTCAAAAATTTCAACTCAAACATTGCGACATATGAAGAGTGACTTGTTGCGATGTTTGCAAGTCATTGATGAGACTCTCCATGAACGAGAAGATCGAGACAAGTCTTGTGCCATTTGTATGGGAAATGTACGACAAGTAGTCTTCATGCCGTGTAAACATTTCTTGTCGTGTGAAGATTGTGCACAAAATGTTGAACATTGTCCCATTTGTCGACATGTTATTTCAAAGAGAATCAAAATTTATCTTTCTTGAGATTTATTGACAGTGAGGAAAGGAGTATAATTCAGGTAAGTTTGGTTTTGACTTTTAAATCTTTGTGATGAAGGTTCAAGGGTTCGAGTAGTGAATGAGAGTGACTTGTTCTTCACACGTGCACGTGGATTCGAAATTAAGTTTGTTTCATTGAGAAGTATTGAGAAGTGTGCTTTTAATAAATTGGATCTGATTGCGTTATGATTGTCAATGTTTTTCTTGTTGAGACAGATCTTGTCAATTCCAACATACATCACACTTCAAAAGCTTTGATGTATATAAAAGTAAGAAGGATGCACAAATCTATTCTTGCTCTCATCCGTTACGAATATATTGGTGAGATGAGATGATTTTCACACCCAGTAAAGGATTCCATTCTTCAACGTCTGTCTCTCTACAACGTTTCCCAAAATCGAAAAATGCGGAATCAACAGTCAAATGTCATTACCTTGCGTCATGAATCATCAAAATCATCCACTCATCAAAAAAATGGCACAACAAAGAACAGTGGAAAACATGATCATGTTAGAGGATGTCTCTGAAAGAGGCATTCTCAATAACCTCAAAAACATGTACAAGAAGGATTCTATTTATGTAAGTGTTGCATCTTTTTCATAAAGGATCAAAATTGTAAACTGTGAAATTCAATTTAAACGTCATCATGATAAAACAGACCTTCATTGGAGAAGTGCTCATTTCCGTCAATCCCTTCAAACAATTAAATATTTACAATGAACAAAAGTTGAAACAATATCGATCTCACTATCCATTCGAATTGCCACCTCATGTCTATTCCATTGCTGAAAGTGCTTATCGAAATTTAATTTCTGAAAGAACTTCTCAATCGATCATTATTTCGGGAGAATCAGGAGCAGGTAAGTATGTCAAATGTGTGTGTTGTTTCGATCGAATAATGTTCGGTATAATTTGTGATGATGATGATTGTAATCCATCAATAATGTCAAATTTGACGTTTGATGGACTCTCTCTATGATTTTTGGTGTTTGATAACAACACACAACATTAGGCAAAACCGAGGCTGCCAAACAAATCATGAATTACATTGCAGCAGTGAGTGGCGGTCCAACGGAAGATAAAGTCAAAACACAGATTTTGAAAAGTAATCCCTTGTTGGAAGCTTTTGGTAACGCTAAAACTGTAAGGTAGGTGTGACAGCAATGGTGTTATGAAATTCATTTTTTATTCACAATGATGATGATGGTTGACACTCTAACTGATGGGGTGTCGACATGTATTCTTCGTTCTTTCACTTCTCCATATATAGAAACAATAACAGTTCCAGATTTGGTAAATACATGGAAATCTTCTTTTCTGACCTCAATCAAATCATGGGTGGTCAAATCATGCAATTCCTACTAGAAAAGTCACGTGTCGTTTCCCAATCTCAAGGTGAACGTAATTTCCATATTTTCTATCAAATTTTCACAGACGATGAAATTGCCAAGAAATTGTCACTCACAAAACCCGAACATTACAAATATCTCAGCAACACCTACAGCGTCGATACAGTGGATGACAAGTTAGGTTTTCGTGAAACCAAAGAAGCTCTCGACTATATTGGAGTGAGCAAAGAAACTCAAATGCAAATTTGGGAAGTTGTTGCAGGAATTCTCCATTTAGGAAATATTGAATTTTCACAATGTGAAAAAGGAGATAAAACTGCTCGTAAGGATGGTTCACAAATTGTGGATCGTGCTCCATTGAAATTGTGTGCGAAATGTTTACATGTCGATGAAGGAATGTTAGAAACTGCACTCACCACAAAAACAGTAGAAGCAGGTGGAAGAAATTCAACCTATATTAGTCCTCTCAGTGTGGAAGGAGCTTATTTTGCAAGAGATGCATTGGCGAAAGGTCTTTATCGAAGATTGTTTGATTGGATTGTGAAGAGTGTGAATGAGTCCATTACTTTACCTTCTTTGATTAATCGACGATTGAGTACCATGAATGGAAAAGCACCTAAAAATGGAAATAATGAAGAGATTAAACCCAATGAATATGTCACGATTGGTATTTTGGATATTTATGGATTTGAAATTTTCCAAACCAATTCATTGGAACAATTGACCATCAATTACATTAATGAAAGACTTCAACAAATGTTCATTGAATTGACACTCAAAGAAGAACAAGAAGAATATGTGAGAGAAGGAATCAAATGGGAAAAAGTTCCCTACAATGACAACAAACCATGTGTGGAATTAATTGATTCCAAACTTGGAATTTTCAACTTGTTAAACGAAACCAGTTTATTAAGTAAGGGAGATGATGACTTTTTGAGAACGGTAAAAAGTAACACGAACAAACATCCATTCATGATTCCTGACGATAAGGTCATTTCCAAGGAACAAGAAAAATGTTTCAAAATCAAACATTATGCAGGAATTGTCGAATATCACTCGGCAGGTTTTGTTGAAAAGAATTTGGATACCTTGTTCCAGAATTTAGTGGCATTGGCACTCACTTCCAATTCCTCTTTATTGCCACAATTATTTTCCAATGACAAGATCATGACAGGTGGAAATAATGTGGCAACAAAACCACCCATGATTTGTACTCAATTTAAAAAGCAAGTCGATCACTTGATGACCAAACTCTATGCCTGTAAACCTCATTACATTCGATGTATCAAACCCAATGATCGAAAGATTGGAAATTTATTTGAAGACGATATGGTGACTCATCAAATTAGATGTTTGGGTTTATTGGAAAATGTGTTGGTGAAGAGAGCTGGTTTTGTGTATCGTCACAAGTTTGACTTTTTCATTCATCACTATAAGGTCACTACGAAAGAGACATTCCCATTCATAGCTGATCAATTCCGCAACAATCAAGTAGAAGTATGCAAGCATATTATTATGAATGTGCTCAAACCCAATGTGGATCAATCAAAAATGTTCCAAATTGGTAAGACCAAGATCTTTATCAAACATCCAGAGACCATCTTTTCATTGGAAGAACTCAGAGAGAGAGCATGCCCAGATGTCGCTACCAAGATTCAAAGAGTCTTTCGTAGATATAATGCTAAAAATAAGGCCGAAGAGAATAAGCGTGAAATTAATACCATCTTTAAAAAGTTCAACAAGAAGAGAAGAAGAGTGAGTTACAATCGAATCTATCAGGGTGACTATTTGAATTTTTCATTCAATCCTGAAATGTCCAAAGTGTTGTCAAAGGAAAATGATTCCAATATTGTCTATTCGGGTTGTGTGAAAAAAGTGAACAATCGAAACAAGATTCAGGAAAGAACATTGGTCATCACTCATAAGAATATTTATAATTTGGATTGGAATGATAAGAAGAAAAAGCTCAAAGTGAAGAGAGTGCTTCCAATCTCAGATTTGAGTGCTGTCAAAGTCTCTCCATTCACAGATGGATATTTTATACTCTTCTTCAACACAAGATATTGCTACTTCTTTGATTCTGACGATGCTTCTGAGATTATTTCCATTCTTATTAGATTGTTCAAGCAAACAAAGAGAGATTTGTCCATCGAGGTCTCCAAGCAATTCGATTACAAACCAACCCAAAAGGAAACTCGTACTGTCAAATTCGCAGAGGTGTCAAGCATGCCAAAAAATCCAATTGATAAGACTGGCAAGAATGAAATCACTGTGTTCATTGTGCCCCAAGCAGAACAGAAAAATTTGTAAATAATGGTCGACCATCATGTGTGATCATGTGTGGATCTACAAAGTCTCTCCATTCACAAGACATTGTGTGTGAATAAATTATTAATTATTAGTCATCAATTCTCTCAAAACCTCGTTTTCTCCACTTTTTGACTCGCTTAATACCACATCTCATCAAAAGAGTAGTCAAAATGATCAAAACAATCAAAAGTAAAGCGCTGGCGAGAGTAGTGGTGAACCAATTTTCGTAAACAAAAATGTATAAACTTTGAGAGGAGGTATACGGTGGTGAAACATCAATCTCTATCGAGGAAAGAATGAACAAATACTTTTGGAAAGGCATGTCGCTCTCCATGGATACTATTGCAATAACAGGATAATATTCTCTTATGAAACCATAGTCGTCTTCATGTTCGTAGGTTGTGTAGCTATCAAGAGAAAGAAATCTCCACCTTAACTTGAGATTGCTTGCCAAAATGATTTCATCTCTGTAAGGAAAATTTAACCTTGGATCATTAATTGAAAAGTCTTTGTATTCTGGTGGTTCTTTCGAGCTGAAAGGTCCGCCCACCATACTGAACGATGACAAATAGTTGTCAATATGAGTGTTTGTCACAAAGAATAAATCAAATGGGGAGGTATCAAGCAATATATCACCCGTACGAAAATCTTCACATCTCACACCTGAGCTTTGGTAATAAATTTGTCCTTGCATCATGTCGACTTTTTGAATAAGACAAAATTCTTTCAAATAATATTTCACTACCACAAATATTTCGGTCGCATCACTCTTTGAGACTTTGATGTTGGAATGCACTATCCAATGTTATTAATGTGTGAAAAAATAAACTAAACATACCTGACTGTTCGTTCGGTAAAATGTTAATAGACTTGGTTTCCTTGAAGGAAACTAAATCTATTTGTTTTACCTCAGTCGTTATAATATCTTCATTCTTTCTTAAATAATGAACTCCAATGTACAAAAATCGATTCACCACATTTCCTACATTAGAAATTTCTGAGTAAATATTCAGTATAATATAATTATTGAGGGAGTCAAGTAAAAGGCATCCTTGATAGGACAACGATGGAACATCTGCACCAGAATCCACTAGTTTAAGCTTTAGTAATCTAGGTTCGTAATTGATGTAACTATACGCAGCAGATAATATATATACAAGTCGTGAAGTACTATCGACTTCAATATTGTTGGTTACTCTATTGCCAACTGTTGGATCCAGTCCTGACCCCAAACAAGTGTCCTCCAGAAGCATTCCCTCACTATTGATCATAGTTAAATTTCCATACCATGTCGAGATCATAAAGAGTCTTTGGCAAAAGCTAGGAGTATTCGTTAGGGTAGAAATAGCATTCGATAGGTGTACAAATGTGAGTAGTAATACTTTTGAATATCTGTCCACTGACATTGCAGTACATTTTAAATAATCAGGAAGCAAGAATACCTCTTGATCTGTTAAATCAAAATTATATTCATCTGAATCATTTCCTGCAATTTGTTGATCATAGACTCTCAATAAATATAACTTGGAGTACGTATCCTTGGAAGAATTAAGATAGAGTTGAGATAATTTCACAAATACATAAATTCTATTGGTGTACACATCTTCAATATCTGTTGCAATAAAGAGTTCTTCATCTGCACTGGAGCTCATATTTCTAGTAATGATATTAAAATTTGACCAGGAAGTATTGTAATAAAAAGGATATCTATCTTTGATAGCAATTTCTTTTTCTCTGTCACTCGTTAAAGCCTCTTCCACATGTTTCATTCTATTTGAAATCATCTCACTCCATTCATCCACCGAGTTAAACCTCGTTCTTGTTTTTAATTTTGCAGCTTCAACAATGGTCTCCCGAAACGTGGATAAATAGAACAAGAGTGTAACGATGATCAGTACAGCATCAATCATTAAACTGCACACGACCACATTTGAACGCCGGAGGGCAATAAAACACGGTGTAGTCATTATTCTATCTGTGGATCTTGATCTCCGACAAAGAAATGATTGAATCCAAAAAGAACAAGTATATATAAAATCAAGAGGATGATGGTCGGATGCAATGAAAGCCTTTCACCAACTTGTTGTCAGGTTCTGAAATTCAAATTTTTTTATGTTTAGATTTTGGAAATTCATCGTTATGGAATCTAAAGAGTCTGCAAACCACTTCAGTGGCTTAATCTTGTTAATATATACATAAGAAAAGGACAAGAGCCTGACAACACAACTTGTTGTTCTCATCAAAAGGAGTTGAATGATTCAACAACTGAACACAAACTCAAAAACAAATTTTTTTTTCATCTTTTAAAAAATGCTCTCTCGCCAGTTGTTCTCTTCTCAGCAACACCTCTTGAAAAGTATTCACCTCTCGGGTTCTTCATCCCACCAAATGCGATACTTTTCTCTACTCAAAGGAGTACAAACAACAAAATTATTTGGTGCTACTTCTTTTTACAAAACATTTCCATCCGTGATTCCAACAACAACATCCTCTTCATCATCATTTCTTCTTTCAAAAATTGCACCATCATCATCATTACTGGACAATGCTCAACAAACCAGAAATTATGCCTTGCCAAGAAGGGTGAAAACTAAACTCTGGTATGAAAAACTCAAAAAAGAAAAACTCAATGCAAAGGGAAAGGTGAGATACGCTCGACAACAACCCGAAGTGAACAACACTTTTATTCTTCAACAATTGGCAGCTTTGAAGGGTAATCGTAATTGGAAGAGAGCCTACAAACTCTTCAAGAGACTCGAAGAAACAAGAGCAAATCCAACAATTCAAGTTTACAGAAAGTTCTTGTATGTCATTGCATACAGAGGAGGAGCAATGAAAGAGGGTTTTGAGATATTCAAGTACATGAAGAAGTTGAACTCTGGTTGGAAGGATATTAGATGTTATAACACTCTTATTCATGCTTGTACTAAACACAAAGTTCCGATGAACGCCTATGTCATTGACCACGACAAAAACACCAATTCATTCAACACAGCAGTGAAATTATACTCTGAAATTAAGGAAAAACGCATTACTAAAACTTCCTTCACCATTGCATATATGGCTCATTGTGTCCAAAGAGCTGTTGAACAAGGTCTGATTCAAGAGACTGAAAAGCAAGAATGGCTCTCAACTCTTACCCAAGATGGACAACCACTGATGAGTAATACTCATGTTCAAAAAGCATTGCAAACACTTTCACAAGCAGTTTTACAACCCACATCTACCCAGGTCTCTCCAACTGGACAAACTGTCGTTTCACCTCAATCATCAAATGACCAAGCTCAAAAAGTCTAATTGAAACGAAAGGGTACTTTTTGATTCTAGAGTGATTTTAATAAACACAAACTTTAATAAACTCCATTATTGTTGCATGTTGGCAAATTTTGTGAAATCAAACAGACATGTTCTTGTTTGTTTGGTTGAATTAATCATTCTTCTCTGCATCTGGAGTAAAGACACACTTTTGAGAGAGCAAGGATTTGATGACTTCATCGTTAGCACTCAAAATATCCTTTGGCAAGTACAAAATCTCGTGAGTCACTCTTGTGGCAACGACTCTTTCAGTGGAGGATGGTTTGAATTGTTCATTGAGTTGTTTGATTTCAGCAGAAGCGAGAGCAGCACGAGCAGTATCCACCACTTGACTCTTGAATTTACGCATGAGAATCTTTCTAATGAGAGCTCTCTTCTCCTTCTTATTCTTGAGAATACGCACAACCTTGTCAAAGTTATTCTTATCCTTCTTCATAATCTTCAAGACCTTTCGAATGATCTTGCTCACCTTCTTATTGCTTTGAGCAAGTTGTTTAATCACTGACTTCCAAACTGCAGCTCTCACTCTTCTATGAAGCTTAATGACTTGAATCTTCCATGTGGTCGCTCTTCTTGTGAATTTAACAGTACTCGTAGCAAGATCCTTCTTCACATCTGAGACACTGGTTGGAATCTTGGTGTAAATCACCTTTGTGAACACACCATCCTTCAAATAAGAGGATGAAACTTCAGAAACAAAGGATGGTCTCAATCCACATCTCTTATAGCCAGAAATGTAGACACAAACAGCAGGAGCATGAGTATCAAAACCAAGTTGTCGGATGAGTTTGAGAACGGCCTTAATGTTGTGATCGAGAGCCACGAGACAAATATTTTCGTCTTGAATTTGTTCTTCCAAACGTTTCTTTCGTTTTCTTGCCATTTCGTCGGCCTTCTTGAACATGTCAGGTGAAATCTTATTCTTGACTAGTAATTGCTTGAGAATGACTCGAAGTTGAACCAAAATTCTTCTATAAATGGTAATCTTCTTTCTCACAACCAAAATATAATTGTATCTCTTTTCAATAATTTCCTTAATTTCTTCACTCGTGTGAACATTGGACTTACAACATGGGTCATACCATACAGTATATGGAACATAGATTCTTTGTGGAACGTGTTTGACCACAGGAACAGTAATCTTCTTCGATTTACAGCATTTACAAAAGATGCAATTCTTACATTGACAATAAGAACACCCATTCTTGTCGACAGCAACCTTTTCAAAGTATTGAGCACCACCGCATCGTTCATTACAATCTGGCATTGGTGGACATTCAATCACTGGCTTGCTCTTACACTTGCATTGATCACATCCATTAGGATCTTTGACAATTTCAAATCCATCAGTACCACAAATAGAGTGACAGTCCACAACGGAGGAGCATGGTGGTTTGATACATTTGCATTTGGTACAATTGTAATTGTCTTTAAAGGTCACATAAGACATGTCACCACAAGTCACCTTACAGTCATCATCGGTGCATTGTGGAGGAGATTGACAGGTACATTTCACACAACCATTGGCATCCACAGATTGTTCCTTAACACCCAAACTTCCACAAACATCTGAACATTTCACTGGTGGGCACTTGATGTCCAAGCATTTGCATTGTTTACACTTGTTAGCATCGTATGATACTTCAGCAACTCCATGAGTACAAAGAGTCATGCAATCTGGTTCAGGTGTTGGACATTTGACAGTGTCATTGCATTTACATTGTGGACAACCCTTTGTGTCTTTCACATAGAAATAACCATTTGGACAATTGAGATCGTCACAAGAGGGTGGAGTTGGTGGACAAGTAGGAGGTTGATTACACACACACTTTCGACATCCAGTGTTGTCATCAAATTGATATTGATATCCAAATGGACATTGAATACTTTCACAATCGAGTGGAGGACAAGTCAAACATTTACAAACAGGACAACCTTCTGATGTTTGATCATAGGTGTGATTCAATTTGTTACCACAAACCATTTGACAATCTGGAGGAGAAGGATTGCATGGATTGCACTTACAGACTGTGCATTGAGTATTTGGATCCAAAACATTTGAACCACCAAAAGGACATTTAGAGGAACAAGATTCATCAATAGGAGGACATCTGTTGCATTCACAACTTGGGCATTCAGCTCCATTTGGAAGAACTTTAGTCGTATTGGTGTAACCATAAGGACAAATGTTGGGATTTTCACATGGAGTACGAGGAGCATTGTCACAAGTCAAACAAGTACATTTTGGACATCCATATTGATCTGGCTTGATCACACCTCCATAAGGACATGTTTCTCTTCCACATCTCTCATCTGGGATACAAGGAGGAGGTGGAGTACAAGTACACACGTCACAACCTTTAACATCTTTTCCAACTGTAAAACCATAAGGACAAATAGCGTCACACTTTGGAAGTGGAGGACATGAACAATTACACACTTGACAACCGTCACCAAGTCCAGAATCACTTAGTGTGAAACCATACAAACAATTCTTGGAACAGTCAAGAGAAGGACAAGTCTTACAAGAGCATTGATTACAACCAGTAGTTTGATTCAAAACCAAGTGATAACCTAACACAGGATTACATTGATCACATTTCGTCTCATTGACACAAGGAATTGAAGGTGGCTTACATGTACAATTTGAAATACATCCAGAAATACCTCCAACAATTCCATAAGAAATATCATAGAGTCCAGATTGACAGGAACCAATGGGTGGACACACTTGATCTTGTGTTTTACATTTGCATTTACATTGGTCACATCCAAGAGAATCCTTTGCGATGGATTCCAATAAAAGTCCAGCGTTGGCACATTCAGCGTTACAATCTTTAGGTCCAGATGGACATTCGGATGGACATGTTGGACAAATACACTTTCCATTCACCACTTGCACCGTTCCACATTCACAAGTGACTCCTAAACATGGATTAAAATCAATTGGTGGTTCATCATTCACTGGTTGACCATCAAAATAGGCTGGATTTTCACTTCCAGCTGAAAGAGGGTTCTTAATAACACTTTGAGACCAAACACATCCAACAGCAAAAAGAAGAATGGCAATCATCATCATTGCCAATGACAAGAAGAAATTTCTTTTCATTTTCTAATGTCAAAATTAATTCTGATGAAAATAATTAAAATAATAGTAAATATAATAGTATTGATCCGTTTGTTGTTTTCACGGTGTTGTTGTTCTTATTGTTGAGTTCGAAAAGAAAACAATGGGGTTGTTCTTCTTCTTCTTCTTGTTCGTTGTTGAAATTGTTTCTTGAGAAAAGTTTGAAGAACGAACGCACAACAACCACTACAACGTTTGAAGGTCGGTTGTTTCGTTAATTCTAGACGCGTCCACAAACAACACGCTGCTGAGAGAATTTTGTTTTTTTTTCTGAGGTGTTTGGACAGATTTGGAATGACATTTGACTGATAGCGTGCGTCAACTATCGAGTGACCTGCTGGTTTGTGAAATCCCATGAATTGAAATATGAAATACAAACCATTTAACTCCATTAATAAATTCATATCTACGAATTTCAATTGAATCCTTGAGATGAAACAGATCTTTTCGATGAACTTTCAATGGATGGAATTTGAAAACATCATTTGATGAAGTGGTGACCACCAAATCTCTTCTTTGAATCATGCACCACCATTAAAAAAATGAAGAGATTTTCCATCTTTCGGAGTGGCTCTCGGAGGAATGTCACCCAAGGTAAGAAGACTACTTGTGTTCTTCTTGACAGGATCATCCTGATACACGAATAATAATAATAATTGGAAATATATTCAACACGATTGTTTTATTTCATCTCATATAATGCTCTGCTCTGATAAATAATATTATTTGTAAATACAATTATGATGAATGAAATCATGATTTGTATTATACAAAGACCTTGTTTCCGAAGATGACAAACGAGAGATGGAATTAGAAGAAGAACGAAAACTCATTGATGAAGCAACCATCACGAGTAGTCATTCCATTTATCAAGAAATTCTCTCTTTATATCAAAAGCAATGTGAAAATCATTCCGAAAAATCATTCTTCAATTGGTTCTGTGGTTCTGAGAAAATTCGAGTCATCAAACCCATTCAGGACGAATTATTGACACTCGATGAACAAATACATTTGAAAGAATGTTTAGAAAAATTGCGTGACATTTCTACACAATTCCATCCTTTGAGTGAAGAGACACTTCAAGTGTTAGCTCATAATCGAATAATTCCTGAACGATTCTTTCACATTTTCTTTAACCCACACATTTTAGAACATGCAATTAATGTGAAAGGATTGAAACCCTACATGAAAGTGAGATTGTTGTTTAAACAAGTGTCGAATGGAAAATTTGGAACCTTTGATTCATGTTTGTTGGTGGGTTGTTGGCGTTTGGAATGGGACGAAAAATCATCTTTGGTTTGTGTGAGACAATTTGACACTTCGAGGTTACATTTTGCAATAGATTTGGAGCGATTTACAAATGAAGAAAAGATTGTAGAGTCTTTGAAAATCATTTCTAATGAATGTTGTGTGTGGAATGGAACAAAAAAGTATGACGTGAAATCATGCAACGCTCAACATTGTAAGTAGTGTCTTCCATTCTAATTTAATTTTCATTCATTTCGTGACTTTTATTGTACTTTTGATTTTCATCTTTGTCACACACTAGTCGTTCTACACATTCTAGAGAAAATAGGAGTTAATTTAGATCAATCTCTGAAAGGATTAAGCAAAATATATTTCAATTCACTTTTACAAAATGGCACAGGAACAACAGAAATTGAACTCACACAAGAATTGAAACAACTATTGAACTCGAACACATCAAACGTTTCATTTCACAATCACAAAGCATTGGATCTCTTTCTAGAAAATATAAGCACAAAAAATCCTTATTACTTTCCTCAAAATACATGTGATCAAATGCTACTGAAATGCTTTGATGAATGCTATTGGTTAAGCCTGCATCAATCCAATAATGGAGCTGAATTTAATTTCACAAATTGTTCGGAGAGAGATCGACCACTGATGAAGGATCAAACCAATGAATGTCAATGCCATTTCAATATGAATCCCACCACGTATGGAGACTATGTGGCAAGTGGAATGACCATTAATAATGTCCTGTGTTCACAAAAATTAAGTCCTCCTTTTCCACTTCGAAGGAAGAAACAAGAACCTTCGACTCCAGAGGGACTCTCTCAATAAATACATAATTGTTGTTGAAGAGAATTAGAACCACAAATCAAACAAATCAAACAAATCAAACAACAACGTGAAGAATCATGGAGAATTCTCTCCTTAGTGTTGAGAAAAACATTTTATCAGTTCTCCAAGTTGCTGCCAGAACTTGTTGAGAAGTTGGTTGCTGTTTGAAAGGAAATGGTTGATCCTTGAGGATGAACTGTTTACAAAAAAATGGCTTTGAATACAAACTTTTCATCCTTCTTTGATCCGAACAACAACAACAATCCGAACAGTTTAAATAATACCGACGTCGGTGGAGAGGATGATGATGATGATTCCAATGCTTTAAGAATTAATCGACAGAAACTTCCGACGCATGTGATCAGAACTATTCAAGAGAGTTATTTGAAAGGAAAGGCTTTGTTTCAAGCTTTTGGAGAACATCAATTTGATGTACAAGGTAATATCAACACTTGTGCCTTTGTGAGTGGAACGGGAGAATATATCGTGAAAATTAGTAGTGGAGCTCATCATACTCTCATGTTAACGAATGATGGAAAGATACTTTCGTTTGGAAAGGTTTGTGTTTGAAATGAAAGAGCCTGTTGCATGTGAGTTGTGTCACTTGTTATTTTGATCAAATGTGAAATGTTGATCATGATTTAGAACCTTGATGGTCAATTGGGGATTGGAGAACGCAGCGCCAATTTTAAAAAAGATATTTCTGTGGCCAAACCACGATATCAATTTAGTGATGAATTTGCAATAGATGTATGCTGTGGATCAAATCACAGCGTAATTTTAACAAATTATGGAAATATCTTGGCATGTGGTATGTGATTGTCATTTCAACATGAAATCAGAATTTTAAGGATTTTCTATGTTAACATCGATCAGGTTGGAACGAATTTCATCAATATGGTACAACACTGGGAGATCATGACACTTCTAAATTTTCATATGTGGAATATAACAATGCTGCAAAAATGGTTCGCTGTGGAAATAATGCCACTATTGTTTTAAGCATTGATAATGAATTGTCAATGTGTGGTGCTGGTATAACAGAAAAAGGGCGTTCATGTAATGTTATGACTTCAATTGAGGATTTTTCAAAGCTGCTATCTCCTTCAGAAACCATAATTGATGTTCAATGTGGAGCAGAACATGTAGTTGTGAGATCTTCATTCAACAATATATTCTTTGTAGGGCAAAACACTTATCATCAAATGGGCAAGTCTCTTGGAGAGCAACGAAGGTTTATCAACATTACAAAAAAGCTTCCTTTCAAAAGAGATGAATTATTGAGCTTTGCATGTGGATTATATCATACTCTCTTTCTTTGCAAGAGTGGTGCTGTGTACGCGGCAGGATATAATGGGGTAAGTAATTCATATGATTATTTTCTTGCATAATGTTTGGATGAAACAAAATAGTATGGTCAACTCGGTACTGGAACGCTGACAGATTCCGACTTTGTCCTTTTGACCGATGTTTACAAGTATGATTTGACCTCTGTGTATCGACAAGGAGTGTTATCAACTTTTGACACTTCAATGATTACTTATACATGCCATGTCATTGATACGGAGGACAAATCTCAGTACAATATTGACCAGAATGAAATTATCAAACAAGTGTATGCTGGCTCAAACCATTCTATACTGGTGAGCAATCTTGGAAATATTTATTCATTTGGGTTTGGGAGATTTGGACAACTCAACCTGAACACTTCACAGGATCATAATCCTCATGTCACACAAATGTTCTTGCCAAAATCCATGATTGATACAACCATTTTCTCCAACTCTACAGCAAATATCACAATTATTGCTGATCGACAGCCTATCAATTCTTGGATGTATAACAACTTGAGAAAACGATCCAGACAAGGAGAACTTTTCGATATCAATATTCGTTGCTTAAAGTAATAATATTATTTATTGTACATGGATTTACATGAGTGTTTTTTGGTTACTTTCTTTTGATAAGATTAAGAAGATCTCAATGCAGAGAACTCAGTGACTAATTTCCATTTTGATGTGATGTTTTTCTTTTAAATACCAGCTTGTTTTCAAACTTTCCACTCTTTCTTGACTCCAGAATCGTAGAGACTAGTTCAAATCCAATTTGTGAAAGCATTTCCAACAACTCTTTGATATGAGTCCATTCAATCTCCCATTTTCCACAAAATTTAACATTTCTCTTCATTTCCAATCCATTTGGAACTTTCACTAATCCTTTCCCTTTCATAAATTGATAAGCTATCTCCGGTCCAATACATAAATATTCTCCATACGTATTATTGACATCAATGGTTAAATATTCATCCGTACAAGTTCGATGTTGTGACATGAGAGAACTCAACAAGTCCGCCAAACTATTCAATCGATAATATTTTGCTTCCACAAATAATTCTTCCATCATGTGTGAGTCATGTGATGGCAATACAACATTAATTCCATTTCTCAAGTAATTTAAAATATATCGGAAATGAGTCGGATCTCGATCAATGAAAATTGGATGTACTTGAATGGTATGAGGAGTGGATTCTTGTGGTTGATTCAAATGAATAGTAGAAACTAATTGAGCGAGAAGATGATTTTCATCCTTCTCGGAGTGAATGGTTGAAAGTGTGGAAGTGGTCGTGCTGAATAGCACACCACCGACATTGAGCGAGAGAGTGTTCGAAGAAGGTGTCGTGAATGAGGAAAAGGAGGAGCTACAGCTGTCATTCGAGCTTGGTTGGGCCATTTTTTGACATTTTCGGAACCACTTGATGTAGTTTTTGGAATGGATATGACGCGTGTATCAAAATGTTTTTTAGCTTCCGTTTTTGAATGCTTAACCTTGCTATGTATGGATAAATCCAAGCTAGTTTCATTGAGGTCATCATCATTCATTTAACCGGGATGGATGGATTGAACCGAATTGCTCCAGCGTCTTTTTTCTATCAGTCAAATCAATCCCAACATCCGATCAGTTCAAATCTCGTCATTGCGAGTCAGCTCAGTTCCCTGCATTTTCAATATTGATCTTGTTAGGAACAGTTGTTGGAGGAGATTTCATGATTCGTGAATTGAGACTAAAAAAATGGGTAAACGACAAGGATTGAGAAAAGTAGTGTTTTTTGAAAGAGAGGTGATCCGTTCGGAGAACAGTCATCATGATGATAATGATACAACCTCTTCCTCCTCCAGTATTATAAATCATGGTCGAGTCTTGGGATGGAAAGAAAGAAAATGGTATGAACAACATCATACCATAAATGGTGGAGATGATACTGCAATTTCGGAAAGCACTTTCAACTCCGATTTGAGTGTATTTCAATTCAATGTATTGCATGATGATTTAAATTCGCAAATCCATGAACGAATTTTTACAAAAATAAGATTTGATTACATTCTTCATACACTTCTTCCAAAGGTCAATGCAGATGTCATTTGCTTGAATGAAGTAGGAAATTATTTTTTGAAAAGACTCTTAGATGAATGTTCACATATGTGGATGAAAGAATTGAATTATAATTTTATTTCTCATATTGACAGAGAGAGATTTGATTTAATGTATTCTCATCCATCAACTAGCAAGAAATCGAAACATGTTGATGAAGCTACACAAATGACTGTTGAAAAAGGAGGATTTGTGTGTCTGGTAATTTCAAAAATTCCATTCGTTCAATCGCATAATTATTATTATCAAAATGATTTAGTGTATTCCAGAAGGCCAGCGACTATGGTGACACTTGCCAATCATGTCATTATCATGAACGTCCATTTGAAAGCATATAAGGAGTGTCATCCAATTAGAAAGAAACAATTGAAGTGCATCTATGCCTTATTTCGAGTGCCAAGAGTCGCTTTCAAATCGCACGAGAATAGTGAATCAGAAGCTTCACAAGCGATATTGAACAATGAAAATAGATTTACCTATCACTATTCTATTGAGGATTTGCCCACCACTTCAAAGCAACATGCTGAAAAGAAGGAATTTTTAGAACATTTCCCAAATGTGAAATCTGTCATTCTATGTGGAGACTTTAATTTTAATCATGGCTTTGAAGAAAATAACATTTCAGATTACGGAATTGAGGATGTTTACGCCAAGTTACATTATGATCTACTCGACAAGGAGGAATCCTATACGTTCGACTACCTTAAGAATCCAATTGTTAATTTATATTCTGAAACTTCACGAGGACGTTGCAGGTATGACCGAATTTTGTTATTCAACAGACCAAGCTCGAAAATAAGCGGAATGCTTCACGCCTATCATTGTGAAATTTTAGAAAATAAGGCATTTAAGGATAATATTTTTGCGAGCGATCACTATGCTCTCTTAACTAAATTTACCGTTTCCAATGATTCGAATACTATTCATCCAAGTTGCTCCACTGTAATCAGTAGCAATAACAGCAATCAAGTTGATGATAAATGATCGTTTCAGATTTTCACTCTTCCACACCAAGAACAACAACACGCTCAGTAAAATTGATGGCAGAAAAACCAAGTCCAAAAAAAATGAGAAATCAACTCACTTCTCGTCTTCTCTTTGCTCCAACCAGAACTTTGCGCAATTCTGCCAACGCTCTTGGTAAGGTCCAGACACCAAGCGGTGCTGCTTCATCATCGGCTAGCAGTACTGTTTCGAGCCAGGCTGCTTCATCATCGGCTAGAAAAAGCGAAGGAGGATTGCGAAAGGGAGTTGCTGGCATTTTAACCGGAGCTCTCATTTTCGGTTCGGCATATTACTAGTACGTGTTGTTGTTCTTGTTTCTATTATCATGTAAAGCTTGATTGTTATGATTGATAATATTGTTATTATTGATAATTAAATAATATGAATTTATGGTGGAATATTTTCATGTGATGATATGTGGATGATGATGATGGCTAAACTTAAAATTATTATTATTCTTTTTTGATAATACTGAATATCGGAATGAAATAATGATATCTCTTGTGTGGATGAACAATCTATTTTCAAAATACACTCAGCATGAGGGACATGATTGTACAAGAATCACAAGAATTGATCGAAAAAACGAAAAGTATTGAATCTTTAAAGACAAAGCGTCAGCTTTTGGAGGAAGAAAAGAGAGAACTCGAAAGAGAGCATCAAGAATTATTGAAGAAGAGAGAAAAAGCTCTTCAATTACCAGAAGAAAAAGATCAAGCTGCTCACAAGCTTCTCCTTCTCAAATTTTACCGTAATTGGAATTCAATCTTTTATGGAGTAAGCGCAGAAATTGACAGCCAAAATCAAAAGAACCAACAAGAACGCATGAAACTGATGAGACGTAGACTCGAAGATGAAGTTCAAGCAAAATTTGGTGTGAAAGAAGGTCAATACAAGATCAAGGCTGTCCATGAAGAATAATTCATATCATGGCCCTACACAATTGTTTATTTGAAAGTTTAAACATGAATTGTACTCATCCACATCGCTTTTGTCCTCCTTTCATAGATTGTTATTTGTTATTATTTGTAACTATTTGAAATACAAATTTGCAAATCGTCATAAATAGGAAAATTATCTCTTCTAGACTTGGCCGCGCAACAATTTACAGTTTAAAAAAATGAGTGACAACATTTCGTATTCTATCGATCGAGATCAAAATGAAAGGATCAATGAGTTACGGAGAAAACGAAAGGATATAATGCAAGGATTACCTAAACCTAATTTTATAAGATTAAAAGTGATTAGTATGGGAGAATCGGAAGTTGGCAAGAGTTGTCTCATCAAGCGATACTGCGAAGAACGGGTAGGTATGCAATCAAAAGAATCAACCATCATACAATACTGAAAGTTTGTTCCGAAATATACTGGTACCATCGGAGTGGATTTTGGAGTTAAAAAAGTAATGATTGATGGTCGAGAAGTAAGAGTAAATTTCTGGGACTTGAGTGGACAACCGGAATTCTTTGAAGTGAGAAATGAATTTTATAAAGACACTCAAGGAGTATGTAATGGTGGAGGTTATTTATTATTACAATCCATCACTTTTAATTTTGATTATTAATGCATACAGGCTGTTCTAGTGTTTGATGTCAACTCGAGATCTTCTTTCGAAGCATTAGACGCCTGGTTGGCAGAATCCTCAAAATATGGAGCTAAAGGTTTATTCATCGCAGTTTGTGGAAATAAAACAGACGAGAAAAACAGAGTAGTTACAGAAAAAGAGGGTCGAGAGTGGGCAGAAAAGAATGGATTGAGGTACGTATCCGAATCGTTCATGATTCTCTGTCTTATAGGCGTTCGAGTGTAGCTATTTCGAAACGAGTGCCCAAAGCGGAGCAAATGTTCAATTAATGTTTGATACTCTTTTCAGAGATATAATTGCACACATGTATTCGTGATCATCTGTTTCATTGCACTTGAGGAAAGTGCTGTGACTCGACAGTTCTGAGACTTGATTGTGTGATCTTGTTGAACGTTGAGGGGATGATATCCCTTTTCAATTCCAAATAAACTCATCCATCAAAAAAAAAGTCATTAATCATCATCATCATCCCACAGAGAGAACAAAGCGATTTAAACACTGTACATAACCCATCATCATCATCAGAAAAGCCTCTCCTTTCTTTTTTGTAAATCCTTTTTTAATTTATTCAAGTGTATCATAGCAAAAGTCCTCTCAAAACACCGATTCATCTCTATTTTAAATTGCACCCACAGAACGCGTGAATTCGTTATAATTCATCTCAAAAACAAGAACAACAAGAACACGGAATTATCATTTTCATCATCATCATCATCATCATCATGATCAACAACACTACATCTCCGACCTCACCATCAACGGCTCCATCCACCACTCCCAAACTCTCCCAACTCACTCAGGATACTCTTGCCATTACAAAATCCGTTCTTGAAGACAAGTACTCGAAACAAAAACTCACCAGAAACAACAAAGCCATCAGATGGTCGGACAAAGTCAAACCAAAAACTGTAAAGGATTACGATAAGATTGCAGTCATTGGTAGAGGAGCATTCGGAGAGGTTCGTCTCGTACGGGACAAACAAACTGGACAGGTAGCAGCTATGAAAATGTTAAAGAAGACTGAAATGATGAAGAAGAATCAAGTTCAGCATGTAAGAACCGAGAGAAATTTGATGGCCGACTCTGGAGAGAATAACATTAATGAGTGGATTGTTGAACTATATTCATCCTTTCAAGATAATGAATATTTGTATCTTGTGATGGAATATTTACCTGCCGGAGATATGATGACTTGGCTCATTCAACGAGAATATTTTACTGAAGAAGAGACACGATTTTATATTGCTGAACTTGTCATGGCTGTTGGCTCGATTCATGCTCTTGGTTATGTTCACAGAGATTTGAAGGTAGGTTTGAAAATTCTCAAATCCATCGTATTAATCTCGTTTTAATAATGGATATGTGAATATATGTGAAAAAATTTTTAATCTGAAATTATTTTTGACACCACTTGGAATTAATTACAGCCTGATAATATTTTACTTGACAAGAATGGTCACATTAAACTTTCTGATTTTGGATTATCAAAACCATACAAGTTGGATACAGATCCTGAGGAGGCAAGAAAATCGATTGAAGACGCTGCTGCAAATGAATTGGGTAGCTCAGAAGCCGCTGCTAGTCAAGAGACAGGAAAACAAAGAGACGAATGGAGAAAAAAGGGTCGTATCAAGCTCTACTCAACTGTTGGAAGTACCGGTTACATTGCACCAGAAGTTTTGTTGAAAAAAGGTTATGGATTGGAGTGTGATTGGTGGTCAGTGGGAATTATTATGTTTGAAATGTTGTGTGGTTATCCACCTTTTTCATTTGATGAGCCACCTGCTCAGACATGTCACAGAATTATCAAGTGGAAAGAAAATTTGCAATTCCCTGACGACGTAGTTTTGTCCAATGAAGCTAAGGACTTGATATTGAGATTTTTATGCGATCCAGAAGATAGAATTGGAACCAACAGCATTGAGGAAATTAAGAGCCATCCATTCTTCCGTGGAATTGACTGGGAAAACATTAGAAAGGGACCAGCTCCTTTCTGCCCTGAACTGGAAAGTGAAGAGGATCATAGATACTTTGATAACTTTGAAGATAATGAAATGTACAGAACAATTAAGGATGAACCAAGAAATATCTTGAGAACTAACAAACACATGGTATTTGCAAACTTTACATGGGACAAGAGAGATGGAAAGAAAAACCAACCCCGAGCCAAGGTTATGGATTTGCGAGAAGAGATGAAATCCATGTATGAACAACAGCATCAAACTCAACAACAATAATAATAGTCTTATTTATGAGCTAATTGTTGGTTGCTGGAATGGCTGTTTTTTTCTTGGGCACCAAAACATTAACTTCTGCATCATCTTTTGAAGACTTCTCTTCACCAGATTGCATCATGGTTTGTAGTGTTGTGGCACTTTGGGATAGAACTTCTCTGATTCTGGCAATATGTTGCTCGAGAGGAGTCATCTCCTTGCTGTTGGTCTCATTGTTTGAGGTTGATGCAACAAACAAGTCATAGGGTTCTCCAAGTTCAGCCTTGTCAAATCTCATGATTGCCATCAAACCTTCCTGAGATGAAATAAATAACACAGTACCATCACTACTCCAACTGCAGTCGGTTATGGGTTGTGTGAAAAGTCTTTGAGCTCTAAACAATGCATTATTGCTCTCTGTATCAAAAATAATAATTTCGTCTTTCGATGACGCACAAGCCATCATTCTGTATGGAAGAACAGACTTCTCATTGATGGACTTGTACAGAATTGGTGAAAATCTTACAATGGGACATGTGGATGTGAGTCCAGTAATACATTTTGCTGGTTTCTTCCAAACATTTCTGTAGAACATGTGAAGCGAGTTAGAGAGACCTGCCGTTGTGAAAAGAAAAGAGCCGTCTGGTGAAAACGATAATCTTCTCACACTATTCAAAACAGTCGATCGATATTGCATGGTGTAATTATCTCCTTGGAATAATTCCTTATTATCTTTTGCACTCTTCTTAATAGTTCCAACTTTTTCAAAAAGTGTTGATGTTGTTGAATTCTTCTTTTTCTTTTTTGGTGATGTCATCATGGCCGCTTGTTCTGATTCATTTGCAATGGCCGTAGCAATTGTGTTGTTGTTGCTGTTTGTGCCACATGTTGACTTTTGTGGACCTAGAATTGAGAAACGTTCTTGATTCAAACCAAACAATAACACCTTCTTCGCTGTACTCAATTGAATGGCCAAATAATATCCTAGAGGATCCCATGTAATACCACCAAAAGAGGAATGAATCTCGGAAACATGTTCAAATAACATTTCACGAGACTCTAATGGTTGATACACTCGTAATCTTCGATCCATGGAGGTAGTTGCTAACAAATAGGTTGGTTTTCCAGTCTTGTGATCAATTAATGGTTGGGACCAACTCAAATCCCAAACATCTTCTCCTTCTTCACTTCCGAACTTTCTTACAATGATCCATTCTTCGGTTGGTTTTACTTCACTTTCCAGGAAGGATAGATCTGTATCATCATCATTCTCTCCTTTAATATTGTTACCACTTGATGCAACATTCTTAAGACTCTCTGTCGGAGATAAAATCAAGCCTTTCTTCTTCCAAATCATTACTGCTCCTCTTCCACAACCAGTAGCAATGTAATTTCCGCATGGACTCCATCGTGCAATATTTACAACTTTGGCACTATCATAGATTGGATTCATGGTTGCAATGAGTTTGAATAAACAATCTTCTTCGGAATAGGACAGTTCCCATATTTTGATATCGGTTTGAATACCTGCTGTAACGAGACGATTGGTTCTCGGATTGAAATCAACGGTTAATAAAGGCTCTGGTCTTCTGTAGAGACCTTCCATGTATTCATCACGAAAGAAATGAATTTTCGTGTGCTCAGGGGTAAGATTGGTAGCTTTGGACATTTTTTTAAATGTGAAATTGAAACGGAAAGTTTTGGCGCCAAGAATGTGATTTCCACAAGAATGATTTCACAACGAAATTCTAAAATTCAGCTCGCTGGTTTTGGTAGGGCTTTCATGCATGCGAATAGTTGTCAGATGGAAATGTAAAAGATTTATTTCTCTCTTAAAAATCATAAATAACTTCATCATCGAATCGATTTAGAACTTCCTGACAGTCTGACAATTCTTTTTGCACCTTCTTTCTCATATAGAATACTGGACAATCTCTATTGGTACACAAAACGTCTGCATGCAAGCTTCCTTGACATCGCTGACAGTAAGTCCAAACTCTGCTGTAAATATCTTCGTAGTGGTTTCTCTTATTGATGGCAGATTCATAAATCTTTGGGGCTACACCTTTTTGTTTGCAATCATTGCAAATTGTGGAGCCACCATTCTTTGAAAGTACATTTCTGCAACCTAGACATCGGAGTTGTTTTTGTGCAAATTTCATGATACCGCCTTTTGATGGAGTTGGAATTGAAATGGCACGAGTATGCTCTCCCACAAATAAGGATTGTGTGTTATCAATAATTGGGCTGAAGATTTGTTCGAGAGGATTCTTGATTTGATGTTCAAGGTAGTATTGAGCATCGATAGGAATATTGTTCTCCAATACCCAAATAGGATCTTCACTCTTTTCGTAAGCTTTTGCTCCTTTGTGTGCCTTAACAATTACATATGGAATACGATCTCCAACACGAGGAGCAGTTGATGGATCTCTTTTTGCCATTCTTTCAGCAAGCTCTACGTGAGTTTGTTTTGCCTTATACTTGTCACTTTTCTTTACCAATGCTTTGGTGATGACAAGCATACTGATATCCATTCTATTCATTAGTAAATCAGAAATAACAGATTTGGCATAATTCACAGCTGCCTCAATACTCTTCTTGACTAGAATCAAATGCAAGCAAGTATTTACAAGGTTTCTCACTAATGCACAGTTATCTCTTCTGACAGTCACAATACCTTTGGCATCCATTTTGTCATACTTTTCAGTCTTTGTCCACAATAAACCAGCATATCTTTTCTTTGCCAACAATAAATATGGATAGTAAACCTTTTCGAACTCAAGTTTGATTGGCTTAACAAAGGTTTTAGAAATTTCTTGAGATGCATGAAGACCGAGTTCCATCGCCCTTTTGATGTCTTTAGTGCCAAACTTTACCATGACTGAGTCAGTATCACCATAAATGACAGTGGCATTTGCTTCATAACCATTCTTTACAGTGTACATTTCTTCAACCATGGCTTTAGTGTGTTGAATCATTTCTCTACCAAAGGCAGTAACAGAGGCTGAAATCTCGAGGCATGGTAACATACCAACCGTGGCACCAGTGAAACCATAGACAGAGTTGGCACTAACTTTGAGAGCAAGCTGTCTACCGTTCATGACAGCTTTTTCAGTTGGATCAGTGGCCTTTTCTAAATCTTTTCTTGCTTGTTTTCTTGCTGCCAAAAGTTCTTCGAGAACAAGAGGCAATAATCCTTGTTGTACCTCTCTTTTGATGAAATAATCTCCACTAGGAGTTTTGATATATTGATCTTCAGAGAGTTTAGAAATATCTTCTTTCTTCAATAATGTCGTATAGCACAAGTTATGTGCAATCATAATGGATGGATACAGAGACGCAAAGTCAAGCGTTGTAATTGGGATATCGTAATAGCCAGTCTTTGGAGAAAGCACAAATCCTCCTTCGTAGGTTTCACCTTCAGTTGCTTCTCCCTCTTCGTCTAAAACTTCCTTCTTGCCACTTTTTGTGATGGTTGGCATAATGTAACCTTTTTCTTTGGCCTTTCTAAGAAGCTGCGAAATGACCTTAATTTGCTGACCCCTCTTCAAAATGAACGATACAGGAATACCGGTGACACGAGCCATTTCAATGTAGTTGATGATGATCATGAGTTTGTCAAGAAGTCTTATTGGCAAGATTGCATCTTTCAAACAATAAGATGCCAATCGTCTTCTGTCTTCGTCCGAGCCTTCATGGAGAGTCGAAATGATCGAGTGATGTACTTCTTCTTTTTGATCACCAAGAAAATGAGCTGATACTGAGTTCAAACTGTAGGAAGAAAGTTTGTGATCTCTTTGAATCGCTTGTAGTACATCAAGTTGTATTCTGCCTTCAATATTAATGTCCTTACTTTCTCGTGTACCATAAGCTCTTGAAGAAAATGTGCTGTTCTTCATTTGAGATCGTTTGTTTGCAATTCTGCCCAAGAATGGGAATGTTCCTACTTTGAGAGTTTTGGCTCTGTTAATAAGATATGGCAAGTCAAAGTTAATAATGTTGTATCCAGTTATAATATCAGGATCAACACACACCATAAAGTTTCTCCAAGCTTCCAGCATATCCTTTTCGTTTTTGTAAGAATGAATTTCCACGCCAACTATTGGGGCAACATCTCCAAGACACATTACGTTCTTAATGAGAGGTTCTGATTTTCCTTGAACAGTAACATAGTTTGCAATGACAATTACAGGGTCTGATTCAGCTTGAGGAAAGTGGCCATCTTTACCCTTACATTCAATATCGAACGAGAGAACTCTAACAGGTGCAATTTTGTGCCATCCTGGCTCTGTTGGTAAGTGGCTGATTAAATCTTCGTATGAAACGTCAACTTCAATTTGAGAATGGCTTACTTTTTCGTTATCACTTCTTAATTTATAGGATCCAGCTGGTAATTCTACCCAGTTAGCTCCAACCATATTCGAATCAATCATGCAACGCAAAACAAACAAAACATTACTTTCGTAGGTTTGGAATTTCTTAAAACCAAGCCCAGGAATATGAATACCTTTTTCGAGCGCCTCTCTTACATGTGGAACCATTGGAGGAATACTGGTCTCAATTCTCAAGAAATTTCTCGAACTACCAAACGAGTAATGCATGAGACTCTTCTTTTTTTCAATGCTAACATTTACAATGTATTTGTCTGCTTTTCCTTTTTGAATATTTCTTTCAGCCATGATCGTGTTCAAAAACTTGGCAAAGTTTTGTGTTTGATCTGGATTAAAGTTATCAGGTTGATCAATATAAAAGTACGGAGTATAACCTCGTACATGGCAAGTGACAGAATGACCTTCTTCAGTCACACCATATAAACGAACAATTGGAACATTTCCTGTAGTTGGTCCTGGATAACCTGGTTTTTGCTCTCCGAGAGTATAATCTGCATCCATTTGTTGGAAGGCAAGAGAACAAGTTCCTTTGAAATATAATGAATCCTTGCTAAGTGATGGTCTGACCCAATTTGGATGCTTTGGAACAACAGCTCTAAACTTCTTCATATCTTCCAAAGATATGTTTTGTGAGAGCGTACTATTTAAAACATCCTCTTCTTCCATGATATCTTGTTCATCCTCTTCGGAGGGCTCAAATTGTTGTGCATCATCCATGTCTTCAATATCTTCATTTTCTTCATCTTCATCAAAATCGGAAGGCTCTCCTTTGGATATTATGGATTCATTTTCTTTTTGTTTGAACTTTTTGTTTTTATCGTCCGTTGTTGATGATGAGGAGGACGAGACCTTTTTTGTGGTTGGTTGAGAGGTTGGTTTTCTCTTCATTGGTCGCTGATGATGTTGAGTGTGTGTGAATTAAATATTTTTTTGTGGTGTTCGTAACGTTCTTATGTTTGATGGAACCAATTTTTTTGGCGGGCTTTGCGTCCAATTTTTTAGTCTTCTTTATTGATGTCTTTGTCAACTTTGGGACCAGCAAAAAACGAGCTTAACATACCAGACAATGCATTAGGGTTCAATGACAACTTTCCAATGATCTCGGAAATTATCTTGTTGGTTATTTTCTCTTCCCATTCTTTCATTCTTGCATCCACACATTCGTTGACAAAGGTCCTTAATTCTTCCTTGCTGGAAAATTGTGTAGAGTGAGATGATGTCAGTTGAATAATATTTTCAGTGAGAGCTTTTGAACTAGTATCAGTGGAAATTGGATCTGTTTTTTCAATTGGTTTCGGTGTGACAGTCGCAAGACCTAGTGGTTTTGTTTCAGGAATTGTCTGTTGTTCCTTCTCTCGTTCTTTTGCAACAGCATCAATTGTTTTTGTGATTGGCATTATCGTGTTAAAAATCATGGACATTTGTTTTGCAGTTGGATTATTCAGTCCATTCATTAGGCTCATAAGCATTCGAGGATCGCTCATGAGTGAACTCATACTACCTGAAAATTGAGTAGACTCTTTCATGTCACTGTTTTGGTGTGACAAGGACGATGAATCTCCAATCGATGAGGGCGTCGTGACAGATCCTTTCCATGTTCCATGAAGCACTATTGCACTAACACAAATCTTACTTTGCTTGTTTGCTTTTTCGGAATAATCCAAGGACAAAAACTTGATAACAAATTTCGAGTGAATTGGTAATGTCTTAGAGATGCCATCTTGATGACTCTCAGCACTGCATACACAGTGATACTGATAGGTAGATCCTTCTCCAACTTTTTCTGTAAATCTGCATGTCTGAGAATATTCTCGTTCTTTCGAAGTATACAATTCAATATTTCTTGCCGTACTATAAACATCAATAAGTGTCCATTCAAATAATTCATTCAAGTCGATGGTAATCTCGAAATATTTGGCACTTTCATTCTCTTGGGTTTCCTTTGCTCCTTTCTCAAACACGACTGGACCTTTTTCAGAAGAATCATTTTCGGCATTCTCTTCATCCTCGTACGATGATGGTTTCACCACATGGACCAATCGATGAAACAATTGGATTTCATCATTCCGATATTCCTCTCGACAGGCTTGCCATGACGATCGCAGCAAGCCTTGTTGTTGTTGTTGGTTCAAAGAACTTTCCGTCATGAGTAGTGTCGTCGATGATGATGATGAAAAGAGCACCACAAAAAGCTTTCAAATTTTTCAGTTTTGAAAAAACGATTGAAAATAAAAATGGGCAAGAAGAAGTCATCCACAACCAGTAATAATACTAACAACACTGGTGGTAATTCAAAATCAAAAGGAGGGTCATCTTCTAGCTCTGGTGGATCATCAAGCATCGATGTAAAGACAAAAAAACAAGAATCGGGAAAGGTACAAAAAGTAGCTTCCAGTTCGAGTGGACAGAATTCATCATCGGAATCGTCCAGATCATACAGAAAAAAGATCAATTACAAGCCATAGTATGTACGAGAATATATTATTTTCATTGAAAATGTTTGAAATGTTTTTAAACGTTGAAATTTATAGCTCATCAGTTTTAGATTTTATTTATCATGCAAACAAATTATTGGATTTAGAAAAACAAGCTGAAGCAGATGAAGCCGCACTATCAAGTAAAACGTACAGATATGTACAAGTAGAAGAATATACAATGGGATGCAATGGTAGATGCAATGTCAAGCTTATCATGAAAAGTGGATCTTCTGCCAAAGTTGTGACAGATTTTGCAAAAGTCGGAGAATCTGTAACTTTGAAGGTAGCAGAAGGTGGAAGTGATAAAAAGGAAAATGAAGTTAAAGTTGTTAGAGGAGTTATTTCTGTTGTGACAGATAAATATATAATTGCTACAATGGATGAATTTTTAGACGAGTGGTATGAGGCCTCAAAATTGCTAATGAACAAGGTATTAGATGAAGTTACCTTTAAGCGTTTAGAAATGGCTCTCAAACATTTAGAACATTACGAAAAAACTCCTGCTTCTAATATTGTAAACTTGTGCTTTAGACCAATGTCTGATGATGAAAATGAGGAACTCCTTCCAAAATTTGCCGAAGATAGAGAAATAGATCAAATGACATTTTTCTCAACCACCTTAAATGATTCTCAAAAAGATGCAATCAAGTTTGCTCTAAAATCCAATGACATGGCACTTATTCTTGGTCCACCTGGCACAGGAAAGGTAAGTATAATTTTTTTTGAAAATGATGCCGTTTACCTTAATTTCTTCTTTACACATACCAGACAACCACAGTAGTTGAGTTAATAAGGCAAGCAGTTGTTTTGAAAAAGCTCAAAGTATTGGTCTGCGCTCCATCCAATATTGGCGTAAGTTCATTATTTTTTGAAATAATTTGTCCTTACCTTTCCTCCTTAGATTGACAACGTGGTTGAAAAATTGTCAGACGAAAATACTGGATCGACAAAGAAAATTAAGCTATGTAGAATTGGCCATCCTGCTCGAATGATGGACTCCATTCTTAAACACAGCGTTGATTATAACATTTCTGTCGGAGAGGGAGTGAAGGTCATTAATGACATTAGAAGAGATATCATCAAAATTTCCAAACAAATTACAAAGACAAGAGGACTTGAACGGAGACAGCTCAGAGAAGAGCTACGAACTCTTGAGAAGGAATTAAAACAAAAAGAAAAAGAAGCAATTCACGATGTCATTCGGTTTTCTGATGTCGTATTGTGTACACTAACGGGAGCTGACGATTATTATTTAAGGTATGATTTACTTGTGACATGTATTGCATTCTTAATAACTTTTTTCTCAGAGACAAAACATTTGATCTTGTAATTATTGATGAAGCTGCACAGGCCATTGAAATGTCTTGTTGGATTGCCCTCTTGAAGGGTAAAAGATGTGTATTGGCAGGAGATCACTTCCAACTTCCTCCAACTGTGTTATCACCAGAAGCTCAAAAACAAGGTTTGGAAGTCACATTGTTTGAAAGAATGTACTTTAGATACAAGGAAAATATTTCGAGAATGCTCAATGTTCAATATCGTATGAACGAGGAAATTATGAACTGGTCAAGCAATGAGTTTTATGAGGGAAAACTAATTGCTCATGACTCTGTTAAATCTCATTTACTGTGTGATCTTGAAGGAGCCTCTCAAGATGAAGCAGAAACTCTCACACCTTTATTTATGATTGATACAGCAAACTGCGACATGGAAGAATCACAAGTCGACGCTGAAGAGTCCACAGAATCTCATATTTCTAAAAGCAAGATGAACACATTTGAAGTTGACCTTGTTGAGAAATATCTCAGACATTTAGTTGAAAAATGTAAAATATCAGAATCCTTAATTGGTGTGATTACTCCATACTCGGCCCAGGTACAAGCGCTTCGAGCTAAAATCTCTGATGAATTCCCATTTGTTGAAACCTCCACAGTCGATGGCTTTCAAGGTCGAGAAAAAGAAGTCATCATTATTTGTACCGTTCGTTCCAATAAGAATGGTGATGTTGGATTTTTAAGTGAGGAACGAAGAATGAATGTGGCTGTCACTCGAGCTCGACGACAAGTGTGTATCATTGGAGATAGCAACACGTTAAAAACCAACCCATTCTTGAATCGTATGGTTCATTACTTTGAAGAGTTTGCAGATGTACGATCTGCGCATGACTACATGTAATTGGTCTCTTTTCTTTTCTATTAAATTTCACAACAGTTTCGATCAAGAAGATTTTGCCAAAAGCGCACAAATTTGAAAACGGAGCGGATTTTATTTCGCGGATTGTAATCGACATGAAATGGACACCAAAAAAATGGGTCACTCCATCTCTAAGAGCGAATCCGATGTCGGATTAGAGTCTGACAACAAGGAAGAAGAACGACTGCAAAAATTGGTCACCGCCAACGAAATTGCCCAATATGTACGTACAAAGGTGGATGATGATGACCTATCTTTTATTTCTTTTTAACGATTCGAATCGATCATCCATTATTGATTGAATTACATACACGTGTATTGTGTACTTGCGGAATTGCAAATCTTGAATATACTACTACTTGTTGTTGTTGATGAAACGCACACACATGTATTATATAGGAGAAAGTGATTCTCACCAAATTGTCGGATATTAAAAATTTAGATTCACTTCCTCCTCTGGTACTGAAAGATCTCGTTTGTAATTTATTTTTGAAAGAATCCATTCGGAAATGTTATTTGTCACTATCTGTCGATGAATTAGTGGAATATGTAGGTTGATCAAATGATTATTTGAAAACGTCGAATCAACATTCTGTTGTAATGATCATTTCAATTCCATTTCACAATGATTTGAAAAATTGAACATGAATCTCCCTTGTGGTTGAAATTGTGCTGAAATTATGTGAATGATGTGGAATAGATTGGAAATCTTCTCACTATTTATGAAAATAACACAAAAAGTGCCTTCGCTTCTTTCTATCGGAATTCAAAACTGCCAAGTGTCGTTTCTGAGCTGAAACAAACACCTTGTATTCAACTTCCAAAAGATAATGTATTGAAAGTACGATTAGTATTGATACAAGCACCTAAAGAATTTTCAAGCATGACCGTATTTGATATATATTGTCCAATTATTGACAATTTTTCGTCCATGTTTCCTTCTCAATGGTATAATGCTGCATTTAATGATTATGAAAATTTTGTGAACACACAAGTGACAAATCAGAGTTTGAAAATTATTCCAGCGATTGCTATTGGACCCTATGTATTATATTATAATTCGTTAGGTTTGTGTTTGTAGAAGATTTTAAATAATGCTAATGCGTATTATTATGTTGTGATGTATTTATATCAATAATTGATGATAATTATTTTGTTCCACTATTTTGTGAATAATTATTTTGTGAAAAAAACACTCTTAATTGTTTAGGACTTGTCATTCCAAGAAGAGCAATTGGAGAGGCAGCCTTTATGTTATCTGAAATTGATCCAATTGCTTGCCTTTCAGTCAATGAAGAAGCAGTCAAGCAATTATCAACCTTAATATTCATGTGGAACACAAAAGAGCGATACAGCTCACAATCCAATAATGCTCAACACTTTGTTGATCATGTGATGAGTCTCTTTTCCATTTCACTTCAAGACAAATCTCCCTCTTTTGTGGAATATCTGACACAAATTCGAGCCAGTGGTTTTGGAGATGCAACCATTCATTTCACAAACGAATTTCGAATTCAATTTAAAATCAAACGCTTAGAAAAAACATTTTCAGATCGTGCAGATCTATGCACCTTTTGTTCCAAATTATTTCAACGAAAATTCTCAAAAGAAACTCACTCAGATGAATATTCCTTATTAAGAAATTTTGATAGAATATTTTGGTGTGAAATTTCACAAATTAAGAAATATTCACAAATTATTTTTGAAAATCAAAATTCCAGAAGCACAGTCTCAGCTGGGAACGATCATGAACAACCTCACAATACAACTCCAACACAACCATTTAACAATGACACACTTCATGCGAATAATATTATTGACGTCGACAATGAATCTTCTCAACAACAACAACAACCGTTGGTGCCGAATCCATTTTCAGATCCAAATGTTCTATGTCCAGAAGCTTTTAAATCTAAAAAGTCATGGTTTTGAATAAAAAAGAGGCTCTATTGCTTTTCGCAGTTGGTTGCTGTCCAAATTCGAAAGGTTGGATTTTGAGATTAGAACAGTCAAATGTCAAACATTCAAAAAAATCCAACAACAACAACCACTACAACGTATCATCTTGACTGACTCCAAGTAGTAGAGCTGCTTCCATCATTGATCCTTTTCAGCAAGCAAACGGATTGTCTCTCTTTACATGTTGACCAAAACAACAACAAGTATTACAACAACTCGTCGTATTCACCATCATCATGATGAACACTCCAACCTCACATTCAAGAAATTTACTTCGGAATTCATTATGTATTGAAATTCTTCCGAATCCAACAACAATAATAACAACACCCTCTTCAACTTTTCAAAGTATTCACCATCATTCTTCATCTTCTAATTCAGTGTTATTGACTTGTCCATCACATCTCATGAATCATGATGTTGCTTTGGGTCATCAACAACATGTGAGAATGTCATCTCCGTTATCGATCACGAGCTCAACCAATGCTCGAGCGAGATATAGTGTTGTGACGTGTGGGGTGAGTGGGCAGCTGCCAAATGTCACTACGGATTGGGATATTAAAAAAATTCAAGAGGAAATTAGAATGGAGACCATGATGAATAAGAATACTCATACACCCTCTTCTTCATCTACAGATGTCTTGATATCTTCTTATCTCAACACTGTTCCTTCAAATATCAATTCTCCTACAGATATTCCAATTTTGGACATTAAAAAAACTGAAAACGAATCCGAAGCTGAAAGTTTTCACAAAATTATCACAAGCTCACGAAACAGATCAAGAACATTTGAAAGTACTACTCCAAGTATATCACTCAACAACAACACAATTGAAAAGAAAGATTCCAGTGTTGACTTGGCTGCCATTCCAAATATGTCAAATTCCACATCGAATGGACAAGTCGTTGAAAACATTGCTCTTTCACCCTTCACAAAAATTGATCAACCAGTTGCCAATTCAATTTTAAAATTTTGTACCATTTATGAATTCAGTGCTTTGTGTCGCGTCACACAACAATGGAATTATTTCACAAAAATTTATTTGAAAGATTTTGCAGATTCTGAAAATTTGAAAACCTGTCTTTCATTACTGTATTGTAAATTATCACAATGTTTGACAGATGTTGTGGAATTTGAAGATCGACCATTGAAGAAGGTATTTCAACAATTGCATCAACATCGACATTTGATTACAAATTTACCAAAAATAGCATCCACACCATCCTCTAACACTTTTCCATTGAAATACAAACAAAACGTCACAGATTCAAGTTCTTCATCCTCCAACAATTCTCAACAACAACCACTTCTTCCCTTACATGAACTATTTTATGAATCTTACATTTCCTATTTTGGTACTATTGTTCCAAGATTAGCATGGCACATCAGTCGAAAGAATGTCAAGAAGAGAATCACATTCAATGAAATTCAATTTCATCTCACCGTAGAAATGTTTCTGAGAGGAGACGATGACAAGATCATTCCTATCGACACGTACGAAATTGAACAATATATTCAAAAAACATTTAATTCGAGTTTTGCAGCACAACTCATGACCTCCGTATTTGCATACTTTACTGTTTTCTATATGAGATTTGATGAATTGAATTTGATTTCAATGAATACGGTCATTGCAAGCAGTAGTGTGAGTTCTTCTCCAATGTTACGAAAACACAGCAGCAGTTCAAAACAAAGTTCATCTTCCACCAGCAACAAGAAGAAGAAAATGTCAAGTTCTGAACAAGCCCTTATGGTTGTTGTTGATCATGATGATGAAAATAATGACGATGAAAATTCATTGAAGAACAGTCCATCATTATCCTCTGGTCAACAACAGTCCTCAAAGAAGAGGAAAGAGAAGAAGAATGGAGATGACCATCTGATCCTCACATCACCACCACCACCACCACCACATGAAAGTCATCAAATATTATCTTGTTCACTTGGTCATGTGGCCAGAAAAACCTTCTCTTCAGGAATTCTTCCAACCTCTCGTCGAAGAGATGAACAAAGTCCTTCCTTAAAAAATTTATTTAGCATTTCACACGATGAAAAACAACAACAACCACCAAATGATTATTTGCTCTCACCTCAATCTCCAAAGATGATGATGAGAAATAATAGTAGTAGTATGAACAGTATTAATAGTATGAACAGCAACAATCGAAGAGGATCTCTACGTGAAATGTCATCTCCAATGCATGCAGGTGTTGGTTTAAAATTCGATCGAGGAGAATTTCTCATTTCACAACAACCACAACAACCACAAGGTGGTTATTCAATGAGTAGAGAGGATTCACAAGTAATGTCCACTGTCACTACAGAAGATGAAGTGGATGTAGAGGATGGTGGTGCTACCATGACGACTGTTAGTGCGACTACTTTCGATACGTTTCTTCATTCGTCTCGAAGAAGGTCGTCTGTGGTCTCTTCTTCGAATTTACCAACTATGGTTAAATATTTGGAAATTGTTCCAAAAGCAAGCTGTGAATTGGGTTACATGTTTTTATTGGACTTTTTTAAAATTATTTCAAGATATTGTAAGAAAACAAGTTTCAATTTTTCCAACGTCTCAGAAGCTGAAAAAGCAAGAATTCATTACTTGTCAACTCTTTCCATTTCTCCATATAGTGATTCAGCATCTGCATTTATGCCAAATATCGATGAAGGACAAGTGTCACGAAAGAATACTTTAAAATTTAAAGGAGTTTGTCATGCAATGGCAGATTCAGAATTTATCACATGTTTAGTCATGTCAGGAAAGGAATGGAATAGTGAAGATGTGTGTCTACTTTTTAATTCATTTAATTTATTGGAAGGAAGATCGAGACGTGATCATTACTGTGTGGATTTGGTATTGCCAAATCATATTGAACTTATGGAAGGAAATCACTCGAAAATGATGCTCCCAAATGATGAACCATTCGATTCGACCCATGATGTGACATTATCATTACCAAATATGAATCTTGTCGATGCCACATCATTGATGAGTGACAGCAGCCAACCACATAGACTATCCAATAGTGGTGGTGAGAGTGTTCTTCAACATGCGCCATCGGCATCACTCCATCAAGAGGAAAGTGATACCAGAATGGTGAAATGGCCATCCTTCCTTAAAACAGTATACATGACAGAAATGAATGAATCTTTAATATTCCATGATCGATGGTGTGGAGAAGGACCTAAAATTAGAGAGATTCATTTGAATTTAGGAATGGCAGATTCTTCCTTGTTAACATTTGGTACTTTGAATTATTGTAAAAAGACATTGAGACATTTCTACATTTCAGATTGTACACTCAATTACAAAATTGGATCAAATTTTGTGAACGTGATTAAGGAGTTAGATTTAGAAACTCTTTCTCTGGAGAGATTTCATCTCGACAGTGAAAATTGGAGAATACTCTTTGAAGATTATTTACAAAATTTCTCTAACTCATTGCGGACCATACGCCTCATAGATTGTATCAATCAATTGTCTGATGTTTCTTCATTTGTTCACAACATTCAAATAAGAAGTATTCAATTAGAGAAAGTAGAATTGAAACTCAAACACTTTGGAGAAGAAGAAAAGGGAGCAGTGAGTGGATTGTTGGAACACTTGTTACTGAATGGAAATGCAAAAACAATAATTGCAGACTCAATGTCCTCACTCAGCAAGTTAAATAGTACTCTGTCGAGAAAGAAAAAGAAAGGTTGTATTATTTCATAAAGAATGTTGACACATTGCAAAAAGTTGCATGCAGTTACACATTTCCTGTCATTTCGATTTGATTTGATGTGGCCAGATGGTGTTTGGCTGTTTTTGTCTTTTTCACAACAATGAGTGTGATCACCACGATTAAAGTAGTGACTCCTGCAACCAATAACACTCCCAATGGCACACTGATTCCAACTGCAATCGCAACAGTATCAATTTCTTGATTTTCCTTAATTGGTGGTGAAATGGCTTTAGAAGGAGTATTAAGTATTCGCATGTCATTCATTGATTGAGTTTTGAAATTTTCATTGATGTTCGAACGTCCCATATTTCCAATAATGCGCTCACATTCCCTGGTTGTGAAATTGTGGGCAATATAAAGCTCAAGGTTGTCACTGTGTTATTGACCAAATGAATGGATTGATTTTTCAAAGCAATGGCTTGTCCATTGAGTTCCAATTCTAAAACAAGGTTGAGATCTTTGCCATTATAAAATTTCAAAAAGTCTTCTTTTTGTTGGAAATCAAGTTGAAGGTCTATTGGTGATGGAGCAGTATTTGTTGTTTGACTGGATTGTATGAAGGTCAACAACAGGTTTTGAGATTTCAAGAAAAGTAATGAACAATCCTTAAAGAACGTATCATTTCTCAAGCACTGACATGTATCCCTATCCATACAGTTTCCAACATTTGAGCAAACATTTGAGAAATCATATGCTCTAAATCCAAAGCAAATTGGAATATCACAATTATATCCAGTGTACCCTTCATTGCATGTGCAGTTATCGAAGCGAGAACAATTTCCTTTTGAAGAACAAACAGACTGATTGTCTCCGTGAATTCCAGAACAAATAGGAGTTTCACACTGATTTCCAAAATAACCCGTACTGTATGAGCAGTTGTTGAAATCAATACATGACCCATGTGAAGAACAAACAGTCCTATTGTCCCCATGAATTCCGTAACAAGTTGGTATTTCACAATTATTTCCTGAATATCCTTCTTTGCAAGAACACACATCCAAAGCTGAGCAATTTCCTTGAGAGTTACAAACACGGCTATCATTGTATTTGACTTCAAAACACTCAAATGGTACACATGAATTATTGGATGCCACATATGTGAACCCCTCATCACAAATGGGTGACAACAATCGAATTCTACGATTAAGATGATCTACAAAATAGAGATGTCCGGTAGGCATTCGAAATATTGAAGAAGGGTTTGAAATGGAAGCATTTGTTGCCAGTCCGCCGTCACCACTAAATGATACTTGACCATTACCTACAGAGTGTTGAAAGTGTTTTCACACATTGTGTATACAAGATTTTCAGTCTGTAAGTTCTGTAACTGAACCACGAATTCTTACCTGCAATAGTAGTAATATTTCCAGTTGTTGCATCAATATATCTAATCCTAGAATTTCCGCTATCTACAATTTAAATATCTCCATTTTCTGCTACAGTAAATTCAAATGGATTATACAAATTAGCTTTTGTTGCTGGAATGTTATCTCCATTGTATCCATAGGAGAACAATCCTGCTACTGTCCAAATTATTCCATTCGTATCAATTCTTCTTAGATTATTATTGTATCTATCTAAGAATAACACATCTCCATTCGGTAATTGACGCACACAGGTTGGATTTGATAATTGTGCTTTGATAGCCAATCCTCCATCTCCTGTTTGTCCTACATTTCCATTACCCGCAATGATGATAATTGTTCCATTCGAGAATATTTTTCGAATCTTTTCACCATACGTTTCTGTCACGAACATTTCCATGGTGGTGTGATTAAGGTAAAGTCCCCATGGTCGCCAAATGGTTGCATTTAAGGCAGGACCATCATCTCCACCTGAAGATTCAGCACCAGTACCTATTGAGAGAATTTTGTTGAAAGGAGTCCAAATAAAAAACATATTTGCGCATATTGTGATGTGTGTTGAAATGTTGAATCATGACAAGTTTCTCAAAGTAGTTAAAACCCTTCCTGTAATTCTGAATGCTTACCTGCTAACGTTGTGATCAATCCTGTTTCATTGGACACTTTACGGACCTTGTTTAAAAAGGTGTCTACAAAGTAAACGTCCTGTGTGATTGGATGCACAAAAATCCCTGTAGGTAAATTTATCCGCGCTTGAACGGCAGGAATATTATCAGCATAGGACGATGAAGTCGAATTGCCGGCAATAGTGATGAGAGTTCCATTACCATTTCGAACTGCAAATGAATGGAATTATTAGCAATATATGAAGAAATGAAACCACAACAAATAGTTGAATGTGATGTTGAAGAGTGTGTGAAGAGACCAATTCGAAAGGGTATTTGGATGCAGAATGTGGAAGGCATCACTTTGAATCGTCGTGCAAAGCAACATTTGATGTCCGTTACACAGAAGGATCCTTCTCACTGACGATCGTGCTTGATGAATCATTATTCAAGTCATTTGTTTCGTGATCGTGATGATCTTTCAGTCGATTCGAAATTCGTGACTGTGAAGAAGCTATTTCTCCCAAAATGGCCATACATGTTGCTGTAACCACAGAAGCCAAAGATCCTACCTCCAATAGGGCCAGAATTGTTTCATTTTCAAGTGTGTGATGCAGCATTGAGTTTGGTAATTGTTGAAGAGCTTCAATAATTCCAAGTTGTTGTTGTTGTGATGGATGCAACTCGTTCGTTACATCTTCACGAAAGGCCGCAACATAGAACATTCCACCATTTAAGAGAGCATCCAAACCATTGAAAACACTCGATATGAAAAAGTATTTGTAAGCTTCAAGTTTGTTCTTTCTCCTAATCTGAATATGTTCTTTTTTGCTAAGGTGAACATGAAGGAGATGATCATGCTCCGAGGAATGATGATGATGTTGTTGTTGTTCCTTCCGAGCCCTCAAATAATCATTTCTGCAGCTATAGACTGCCAATATTCCTCCAATTAAAGGGACGCTAAGAACAGCTCCACGTCCAATCCTTTGCAACACTCGAACGGCAGTTTTCTCAATCACTCGTTCCATCATTAAGATTGAAGATTTGGAGATCAATTTTCTTGAGAGGGCCTTTTTGGCGAGTGTTTTTTCAATACGGAATGCAAGTTTGTTGACAAGCTGCAATCCAATAAACTCGGAGATGGTGTGAATGATCCGATGTCGCAGAGTAGAGGTGTGTTGGAGATGATGATGATGATAATTGGCTTTTGTCGGGTGATTTGTATCAAACTGAGGATGGTCCGAAATGATGGGCGGTGGGTCCTCTTTTTGAAGGATAGAAGGATTGTTACAAAGGGAACAGTTTGATGAGAAATATTGTTGTCGGTGGAGATGATGTTGAAATTTGATCCATCCGTTCGATTTCGGAACGTTCCAATTTCTGATAAATGAGGTTTTTTGAAGAGGAAACATTTTTTAAAGTTGTCCAAACCACTCAATCCTTCTCGTTTCCTAAAGACTACCGATAGGAACAATGATGCAGAATTCTCTGCAATACTTATGGCCACTAAACTTTTAACCAAGAACTCGAAAGCAACAATATATACGAAAGCAACAATATATATACAGACAGCCAAATTGTAAATTCTCAATGCCTGTATAATTTAGGGCATCCACTGGCAAAGTGAATTAATTAAGGCTGATGAGTTCGCAAAACAGGGAGCGATTAATCTCAAATGCAAGATGGATCCATGTACCAAAATTTGACTATCAGTCAAATACGACAATTCCAAAATACAACCTGTGAAAGATGTAATAAAAACGTAACCATAGAACACCCATATTTCTGCCCTAAAACTCGGATCTACACAGACTACTTCAAAGAAAAATTCTTCGAGATCACTAATACTAGAGGTGTTTTGCTTGATAGACAAATATCTTCACACAAGAAACAGAGCCATCACGATGGACGTTTTGACAATCCACTCTCAAGAAACATAAAAGAATTGTACCCCGAAAATTACAGAAATTCATCCAGAAATACTCACCTTAATGTTCGGGAAAGTCTGCATTATCTACTATAACGAAACTGTGAAAAACTAACCAATAATTACCCTCCTGTCCCATTGGGACTAAATTTTAAATACATAAAAATTTATTAAGTTGTTTCTTTTGAGCATTCTATTTCATACTTGTAACAATAAATATGTACAATTTATTTCTTGTTTGGAGCAGCTGGTTTAGAAGTAGGAGCATCTCCAAGAGGCGACCGAAGCTTCTCTATTGTGAAATCTGTCGTTGCAATTTTGCCCGTGTACTTTTCAGGGATTCCAGTTTCCAAAAGTTCATGTAATTTTTTCTTCCTTAATAGCTCCACTTTCTTTCGTTCCAGCTCCATTTTTCGTTTCAATAATTCGCCTTCTTCGAGATATTCTCTACGTTGTCTTTCTTTGGATTCCTTGATGCTTTCAATTTGTTCTAAAACCTGCTGTTGGGTTTCTTTCTTTCGTTTCTTTTCCTCTTCGCTCTTGAGCTTTTCAAGTTCTTCCACTTTCTTCTGATGATCTACTACATGATTAAATTCATCTCGGTCCTCTCTGGCCAATTCAGCTATCTTTAACTCTTTTTCATACTTTTGCTTTTGTCTTGCCTGATGCAACTCTTGGTTCATTCTTTTTCTTTTTTCCTCGTTTTCTCTCTCCTTTCTTCTGTATTCTCGTTCGAGGGCCTCTTGAGCCCTTTTTGCTCGCAAAGCATCAATTTCTGATTGTTTATCTTGAGCTTTTTCTTGCAGAGCTCTTAATCGAGCCACTTCTCTTTCTTTTTCTGCTTTTAATTGCTCTTGTTGTCTTGCAAATTCTTGTTCTTTTCTTTCCTTTTCAGCCAAATATTCTGCAATTTGTCGATCTTCTTCCATTTCGGCAAGCTTTAATCGCCTCTTGAGCTGAATTTGCTCGGCATTTGCAAGAGCAATCTCTTCCATGAGTTGCTTTTCTTGTTTTCTCTTTTCTTCAGCCTCTTTGATGTCTTCAAGCTTCATATTTTGCATGTGAGCTAACATTGCTTCCTGTTCTTGTCTCTTCAACTCAAGCTCTCTCAATCGCTCTTTTTCTCGCTCCTTCATCTGTTCTTTGATAATTAGAGCACCGTTTCTTCGATCTTCTTGCCGTTTCTTTTCTCTTTGCTCGTACATTTTTATCGCCTTCAGGCGTTCAAGCTCCATTGCCTCGTCCTGCAACCTTTCTGCCTCTTGTTTCTCTTTCAATATTCTTTGCTTCTCTTCGAGTTGTTTGTCTCGAATTGTGACACATTGAGCATAAAGTGCCATGCTGTTCATTCGTTTCACTTCATCAAGATTTTCATCCATTTGGGATACAGCTTTTTCCAGCAGCATTAACTGTTTTTCCTGGTTCTCAATGTCGAGATCTGACATTTTTCTTTCGCCCTTGAGCATCTTTTCCTTATCCAATTGCTTCATTCGCTCCTTTCTTTCTTTTGCTTCCTGAGATTCTTCCCTCTGCTTTCTCTCCATTTCTCTCTGTTTTTCAATCGGAATTGACTTTTCTTTGAGAGTTTGAAATTCTGATGTAGTTATTACCACAGTATCACCTTTTCTTTTTACTTGTTCAGCAGAAGCAGCTTTGTTAGAGGATTTCTTTTGAGATGAGTTTCCAAACAATATTTCATCGACAATTGGCTTATCGGAGATCTTTCGATAGGTTGATTTCGAGCTCTTTTGTGAGCCTCCGCTAGATGTTGATGATGGCTTTTCCAACATTGCAAATTCAAATTTCCATAGAGTTACATCATAAACGCAGCTGAAAACAGGAGCCTCACTTACCATATTTTTTCTTGTTTTTGTTCGTTAAATTTACAATTTAAATTTGGCGGTAATTTTCGCACCAAAATTTATTGGTCGGCCATCTCAGAATTGTGATCCATCATGAGCGCCTCCTCTGAGAGATTTTCTGGAATGAAGAGAGAGTAGCCATCAAGACTTGTTGTGAGGAGCATATTCTTGATTCGAGGATGCCAATGCACTTCTTTCACTTCATTCTGACCCAAATGTTCGAAAAGTAATTGAGGAGGATATTCTTCACCAATTTCTTTTTCGATTTGTTCTTGTTCAGCGTCTCTTTCTAAACTGAGATCCCAAATGGTGACTTGTTTGGAATCTGAGGCTGCAAGTATGGTGGAGTCATGTGGATTCCATTCGATTGAGGAAATGGCAGTGTGGTGATAGGAGAATTGACCAACTGGTTTCAGAGCAGTTTCTTGATCTGAGCATTGACGCATGTCCCAAATACGAATCTGACCATTATCATCGCCACTTGCAATGAGATAGGTTGTAAGTGGATTCCATGAAATAACATTCACGTCAGCATCTTCACTTGCTTGGAATGAAAGTCCATGTTTTCTGTTCTTTCTTCTTGTATCCCAGAATTTGATGGTTCTATCACATGAGCATGATGCAAAAACAGTATCTTCATTTGGAGAAAATTGGATATCTTCAACACTTGAGGAATGTCCAGTAAATGGTTTGTTATAAATTCTCTTCCATGAATAAATACCACTTCCTTCAATATCCATGACATTAATTTCACCATTGCAATCACCAGTGGCAATTCTTCCTTCCACACATTTGGACCAATCCATAGCAAAACCTTCCGTTCGATGGAAATCAAAAGTTTGAATTGGTTTCTTGCTCTTATTGATAGATTTTAAAGAATTGGCCATATTCTCCTGCCTCAATACTGAAGACATTTGTGTTAAATCATAAATATGGACTTTTGCATCTTCACACCAAAATCCTACAATATTTCTGTTTTGAGGCATTGCTCTAACTCTGTTCACATTCGCAGAAATTGGTATCATTTGATATTCAAGGGATGGTTCATCATCCATAGTTTCTTCATCTTCTTCATCCTCGACATCACTCTCATCAGAGTCATATCTTGTTTTGTACATATCATATGCCTTAATTAAATAACAATTCTTTTCAGTAATTGAGTTATCAGTTTGAACGCCCGCAACAAAGTAGCATGAGAGTGGATAATTCGTACTGTCAAGAGGTTGGGACAAAATGTCAAAACTCAATGCTGGCCATTCGTTTCGTATTCTATAATGAACTTCGTAAGCTCTATTTTGAAAAGTCATTTCATATTCCCTTGTGTCAAAATCCTCACCAGGTTTATAAACTTCGGCTTTAGAGTTAATTCCTAATCTTTCTTTTTCAGCTTCTTCCTCTTCCTCAATCAGCTTGTTTTCTCTTGATTGAGCTTTCAAATTGAGTTCTTCTAGTTTTTGGCGAAGAGCTTCTTCTCCTTCCACCTCAACTTCTTCTTCTTCTTCTCCATCATCATAAACAACATCTTCATCCTCGTATTCGTCCTCATATGGATCACTATTGATGACAATGAAATAATTTGTTGTTTCCGAAAGTAATTTTTAATAATATTTGAATGATGAAATCACCATAATTTCATCAAATTTAGTGTATTAATTCATTAATTGAACAATATATAATATTCATAATTGTTCACCATCATGAAATCAATCCGAAATCAGACAATTCCTTCTTTGTAATTTCAAAAACTTACGCTTGATAATATTCTTCCTCTTCATTATGATCAGACATCTCTTCATCGGATGAATCCAAGTGTCTCACTTCTCTCGATTCATTCTTTCTCACACCCGATAAGACTTTGGACTTCTTCTTTGCTCCTGGCATTTTTTTGTTCAACAAAAATTTTTAATTCAAACTTGAGTTTTTCTTTTCCACTTCAAAAAAATGGTCACCTCATCATCTGCGTCTTCTTCGAAAACTGAAAAGAAGCCCATCTCAATTACGGCAAACAAATTAAAACAAAAGATGAAAGAATTGAAAAAATCATCATCGGGAACAGCATCAACAACTATTGGTAGCTCAGAGGAGTCTCCGAAATTCCACAACAAGCAAAGAACACTTATTTTGGCTTCTCGGGGTATTCATGCCAAACACAGACACTTGATGAAGGATTTACGTAATTTATTACCTCATACCAAAACTGAAAGTAAATTTTCAAAGGAAGGATTAACTGAAGGAGATTTAGTTAAAAAACTTCATAGACTTCAAAAGATTGATCATATTGCGGCAGCATTGAAATGCCCAAATATCATGTATTTTGAAGTAGACAAGGAATCTGCAGAAACTGAATTGTTTTTATGGATTTCAAAGACATCTATTGGTCCCTCAATGAGATTCAAAGTTGAAAACATTAGTACCATGAATGAGTTGAATCTTATCGGAAATTGTTTGAAATATTCTCGACCTCTTCTTCAATTTGATAAATCATTCGATGGAGATGAATCAGAACCAAAAACAAGCCACCTTCCTCTTATCAAGGAAATGTTGACCCAAATGTTTGCCACTCCAAATAATCATCCAAAATCCAAACCATTCTTTGATCACATTTTTGCATTTTACTATTTGGATGGAAGAGTTTGGTTTAGAAATTACCAAATTGTCACCAAAACCTCAAGCAGCGGTATTGCGTTGACTGGCTCTCAAAAGCATGAATATTCACTTGTCGAAATTGGACCAAGATTTGTCCTTAAACTAACCAAAATTCTCAATGGCTCATTTGATGGACGTGTTATCTACAACAATGATCCTGACTTTGTTTCAAAGGCCTACGTTCAAAGAATGGAGAGCATAAATCTTGACCTTCAAAAGCAAAGAAAGACTGAGAAGCATCAGAAATACATTGAGCTCAGAAAACCTCAAGATGCTGACGAAGTGAGTTCCGTTTTTAATTAAATTTTCCTTCTTTTGTATGTTGGCTTGAGCAAACCTGCTTCTTTCGTTTGAAAATTGTCACATGTAGTGCAATACCACGCTGCATGCCATTATTGGTCGTCAAAGGTTGTTTCATGAATCAACAGGTCCTGCATCCGTCTTCGATCAACAAAAAACACACTAAAAATAATTCCGTAGCATCAACCTTACGATCAACTGCATCACCACCATCAACCACACTCACAAGTGCGATCCCACACAATACCAACCACTTGCATGTGTTTTGCTTCGTGAAGGAGCATATATGAAAGAAACTTTTACACAAATTTGTACATTTCATTGAAATACAAACTTACAAAACTGCAAGACAATTTTTGAGCGAGAGCCTTCTTGCAGTGTGTTTCCTCCAAAGAGTTTAAATTATTATTATTATTATTCTACAATCCCATTCATCCTTTGAAAATATCTTCTTCTTCATCACCTATGGGAGGAGGAGAAGTTTTTGAGATTCATCAACAGCAAGCAACCCCCACTTGTCCCTCGGAGATCATTTCTTCTTCTTTCATTCCAATTCACCAAGACGCATCAGCAGCAGCACACTCCCCTTCATCATCATCATCATTGCTACTACCCAATAACATCATGTCCTCCAAGCTGATGATGATGTACACTACCACTACTAGTAGTGAGTCGTATCCTCAACAAGATATTTACAGCAGCACTCCTCCATCGAATGGAATTTTTCCACCTCCACCTCCTCCATCATCAATCTATTCACCCTCCTCCAACATCAATCCAGTACAGCAACAACAACAAGATGAAGAGAGGAACAGTCCACTTTCGTCGACCACACAGGTGAATGAATTTTCTCTCTCGGACTCTGTCTATCCATCCAATGGGCTCATTCTCTCTTCCTCTACAACGTCGTTGAGTGCAGAGGTATGGATGAGTAGTAGTAATATTACTACTACTACACCTTCAAACGCTTCTTCCTCCCCCATGATTCACTCCTCTATTACCAACGGAATTCTTTCGTCGCCACAAAAGAAAAAGCCTTTACCGACAACAATAGGGATGATAAAGAAACCGTTGCCACCTCGACCAACACAAACAACCACAGAAGTTGGCATCGTATTTTCACATCCATCAACGTTGAATAATAGTAGTGATGATTCAAATGGACTAGTATATGTAAATAGCCCACCAAAAGTGTCATATCTTGATTATTCCGACACCAACTCTGTATATTCCCAAAATTCTACTACTATATCCAGTGCTGCAAGTTATAATTATGAGCTTGCAAATATTAATCCCGAACCAATTTCACATATTTTCACTGCTGTTGATGGCAGTATGCATAGAAGCACATCACTATCCGGAATTCTCACAAACAGAAAACAAAATAATCAAAATTTATTAACCACGACACAAGAAGATATTTCTCGATCACATAGCCATGACAAACTCAAGTCGGACGACTCGGCGAAAAAACAACAGATTAATGGAAACAATAACAACAATCGAAAAAACAAAAAAATATTTTACAATACGGAATTTTTGGAAAGATGCGGCTTCAGCAACAACTCAATAGAACAACAACAGCTTAAACAATTAAAGCAAGATGAAATACAAGAGGAGCAAATTCGTCAAATGCACAACGAGCAAGAACGAAAGCTCAAACAAACAGAAATGGAGGAGCTAGCTCTTGTCAACAGGACTCTGCAGCAAGAATTTAGTTTTTCTGAATATATTACTTCACAACCAAAATATTCGTGGAGTGACTTTTTTGCTCACAACAAGAATGCATTTAGTTTGATACGGGCAATGGCCTCTCAGTGGTCATGGGGAGAAATGACTCTCGGTCTTGAATATTTTGCGAGAAGCCGAGCTAAAATGAAACGTGACTTTTCAAGCTTTATATTAGAAGCCCAATTAGAGAAAATACCTGCATCCGAGATTGAGATTTGGAGACATTATGCTCGGTTGACATATCAAGTCTTCAGAGACTCTATTGAAGATATACCTAGAAACACTAAGTTAGAGCTTCATAAGATTATTGCCTATGATAGAACACAGCAAGCCATGAGACCCGGTTATTTTCTGTGCGTAGACGATTTTACTAAATCTATTCTTGTAATTTTCCGAGGAACTAAATCCTTCAGTGACATCCTGACAGACCTTCATTGTTCGTCCATTAAGTATAAATATGGCTACTGTCACAAAGGAATTCTAACAGCAGCAAAATATTTTGATTCCAACAAATTTATCAAGGAAGTAGTCAGAAGAACATTAGACCATCATCCTGGATACAAATTGAGATTGCTAGGTCATAGTTTGGGAGGAGGCACGGCAGCCATTCTGGCCACCATGTGGAAGAAAGAATTTCCGGATATTCATTGCTATGCATTTGCATGCCCTCCTGTGCTATCCCAGATACTTTCTGATGAATGTGCTGAATATGTTACAAGCTTTATCAATGGAGATGATTTTGTGACTCGACTGTCAATGACTGCCGTTCATGAGCTTCGAAAAGAGGTTCAAAACTATCCTTGGAAGGAGGAAATGATGAGGGATATTCAGAATTCAATGATTGGAAAATTTGCGGCAGGAGTTAAGAATTATGCTTCAGGGCTTTTTAGCGGCCTATTCGGTTCAAGGAAACAAGAACAAGAACAAATAGAGCAAGCAATTTTGGAGTCTAAAAAGGAAGCTCAAGAAGAAAAATATTTAAACGAAAAGGAGTCACAAGATATGAAAAAGGCTTTGGAAGAATCGAAACGAATCTATTTATTGCAATCGAGAGACGAGTTATCGACATCATCCTCATCACAGGAAATGGATAGTAATATTGGAACCACTAATGAAGACACACAAAGCTCAACCTCTGAAGAGCCCCTTTCCGCTGTTTCCTCTCAGTCGAGTTTGACTGACGAAAGCTTTACAAAAAAACGAGCACCCAAAAAGAAGAAGAAAATCCAAACTCCAGATTCTCCACTTATCATTAATGATTATGAAAACCTTGTGGTGACGTTATTCCCAGCTGGAAAAGTTTATCAAATAAGAAATATTAATGGCAAAGTGTATATTAAGAGAGCCAAACAGGAGGAAATATCCACCATCATTTTAAGTGACAGCTACAAGGAGGATCACAGAATGATCAATTATTTAATCAACTTGGATGCCTTAGAAATTTAGGCATGACAACTGAAAATTGAAGTGTAATTTAATGTACATATAAATTTTGGAACGAATAAAACCCAAGAGAAGTAACAGGTTTGAGCAGTATTGAATCAGGATGGAGTTTTGTGTTTGAAAAGAATTGAATTTTCACATTTACTGGCTAATTTAGATTAAATAAATGAAAGGTATTTACATAAAATTGAATTGAGATTAATGGAAAAACCGCTTAATCAGCTAAATCTTCAAAACATCTACCCTCTTTTCTCATGAGATCGATGAAGGCATCTCCAGCTTCAGGAGGAGCATTATCAATGTGCACAACAACTTTCTTCAATGCATCGTAACACTTGGTTCCGAAACCTGCCACTCCTCCGCACATGTACATGTGACCCTTATTTGTCTTCAAAATGTCATAGATTAGTTGCGAGTGTTCCCAAATGGAATCCGAAATCATTTTGCCATGGGTATGCGAGAAGGAAACATAAAAATCTGAAATTAATCCGTCCCTAAGAGCCATTTCAATTTCATCCTTATAAATTATTTCTGTTTCATCTCTAACACCATATAAGAGTACAGAAGTTCCAAACTTGATCGATGGATTCTTTTGTTTAAGAACACGTCTTTCATCAATGAAACTAAATCATCAAATTTACCTCACAGTTAATTAAAACAATATGTTAACAAAATGAATACTTACGCTCTCATTGGTGCAATTCCAGTTCCTCCTGCCAACATGAGAATTGGTGTCATTGGATTTTGAGGCAATCTAAAGCTTGAAGTTCTGACCACAGATTGACATGGGTCGTGCACTTTTAAGGAGCCCAAATAGTTGGAGCACAGTCCATAGAAGGTTCTGCCATCAGGTTGTGGCCAAACCAAAGGACTGAATGTCACTCTTAGAATTTGCTTTTCACTTCTCTTTTTTCTCTCTTCATTTTCCAAACGAGAGGATGAAATTGAATAATATCTAGGTTGGATTTTGGGTAGCACACCAATTAAATCTTGCCATGTGACTTTGATTGAAGGAAACATTTCAAGAATTTCTACAATATTCAACATGCGATTTTTGACTCCTGCTAAATATTCAGTAGAACGAAGCTGTTCAAGTTTAGCCTTCTCGCTTTCCAAAGTTGCTTTTTCAGCAAAAAAGGTTAATAACGAAGGAGTGATAACACCATTCAAGTCATAGAATTGTGACATTACTTGATGTAGAGAGACGGGCTTTTCAGGTGTGGCAATGAAAGGTGGGCTTTCAATGCTACATGGAGGAGTCTGAAGAGTGAATATGATTTTGTCCATTGGCTTATCCAGCTTCAAAACCTTTTCCAAACGATTAATTAGGTCAGGAGAGTTCATTGGGAATAAGGCAATATGATCTCCTGTCTCGTAGTTAATTGGAGTATTGTCGATGGAAAACTCAATTTCTAATCGCTTTCTGCTGGATCTAGGACACAAGTTTTTTGCTGAATCAATAAAAAGAGTATATGGATTCTTTGGAGAGACTGATTGTGAGCTGTCATACTCACGAATGAATTGCCGTAATTTGTCCCTATACTTTTCAAAATTTAGTGTCCGAAAAAAATACTTTCCATTTGAGGTTGTATCAGCTGGTAGATCTACAGATTCCTTTGACTTGTCAACAGTGACGTTGCAGCTTTGAGAAGTTGAGGCACTTGTACCATTGTCTTGCTCTTTGAGGAATTTTACAAAGTCATTCTTCCACACCTCGAAATCAGTTTCAATTCCTGCATCACCACCGTCATCACCTTCTCCTCTCTTGAAAACTAAACTAACTCCCATGTCATTTAATCGTTTTTCCATCTTTCTTCCAACTGCTTGATAACGTTCTGGGAAGTTTGCACTGTTTCCTAACCCAAAAATTGCATAGTGAGGTGTTTTGCTTGCATTTTGCAGAACTGCCTTTGAATTGTCGCTCATCAACCAATCATAAAATTGTTTGGCATTATCTGTTGGTTGACCCTCACCATAATTGGCCATGACAAAAAGGACCACATTGTACAGACCGTTTCCTTCTTGCATTCCAAAACCCATGACTTTCTCTGGTTCAATATCATTCAAGTCTACAACTTTAACATTGGACAGCCATGGTTCCTTCTTTCCCAACAGTTCACTTTTCAAATTTTCGGCAAACATTTGAGCAGTACCTGTTTGAGATCCAAAACAGATGAGCATATTGGTCTTATCACAGCATAATTGATTGATATGGAAGAGACGATTTGCTAATGAGAGCCTCTGATCCCGCAACACCGATGAAAAGCAAGATGAAGTTTTACGGCTGATGGAGGCTATACAACGACGAGATAACAAAGATGCAGCTGGTGATGAAAGAGTTGATTTGAACATTTTTTTTGGGAATTATAGTTGGATAAATCGACGATCTATTCTCAAAACACCTCTTATAAGATGAATTTATAAAACCCATTGCAGCGCCAAGAAAGCAGCAATCTGGTTATCTATAAATGGATATTATTATTGCCTCATCTCAACACATGGAAGAGAATATTCGTCACCTCTTCACCAGAATCTGGACCTGTGATGAAAATGAAGAGCAGCCATCGTCCTCGTGCGTTTAAAAGGTGAATCCTCATTTTTTGTCCAAAAGAATTTTTCAGTTTCTTTTTTAGATCTGGCGCGCTCTCTTGTCAGGAACATTTATAGAAAAATTAAGTATTCCCATTTGGACGCTGGAAGAATCTAACTGGTATGGATATTTCGAAGAAGCGAGACAATGGGTAACGACACTACTCTCCATACAATTCAAGCAGATGGGTGTTGGCGTCTCCAAAAAGCGCTCTCAAAGAGGCAATAAATTGGGCACTGCAGTGATCAGAACCACAAAAGCAGATTACAAAAAAATACCTCGATCAAAGGCTTATTTGCAATCACACCACAACATCATCCTCCCTCGAACACCCTCTATATATTAACCACTATTCACTATGAAGGCCACTCAAACTTTAAGAAGAGTCCTCTCCAACTCCAATTCTATGAAGAGTTTGATCAACCAAAAGAACTCTTCCATGATGATCAATCGTAGCGCCAGTATTTTGAAGATGAGCGAATCTTCAACATCATCAAAGGCTAACTTCTCAACAAGAGCCATGTTCCAAGCCGCTGCTGCTCAACCAAACGCTACTGAAATGTTCTGCTATCAATGCGAACAAACACAAAATGGTACAGGTTGTACCACTGTGGGTGTGTGCGGTAAGACACCATCTGTTGCTGCTTTGCAAGACTTGCTCATTTACCAAACTCGTCAACTCTGTGCTTTGGCTCACTTTGCTAGAGCTGACATCAAGGATGCTTCTAAATTTGAAAAGATTGATGACTTTATTTTGAGAGCCATGTATAGTACTTTGACCAATGTTAACTTTGATGAAATGAGATTTGTTGAATACTTGAAGGAATGCTCCGAATTGACTCAATTCACCAAGAAGGAATTGTTGAAAGGAAAAGTTCCAACTGAATTCACTGAATTGTTGACTGTCACAAGCACTGATGCTGAATTGGATCGTATCTTGGCCTCTGCAACCTCTGCCACTTGTCCAAATACCCAACAATTGATTCAAATGGGTAAAACTGTTGGCGTTCAAGCTCATCACAAGCATTACGGATCAGACACCAATGCTATTCGTGAATTGTTACAATATGGTATTAAGGGATTGTGTGCTTACACTGAGGAAGCTGCTCTCTTGGGTAAGAAAGATATTATCGTCAATGACTTTATTCGTGAAGCCATGTGCTTCCTCGGAGGTGTGAGCCCAGACAGAAAGCTCGACCCATCTAATGTTAATGATGCTCTCGCTCTAGGTTTGAAATGTGGTGAAATCAACATTAGAACCATGCAATTGCTCGATGAAGGTGGTAATGAAAAGTTTGGTACTCCTTCTCCACACAAGGTTCGTTGTACTCCAGTTCCAGGAAAGTCCATTGTTGTCTCTGGTCACGATATGGGAGACTTGCTTGCCATTTTGAAGCAAACTGAAGGAAAGGGTATCAATGTGTATACTCACGGAGAGTTGTTGCCAGCTCATGGTTACCCAGAGTTAAGAAAGTTCAAACACTTGGTTGGTAACTATGGTGGTGCTTGGCAAAACCAAAAGATGGAATTCTCCAACTTTAAGGGAGCCATTGTGATGACTACTAACTGTATTATTGAACCTCGTAAGCAATACAAGGACAGAATCTTCACAACCTCAGTGGTCGGATGGCCTGGTGTCACTCACATTAAGAATAGAGACTTTACACCAGTCATTGAAAAGGCTTTGGCTGAACCAGGATTCCCAGATGAAGTTGCAAATGAACCAGTTCAATACACCACCACTGGTTTCGGTCACAAGACTGTTTTGGGTATTGCTGACATTGTGATCAATGCCGTTAAGAGAGGTGACATTAAGCGATTCTTCTTGATCGGAGGATGTGATGGTACTGAAGGTGAAAGAAGCTACTACAAGTCCATTGCTACTTCTCTTCCAAAGGATAACGTTATTTTGACTTTGGGATGTGCCAAGTACAGATTCAACAAGATTGATTTTGGTACAATCACTACTAAGGATCCAAAGACCAACAATGATGTCTCTCTTCCTCGTCTCCTTGACGTTGGACAATGTAACGATGCATACAGCGCAGTCGTTATTGCTTCTGCTTTGGCTGAAGCTTTCGGAACTAAGGATTTGAATGATTTACCACTTAACTTTGTTATTTCTTGGTTCGAACAAAAGGCTGTTGTCATCTTCTTGACAATGCTTAAATTGGGTTTGAAGAATGTCAGAATTGGACCAAACCTTCCAGCATTCCTTCCTCCTTCCACCATTCAAATGCTTGTTGAAACATTCAAGCTTCATCCAATTATGGCTAAGGATCCACTCACTGATATGGAACTCATGCAAAAGGGTCAATAAATATGAACAATGTTGATTAATCAATCCCAACATAAAGTGAATGAAATTTTTGGATAACGCCAGTTTCGTTGTTGAAAAGGAACTTTCTCTTAAAATTAGTCAACACAATGCTGAAAAGTTATATTGTGAATGATCTTCAGGGCGTGTTAATCCAAAAGTCAAGAAAGGCTTAATTTATTGCTTGAGATCTCTTATTCTTTACCTCTTGAGCCAATTTCTTCATTTCGTTCAACTGTTTGGCACATGATTTGATAATACTTTCTTGTCTGTCCATCACTGCAGAAATTGATAAATCACGTGCATCATGGACGAACGGATTGAATGAAGCGAGAAAAGGATTCACCTGTTGTATGTGAGAATTGACGACATTTGGAGGGTGAAATGAAACGCCGTCACTACTAGCATTAGTGTTTGTAAACTCCACAACTGTTGAGTCAGGATTTGTTACTGTTGCTGTGGAAGATGTAATAGTTGGTTGTTGTTGTTGTTGTTGTTGAATTGGGTGTTCATCAAATGACAACAATTCAGTCTCTCCATTGTTGTTCGTTTCATTCGATGACTCTCCATTGGGCATCATCAGGTTGTCAATGACGTCAAATTCTTCATCCTCAATGTTATTGTCTCCTTCCAACTTTCTCTTGCTGACCATCAAGTCGTACTCTCCTAATAACTTGCTGTAAATACCTCCAACAACCATTGAAGGTAAGGCAACAATAATTACACCTGACAAAATTGTAAGAATTGCAATAATTCTTCCGAGTGGAGTAATAGGAGCCATGTCTCCATAGCCCACTGTGGCAATTGTGACAATACTGTACCACATACAAATGAGAATGTTAGAGAAGGGAGATGATGTCCCATCTGGTCGGAGCCATTGTCCTGATTTGAGATCGTATTTTCCACGTTCTGCATAATATACTAATGTACTACAAATCAAAGCTCCCATAAAAACAAGAACAGCAAGAGATAACAGCATATCCAATGATCTTCTCAAAGAAACGATCAGTAACTGGAATTTTGCTGAATATCTTGTCAACTTGATGAGTCTCAATAATTTCAATACTCTAAATACAGTCAATACTTGTAAATTGATATTAATCCACGAGCTGCTGTCACTCAAATAAATTATTAAATCAAAATAGAATGGTACAAAACTGGCAACATCAATCAAGTTAGCTGGAGCTTTAACAAAATGTCTAAAATCTCCCCAAGTTCTTACATAGGCTGCCATTCTTAAAAAGTATTCAGTCATAAAGCACAGTGATAAAAAGCCAGTAATTGAGAGCCACATGACTTCAAAAGGAAAGAAAAATGGAAATGATCTCAGCACCAAACATAAAGTTTGAATGACAGTTAGTAATGATGTAATAATTGTAACGATCATGGCAATATAAGATGATCGTGGATGCTCCAGAATAAGATATAATTTTTGTCTCCATGTTCGTTCCTTCCAATTTTGTGGAATACTTCTGATGATATTAATTGTTCTTCTACTTCGGAATAATCGTGAGTTTTCAATAACTTCCAATGCTTTTTTCTTTTCTGCTTCTTCCTGTTTGAATTTTAATTTTGTATTTCTCAATTCAGCTTTTGATGCTTCCTTTGCAGACATTTGATGATTATTGGAAGAGGATGCTGCCTGTGATGATGTTGTCGAGGCAGTTGGAGAAGGTGGAGCTGCAGTGTTGTTGGGAAGCGTTGTCTTTTCACTCATTTTTCTTCGGTGTTGATGGCTGTATCAAAATTGAGTTTGGGTGATGCTCCGATTGTTGCCTCATCATCATCGGAAAAGAAGAACAATGAATTGATAATTTATGAAAGGTTTTTTAATTATTGTTGTTTTATGGGAGCTGCAATTTACTTCTTTGACTTCTTTTGTTGGATCTTCTTCAAGTAGAAGGCCAATTCAGCACCTTCCAAAAGGTGACCGTCAGCACGACCAACTTGACCTGGTCTAGATCTGATACGGGCCAACAATCTACCGGTGGACAATTGTTCTCTGAGGAGTGGGTCGACTTCTGGAGCCTTCTTTCTGTTTTCCAAAACCTTAGCCTTGGCCTTTTCATCCATCTTTTCCAACAAGTCTTCCTTCTTCTTACCGAGAGAAATACCGTAGGTCTTTTCGTAGTATTGCTTGAATGGAGAAGCATCAACCAAGACAATGGCACCCTTGACAATAGCCTTGGTTCTGACCAATTCGTTGTTGGTGGCGTTGTAAACAACGTCCATGATTCTGGTTGGTGTTGACATGGCTTCACTACCCCAAGCAAAGTTACCACTGTTCAATCTGAGAGCTCTAACCTTGTAGTTACCACCTCTAACTCTCACCATGGTAATCTTAGTCTTACCCATCTTGGTGTTGGCAGCAGCTCTACCCATTTCGAACTTTCTCTTCTTTCTGTGGATCTTTCTCTTACCACCGGTTACACGCTTCTTGTGCAAATTGCTCTTTGTGATACCCACTGTTGATGTTTAATAGTAGTGATTATCGAATCATCATGATGATAGAATGAGTCAAACAAAGCAAAGGTTCGTTGAATATTTGTGATAAACGATGAGAATACGTACTTGTTTAATCTTGGCGTATTTTTTTTCAACAAATTTTTTCAAAATTTTTGGTCAACCGCCTTTACAATGAAAAATGAAAACGTGGTCTTTTGAGCAAAGTTTATCAAGATTGTTTTAACGCGTTCAAACTGTGGTAGTGCTCAATTCTTTACGAGAATGTCCACTTTGTTCTCCTGGTCTAGTAGTTTTCTCCTTTCCTTGACATCAACTTTTCCCCATAACAAAAAATGTCGACACCAAACAAAACTTCATTCGTCTCACCTACACCCTACTATAAAGCTCTTTTTCATACATTCAAATTTCCTTTCGCTACAACAAATGGTGTATTCATTGGAAAAAAGGATTCCGATGATCATGTAATTATTACAGATTGTGTTCCATTGTGTCATTCTGTTTCTTCTCTCTGTACACTTCCGTTGCTTGAAATGGCTTTAATTCAAATTGATGCAATTATCGGGGAGGAACAATCAATAGTTGGATATTATTTTGCGCAAGATGTTGTTCCCGATTCCTCTTCTTCTGTAGACATACCGTCAATTCATCTTTCCATCTTTTCGAAAATTTGTGAAAATTTCCCAGGCGCTTTGCTTTGGATGGTATGTTTGATTTGAGTGATTCATACACTAGTTTTTATTCAAAATAATATGGATTTCATTGTGTTAATTCTTTTTTGCCTTGGTTTATTTTAAATTTAAATATTATGGAATATGATCAATCCACGATTAATCTTTGGATTTCTCACAATTCTTTACGCTCATTGTTCAAAACAACCAAAAGCTTGACAATAGAAAACTTTCAGAACTCTCCAATACATTTGTATTCAAGACATTTTACCTGAAATCACCAGGTAAGGTAGCATTAGAAGCTCAAAAAGGTGACAACAAGGGTTTATCACAATCAGACTTGGAACAGCTGGCCACTCATTTTGAGAACAGAACTTTTGATGCCATTGTTGATTTTGAGATGCATGCCGATAATTTATCCTTAGACTTTATGAATAAAACCTTGTAGGCTTCTTGCATGGTAATGATTTCATTTATTCAGTCGAGTCGTTGTGTGGTTGTCCATAAAATCTTGTTCAGCACAAAAACGTCCCTGTGCTGCTTGCGATTGCCAATATGTGGAATAATGAGCTATGTTTGAATACATTGATGTTGAGGGAAGAGAAAGAGTAAATAGTAATAACAATAACACTATCATAATATTGTAGACGTTCAAATATTAACAATTTGAATTATGAAAATAGAAATAAATGTGAGGGATTGATATTATCTCAAACTCATCATTATTATTATTTTGTTTTTGAAGAGAATTAATGCTTTCTGATATATTTTACTCCACAGTATTTGCAACGTTCGGGAGTCTCAAAATTCACTCTAATGTATTCTGTTGGGTGTCCCATTCCGTTGGAGTGGAAGCCATTACACACAGCTGTTTGACCTTCAACTTCAATAGGAGGAAGAGCTTCCAAATCCAAAAATTCGGCAGATGGATCTGTGAAGTCTTCAATCATCTTCCAGTGTTGTTTTGCAGCATCTTCAAGTTTATAATTTTCTTCTTCAGCAGTTTTTTGAATGTAGGGAGTATTGCCATGGCCTCCGCTATTATTAATCATGGACGATGAAAAAGCACGCAATGATGCCGATGAAAAAGCAATAAATAAATTATTGTTGCCGTGCTTGATGAGGGTCAATGCGAAACGTGATGAAGATCTCGAAAGAGAAAACATTTTTTTGAATGTTTCCAAGAAGCACAACACTAGCACCACCACTCAATCAAAGGAACACACCACCATCTTGTCGAGCATGATGATTTCCAAGAAAGCCCGTTGAGAAAGTTCTAATTACACTCATCCTGATCTTTGAATAATTATAAAATTGTTGGTCGTGTTCATGAACATGTAAATACAACAACAAATAAAGCAATAAATTCAACACAAAGAGAAATTGTCATCTTTCCAAGTTGTTCTTTTTCACCGTCCAATTGAATCTCTTGCTAATAGATAATCCTCCATATATCAAGACCTCCAGACTCATTTATCTCTTAGAGCGTTGAAGATTCATCAGCAATTGAAACGTTGCCTACAAGACCAACAAGTTGATTGGGTTACGAAAACAAAAACATCACCCACCCGTCTTTTATTAAAAACACACACAAGGATTGCCGATGTTCTCCATCGTTCCAAATTAAAAAAAATGCTCTCTTCATCATCAAAGATCCTTTGCAAACGAACCTTCATTTCATGCGGTCTCAAGTCCAGCACTTGTTTGATGACCTCATCATCATCGTCGTCGTCCAGTAAGTATTCAGGCATTTGCTCACGATAAATTTATTGAGGTACTAAATTTACAATGTTACACTGGCGCACTTTTGGAATGCGTTCAAATACTCTGTTATGATATTCCAATCTCTCATCCATTCTCATGTTTTATTTCATGAATTGGTACCAATTTATTTATGATACTATGTACAACAACAGAACTCGTCCGACAAACGATGTTTTCCAACAGCAACATTTCAATATATCACAACAATGCTATCAACAACACACAAATTAGAGAGAGGCAAAAACTTCTCTTCATTGAACATCCAAATCATCCAGACAGAGTCTTTTTAATACCAACAATTAATAATGGAAACCCTCTTTCAATGAATTTGCTCATGACTGATATTCAGGAGTCTCTTGCTGATCATGAAGTTTTTTCAGGACATCAAGAAAAGAAGGTAGTGGACCAAGAAAACTTGAACTATCCAAAGGATCATCACAAAAGAATTGTAGATATTATTTCTCAAAAATCATTCAAAGAAGAATCCAAAGACCCATTGGATGCACTTTTCAAAGGCAATGAGGCTCTCTCTTCTCTTTGTCCAGTCACTAAAAACAAGCAATTACTTCATCATGAGAAGATTATTCCAAGAAAGATAAAGTCGATATCTGAACAGCCAGAAAAAACCTCAAAGCAGCAACAGAATAATAAGGCTTCTTTGAAGTCTTCATCACCATCTGCAGCATCAAATGCTTCAAACACTACCAACCCAAATGCTCCCAACACAGACAGTGGAGACGAAAACAAATAATCATCGAAAACTTGACAATTTTGATTGCTTGTCATTTTGAAGAGCTAGCGACTCTTGGTTACACTGTAAATTTATCACTTTCCTGTTGAGGAATAATGTATTTTTGTTTAGGTGTGGGCTTGTACAGTTTGCTCACTTATTCGAATACACATTCATATTAAATAGTTTATTATTAATATTGGTAAAATGTCTTACTAAAGTAAATAATAATTGAATTCCCCAAACTAAATTTACTTTTCCTTGAAAATCACGTTTCCATCCACAATTTTCCACTCCAATTCCTTTAAGAAATCAACCTCAGTCACTTGATCGAAAGCGAGCTTGTTTCTGAGAGATGCCGAAAGCCAGAAAGGAGTCAATGCCTCTCGAACGTTTTTCCATTGTTCTTGCGCTTTAGAAATATCCTCTCTAGCTGCTTTTTCTTGAATACGCATTGGCTGTTGTTCAGGTGATGATGGAGCCTAAAGAACAATAATAATAATTGCAAAAACAAGGATCAAACAATAATGACCGATTATCCGTAATACGCGTTCCAATCAATACAATAACGATTACCAATCAAAAATGATTATTTTGATGATGTTGGATTATTATAATTGGTTGATGAAGCTGATTCGAGATGATGATGATAGGTACGTACCGTTGACATCAGTGAGTAAGCGAAAGCAAGAGGGACACTCCACCAAATAATTCTATTCGCGGTCCGCAATAGTTGAAGTTTAGTAAAAGGTCCTGTCGTGAGAGAAGGACGTTGAGTGGTGGTGCTTCCGTGAGAAGAAGAAGGCAACAACTTCTTGAGCAAGGAAGAAAATGAGTCTTGCATTTTTGTTGGGATAAAAAAATTGATGTTTCTGAACACAAATTGTTTCGAGTTGAAGGTCAAACTCTGTTACACAATAATGATAGAAATCGGGTCAAATTGGATCTATAAATTTATTACAGGTTGAGTAAATTGTTCAATGAAATTCGTTGGGTTTTGAAACAAATTTCCTTAATGTTCTCATTGCTTTGATTCACAATGATATTTGGCATTTGATAGATCAAGTCAATCGATTGTTGGAGAATCTTCTCCTGTTGACATAATTGTGTCAAGTTGGTCACTTGGCTCGTTTCAGAGCTGCTGCTAGCATTGGCACAATGACCACCATTCACATCAGATTCTTGTGAAGCATGAATCAACTCTCTCACTTCTTTCAGTTCTTGGTTGAGTGCTTCCAGTCTTCGATAGGGCCATCTCGAAATACCCATCTCTTTCTTGACACGTTTGAGCTTGGACTTGGAAATGTTCATTTCCTTTGCAGCCTCTTCTTCCTTAATGGAAAAGTATTTGCAAATTTCCAATCGATCAATGGATCGGCAACACCGTGTCTTTCTCTTCTTGGTTATGGATGATTGAGGTCCTGGAATGACATCTGTATCACTCATGGAAGAACCAGCAGCAGAAGTCATGGTTGAAGTAGTCATGTTACTACTCCTTGAAATGGTCGAGGACATGGAGGAGGATCTTCTATTTCTGTTTACATTCATCTCCTGATGAGAGGATGTCATCATCATTGAGGAGTTTGGTTGTTGTTGTTGTTGTTGTTGTTGTTGAGAGGATATTCTCACAACCTTGGTACTTGTATAGATGGTGGGAGAGGAGACATCCAATGGACTCGTTGAGGTACTTGAGTGATTCAATGAGGATGATGAGGACGAAGAAGGCATCCATTGTGTTGTTGTTGGTGGTGGTGGTGGCAATCCTTTGTGTATCCTTGGTGTTGTTGCTTCTTGATGGAATGGCAACGTTGGAGAAATGTCTTTCAGAAATGGAAGAGCATTCTTTCGAGGTGGTTGAGTACTTGTTGTTGTATTCTGAGGTAGTGGTAGTGGAGGTGTTGGTGTTGATGAGGTCATGGAGGAGGACGAGTGGGTTGTAGTTGCCATCCTCCTGGCGTTGTGTTCCATGTGGTGGTGGTAGTTGTAGTTGTGGTTGTGGTGGTGATCCTCTTCGTTGTGGTCGTTCTGGTGAATCGTGTGAATGGGTAACGAAAGTGCAGTGAGTGTGTGTCGTTTCATCAAGGATGTGAGGAGGAAGAGTTGGATTCACAAGAGTGGTGTTGTTGAATGATTTTTTGGTTGTTTCTATAGAGAGTAATTGTAAACGTCGTCGTCGTCTTCTCTCGACTGATGTTCTTTCTGTTGTTTTTTTGTGATTGGAAAACTCGATCCGTACTCTCTGGTGATTCCATTAAATACTCTTTAAAGCTTGTGTTGTGTTTCTCAAACGGACTCTTTGGTACTGAAATTCAAAACAAGAGATTCATGGGAATGGATAATGAACTGCACACTCGATACAAATAAATCTCATTGATACCAAATCAAGGAGAGGGTGATTCGGAAAAGTAGAGCAATGGTCGAAGGGTTATTTGGCGAGATTGGTAGGAGAATGGCCCTTTTAGTGATTTGTTTGAGGTTTACGTGTTTTAGGACTGAAAAAGTGACTTCATTCGACAATTTGCAAAGCTCTCATATAGGATGACGTTTGAACCATAGTTAGACATGTGGGGCATGTTGTTGTATGGTTGAGAATTTCTCTGAATTGAGTGTCCTAGGTTGAGGACTGTAGTATTCAAGTGAGTCAATTTGTCCTTGTTCAATGAATTATAATACTCTCGAATGTGTCCTTCGAAAATCAATTTCGCTCATGGATCGACTTGAAATAAAATTGTATATTGAATATCACTAGATGCGAAGGAATACTCTTCTATTTGGAATTGGGAATACCAAATCATTGTGACTCTTGAACACATTTGTCCATCTTTAGTCAATTAGTGGAATTATAACACAGTTTACAAATTTAAAAATGTTTAGTTTGGTAATGAAGAATCATGACTCACCATAGAGATAGGTAAATATTAAGGAAAAGAATATGTTTCAATTGTTGATTGGTGATGATCATCATGAATCTCGTGTGAAAGTTATATGAAATACATCTTGGTGATAATGAACGTATACGAGTAATAGATGGTTCTAAAATGTAGCATGCCCACACAAATAGGAATGTCGTGACGGAGGGGTAGAGAGAGATTAGCGCATAATAATCATTGAGTTGAATTTACAGTAATTGCAATGTTTAGAGGTTCTGAAAATAATCTGTTGTAAAGTGTTGTTAAAACATTATTATAGGTATTGTGTTAACAATAATCATAACAACAACAACAACATTCAATACCTCTTCCAATGTTTCATTCTCTACAATGAGCAAGTACTACTTCTATGCATCAAATAGTGTCAAGCAATGGCAGTGGAGATGGTAATATCAGACAGCAGAAGGCCTCTACTCAAAGTATTACTCATGTAACGATTGATCACACATTGCATTTTGTTTCTTTGCATAATCTTTTCAACAAGAAAACGTTCAATTACATGATTGACCGATCCAAATGTTGATACATTCCTATCGTGTTCATAATACCATCAATCGAAGTCAGAGTCCAATTCAATGGCATGGCTCCAAATACTTGAACAAGAGGACAAGTAAATTCAACTTTTTCTGAATTTTCAAATTGAAAGCAATGATCCGATGTGTAATTTTCATACGAATAGTCAATCGAATTTCATGAATGGTCTTGTTAGTAATTATAAAATCTGCAAGTGTATCTGCTGATTTTAAAGTTGCATTTAGAATGTATAAACTTTCAGGTACCTTATTGTACATGAGAGAGTTCGTAATAACGTATCTGTATGACCCGCACTTTGTAAACAATTTTCTAGAAGATGTAAAGATTTCAATCCTAATTTGGGAGCATATTTTTCTTGCAGCCAAAGAGTTCACAATGACATGAACACTATTCACACTCAATGACTCTATTGAATCAAATTGAATTTGCAACAAGGTAAAATTGGGAAATTTCTTCAAATTCAACAATGTAGATAATTCTTCCATAACTTTCATATCCATGCATTTTAGAGCGACGCGTTTGAAAAGAGAACTCCAATACTAATAATGGCTGCCTCACTCCATTCCTTAGACAGCTCGATGGAATAAATGGTCTTATTGTTCTCTTTTCCTTTTAAAAGCTCTACAAACTGATGAGGAGAGTTGGGATCTTGTCCTTGTAAGTCTTTGGTAAGGATGAAACTATTCATGATGAGTAGAATTGATGATACCTTTTGAAAATATATCAGCACTGGCATGATCTTTGAGAAGATATTTGGTCATTCCAAGAAAGCGATGTTGAGTAAAAGTATGAATATACTTCTCGAATATTGTTAATGGCTCTATTTTTGGATGGTAAAAACACGATGAGCGATCAGAACTATCATCATCATTGGAGCGAGTGGGCGTTGTCCAGAGAAAATTCTTTCGCGCTTGTACAAATTGTGTCAAAATGTCATTTTCTTTTCCAACTTTCAATCTTTCTCATTTCCAAAAATATATTCCTCACACCATTCACATCTCAATTTTGGAATGATCGAAAATGGTCTATTATTAATATTATTGTTATTATTATTAAATGTTCGTTTTCTTTCTAATTTCTTTCCATATGTGCCTTGTAACAATTTTGATAATATTCTTCCGTGATGAGTACTTGCAGTCGGTCGAGCCCGTGGAGCTGTTCTTGAAAGAATGTTTGAAGAGAAATGAAGGACTGGAACAATTTTCTGTTTGGAATTGCTTCGATCTTACGGATATTTACAATGTAATATTCCAAAAGATAGGAGATCACAAGGAACGTGAGTGAGACTCACCATGGAATGAAAGGAAGTGAGAGGATAGTCCACATGTCTCTTGGATGCATTTTTTGAGATATGATTTGCATCTCTTCACGAAACACTGTCTCCAAACATAAAAAGTAATTGGTGATAGTCGGGATTGAACCGACGACCAATGGCTTATTAGACCAACGCTCTACCGTCTGAGCTATATCACCTTCTCTACGATTAGAAACGGAGTGTATTAATATTCTTTTTATCAGTACAAGTCTGTCATCTTCCATCAATTTACTTAAAATGCGAGAATAATATTTGAAGAAGTAAATGCTGTCAGTTTCTGAATTTTGAAGCAAAAAACAAAAATGAAAAAACAAATCTTCTCATCATCACAGTTTCTCCCGAGAGCTTTCTCCCAATCAAAAATCGCGACATCGGGATTGTTGTTCAATACCACTGCGAATTCATATCATCATAATGTAAAGCAGCAATTCAGCATGAATAACACAAATAACTTATCAGAGCAACAACATCTACAAGACTCTGCCAAGACTACTCATTTTGGCTTCAAAACTGTTCTCGAGGAAGAAAAGGAAAAACTTGTCGGAGGAGTGTTTCATAATGTAGCAAGTCGTTATGATATCATGAATGATTTGATGAGTGGAAGTTTGCATCGAGTTTGGAAAGACCAGCTCGTTCAATATTATTACAAGCCTCAACCAGGAGGAACCTATTTGGATGTTGCTGGCGGTACAGGAGATGTTGGATTTCGAATTGTGGAAGCGTTGAGAAGAGCATCTGTGGATTCTGGAGTCAAAAGCAAAGTTATTATTAGTGATATTAACCCTTCCATGTTGCAAGTTGGTAAAGACAATGCTTCCCGATTGGGATTAGCTGCAACATCTCCCACTGTAGATATTGAATGGTTGGAAGCCAATGCTGAAGATTTTACAGGAAAAATTGAAAGCAATTCAATTGATGGTTATACTATTTGTTTTGGTATTAGAAATTGCACACACATTGATAGGGTTTTGAGCGAGGCATACCGTGTGTTAAAACCTGGAGGCTGTTTTTGCTGTTTGGAATTCAGCGAGGTTCCTGATATGATTATTAGGTCTATCTATGATTGGTATAGCTTTAATGTCATTCCAAAGATGGGAGAAATTGTTGCAAATGATTACGATTCATATCAATATCTTGTGGAGAGTATTAGAAAATTCCCTAATCAAACTAAATTCAAAGCAATGATTGAAGACGCAGGTTTCAAGAATGTCAGGTATACCAACTTGACATTTGGAGTGGTGGCCATTCACTCAGGCATTAAACTCTAAGGAAAACAGAGTAAATATTAATTTGGATTTTTGAATTACTGAGGTGCATGTGGAATTTTGTTTAATTCATTGACATTATTGTTTTGCTCGTCCCAAAGATGCTGTTGCTTTTTTAGTCTGACCTACCAATGACATGGAAGTCGCTGTGAAGTGAAAGGTCGTTCTCAAAAGTCGTCCCAACAAACTCTTCCTGCCATTCACCATTGCGAATATGACATTGATACTGAGAAGTACAAAAGCAGTCAACAATGGCACAATCATGAGTAAACCAGCCACAACTACTGGCATCTCAACATATTTGCTGATGGTAAACCCAATCACAAATAGAGACAAGCTCAAAAAGAATAATAGTAATAGGACGCCATCTGCAACCATCCATTTGAATTCTTCGGATCCTTTCTTTACCATGTTTTTCTTCATCTCAAAACTCAATGCAAATATGCAACTAGAGAAAAAAACGAGTAAAATTAATGACCCAACGCACATCACTTTGAAATACATGTCCACACTCATGAACACAATCAATAGCATTCCAAAAAGAGAATGAAGAGCAAACAAAAAGGCCATACCACACAAATAGTTATAATTGGACAAAAGCATGTAATGTGTGTAAACTCTGTTGGAAAGCAAGAAATAGCTCAACGCTGCAAATGGAGCACTAATTAATAAGGGTGACATGATCACAGCTCCTTCCTCAAATGTTTCTCTAGTGAGATAATTACTCATAAATTCAAAATTGGTAAAGGCATGATATGAAATGGTTAAAGGAAACATTAATCTTACACATTGCAAACAAAGTGACACGATGATACCTAGTAATACTACAAATATTCCTGCATGAATGAGAGCTCTTCGAAGTATTTCTCCAAAATAGACATGTTTTTTCACACGAAAGAAAAATTTGATATTCTTGGATTTGTATCTTTCTCGAATATTAAACTGCTCTACAATATATATCCAATCTCTAAATATTCGTAAAATGACCGTTAATGGAATGTTACAAAGAATAGTCACTGAAAGAATTATGAGTCCAAAACAAATCATCCAAAAATAATCAAATTCTGGAAGAGTGAGAGAATCATAGGCAGTTTCATGAATTGCATAATCAATGGCAATATATTTAAGAAATGCCAATAACATGGAAATGACAATTAAAAGCATGGCGAATGGTAGATAGAATAATCGAGTCATTTGATACATTTGATCGAGAGAGGTTGATCTCTCTTTCATAAATCGAGTAAAAGTATGATATTCTTGTCTCACTTTTGTGTAAATTTCAAACCAATTAAATCCAATTTCTTTCTTTTCAAGAATAATTGAAAACTTTCGGTCCATGTGACCATCTCCATATGAGAGAGCATTATTTTGATGTTCTGAATTTGTGGAATCTTCGTGTAATAATTTGCTATATTCTTCTTGTTGTTCATTTGATGTAAATTCAAAAAACATAATTTTCAAAAAGAGAAAATCCACACTTTCACTAGAAACTCCAATTTTGTTAAATAACTTCGCAGGAGGAGTAATTGGGTGTGAAAGTTTAGAATTCAATTCTTTTTCCTTTGCTCTAAAATTGAGATAGGTACTTTTCACAAAATTCTTAAATCCAATGCTATACGTTTTGTAGTATTTGAGAGTATATTTGAAAAGTAAAAATCGAAGTAACTGTAATTTGACATCTTTTTCTTCAATTTGTGATAAAGGAGGTAATTCCACAACAGTGTTAGTCATCATCGTCGTCGTCGAATCATGATTGGTTGTTGAATTCGAATGTTCCAAATTGGTCGAACTGTTTTCCTTTTCTTTTAACATTTGTAATTCTTGTTTCAAAATTTTGTAAAAAGTTGACACTGGCATGAAGAACATTTCTTCTTCAATCAACTGTCTCCATTGTTTGCAAACAAGGCGAATACTAGTAAATAAACTGTCATGATCGACATAATGAAAAATTCTCACACACACTTCTGGTGGCAGATAGGATTTTTCAACATCTCCTCGATTTGGATTGGAATGTAATTTATCTTGAATCCATGAAAAGATGGAAAGAGGAAAAGATGGATTCGAAAAGGAGGAGGAAGGAATTTGTTGTGAAAGGATGGATGGTTCATGATCAAGGTGATGATGAGGACGACTTTGAGTTAAAGATGAATTCATCACAACGACCTCATCATCATCATCATTCGATGCAAGAGTTGTTGTTGTTGTTTCTATTGTTGGTATGGAATGATTCATCATCATCATGGTAGTAGTAGTGGTTGATGTTGAATGTTGATTCACAATTGGTTTGGAGGTTTGTATGAAAGTTGATGAATCAACAGGTTCGGGAGGGTCCAACAACATTCGATCGAAGGTCAAATTTTGTTGTTTAAGACTGTCGGAATTTATAGTTTGATGAAGTGTTTCTGTATGAGGAGGAGGAGGAGGAGGAGGAGGATTGTGAATGGTAGGTGGAAGGTCTGTTGTGTTGACATATTCTTCCTCCGAGAGTGGAGTGAGTTTGAATCTTGAGTGATCATCAAGTGGCGGCCGCTCGGAATGAAACATTTTTTAGGTGAGTTGGATGTGTTTGTCACAAGTGAACTGTCTCCAAAAAACATTAAAACTAGTGAGAGAGGTACAATGCATAGCTCATGCATGCCACCCTTTACGAGTGACACATAATAAACAATTATTATTCTTTATATTATAATAATGCGCAATGCAGTTAATTAAGGAATTATTTCATGTTGAACAAAGGAATTTATTTCTTTTGAGGTTGTGAAGGATTTGTGTTTGGTGGTTGTTGAGGATTGGTTGGTGCAGTCTGATACATGTTCATTGGAAAGTTAATAGGTCTCATCATGGTTGCAGCATTCGCTGGATGTCTCAATGGTAAACCACGTCCATAGGCTGCAGCGAGTTGGGCATTAGGAAGACTTGGGAATCGTAATAATGCATTTTGAAGGAGCAGATTTTGTTGATTGGGAGAAATCATGTTTGGAGTGATGGTTGCTGTATTTGGAGATGCAGAGATTGGTCTTGCATTTGTTGGAGTTGTGGTTGGAGTAGCACCACTACTGGTAACACCACCAGGTGTAGTGGAAGGTCTTAGTTGCACATTCTTTGGTGTTTGAGGGAGTGCTGTTCCTGTTGGTGGAAGTCTTCCTCTTCCTGCACCTATTTGAGGAGTATTTGCAACACCTGTTGGAGTTGTTGTCACAGGTGTTACAAATGGTGGAACTGTCGTAGAAGTATTCAATGTTGCAGTAGAAGGAGAAGGTGTTTTTCCAACGGTAGGAGAAGGTGCAGTGACAGGATTAGGAGACTTTTTAGCACTTTGTCTGGCTGTACCACTTGAAGTAGATTTCTTTGTTCTACCTTTCGTATCTTGTGCAATTGGTGTTGCAGCACTACTTGGTTCCTCCTTCTTAACAGTTGGTGGCATAGTGGTTTGCAACGTTGCAGCATTCTGAGCCATAGAGGCATTTGGAATTGTCGAGATTTTGATTTTAGTGTTTGATGATATAATAGGTCCAGATGTGGTCGTTATGGTAGAAGTAGCTGGAGGAATATTTGGCTTGAAAACCTCTTCTGCTGATCTTTTCGACACGGTTCCATAAACTGATCTTCTCTCAAGGTCTCTGAGAATTTGGATGTCACTTCCAGAAACTATGAGGTCTCTTCCAGTAAGAATAGAATCCATTATAGTGTTTTTTCGCATCTTTTGTTGTTTTCGTATTGATGCATCTCGTTGTTTGTATGTATCTTGCAATAACGATTTGGCTTCTTCAAATTTAAATACTCTTGGCTGATTTGATGTCTTATCCTTCTTTTTAAGAGATCCGCTTGGCTTCTTATATTCTTTATCAATCAGTGTATAACAAAAGGTGGCAAGATCATCATGATGAATTCGTTTTTCGATTTGTTCGGCTTGATTAGAGAATGTGAATGACAACGGATTATTACTAGTTATTTGTGGGAAGTCCTTGCTATCTTTTGTTTTTTGAAGATCGAGAGTATAAACACTGAGTTTTTCCGTTACTTGTGTGAGCCCTTCAACTGAAGCATCCTTCGGATGAAGAAGAGCCATTCTAAAATTTGAATCGTCCTTCTTCATCATTGTTTGAATCGTTTCTAAATTCTTGTTTAAAATACAATATTTTGATAGAAGCTGTTCCCACGGACATAATTTAATATCAAACTCTAGGATCTTGTCTGTGGTGTCTTTGGCAGCTTTTTCGATTTGTTCGAATGTGCGATGAGTTTCTTGCAGCAATGATGGAGGCATTTTTTTTAAAGGACGGACCGATTTTAGTTCTGGTGGTGAATTTTATCAGGTTATTTTAATGACACCAGTTGTTAGGAATTACCTTTCCCTTTTATAAATAAGTGAAGAACCATCAAGGTGAGGTTTTAGTGCAGCTAGCTGTATGAAAAGTCTGTGCAGCTTGAACGGTGTTATGGATGCATGTATTGGATATTCTTAGATCATCAGTGAGATCCCTAATTTTTCTGCTGTTGCTCTCTGAATCGTCTTTCTTGCTCTTTTTCATACCTTATTCTCTTTTCTATATTCTTTTGTCTTTTCTTCAACTCATCGAGAGTAACAGCTCCATAAAAGTGAGAGTTTTCGTCAAGATTCTCTTCTGAACGTGTGATTGGTCTCATTACAATTCCTAGAAGAAAATACTTGTCAAAACATCTGATGAGGTCCGACTGAATGCTACTGCAATACTGTTCAAAAGACTTTTTCGTCTGAACATCTTGTCCTTTGAAAAGGTATTTCCACAATGAATCAGTTTCCATTTGTTCGTTTTTTTTGAAACATTCACTCGACAACTTATGCAATTCAGAGCATGCTACCTTTGAAATACATGCAAATGATTTTTCTTTCAATTCCACGCATTCGTGTTTTTCAGGAAAAGCATCACACATTAATTCTCTGGCCTTATTTAAATGGTCTTTGCATTGATTAGAAGCACCTTGAACTTTAACAGTGCTGTGTACATCAAAAAACACATTCTCCTGGGACTCAAAAGAGCCAATTTTTCTCAGTTCATTCACATAGTTTTCGCACTTGGAGTAATCTTCTTCCGATTCCACCAAACAATTATTCAAATCTTTTCTCAATTTCTCATGCATTTCAATATTCAAAAATGGTCTATATAAACATGTATGAAATTTCAATAACAATGGATGGTTTGTAGGAAGCTCCTTGTCTTGATTCAAAAACTTTTTATATTCTTTCCGAACCTCTCTGTAAATATCAAAGCACCGATTGCCATAGGCATCATTCAGAAAGTCGGTCATTTTTTTGTTTTTTTTGAAATAGAATAAAAATCCAATAATTTCCTTATTCTTCAGTCTGTGCTACCTATTGGAATATCAACATTGCACCCGAGAGAGAGGGGATTCTTTCATTACTTGTATCATCAAATACATCATAAGAGTCTTTTCGAGATTTATCCAAAATGGAAGCGTCAATCAATAATCAAAAAAATGTTGGGCAATCAACAAGCATTCGATGACAACAAATCAGAGGGTAGTGGCAGTGAGAGGTCAAGTATCAATCTCGGTGGCGGAGACCCCTCTGCTCAGCAAAAGAAGGCTCTCAAGAAGCCAGTAAAATCAGTCATTCCCAAATTACAGAATTGTAGTGTCAATTTGTCCTTGTTTAGGAAATTAGCTGCTGATGAACTGAGAGAATTAATTGAAGAAGTGGTATGTATGCGGGTCGTAGTTACTAGTAGCAGTAGTATTTATGGATCCGATCCTCATGCTTTGATTATTCCAACAAATTTGATAATTATTATTATACTATGAATTAATTTTGTTCTAATTTCCATCCACTGAAATATTGTCGCGATCAATAACTATCGGATCATCATCACGAACGAATATATAATCTCATATATCAACAACAACAACCAATTTCATCAACATTGTCTTTTTGTACAACAATAACAATAACAACAACAACAAATAATACCAATCATGATGATGATGATGGTCCATCCTTCTCATCCCCTCCTGTAATGATGATCATCAACAACCACAGCAAGTACCCAACCCACACAAAGCCTTTGTATTTGATCCAGAACTCATCAGTTCTCTCTCACTCATTGTTCCCTATTCTTTCTTCATTCCAAAAGGAACAGGTGCCTCGGAACCAGAAATTGGTGTTTTAAAACAAGAGAAAATCCAATTCAAAACGGTCGTAGGAAGTGTGTTCTATATAACACGACCTCGAATGGATCTTCTCAAGATCATGTCCTCTCAAATTAATCACATCATGTCCTCTCAACCACAACAACCACCTAATATTTATGTCGTGTTTGTGCCACGAAGGACTTTGATTTGTGAAGTCATGTTGGAAAAGATGAATATTCTGCAACACATTCAAAAACCCTTGTTGGAATTTTCACTGGATTTCATTCCATTTGATAATGATTTGTTGTCCATGGAGTTACCAAATGCTTTTAAAGAATTTGAAATTGATGGTGATTATTCTGCATTGTATAGTGTGGCAAGATCAGTGATGAAATTACAATCTGTGTATGGCGTGATTCCAAACATTAAATATGTGGGAAAGAGTGCCAAAATAGCTTTTGAAATTCTACAAGATTTGAAACACAGGTCAGAAAATGTATTGAATCAAGTGAATCCAAGCATTGGAAATTTGATTTTCTTTGATAGAAGAGTGGATTTAGTGAGTCCTCTTGTCACTCCATTAACATATGAAGGTCTTTTAGATTTATTTTACAAAATTCAAAATAATCTGGTCACAATTCCATTCTTGTCACAACCTGTGAAAAAAGAAGATGGCGACAATGAGAAGGAACAAGAAGTAAGAAGAGTACCAACGAGATTGCCTCTCAACGATGACGATGAGGTTTTCAAACAAATTCGTCACTTGAATTTCCTTGGAGTAGGAGCTAAATTACAAGCGATCACTGAAGAAATTGATAAGATTTATGAAGAAAAGAAAAATTTAACCTCTCTCGAAGATATCAAAGCATATTTCCAACAATTACCTGAAGTTCAACAAAAACACAAGGATCTGACCACACACATCACCATCGCTACAGAAATTAAAAAAGAAACATCAAAACAAGAATTCAGAAGAAGAATTAGAACGGAACAAGATATTTTGTCAGGAGAGGATCCAAAAGCATGCATTGAGTATATCGAGACTTGTATTATAAGGCAAGACAGTCTTACGTCAGTATTGAGACTGATTTGTCTTTACAGTATTGTGAGAAATGGACTTAGCCAATCTGAATATGATCATTTACGACAAGAACTTGTTCATAGCTATGGACACTTTGTTGTTTTGAGTTTGAAGAATTTAGAGGAAGCTGGATTGTTGAAGAAATCAGCGTCAAAGATTAACTGGTCAACCTCTCCATTTGGAATTATGAAAAAAGGATTGAATCTAGTTGCACAGGATCAAATTGATGAAACGAGTCAGAAGAATATGGCTTATGTCCACTCTGGTTATGCTCCAATGAGCTGTAGAATTATTCAAGAATCTCTCACGACCAGCAAGTGGGAAAATTTGGAATACTTATTCAAAGGAAGTGAGCACCTGGAATTTATTGGAGAGAGTATCACACCAACAATGCTGTCAAGTGATGTGACCGTTGTTGTTTTCTTGGGCGGATGTACTTTAGCTGAAATTAGTGCTTTAAGATCTCTCTCAAGTCATCGTTTTATCATTTTAACGACCAAGATCATTAACTCTGATAACTTCATTTCCTCCATGTTGGAAAAACTTTAACTTATTCAAATTATTGATTTAAATTATTATTAAACACAACGAGTCTGTTGTCATATTCTGAACACACGACTTTTCGTTGTGGAGTGTTTGGTTGCATTACGCGAACGTGAGCAATGTTGTGATGTCGCTCCGGTTTGAAAGCATGAGAAATTTGCATGTACAATTCTGGCTTGGTCGAGTTGGATCTGATTTTCTGATGATCGACAGTAAACCATTGTTTCACATGAGGCCGACTCCAATCCAATACCTCAACTCGAGAGCCATACGGAGCAAAGAAATATGTTCCATTTTCGTTTTCCAATAAATGACCTTTTTGGTTGAATACATCGAGCTTAAATGAAGCTTTGTTTTGAAAGTATTTCGATAGAGATTTTCCTGCTATGTCATAAAGACCAACCCCTCCAAGAGTTGAAATGAAATAAATAAATTTACCATCTGGTGTGAGGTCGAAATATTTGATACCCTCAGTAGTTGGAGTAGTTGTTGTAGGTTTGTTATAAAATGCTAATGGAGCTCTTCTGTCTAACCGTGTTAATTCCTGTAAAACAATACCATTTTCAGTAATGAATGATGTAGAGCTCGTTGAAGTAGTGGCAGTGGAGCTGTTAGTTTGCCTTTGTGGTTGAGCATGAGCTTCCAGAGAGGTTTCAAACACTTGTCCATTCAGTTGTGTGTAGAGTTCCTTAATTGCTGACTCCATATGTACAGTTTGGAAATGGTCACCAAGTCCATGCCTCATATCAAAAAATCGAATGAGCGAGTCATGAAAGGATGACGCAAGTATAAAGTTTGGATCATTCCTACAGAAAGTAACATTGTTAAAAGTCTCTAAAGAGGTCATAGAAAGACTCGAAACGGATGGTTTAAAAAGTTGTTTTTTGGATTGTGATTTCTTACTCTTGGCTACTAATCCACCAAATTTCTTGTTATTGGTAATTGCATTGGGAGACGGACATTGGGATGATGGCTTTGTTTCTTGTTGTATTGCTTGCAGTGGTGTGAAGGTTGATTTAGAGGATTTGTCTTTTTTGGGAAGCCTTAAATCTAGTAATGTTATTCTACCATTTTTCCTTGAGGCAATTAATGTATTGGAATCTAAATATTTAAAATCCACAATATTTTCTCCAATAAGCTTGTGAACAACCTTTTTTGTAGAATAATCAAATAAATAAACTGAGCCAGTAGAAGTGTTGGTATTTGATACAGCAAGTAGATTGTGTAAATGTGGATTAAAGATGACACACGTAATTTGATCTCCAAAATTGTGTTCCATGCAAACCTCAACATCCATATTATGAACTTGTAGCCTTCCTTTGTGAGTTCCAAAAGCAAAAAAACTACTCGTGTCAGTGTCAAGAACATCCATATTGGTTAAATGTTCACTCATACTCATATCTGACATGTGAGTTAATTCCATTAATTGCTCTGGTTTTGAGCTGAACCATCGTGAAATTTCTTTTCTCTGATAAGATTGCTTGACATGATGTGAGAATGGCAGTCCCGACAGTTTGTGATAAAACAAATGCAATGGAACCGGAGGCTGATTATATCGTAGTGCATGTTGATAGCACGTGTCATGTTCATAGAGATGATTGAAAGGATACACACAAAGTTTGTTTTTTGGAGTAAAAGCTAATGAACCCATCTTGTTACTCTGTAGGACTGGAAATTTGGGAGTTGGTGTTGTAAAAAAGAATGCTCTTGTTGTGGTGTTGGATTCATTCTTCTCCTTTGAAATTTCATCATCCAATAATTTCATAGTTTCATCTTCCGAGTCCGAAACTTCAATTGGATCTCCATCCTCTAAAATCATCATTACATCACTCTTCTTTTTATTGATGCATTCATAGTGAGAATGCGTCTGTTGTTTCACTCCTCCCATGTAATTAAGAAGAGTATTCTTTTGTGAAGAAGAGCCTTTCCCAGCAGCTTTTTTCGTCATTTTGTTGGTATTTAAATTTTTGAAGGGCGCCAAAACGTTGCTTTTTGATTTCCGTTATTAAAATTGTTTATCACCGAAAAGCAAACGTACGTATCAACATATAAATGGTTAAGGACAAGACACCACGTGGTGTTCAATGTTGAGATTTCCATACTCTAGGAGAATGTTCTTTCGTTGCAAATGCTCATTGTGATGGAGATGTGCACATCAGGTTCCAAATATATAGTGACGCAAAAGGAATCTTGAGACAATCCTTTGAAACGGATGAAAACTTCAGAATAAAAAATACCACAAACGCTGGCAAGGGAGAATCACGGTATTGATTTCCCTCCAATTATTTACGATTCGATCGTTACGCAACTTGGACTCACATCATCAACAGGTCGTCGGGTTGGAGTGATATAATAAGTGTTTTATACGTAGATTATATCATCAACAGCAATTCTATCATTCAAAAGGAGTCATTACCTGGCTTTCTAAATTTACTCTTTCATTTGCTTTCTTAAATGGGCATCATTTGTGTTACCGACAAGAATGTTGGAGGAGCAAGAGCTCATCATCAGCCATTACCAACACCAGCAATACTTCATCCAAAAAGAGCGGTAGCAAAACCTTCAGGAGAAAATACACCGAATACACCAAACCCAGCGGGAGGAGACTCTAAACAAACAGGGGCAACATCACCTCATACAAGCAAATTTCAAAGCCCTATTACCACTAAATACGCTATCAAATACCATGAAGGCGTAAATCTCGAAGCATCATTGTATTCATCATTGTATAAGAATCAAAAGTATCTTTTATGCACTGCAGTACCTCCTGAGATACCGTTCTACCAAACAGATATCAAAGTCGAAACAAACCCGTCTTTAACTTCTTTCTACACCACATTGTTTCAGGAGAGACCTTCCAAGAAGAAACAAAATAACCTTCTTCATATTGTTTCGTCCAGCGACAGCTTCGACATTGCAATGGGAGAAGATTTTAGGAATCATCAAGAAAAGAGACAAGAGTTTGTTGAGTCGCCAATTCCACTGTTTATTTGCAATCTCGTAAAATACAATGAAAAAGTCGGAGAGGAAGACTTTTCCGTTCATGAATTTATCTTTAAATGGAAATATACAAAGAGAGAACTAATTCCAATTACCGGAGAAGGAGAAATCAACTTGGAACCAGTCAAACGATTAGAACCGAAAGAGCATGCCTTCTATACTTCTGAAACCCAACTTTATAATTACAAAGACCCAAATTTCATTAAATGGCAGAAGAAGCATGAGTTGGAAATACGTGATGAGGAAGACGCAATCGATTTCTTACAGAGAGGACTCAACGCCGTATGGGCGTCTCTTGACATCAAGCCGACAAATTATCAGCGAGTTTCTGCAACCACTGTGCTGGAGGCAAAGAGCGACAGCTCTTTTGGATTAGTAACAGTATTTATTGCCATTTGTCGAGCGAATAGCATTCCTTCCCGAGCACATTTTGGATATCAATGCTCGTCTACAGATAAGAAAAAAGAACACAAGCGGTTGCTTAAATCAGGTATCTCTCCGTCACTCATTTACACAGAATTTCATTCAAAAGCTGAAGTGTGGATCGATAATTTAGGGTGGATACCGGTTGAGGTTTCGGACAAGGAGAAGGGTATTACCAATGCAGAACCCATTCCCTTTTTAACCTCTCACTTTTTTGATAACCTATCCATGGACATGCGACCTTTTACCTCAAGATCATCAACCCTTAATTATTGCAGTGCCAACGAATATAAAGGAACGTCTGAAGAAATTAAGAGCATTTTCAAAACTCCAGAAGAAGAAAAGTTTGATGGTGCAATTGTAAAGCTGTGCAACGATTTTTTAATGTTGTGGCAAGCAGCAAGAAGGAAACGATCAATGGAGATGCTGAGACAAACTTTTGCGAAATTGTCCAATGGATTAAGGGAGGAGTTCCACCAAGAATGTACAGTATTTGATTCGGTGTTTTTCCAAGGTTACGATATTACATTCCTTCCTTTCAAAGTTACATCTAGGAAAACAAACAAGGATGGAATTTGCCATTCCACCATCATGTTCACAGACTTACAAACAATGGAAACTGAAGAGTATATAATATCGCTTGACATTGAAGATGACTTCATTGCAGATATTAACATTGCCTCAATACCCAGCTTGCATGAAGAGGACAAGGTAGAGGAAAGAAAACTGAAAATCCTGGGCTCGTATGTGCGGAAAGAGTTCAGTTATTTCCCTCCAGTATTTTCATTTGGAACACACAATCAATCATTGCACACTACCGTGAAATCACAGTTGCATTACTGGGATTTTCATGAAACCCCTAGGAATGATCAAGATAAATAAAAACATTATATGAACAATCTGATCTATTATTGACTCTTGTTTCTTACATGGATATTTGTTTGTAAACTTCTAAATTTCCACTAGTACTTGCCGCTACTATTGCAGAACCAGTCGGAGAAAACGAAAGGTCATTCACTCTGCTTTGGTGTAAAAGAACTTGATAAGCTGAGGAGGTGTTACCGAGCTCAAAAATAAAAATACCATTCGCACTGTTTTCTGTAAATGAGTTGACACAAGAGGGAACTGCAACAATTGTTGATGAGAATGGTTTAAAGTGCGCTCTTGTTAGATTTTCCGAGCTGCAAAAGTATTGAGGATCTGTTAAGGTTTGATGAGGTGGTATCTCTCTATTCATTCTCAAGTCAAAAATTTTTAAAGTATTATCACGAGAATTGGTCAAAACGAAATTACGGTCGTAAGATATTGATACATAAACAATTGGTTCAGTATGATCGGTTTGTGTCTCCCAAACCTTTTGTTGCTGTCTCCAATCATGGTATTTGAGAGTTTTGTCAAAATGTCCAGAGATCACCAAACTATGTCATTTCCACATGGTTTGAATCATCTTTTCTATTAAATAAAAACATACCTATCTGTAATATTTTGCATTGAGTTGCAACAGCTTCCAGGTAGAAACGTTTTGATACACTTTTGTTCATAGATATCCCTATTGAAATGTGAAAATAAGAATTCGTACGTCACTCACAAAACTCAACTACTTACCATAGTTTCATGGTCTTATCTTTAGAGCCAGAAAATACTTGATTGTCACTATTTACAAATATGGCACAGGTAATTTGAGAGGTATGTCCCTTCAGACTTGAAAAAGCAGATGATTTTCGTGCTCCAATGATTCGAATAATTCCATCCTTTGAGCTTGTTATTATTTTAGAGCAATCATCAGAAAAACAAACAGATGTAATTGCATGAGTTGAGACTTGCAAACTTTCAACGTTATACAACCCAGGATTTTCTTCTGAAAACTTCCAAATATTTACACAGCCGCTATCATCGGAAGAAGCTAAAATATTTGGGTCTGAACCAAAGCAAACACAATGAATGGGCGTGTCATGTCCTTTCTGTTGATAATAATAAAAAATATGAGACAACTATGAGCATGAATCAAAGAAGAAATAATCATAACATACATGGGTCAATACATGCTCGTACTTTTCACTATTATTTGTTGACTTCTCCAGCAATAAATTGGACATCTCAGAGTAATTATGAGCTGCCGCTATTGACGAATTTGTATCTTGAAGTGACATATTCATTGCTAATTGTTGTTCCAAATTAAATCGTTTTTGTTGTTCTTGCTCTAGCTCCTTACAAATATGCATCATTTGAGTCTTATATTCCAAGGTTAATTTTTGAATATAATTTGACATGTGAATTAATGATGCTTGAAGTTGCTTAATCTGCCCATTCAAAATTTGATCTTTTGATTTAATAGAATCAACTTCTTTCAAATACTTTTTCTGATAATTATCCATTGATTTAATTTCTGCATCTCTTCTTTCAATTTCAATTAAAAAGAAATCTGCTTCTCTTTTATGAATTTCTACTTGTTCTTTTAGATTTTTGTTTTTCTCTTCGAGTTCTCGTTTCTCTTTCGACATGACTTCCAATTTCCTTCCATAAACAGAATTGAAAAATAAATACGCTCCAAGAAATATTTACCTTTCGGAAACTTGTAAATTATTGTTGAGTTCAGTCAATTGATCCATCATTCGAGCTATAGTTGACGCATGATGAAAAAGAAAACAAATAATTGTCATCACATGCACCAACAACAATTTTCCTCCACATACCTTTATCTCTCATGACTTCCAGAAATTGTGATTTTAACCACTCGAGTTGAGAGTTTTTTGAAAGATCCGACAACTGTGGGTGGTCCATACCAGCCAGAGTGGGATCGCCTATGGATGGTCGTTTGGTCCTCTTTTCTAATTCTTTTTGCAAAAGTATTACGTGTTGAAACATGCCATGATTCCGTTCTGTTTCATCCCGAAGGTCCAGCTGTTCTTTGAAATATTGTCGTGTGAATGACACGGGCATGGTGGATGAGCTCGGGTGTTTGTTGTGGTTACTCCTACAAACGGATGATGCAAAGGCTTCTTTATAATCGTCCGCCAATCGTTGAGAACGTGGTTGCATTTTTATTTACATGAATCATCATCATGTTTCGTTTCAGATTCAAACATCGAGTGAGAAACTCCATCGTAATTTGGTATGAGAATCAGAAAATGAAAGAATTTGTTCTTGTCCTGTTTGGAAACATTCAAAGATGTCATTAATGGTGGTGGAGAGTTTGAGTACCTGCGTCTTGTTGTGAATGAGTTTGACTTTGAGTTTGTTGGTTGGCTGAACAGTGTCCACAATGGTGAAAGAGATTTGTTCATTAAACTTGACAATTCCCACACGGCACGGTTTTGAATTTGATTTGGCCTTCTCATTGAATGACTTATTTCCCGAACCTTGAGAGAGCGAAATCTTAAACGTCAAGTCTCCTTCTGAATAAGGACAGTCAATAATTTCAATCAAATTTACAATTAAAATCGAGTATGAGGAGATTGAAGATGCTTGTGGAGGTATTACTGATCTCGCTCTTGGAGGAGAGGTAGAACTTCCAATAGACATTCTTCTTATCCTTGCCTTAAGTTGTTCATTTTCTTTTGCCAATTCCTATTTAGAAATTCATGTTAAAACCAATCATTGAAAAAATACAAGTTATCATTACTTACTCGTTCCGTTGAAGTATAGCTTTCAGTATCCAAGCTTTGATTCAATTCATTGGTTTTTGATGAGCTGGATACAGGACTTGAAGGAGGGCTAAAGTTTGGAATTGCTTTTCGTTTCAAAACTGGTGAAGATCCGTTGAATGAACCATGAAGGCTCAAGGAGGTACTGTCACTATTGTTGCTAGAACTTAATCCAGAAATGGAGGATAAAGTTCTTTGACGAATCGAATTCCATTTCTCCTCTTGAGAGACCTCTCCAACGAGATCAAATTGTATGAATCCATCTTCTAAATATTCAATCAAATCTTCATTGACACTTCTAACACAATATCTTCTATGGAAGTTAAATAATAAATTAGTACCATTTTGCTTTGAGGTTGTAATCGGTTTTTCAGTATAAAATCTAAATCTAATAAAATTATCCTTGGATTGCATGCTTAATTCCTTGACAGCCTTGATTTTAAGTAGAAAGTGGAGCGGATCTCCTAAGAGATCATCAGGAGAAGAGACAGGTGTTGGGATTTGTTTCATTGATTCATCACCTGGCACCAGAGGTACAATGGCAACCAACAATTTTCCAATGACATTTCCTTCTATATCTTGCAATGGTAATAGCTCCTCTTTTGGTTGTCTTCTAGCGAGAAATTTCAATTCCATCTTAGCTGAAGCTATTACATCAATTGCACATCCATAAAATGGATCTTGACTGTCGTCACTTTGCAGAACAGGATTTTGCAGCGATGCTAGTTTTTCTCTCATCTTAACTAATCGTGCTTCAAACTCTTCGACCGTCCACATTGTTGTTTTCTTTCGCTCCTTGTCGACGGCTTGAATTCCAAGCTGCGGTTCAGCATTTTTCACTAAGATTTTCAAATCATATCTTATGTTATTATTAAACTCTCTGACAATGTCATTTGCTTCTTTGATCATTGGTAACAAGCGTATTAAATTTTCATCAATTCTATTTCTTGAAATGTTTCCTGTATGCTTGGCAACTTTTTCATCTCTCTATCGTCATAAAAAATAGTTACAGCCATTCACATAAGCTCAATAAAACCTACATGTAAAAATCTATGCTGAATAGTTTTGATCATTCCTCTAACTGTATCTTTCAGGCTCTTTTTCTTTCTTCTATTCTTTTCATCCATCTCTTCAATTTTTTGTTTATGCTGCTCTAGCTCTTTTACTTGTCTTTCAATAATCTCTTGTTGTTGATATTTTTGCTTTTCGAACTCTTTCTCAATTTCCAATATCCGCAGTTTCATATTTTGTTCAATTTCTTTTTCCTTTTCTTCGACAGCAAGTTCAATGGCACGTTTTTGTTCATATGCCAGCTCTTCTTGAGCAAATGCCCAATCAATAGAAGACTCCGTTTCAGAACTGTTTGGATCTACATATCTGAAAACATGATTATTACCCAAAATTATACGGTCGTTACACTTCAACACTGCCTCTCCTGTTATGCTCCTTCCATTGACATACAGTAGAGCATCTTTGATTGGCTTGATAGTAACCTTATCCTCACATCTTATAACGACACAATGCTGAGGCTTAATTTGCAGTCCACTCAAGACGATATTGTTAGATTTATCTCTTCCAATAAATGTCTCACCCATTTTAAATGAATACACAAGCAACCCGCTCATCATTGGATCTTCGTTTAGGTTTACGATGTTTGGAACATTCATGGATTCAGAGCTAACCATTTCTCCCATATCTGTGAAAGCAATTCCGGCTTCTTCAAGAGCTCTCCTTCTCGCTCGTTCGATTTCTTGTGTTCTTCTTTCCTTTTCCTTTTGTGCATTTTGCAGTTGTTCTATAATCTGTTGGCTGTGTGCTAACTGTTCTCGCAATTTTTGCTTTTCATCATCCTCAACGATAATTTGATTATTGGATGGAACGTTGCTTTCATTGATGAGGCTTTTCAAGCGAGCAATTTCATCTCGAAGCTCTCTTATTACAGTAGCGTTAGGATCCTCATTAACCTTTGCTTTGTTTTTAATGCTCTTGGCTCTGCTTGCATATCGTAAGGTAGACAACGTTTCTTGGTAATTGTAGTCGCTTGGTGACACGGTTGCCAACATGATCTGAACAATTATTACCCTATTATATAATATCTTGATGAAAAAGTACCTACAGTTTTGCTGTTTCCACCCAAACTTTCTTTTAACAGCCAAGTTCTAATCGGATTTGTTAGTGAATGCTCAATACAAATAAAACTTACAATACACTGTTTCTGTAGGGCACAAACACCTTCTTATTTGGGTTTTCTGCCTTTTCAGATAACTTGTTAATCACGTCTCCCAAAGCAGTGAGAGAAACATTGATTGCAGATCCTTCCTTTAATCTTTCTCCTGTTGCACCAGTTTTATCAGCTCTTTCTGATCCTGCAAGATCAATTAAATTAATAATTGAAACCTTTTCAGAGAAGGTTGACGCGTTTCCTGGGATTGCTGTCTCAATAGACGACGCTAAAATAATTTGAAATATTGTATGAGCTCTAGATGAAGTATCGTTCATATTAGTTTTAGCAATAGTTCTTAGCCTGTTTCCTTCATCCATTAATCGTAAAATATCGTCTTCGTTATGAACAACACAAGATTCAATTCCTTCAATGTATGGACCAGTCTCAGGATTTTCTCGAATTTTCAGACCTCCCTTGTTGTTCAAAGGATTTTCTGGATTGAAAAGATCCCTTACATGTTCATTGTAAATTTCAATCATTGATGTTTCCACTCGATAAATTCTTGTTATACCATCCTGTTTTTCAGAATCTTGCTTTATGCGTTGAAAAATTGCTCTACAAATTCTAGGAATTATTCCTCTATGTTCTTCGTCTTTGGTTCCCATCATGGTGTACTATTTTGTTCATAATTTTTGAGGTTTGAAAATTGCCACAAGTTGAAACACTTACTGTCTTTCCACTAGATTTCATTTATGTCGCCATGAATTGACACCACTGTAAAATGTATGCACTTACCTTCCAGTTTGTCCATAGGCAAACAAACTTGTATTGTATCCTTCGAATGCATTATTGATGATAAGCCTCCCGATATCATTAAACACTGTTTCTTGTGATGCAAAATTTGGCGAATTTTCATCATGACTCCAGTATGAGTAGTCGTACGAAAATGTTCTCTCTTGTCCGAAACTTGTATCGGGATCTTTCACCGTCGTAGAATTGCCTTGCATTGAGATGATACACTGAGTACCACCCTTAATCCGTTTCTCTCGTTCATTGAATGGACGTACTCTCACCGCCACCTTTTGATTTGTAAGAATCGTCATATGCCATCATCAAGAAAGCAGTCTCAACACGTACCAGCACTGAGTCGGTCGATGAAGACATTTTTTGTGTAACGGAAAATGACGGTTGTGGGGGTAAAATAATCTTCTCTCACAAACCATCATCCACCTTACCAACTGATACCATGATGAATGTAATGAACATCCCTTTCGTAGCTACGAATTGTATCTGTGTGTCTGACAATGATGACTCGAAGTGAGGGAGATAGGCAGCTAAGAACAGGGTTGCACTCATTGCCGCCTTCATTGAAGTATCTTACAGTTTTGGCGCCTTTTGGAAATGAACTAAAAAAAATTGAACAACACACAGTGAGGAGGTGAGAGAGAATGGATTCAACGTTTGCCTTTGACCATTTTCCACCGGAACTTCTCAATGACTACAACAAGCAACTCGCATTAAAAATTCAAGAGTTGCAAAAGACTTTGGAAGAGAAGAACAAGAAATTTCAAGCCGAGGAGCAGCGATGCCAAACTTTGAAAGAACATTTTAAAAATGCAACAGTCGAAGCACAAAATACGCAGCTCTTGTTGGAAGCGAAAAATAATGAAACCACCACAGAATTGCATATGAAGCAGGTAGCGGAGAGAGAATTGGGACGATTACAAATTGAAATTCAAAAAATTGACAAGCAAGTGAATGACATTCAAGATCAGGTATGGAGAATCAATTTTAAATATTTTTTCGGATAATTGTTGTGTTTTGATGATGCCACAAAACCGTGCAGACCAATCTTGTACAAAATGAAATCTTTAGAGCCAATGAAAAAATTGATGAGCTGAAAACCAACATGGGTTTTGACCAAGAAGAATTGGAACAATGGACTCTTGCAGAAAAGCAAAAAGAAGAGGATCAAGAAGTTTTGGAAAAGTACTCGAAACAAGACGAAAAGAAAATTAAAGACCTTACATTGGAGAGCGAAAAATGGGCCAAACTCGTTGAAGAAAAAAAGGTGGAGTACGAGAAAGAAATAACTGAGACACAATCCCAACAAATTGAGTTGGAAAAAACGGCTGAAGATTTTAAGAATGTTCATAAAGAGCGACAATACTTAATCCAGCAATGGGAAGATACTATCGAGGCGATGAACAAGCGAGATGAGCTTATTCAAAAAAGCAGGAGAGGCTTTAAATAATGGAAAGCTTGAAATCCAAAGCAAACAAGAGGAATTGTTGGAACAAACTCGACGATATGAAGATCGAGTTCAAGATAACAAAAAGCTGGAGACTCAAATTGAAAAATCGACACGAGTTTTAGAGAATTTAAGAGATCAAAATGAAATTCTTAAAAAACAAATCAGGTAAGTTAAATACCCTAATAATTCGTACTAACACCAAGTAGAGAATTAGAAGAAGAACTTGAAGTAATTCGAAATACTCTAGCCAAAGGTTCTAGTGACCTGAACGGTAAAAGAGCAGAAAAAAAGTATTTATTGGCAGAAATCCAAAAAAAGGAAGAAAAGCTTGCTAACTTGACTCAACAAAAAGAAGACACTATGAAGAGAATGGAAGAAAGTCAGAAATATATGAATGATTTGGAATCTCAATCCAAATACGTGTCTAGTTTGCTATCTGCGGAAGAAGCAAAGAAAAAGTCAGTAGAGAAAAGACTGGAAGAACTTAAAACCCAACTGTACCACCAATCACAAGAGCTTTATAAAGAAAGACAGAAAGAAGCCAACTTGGTTGCAGAAATTGGTGGAACCAATTCCCAAAACAAAAACATGCTCTCTAAAATTGCTCAACTTGACAGCACAGTTTTAAAACAACAAGAACTGTTGTACAATATTGAATTCCAAGTCCAACAAATGGAGAGAAGAGTAAATAGAGCTCAAGGAGAACGAACAGAAGAAGAGAAGGTCAAACTCAATGCACAGATCGACAAATTGCAAAAGAGTTTAGAAGAGCATGAGACTCAATTTGAAATGATAAAAGGAGAATGGACAAAGGTATTGAGCGAAGTAAGAAAGATGAAGAAAGAAACAGACGAAAAGGAACTTGAGAAAGCAAGACTAAATGAGAAAGTTCATGACCTCACCTTAGAAAACAACTCATTGGAGGAAGAAATGAGGGCACTGACAAGAGAAAAGGAAGATCTGTTAGTTCAACACGACATTCAAAAACTCCAAGTGAAACGAATGAGAGACTTGTTAAGAGCTAGAACTGATGAGCTCTCCGGCTTGGAAAATAGAAAGTATCAACTTGAGACACTGTACATTGAAAAGGAGCAAAAAGTGAAAGCTCATAAGGAAATGTTGGCGGCAGAATGGAAGGCATATGAAGACCAAAGACGAAAATTATCCCTTGAACTCAGTAATAGACGTGTACATATTGACAAACTTAAAAATAAGTATAATATTATGATTCAAAGGCTGAAACCGGATGTAGAAGGAGAAGAAGAGGTGTCACAAGCACAATTTTTGATACGAGCAATCCAAGAGAGAGAGGAACTACAGAGAATAGGAGACAAACTCGATGAGGAGATCCAAAAATTAGAAAATCATGATAGAGGCCTCGAGAAAACTCTATCTTTATTTAAAACACACAACATCAAGTAAGTATGAAATTAGAATTTCTGATGGTTCCAACATGCAATAATTAGTCATAATGCACACTACAAAAAAGTGGACACTACTGACCCAGATATTTGTCTCAAAATGGAACTCGAAAACAAATGCAAAGACTTGGATACTCTCACAAGTAAGAGAATTCAGGAGCAATATGAATACGAAGAGAGCGCCAATAGGAAGCAAAAAGAGTTAGAAATGGTTCTAATAGAACAAAAGGAAACTGAAATTAAGAGAGATGCTCTCTCGACCTCTAAGGCGGTTTTAGAAAAAGATATTAGCAAGTTGCTATCTTCTCTGAGCACCCAAAAGACCCTGCTTAAAAGTAACCTCAAGGAAATTAAGAAGATACCAGATGCAGATGCCCTTCTTCAAGACATTACCCTCACAGACAACAAACTCAAAAATAGGAATTGTTTACTGACCCTTTCATTCATTTCAGAAAGCAATCCAGTCCTTAAAAGCAACCTGGACAAATTACTGAAAGATGAAGGTCTCTCGATGCCAGTGTTAAGTCGACCAGCATCAAGCATGTCAGTTCTTTCTTCAAGAAGTGCCAAAAGCTCCACCACAAGAAGTGTAAATAGCTCCCAACGAAGCAGTACCTCGAGCGTTCGACGAGTTGCAAATACGTCCATTATTTCCTTGCAATAAAGAAAATTTTGGATCTTGTGACATGTTTTCAAGCTCAACAAGAAAAATACATCTTCGCCAATAAGTTTTAATAAGTTCGAATTCTCTTGAAAACGAGCAAAGTTTGCAACCTCCAATAGATCTTCTGCGGGATCAATTCCATTCATCCAAAACAGAATGAGCGATCGGAACCTCACCACCATCATCAAAACAACATTAAAACAACACGGAACATCATAATGATATTTTTCCGATCATTCAAGAGTGGTTTTGGTTCAAGCAAACGGAGAGCGAGGAAAATCATTGGAAGGCCAACGAATACCAGGCCAAGCTTTTAGTTAATTTTTTTTTAGAATGTAAATTGGAGTTATCATGGCTTCTGGTTCGACCGGGTTTATTTTTTGCGGCTGGTTTTCAGGTGTTGAAAACGTGAGCTCGTAAATTCAGGAGAAAAGTTTGGCTTGCAAATGGATGCCCTATTTTAAACGGGATCGGAATTGTGTAACAAAATTCACATAACTAAAAATTCACTGCTGCTGTTTTTCAGAGACTACACTCTAATCATCATGTCTTCTTCTTCTTCGTCACATCATAATCAACGTTTGGTGTTTATCTCATATCCAGAAGGTTTAATTCAAGAATCAAATTTCACACTTGAAACCATTGATTCACCACCAAAGCCAAGTAAACCTTCGGAAGTGGTGGTCCGATTACTTCATCTCTCTGTGGACCCCTACATGAGAATGAGAATGAATAGGTAGGTTTGTTTTTTCAACAAAGCCATGGATCATTGTGGATCATGTGTTTGCCTGTATGATGATGATACATGGATCAAAAACATAACATCAAAATACAACCAAACACAAACTCTAATATATTTATATACCTGAATAGAAATGTCCCTAAAGGTTACTTTGCTCCCTTCTCATTAGGAGAACCATTGAATGGTGGTGTGGTGGCTCGTGTTGAACAAGTCTTTACCGATGAACCATCATCCTCATCCTCATCAACAAACTTTCAAGTGGGAGATTTAGTGTTAGGTGTTCTTCCATGGATTCTTGAACAAGTCGTTGATACTGTGACAACTCCATTAAGACGTCTCGATCCCAACGCTTTTCAAGACATTCCAAAGAGCTTCTTTTTAGGTGCATTGGGAATGCCAGGACTCACTGCCTATTTTGGATTATTGGAAATTTGTCAACCCAAAGCACATGAAACAGTGGTGGTGAGTGCTGCTTCTGGAGCAGTTGGAAGCATTGTTGGACAAATTGCAAAACATGTGATTGGATGTAAACGAGTCGTTGGAATTAGTGGACAAACCTCCCCTGAAGTGATTCAACAATTAAGGGAAAATGGTTTTGATGAAATTCTCAATTACAAAGATTACAATAATAATGTGGAACAATTGAAACAAGCCCTTGAGAAGGCATGTCCAGAAGGAATTGATTGCTATTTTGAAAATGTTGGTGGTTTCGTTCAAGATGTTGTCACTCTTTGTATGAACAAATTTGGAAGAATTGCATTTTGTGGTGCCATTAGTTCTTACAATAATAATTTACCAAGTGGAGAATCTACCAACACCACAACTTCCGAACTTGAACAGAAATATGGTCTCGGTCTTCGTTTAACAAGTATTCATGTCGTTCGAGAACTGAGAACTCAAGGATTTCTTGTCAATTCCTATTCCAAACAATTTGGAGAAGCCACACAAAAGTTAGTACAGTGGTATCGTGAAGGTCAATTAAAAGTATTCGAAACAAAGGAAAAGGGAATGCATCGAATTCCACATGCCATGCAAAGATTATTCACTGGAGAAAAGACAGGAAAGGTTGTTGTGGATTTGGAGTACTAGTAGTAGTAGTATTATAGGATTCAATTATTATTATTATTATTATAATAAAACACATAATACACTCATGAATCCATCAACATCGTGATGATAACCATGCATAAATTTCGAGCGAAACAATTCGACCTATTATCTGGCGAAATGATCCATCCAACACATCCAACACGTGTTTTCACACACACACACACACACACACACTGAACAATGGTTCTGAAACATTGTGAACACGCAACTCTCGCCAAAGGAAGAAAAAATTCAAAAAACAATTCGCACACACACACACACTCATTCATCATCATCATGCTGCGACTTGTCTTGTTGTTCATCATTAGCATCATTGTTGGTTGTTCTTGTTGTTTCAACATTGTGTTCATTGAAGGAGCTCAAATTCCATTGATAAAATCCAATCCATTGGATTCTTTTTCATCATCTCTTCCTCGTCGTCGTGATGAAACTTGCACTCAATTCGCCAATCGTTATGAACCATTTGATTACTTTTTATTGTCCATTCAATGGCCTGGAACAGCATGTGTTGGAAGAAAACCCAATGAATGTTTGGTACCTGATTTTATTAATGATTTTACAATTCATGGTAGGTAGGATAGGTCATACATGTTGAACTCGAGTTTTTCATCTTTTTTGATATTGTTCTTATTATGAAATGACTGCATGAAAAATAATTATTACTATGAATGCATGAAATTTGTTACGATTGCGACTGTTGTCATTGTTGCATTTGAACAATTAAATACTATATCCCATTGGCAACAATGAATAAACCTTTCATTAGGTTTATGGCCTCAATTCAAAAATCCTGCCACTTATCCTGAATGTTGTTTCAATGTGACCTTTGACATTCATCAATTAAATCCAATTATTAATGATATGAATCAAAATTGGCCATCCTATTATCATCCCAATGATTACTTTTGGACTCATGAGTGGCTCAAACATGGAACTTGTGCTAATGTTACAATTTCACAATTGACTTACTTTTCAAATACTCTTCGAATTTATTCTAAAATGCATCTTGTGGATGTTTTGAAAAAGGCATCTATTATTCCTTCTCATGGTAGCTATAGTAAGCAAAGGTATGTTATAGTGAACGTGAATTGACATTTGGCATTTATTCTTTCAACTTGTGACAAAAACAAAACGATTGAAAAATCAACGACAGAATGGAGGACACATTAAAGAATGCAGGATTTCCTGGTGTCATTGCTTGCACAAGAGATAAATCGAGTATTGAGGAAGTTCGATTTTGTGTGAATAGAGATTCCTTACAATTGATGGAATGTGATCAAGCTTTGATTAATGACATTCATACTCACAATCCTTGTAAGGATACTATTTCATATCCACCCATTCATTAATCAGCAACAGTTCAACAAATTTTGAGATTAATGAATTATTCAAATGGTGTGTGGGATCTCTCTTTATTATTGTCTAAAGTTGGATGTATGACTTTACATCTTTTAAATTTTCATCATCAACCAATTCAATAGAATTAAATGGAATAAAATTCAAAATGAAAAAATTAATAAGAAATTTAAAACAAATTAAATTTAAAAAATGAGTTTTCACTTTGATTGGTCGCGTTGGGATCAAACAGCTACGATTGAATTGATTAAAAAACTTGCAACACAAGGATTGAATGCTGGAGAGCCAAATCCAATGTTGTGTGCTCCATTGACTTGTAGTGATTTTTCATTCGGAACTACACCTCCACAATTTTCTATCGAAAAATTACCAAAACTTTCACTTTCGCAACAAGAAATACATCTCCGATTTTTCTATCAAGGTGATGGATATATAAAATTAAAAACAAGAGCACAAATTAACAAACTTGTTCCGAACCAAAGCTATTTTGGATACAGTTTAGGAATTGGTAATCAAATGGTTGGCCAATATCCAGTTGAAATGCCACTAGAAATAACCATCAAAGATTTAAAATTGGACGGATTGTTGATTATAAAAACAGATACCTCTTTTGTGGAGACAACAAACATCAAAGATCTAATGAATCTTTCTAAACATAAGGATCTTTCAAACGAAGCAAAAGCTAATTTATTGAGCAAAGAACCAGCTAGAAATTCTTCCGTATACATTCAATTGAAGAATAATCCCTTGGCTGGTATTGATGTTTACAGCACCTTTGAAGAGGCAATACCGCAAACAAAATCAATATTTATGAACATGGTAAAAGGTCAAGCAGAAGAAGGAATATCTGAGTTAATGAAAGAACCTAAGAAAATTGATATAGATATTAATGAGCTGCTGATTGGAAAGCCTGCCCAAGGGAATCCTACAGCATCCTCATCAGCAGTAATTTAATGCTTGTGAATTTACTGCACTTCTAACTGTTTTCTCGATGTCGATTAAATTGTGTAACTCAGTATAACATCTCCAAATGCTTTTATCACTTTCTTAAAATCATCCCTGGAAATATTATTCTGATGAATGATTTCTCTTTCAGAGTAACCGCCATTAAAATACACATGCAATTTCTTGAACAGTTCAAGCATGTGAGGATCATCGCATAATCTCTTAATGTATTCCATTTCATAAACAGAGAGTGTTCGTGGTATATTAGATTCTGAGATGGCTTCGTTGGAGGGGCTTGATTGCGTATCGATCTTGACATTCATGTACTTTTTGAAGGAGAATGATCTTGGGCTGCTGCTTTCGCTACTAGCCACGCTTGATGTTTCGTCGTTCATGGATGGCTCGTGTGTCATATCGACCTCTCTTGAAGGAGGTGGAGAAAATGTGATATGAGAAGGAGGAGTCGAAGGTGAAATTGGATCTCTTGTCATCGTTGGTCTCATATATTTGCTTGCACCTTGAACGGTTTGGTGAGGTATTACAAGTTGATAATAGGTGTTACACACCTTAATATAGCCCTTTCTTAGAAGCCATATAATACACATCATATATTGTTCAGAATATGAAATTGCAGGTACCGAGGAACCATTTGAAGCTTTTTTCTTTCCACTATTAATAATATTTGTTTTAAGCTCGGATGGAAAATACGTTGTTGGAGAGTGTTCAATGTATGGATTCGACTTTCCTGACAAAGCATATTGAATTTTAGAAATGTTTTCAATATGTGCTTTGCAAGATCTGACAGTCGAAAATATCTTCAAAACTTCTATCAAGTTTGGAAATTGAGGAAATTTTTTTGAAAATTCATGAATAACATGATCTGGAGGTGGAAACCAATCATTCTTGGGACACCTTCCCTCGTCATTATTATCAGGATTTTCATTAATTGCGAGTAATGTACTATAACTTATTTTAGGAATAATTCTCACAACACCCCAATCCACCAAATGTTGTACAAGTGACAACACAAAATTTAAGCTCAAGTTGGCATCTTTGGCAATCTCCCCTATGGTTTTTGTAGCATTGTTAAATAACCTTAAAATGGAATCGTTTCCTTGTAATTCTTGAAGACCGTCCACTGGTATTTTCAACTTGGGGAAATCATTCACAAAAATACATGAATTGTATGGTTTTACGCCTTCGCAACGTTTAGAAGTATTTGCTTGAAAAGGTTTGTTCTTAGAAAGAATGTCATACAGATTATATAATTTTCTCTCTTGTATATGATGAATTCTTTTTGGGATTCTATATCCCAATTCTATCCATCCATTCACTCGTAGTTGAAGAGGAGATGCAGATCTTATGGCATCCACGACAGTGATAATTTCTTTAGCAAGCTGACTTGACTCACAAGCTTTTAGAACTAGGTCTCTCCAATTCTTTCCTTGATCCTTTAATTTTCCAAGTAAATTTAATTGATCTAACACGTATCCACAACGTTGTTGCTCTCTTACATAGGATTTCATTAAAAGTGTTAAAAGATGACAAAATACACTTTCGTTATAATCTTCCATAACATGATTTGGAAAAACAAAGGCAATTGTAAAATGAGTATAATCACCTCCTGCTGAAACTAAATTCATCGGATTTGTCACACTAAAATCTGTTAGCTGATTAACTTTCCGAACCAAAATTGAAGCAGGTCTTGAGAGAAATAATAAATTATCAATAATTAAGGTCATAGATTTGTCAATAATATTACTTTTTGGGGGACAAAGCAAGTACGAAAGGGCAGCACTATTCAGTCCAAAAGCGTCTTCATATTTATCAACCACTTGTGGATGCGATACGAGATGCTGTGATGAATTTGCGGTTCCGACACCAGAAATATTTCCTGTATTTCCTATCGCTACACTAGAGGTTCCGCTACTATTAATTGTATTGGTTGTTGAATTTCCTAACGTTTGTTGTGCTTGTTCTGATGAATTTAAATTGTTTGTATTTACATTACTAGAAGATGGGTTGGTAATTGTATCGGAAGTTGTTATAGAGTGAGGATCATTTTGCACCATGCTTTGTTGTTGAAATATTAAATGTTCATCCGTCGGATACATAAAACTAATTTGTTGTCCTCTAATACCATTCACTACAACCAGTGCAGTGACTGGAAAGCCCTGTAAAAACCTAAACCGGTGTATACTTTGTTTTCTGTTGGACGATATATGATGGAAGGTGGCTGTAGGTGTGTTTTCTCCTCCGCCATTGTAAGAGGGTGATGAAGGTTTCATCGGAACATTTGTTACTCGTCCTATGGAATTGGATCTCGACCGAGAAATGATGCTCGATGATGACAACGAGGAAGAAGAATTAACAGAGGAGGCAACAGATGACATGGAAGTATCAATTCGTAGCATTTTTTCTTTTTTTATTACAATTAATTAGAAAGACCTTAATAATTTTGTCCAATAGTTTTCATATATTCTTCAAATCGAGTGTTTCCTTCAATAATGCCAATATTGCAAGAAATTTGATCTGCTTTTTTCTTGTCATATTGCATTGCAATGTTCCTAGCTTTGTGAAGCATCTTGACAGCCAAATCTCCTTCTCCTTTTTTCGAAGCTAAAATTCCAAGTTGTTGGTATGCCTCACCTTCTCCCACTGGATTATTGAGCGTTTCAGATAGAGATAAATGTTTTTCCATACAAGTTTGGGCAGTGACTAAGTCGCCTTGTTCTTTGCCAAGTATTCCTAGATTCGCGAGAGCTATACTTTCTCCTTGCTTGTCGCCAATTTTATGAGCTTGTTGATAAGCCATTTTATAATTGTCAGACGCATTTTCATAATGACCTAGTTGCTGAAAGATAATTCCCATGTTGATATTACTAACTACCTGGGCTTGAGGTTCCGAAATGTCCCATTGCATCATGTGATATTTAAGTGCAGTGTTTAAATTTTCTGTGCCTCCCATTCTTTGGTACAGTACTCCAAGACAGTTTAAAGCTAGACACTGAGCCATTTCATCTTTTAGTCCTTCATTGATTGCTAAAAATCTTTCATAATGCGGAATCGCCGAAAGATCGTCGCCAAGTTCTTCGTATTTGTTGGCAATTTTGTAGTGAATGAGCCCCTCCATTTTCAGTCGTCCAGCACGGCTACAAGCTTCTGCCATCATCTTCATATCTTTGATCATGTTTTTCTTTGAGTTATTACCACCATGAGAATTTACAAGAGAAACAGGTGACATTCGAATTTGACTCGGATCATATTGAAGCCGCAGTGGCTCTAATGTGGAAGAAATAACTGCTTCACTGTGGATCTCTTCTTCTCGTTTGTTTTCATAATTCTCCCATTGTGACAGTTTTTCAGCATTCAACTTTGATTCTTGGGGTATCGTCGATTTAATTGAGCGACTGCTGAAAAAACCTGGATTTTGCGTGGTTCTTGATGATGAAAGGTTTGATCTTGAATATCCAGCAGATTTGGCCCTCTGATTTAATCTTTCAATGTACTGGAACCCCCTTACAAAGGTGTCAGTTTCTTCCCTAGCAGTTTTGCCTAATTGCAGCGAAGGTATCGAAACACCCTCCTTGGAGCTTCGTGCTGTTTTTGTTTCAGGCATGGATTTCTTAAGTGTATCGAATTGTTGGATGGGAAATATTTGGGATGACATCGTTGAGGTTGTATTGGTGTTACTAGATGAAGGAAATAATTTGGAGGTGGCAATTTGAGAGGATTGATGAGTCGGAGATAAAGAAGGGAGGTTTTGGGCAGTATTTGGCGATATAGCGTTGATTTTCTCAAAACTCTGCCTAAGAAGGGAATACCCTGCTTCCTCCTCTTCTTTTTTCTTCTTCTCCGAGCTGAACAAATTTTGAGAGAGCTTGAGCCTTAGCGACTCAACTGAAACGTAGTCTTGTCGAGGCGTGATTCCGTTCTGGTTGTTTTTTGGAGAGGATGTTGGTTTTTCGTTATGAGATTTTCTGAACATGCCAGACGATAATCGAGAGGCCGATAATTTTGCTTGAGTACTCGATGATGAGGAAGGCTTGTTCCTTTTGTGGGAAATGGTTCGAATGGCAGTTGGTGATGATGTGTGTTGAGTCATTTTTTCTTTACAGTTTTTATCTCGAACTAACCGTTAGAGATAACAGACGTCAACTCAACATGTTTCTTTCGTCTTCCATATCGGACTCATCTCGGAGTGGTCTTGAAGCTTGCATCAATAATATTTTTATTTAAACTATTTACTCGTTCAACTTGAGAGTAAAATCTGCATTGAGAGGGATTTGAGGTTTTTTGATCGTTAAAACACCATCCGTGTAAGTGAATTGGGGTGAGGTCATTAAATCAGTTGGCTGTTCCAGAGTGGATGGATAAATAATGCTAATACTACTTGGTTTGGAGGCTCCATAGATAATAATTCTTTCAATGACATTTGATACTTTTCTTGATCCAGCACTGGATATTGGATTTGCCTTTTGATTGTAAATTAGATTAGACAGATCTCCCTCCATTGACTTTAGTTCATTGTTGGAGAAACTGAATTGGCGATACAAATAGTCTCCAGTCTTGTATTTGAAGGAACTGCCATCATCCAAGTATAGTGTTCCAAGAGCTTCGCCCTTTCGGTTCAAAGCAATTTTAAGTGTAAATGGATCATTTGCCATTTGTTGAGAAGATCTTCTAAGTCTTTGTTGAGTTGGAATAATACTTCCACCTCTTTGGAACACTGGGATGCTCTTTTCCAATGATGTTGACACACTTATTAATTTTCCTCTTCCAGCATCGAACTTTTCACCAGTTTCATAGTCATACCATAATCCCTTTGGAAGATAGACTGCCACGTCTGACGTTGCCTTTGTCACAACTGGTTTAACCAACAAGTCAGAACCAACCAAGAAAGCATCATCAATTGAATGGGTCGTAACATCATTTGGATATTCCATGAAAAGAGGACGAACATATGGAAGACCACTCAACATGGATTCAAAAGCCAAAGTATAATAGAAAGGAAGGAGAGAATATCTTCTTGCAATTGCCTTTCTAATTAATTGAGTATTATAGTCCCCAAATAGCCATGGTTCTCTTCTCTTTGTTTCAATATGAGCATGGGCTCTAAAGAATGGATAAAAAGCACCAGCTTGATACCAACGAACCAAAAGCTCTTCTTCTGGATTTCCAAAGAATCCACCAACATCGGCGCCAACAAATGGCATACCGCTGATACTGAGAGCAAGAATCATTGGTTGTGCAATATCTAAATGAGTCCACTCCGCCATATTATCACCTGTCCATTTGGCAACATATCTTTGTGAACCTGCGAAAAGTGATCTTGTCAAAATGAAAGGACGATCTGATCCTGCTCTTCTCTTCATATGTCCATCATTTGTGGCTACTCCATGATAGAACCCATACATGTTATGAATTTCACGATGTCTTAAATTTTGGTAATGCAAAGCATTCTTATCCATTGTAATCTCAGGTCCAGAGAAAACACTTGGTTCATTCATATCAATCCAAGTATAAAGATTTTCGGTAGAACCTTCGTACTTATCAAAGCTAAATAAGCTAGCATAATAATCTCTGACAGTTGGATTCACAAAATCAAGCCATGAAGAAGATCCAGGCCAACAGTGTCCTTCATAATCTCCAGTACCCTCTGAATTTTTAACATAATAACCATTTCTTGTTGCTTCATCATGTACAAAATATCCATGTTCACGCTTAATATGAGGATCTGAAATTGTAACCATCTTTCTTCCCTTGCTTGCTAAATCATCTTGCATTTGTTTTGGGTTTGGGAATGTGTGAGAATCCCATGTAAAGTACTTCTTTCCATCAGTGTGCTCAATGTCAAGCCACAATACATCATAAGGAATATCATATTCATCAAATTTTGCATTGACATTTCGAACATCCTCTTCATCCTTGTAATTCCATCTACATTGATGATGTCCAAGAGAAAATCTTTGAGGAAGAGGAGCTGTACCAGTTAAATAGGAAAATTGTTTAGAAATATCTTTTGGTGTTGGTCCTGGAAGGAAAAATACATCTAAGACACCTGTTTCAGAAATCCAATGAGAGGAATATTGAGCTCCTTTGTAAATATCTACAAATGTTTCGGATGGATTCAAAACAAAAACACCGGCTGCTGCTTTTTCTGTTAGAGAGTATAGCAAAGGGATTGCTCCATAAAGACCAATTGGATTGTTCAATTCATATTCAAAAATATCCAAATTGTAAAGTCTATATGGTTCGGTCAGAGAGTTGTCACCCTCCCTTGTTGGATTAAGAGCTAACCTCATTGCTCTTTCAGGTAATCCATACAAATGGTTGGATCCTACATGAGTGAAATCCATTCCAATTGCACTTTCTCCGTCTATGTGGGAAAAAAATTATTGATGTATGATCGCTGACGTTTTGATTGTGACAACTTACCATAACTTTCGTTCTTTTCCCTTAATACATTCTCGACAGTCAGCATATTATTGTCGTTGAAAATAATAACATCTTCTCCATTTACTTTGAAGGTAATTTTCATTCCGTCATCTCTATTCTCCAGCAATAATTGAGAATTTCCTACTTCAATTTAGCATTCGACCAATCAAATAATAAAACCTACCATTTGTGAGAGTGATGGTCGTGCTCCTGTCAGATAATGCAATCTTTGAAGCTGAACCAACAATAACATCTTTCACGTTGTATCTATTTTGGAGTTCAGTTCCAGGCTCAACCTTTTCTTGAATTTTAATTCTGAAAATTCCATTCTCGTAGGCTTCAATTACAAGGAGTAATGGATCAAAATTACTACCCTCCTCTTTGCTTTGAAGTACAGCTGAATACACTCCATTCACTACTTTAGGTTCCGTAATCAAATATTTGGATTTTTTAGACATGCCTCTCAAGCGTTTACAAAATCCCTTCTGATCGCAGTTTTCAAACTTTGATTTATCCATGGCTCTTGCTGCATGCGCCAATAATAAAACTATCGCTGCACCCAACAACATCAATACAACAAGAACGGATCGGAATGATGATGAAGGTGTCGCACGAAGCGAGGCGAATCGGAAAACATCTTGTGTTGTCATTTTTTCGGCACCTCTTTGAAAACACGTGTGTTTACAATCCACAAGACGAATATATGATGATGAACAAGGAGGTTCTCACTACCAGTAAATTCATGGAACAGAATAATAATAGCCAAGGAAACACACTCATCATAGAGCAAGAGGTTCCTTTTGAAGAAGAAACTTGATTATTGCTTATATTCATCAAAAAGAAATTCAAAAAAAAATAATCTTCACTGTGCTTGTCATTTGTGGCTCAATGAATGAAGGAGAAACCATCTCAAACTGCACAAACATCAAATGAAAGATATCATCCCTACAATGAAAGTAATACGAAAGCCAATGGTCGTTCAACACCAAATCATGTCAGTAAAATAGTAGATAGTCATGGCCATTCTGATCGGATAGCCTCTTTATCGGAGGTTCCACAAAATGATCACCAACCAACACTAAATGTATCAATGATGGATGATGAACAATTAGATGAATTGAACGTTTCTCATCGAATTTATTCTATTCACGAAGATATAACTTCAACACCAACGCCTGAAGAATATATTTCAGATTTAGCTAAATTTGATAGTCCCTCTCAGGATATTGTAATTTATATGTGTGGCCAATTAATTCCATATGATATCATCATGTACATTCTTCGATTCTTAGATTTAAGAAATATTGTAATGGCAAGGTTATTGAGCAAAAAATTATGTCAACAAATTGAAGAAGATAGAAATGGAATCCTTTGGAAGCATGTTACGAAAAGACATGAATGGCTCTCAAATTTGTATAACAAGAATTTAATTTTAATGTTAAACAAAAGAAAGCACAAATGGATGAGATTCTTATCGATATTTGCAGAGAATGAATGTGAATGGGAAAATTCTCCCAATTACCATGAGGATGTTGCAAACAAATTGATTCTTTGTAGCAACCCATTTGAAGCTTCAGAAATAGTGCAAGGAAAAACTATTTCCTCAACAACATCAAAAAAATATACAGCATTGATGATGGACGAGTTGAAAAATGTTAGTTGTGCTTCGAGCTATCCAATCACATGCAATACTGTCAAGTTTTTTGAGGTCACTGTAGACAAAAAAAGCTTGGATTGGAATATTGGAATTGGGCTAGCTCAAAAAGATTTTCTTCTATCTAAGAGAAAATTCGTTGGTTTTAACGCTCAAAATTTTGGCTATTCCTCAAATGGTTATATGAGACACTATTGCACACGTACTCAAAGCAATTATGTTCAGCATGCAGGCTTTCCATCTTATGGTAGGTTCTGGTTTTTAGATTTTAGTATGAAAATTAAATAGTTTAATTAAGGCTCTGGAGACAGGATTGGAATCTTGGTGGACATGCCCAGTGGAAATATAAACATTTATTTAAATGGGAGATACTTGTACAAATTTGAGAAAGTTTTATTGGACCACCAAATACCACTTCGCGTGGTGGTGACTCTTCATAAGCGATGTGATCAAGTAACACTATCACATCAACAAGATTGCATGTTTGATGTTGATTCTCTTGTACAAATCTATGACTCCGTCGAAGAGAGCTTTGAATTTTACATGAACGGGTTAAAGAAAGCAAAAGAAAATTTCATGAACCAGGTCCATCACTTACTGTCTACATGTGACAGAGTGGAAGTTTATGAGATGCTTACATCTCTAATAAGCACCAAACTCTTCGGCTATTCGGAAAGATAGTCAATCGTGTAAGGACGCTACAAAGAATCGACGTCAATAATTTATTTACACTAGGACTGAGTGTGAATGGTTGTATTATTCAAGTGTATTTGATCAGCTCAGTTTTGGTGTTAGTCCTGATGGGTTCTAGGTACATTGAAAGGTTGTGGATAAAAGTTTTTGACAATGAAATAATTAATATAAAACACCAAGGCCTCTTCGACCATTGTCAAAACCCAATAATTGACCCACGTGATCACAGTATATTGTATGAATAGAGAAATTACAGGACCAATCAGATAAAGTAGAAATGCCCAACGAAAAGCTCTATTTACGGGTATTAAAGTGCATTTCAACATTCCTCAAGTACTTACTTGTACTTCTTCATTTTGATGAACACCTCACTTTGATTGTCATTGCTAAATTGTTGTTCTGCTGATTGAATTCTGAGCTTGTCAATCGTTTGATTCTAGTATTATGTCGATGTTAATAGGTCCTTTTGAGCAAATTCCATGAGAAAGAAACATACCATTGCAATAATAGCTCCAAATGTTATGACAAATTTGAGTAATTTGAACGAAAGGAAGAAAATGTAGCAAATAGAAGATCCATTACAGAAAGCATAGAGCAATCTTGAACCAAAGTATCCTATAAAACAGGCAGAAAATAATAACCTGACTTTAGGATTCATTCCCTCGTCTGTGATAGAATATCCTAGTGATAACAAAAATAATATTAATAAGAAAGATGTTTCTCCAAACGTTCCAATCACAGAGAGTGTAATATCCAAAGCGTCCGAAATTTGTCCAATTACGTTCATGTATTCAAAATATGTAAATACAGAAGAATAACTGATAATTTGTAACACAATTCCAACAGCAATAAGTATTTGAAGGCGATAAATATGTCTTCTACTTTTCAAAAAGAAAAATAATAAATAAATAAGTAATCCACCATGAGCAACCATGAGAACAAAGAAAAGTAAAATATAAGGATGTTTTTGCGTGCTCAAATGTTGTCCATTTGGATTAATTAGCTCTAGATCAACTTTGACATTAATGTCTGTTTTCGGACTATAAGGATCGCATTTCAGCAGTAAAAAAGAATAATGTGTACTTGAGTCAACCACAATAGATTTCGAAATTGAGAAGGTTTGATCTGAAATCTCTAAATTTCCAACGTTTCCAATGCTGGGTGACGATAGAATAGCATCACTATTTTGAGATGTAACTGGAACTCTCTTTGTTTTGAATTCAAGTAACATAGTGTTGTCTTGATGAAAAACATACCAAAGTTGAAGGCACATCACATAGATACTGTGTATAAATTGCATCGGTGTCCCATTTTGCAGAATTGAGCACAAACCAAAAACTGAAAGGTATCATGACGAATACAAGATTGGAAGAATCGGCTGACTACCATTTTACAAAGTAATAAGTAATTTCCAGGGAGTATGATAACGTACGGATTTTGTGGTTATATTTACTTTCATGGTTCCTCCATTCAAAAATCCAAATCCCGAGCTTTCTAAGTCTATTACATTAGATTGAGTTCCGGGAGAGATCGAAAACGATTTGCTCGTATAAATACATAACACATTATCATTTATCATTAACATGGTTATCATCATGGCACACATGAGACCAATCAGTGAAATTTTCAAAGGAATACAGCAATTTGAAGGTGTTCTGTTGTGGAGGGCAAACCTCCGATGATGGGAGAATGGGTTCCACATTTTTCTTTTGAAAGAATTAGGAAGCAGGATTTATGGAAGTCTAATTGAACATGACTTTGATTCCAAGTGTGTGTTTGGAATGAAGCAAAACCAATGCAAGCATCAGTGGTGGCTGTCTCAAAGAATACAACGCTGCTTAGTTTTCAAAATTCAACTTTTGACTCATCCAAAACAACCGAGCAGGATTTCTTCTTCCTTGCAACAAAAAAAATAGAACTCTTCGTGTGTTTCTCTACCCTTCCCATTTTCAGATCTGGTTGAACATCAAAGGAGAGAGAGACATGCAACTGCACCACGTATTTTTATGTCAAAATGGTTTTCCTTTTCCAATATTCCAGGCCCTACAAAAATATGTGATGACCTTCCTAGGTACACTCTGTCAGTTATTTCGGCCGACAAGAGTGTACATGAAACAATGAAACAAACTAAGTACTTAGGACATGAATTTTTGTTGGGATGCACTTGTTCCGTCTCAAGTCCTGAAAGGACAACGGACCAATTGATTGGTTGAGATGGGTCTGCTCCAAAGAATGCAATACAATTGCACATCTTTAACCTCCTTAATTCTTTAACGTGTTGATATCAACCGAGAATCTGTTTGCTAAAACTTGGACCATTGATTGTATGGATATTATGATTTATTACGAGAGAGTTATTTGAAAAAATCGAGAAGTCTCTCAGCTCCCGTTGGAAAAGCCTTCCAACAGTTATTATTATTGTTGGCGGAAGCAAACCCTTGAGCAGGCACTAAAAAAATTCAATCATCAAAAAAATACTACAGATGGCTCCGTCATCAGAGACAACTCCAAGCGCAGCTACCGAAGAAGAATCACAAATGTCCAATCAGAATCATGATGGAGCAATGATGGTTGGTGGTGATGACGAAGAATCAAGTGCTCCCACTGAATCAAATACGCACGATGCCAATTCAAGGAATGTTGTGCTGAGTCAATCAAGTAAGTGATATTCACCGTTCATCATGATGCTAAACGGATGATGGATATTGAAGTACTAGATATCGTGTCCACGAATTTTGAAGTTGAGAGCCTTCCTGGTATTATTCTACGAGGTTGTGATAATAACACCGAATGGACAATGGAAGAATTAGATCAACTAACAAAACAATTTCAAATCATGTATACAAACGTAAGCAAGAGGATGAAGAAAATAATTGAACAAATCAGGAAAGTCGATAGAGAATTAGAGAAAAAAGGAACAGGTATTCCTTCAAATGCAAACTCTTCTAGTAAGAAGAGAAAACAAATGGATGATGAAGATGATGATGACGATGATGAGCAGCCATCGAAACCCACCACAGTCACCCCGACAGCAAGAAGGTGTTTCTCTCCTCTTCAATCACGAAAGAAGAACGACTATAATTCAACAGCATCATGGGAAAAGTATACAAAACGGAGTAATAGGGGCAACATCAACATCATGGCTCCCGTGTCTCTCAGATACAACAACAACTTAGCAGCAACCATGGCAAATTGCCATTGTCAAGCAAACTTGGCATCAAAAAACATTTTCCATACGCCGCCTCTGATGAATTCTTCCCAAAAACAAAAGCAGGATCAAGTTCAATTATCAGGACTTTTGCTGGCAGCTGCATCAATCGACAGGAACAAGATCAACGAATCAAACTATTCTAACAACAAAGTAGAACCATCAAGCACCTCCCTCATCTCCTCTGAATCAACAACAACTACTATAATCAACGCTTCTTCAAATAATGTACCATTATCCTCAACAACAGAACATTCAAACACAAGCAATGATCTTCAACACATATCACCATCGAATTTAACATTAGAACCGAGATATGCATCTGACAACAACAACAATGTAAATCTGACACTTCCTCCTCTTTCGTCAATTCAAACATTGAATGATTCTTCTCATAGTAGCTATCCCTACACTTGATGATAAAGAGCATAAAGAAGAAATTCACTTTCCAAATGCAACTCTGAATTGCTTTAGCGAATGATTTATTATTTACATTGAAAACTCTTCCGTAGAGTTGTTCATTTCTTCTTCTAATGGTGCATGTGTTGGGTCATACCGCAACCTCAATGCTTTAAGAAACCAATGATGCTTGATACCTGGTGGCTTACTTTTGGCAAAAACGTGAAGAGCTTCATCAATTGAAAGATGCTTTTCACTTATGAGATAAGCACAACAAATAAAACCAGTTCTATTGAATCCATATGAGCAGTGCACTCCAATGTAGTGTGATGGAAACTCTTTAAAGAAATCATTTATCACACGATTGAAGTCTGTTTGTTGCTCAAGACCAGGAATTTCCTTTGCCACAAGTCTCACTTTGATATAGTGCAAGGGCTCAGTTTCCGTATTATCAGCAAGGGATTTCATTTCCTCGGAGAAACTATCGTAAATGGATGGCTTTCTGGCATGTTTAGCCGTGACAATGAACCTCAAAAATGTGTCTTTTCTTGCTTCACTCTCAAACGTAAGCTTATTCAATTCGGACAAAAACTTTTCTGGATATTTTGGCACACAAACATTATCCACATCATATATACAATCATGATTGGATAAATCGACAATTCCAGCAACAGCATAGCCTCTGTTAGGGTGAATCGACCATTGAATGATTAGGACAAATCATTTCATGAAATGTATTTCAAGTCAAAGTACTACTAACTTTTTCAAATTGCCGAACAAAAAGTCTTCAGATGTAAAGGGCCGCCACTTTTTAGCTGATTCCAGAAATTTGGTTTTAATGGGCGTTTTTAAAGGAATAATATGTGTTGGTTCTAAAGGTGTTCCATAGTTGTCTAATTCTGACCATTTGGAAATCTTTTGTAGTACATTATGGCGAACATTTGCAGTGGTCGGAGAAGGAGTGTCATCATTCATTGCGACACCATTATCCTCATTGTTGGTAGTTGGTGTTGATGATGACTTATCTGAAGAAGAAATTGTTGATACATTTAAAGGAGGAAGATTCAGTTCAAAATTTCCTCCGTTATTGTTGCTGTTGTTGTTGTTTAATGAATCTGTTTCCTTGGCTGGAGGAGTAGTCGGAGAAGAGCCATTGCTCTCTCTTCTCTGATGAAGTGAAGATGTATTTACTCTGAGCAGTTGTGAAGAAGACTTCTGTTGAGATGAATGAACACAATCATCATGATGCATTCGACAGAATTTCTTTTCGTCGTGATGATCATCACAAAAAGAACTATTTTCATGAACACAGTCATTGTGTTGACCGTTTATGGTACTACTACTATCCACCATAGCATTGTTGCTGCAATTATGAGATGATGATTCTTGGTGATTGCATTCCAAACACAACCCATTGAAAGAATCCAATTCTTCATGATTCCCACAACACGCACTTCCTCCGTTACTCTCGAGAGTAACCTCGGATGAACTTGGTGCGTGATGATCCGATGGTGAGATATTGTTCGTATCAGTACTCACACTGGCATTCTCTTTCTGGAGGTGCTGGGTGAGGTAGGTGGTGGGTGCTGTTATTATTGTTACAGAGGACAACGACGACGACGATGATGGAAGAATTTGCGTCGATGAAATGGAGGGTTGGTGCATTTTTTTGGAATAGGATTTGATGATGATGATTCTGAGTGGTTGTTGTTGTGCAACTTCTCATGTTCTAGATGGACATCCAGTGTTGAACTGAACGGACATCTCTCCCAGTCTTCGTGCATGATGAATGCCGTTGGCGAACATCTGTGGAAGTAAGCAAATGGATCAAAAAATGGAGAAACTTGAAAGGCTTGCCTCACACATGACCTTGTACGATTGGGAATCAGGGGAGAAGACTACTTGCCCGATTCTTTCTTCTATTCATCAAGAAGAAAGCAATCAAAACGAGAACACCACAAATTCATCAATGATGAATAGAAGAAGAGATCTTTTAATTCCAAATACAATAGTACCTGCGAGTCCTATTCGCACTGTACATTTATTATCAATGAAATCTACAGAAATTGTGGATCCTCCTTTCAATGATCAGCCATCCATGCTTCCATATGACCCTCAGCTTTCGGAAGGAGTTGAAAATGATGATCGATGTTTTTGCATTGATTCTATTCTTTCGAAAGACGAATGTGAACAGTTAATTCAAGCAACAGAACAACTTGGATATCAAGATATTGATAAAGAGTATTTAAAAGAATATAGAAATAGTCAACGAGTGTTAGTGATCAGCAAGAAGCTTGCAAATTTATTGTGGGAAAGAATAGTGTAGGTTGTGAAATAATAATACGACATAATTATTGGCAAATAACTGTACACGTAGCCCTTTTATCAAGTTATCCGATTATGAAGGAGTAAAACCATATGGTTTTGACAATAAGGGTAAATGGAAACCCATTGGTATAAATGAATGTCTCAGATTTAACAAATACTCTGAAGGGACATTTTTCAAACCTCATATGGTAAGTAACTGAATGAATTCATCATTTACAATATGTTTTGAAAATTAATCCACACAAAAGGATGCTCAATTTATCAGAAATGACAATGAAAAAAGTATTTTCACAATACTCATCTATTTGGATGACACATCATATGGCACCAATCTGCTGAAAAAAGTATCACCAAATGGAATCAATAATATCATGAGCTTTAGAGTGCTTGGCTGTATTTCACCCAAGCGTGGTACTGCTGCCATATTTAACCATGATCTATATCATGAAGGAAATACTGTTCTTCACGGAAGCAAATATGTATTGAGAACGGAGTTAATTTTCAGAAGAGTGGATTCCACCAACCTTTACAGAGATAATTTCAAAAATTCAAAAGAATATTTAGAAATTAAAAGATTAATCGATGAGAGTGATGAATTGGAAAAACAAGGTAAAATCAAGGAATCGACAGAAAAGTACATGTTAGCTCATGAACTCCAAGTGAACATCTCACACTCGATCAAATCAAAACCAAAGAAATTGAGTCATCTTGAGAAATTGCTTCCAGAAGAAATATTCGCCTTAATCTTTAGTTTCTTAAGACCTTGGGAAATTTGTCAAAACATTCTTCACATCAACTCAACAATCAACTCGTATGCAAGAAATGAATTACTGTGGAAGAAATTGTATGAATCTAACTGGCCAACACACACTCAAGCAATTGTCACACGGCCTTCCAACATTTACATGAGTTATTATAATAGTTATAAGTCCGTTCCTGCAGAAAAGTTGGAACCATGTATTTGCACAGAAAACCAATTAATTTCCAAATATCAAAGCTTTTCCATTTATGGTGAAAAGGATTGGTATCATGCTTTTATCACACGTTCAAACATGGATTCGTTCTTCTGCCCGGTAATACTTGCCCCTGGAATTCATTATTATCGCTATGGATTAGCGAATGAAAACAGTTTCTTTACAAGTCGAAGTTTATGTCTTATTCCAAGCTATGGACACTTTTCATTTGTTGGATATGGTTATGATGATTTGATTTTTGGAGATAAAGTGAAAATGAGATCTCTTGGAAAAGAGAAACCTCTATTTAGAAAAGATGGAAGTATTGTATCAATGGAAAATTTTGCTTACCTTATCAATCAACTGTATGACGAAGATTTAAGCGTTTCATATGAAGAACATCCTCTAATGATTTGTGTTCCTCCCTCTTGGACTGAGAAAGAAAAGATTGAACTTAAAGAATATTTGGTAGGTGAAAGTTTATCTTTTGTTGTTGATTGACTCAATGAATCCTATGATTGTGAACAATTATTCAAAGCTTACATCCATGCCTATTCCAGCAATTGCCATGATCGACTGTTCAACTCTTTTATCATTGTACTACCAAGCTCCAACATGCTTGATCATTGATTTAGGTCCATCTGGTGTGAAATGCTCGATGGTGGTGGACAACAAAGCTCAACGAGATAAGGATGTAATATTTACCCCTGATGTCAAGCAGGAAATGCAAAAATTACGAAAAATTAGATTTAGTGATGACTTTGCTAAGCAATTCTTGAAAATTGCAATAATACCACCCCAATCTGAGAATGTCAATTCCGCTGAATATAAGAAATTTGTATCAGGCGTCCCTCCTTACATTCTTAAATATGATTATGGAAGCGAAACCACGATTATTGGTTCTATCAGAGTGCAAATAGGAGAATGGTATTTCAACCAAATTATTTCACACATAGAGGAATTTTTAGCCAGTGTTTTTAGGCTAGAAGATCACAAGTTGAGAAATTTACTCCTTTCAAATATTATTGTCGTGGGTGGATTCTCTTGTATCAAAGATATTCGCCATAGACTTTCACATAGTTTGCAATCCTGGGCTCAATCAATTTTTTCAGTAGACTCACCTCCAATTTCAGTAACCTTCCAACAAGAAAAACCCAAGCCAACTTCAGAAAAGAGTGGAGAAGAAAAGCGAGCAAGGAGAGATGCTGATATGGACGTAATACAAGGAGCTAAAATATTGTGCAGCCTTAGCAATGGAAGAGAATATTTCGAGAAAAATCCAAATATGGAGATGTAAAAATGAAATTATTTCAAAAACGATCACTCAGCATCAAAATCTCCGTTGATATTCCACGAGATCTTTCGAATAAAGTGTTAACAGCTTATTAACAATAGTCTTTTTATTATGATTTACTTGGAAGTGGCAGTTGGAGCCTTGACATTCTTGCTTCGCATTTGAGCCTTCATCATTTGCTTCTGGGCCTTTTGTTGTTCCTTTCTTCCGGCTTGCTCAGTCTTGTTTTGCTTCTTTTGAGCCTCCTTGGTTGAAGCTCTGATCTTTTCTCTTTGTTGTTGAGTTTGATTCTTTTGAGCCTTGATGAATTCAATAGAAGCACCGGCAATACCTCTTTCAACTCTGGCAACTCTTCTCTTCTTGTTCTTCTTGAGTTGTTCAACGCTTCCCTTCTTGTGTTGTCTTCTGTAAAGTTGAGTCCATCTGATTTCTCTTGGGTTTCTTCTAATCAAGAAAAGATGGAGGGACTTCTTTGAGACGAAGGTGAAGACAGGTCTAGTGCTTTGCACGTTGGTGCAAGGAACATATCTAACACCGTGTCCTGGGTAGATCTTGTAACCGGAGAACAAACAAACGTCAGTCTTGATGACCATTTTCTGAACAATTATGTTATTGGACCACGAGAAATAAACGAAACTTACAAGGTGTGGGCTTTGTGGCTATTTTTTTCGAACGAATTTTTAAAAAAATTTTAGTCAACCAACTTTACAATGAAATTTTTTGCTCCTCGAGAGTAAAGAGTAAATGTATACTCTTTTGATATGTCCTTTATCTTTGTGATAAATAATTGTGTTGTATGACGTTTGACTGAGCTTGAACTCGATGAACTCTGATAAATCTTCCTCCTCAAACCTTGTCACTCGATCATCCAACCAAACAAATCACCACAAGCCTTCTCGTATCCCTTTAAAAAAAATGAGTTACCCAAACAATGATGATTTCCTTGCTGATTCGATTCATGATGAAGAGACCAACAGTGGAACACAAGAAAAGATTGGACCTTTTATTTTGAAGAAAACTCTCGGAGAAGGATCAACAGGAAAAGTCAAGTTGGCTATCCACAAGGATACAGGTGATAAAGTTGCGATCAAAATTATCAACAAGAAAATTCTAACGCACAAACCTCATTTGAAGAAGAAGGTGGAAAGAGAAATAGCTGTCATGAAAATGATTCGTCATAAACATATCATCAGACTGTATGATGTGTTACAAACAAAAAAGTATTTATTCTTGATTATGGAATATGTAGAGGGCGGAGAATTGTTCGATTACATTGTAGAGAGAGGAAGACTTACTATTGAAGAGGCCTTCCATTTCTTTAAACAGATTATTCTTGGAGTTGAATATTGTCATAAACAATTGATCTGTCACAGAGACTTGAAACCCGAGAACTTGTTACTAGACAGATATAAGAATATCAAGATCGCCGATTGTAAGTTTGAAATCTTTTCAAATATTTTAATTTGTGTTTAATTACGTGATGATTAGTTGGTATGGCTTCGCTCATGGAGGAAGGAAAATTGTTAGAGACCTCTTGTGGTTCTCCTCATTAGTAAGTATTGAAATTATTGATTCATTTGTCATCAAACATTCCAAATAGTGCGTCTCCTGAAATAGTCAGAGGATTAAAATATAACGGAATGGAAGCTGATATTTGGAGTATGGGTGTTATCCTCTATGCTCTTCTCACAGGAAGATTACCTTTTGATGATGAGACTTTGCATGTCCTTTTAGCTAAAGTTAAGGAAGGAAAATATGAAATTCCTCAATTTTTAGATGAGGATGTTCGTGACTTAATTTCTAAAATGTTGAAATTAAATCCTTCCGAGAGAATCACCATCAAAGGAATTAAAAACCATCCTTGGTGGAGAAAAATGGAAAAGAAGATGAGTCTTGTAGAACAAACTCTTCATCACACTTCATCAAGCGAAGAAATCTCTCAACAAGATGCTATTCAAGAAAAGCTTCTCCAACACAAATTGGAAAATTCTGGAGCTTCTTCATCTGAAGTGACTACAGAAAACAATGTTCAAGAAACAACTATTACTCCTGAAAACATTGAGCCAACAGACCAAGATGTAGATTCTACTCCAAAGAAAGAAGAGGAATACATGGTTCAATTGGATGAAAATTCTATTGATCCTGAAGTTTTTCAGTCTACTCTTGAAAAGACGGGCTTGACAGAACAAGCTTTGAAGGAGGCGCTTATGGCACCAGAGTAAGTTATTGATTAATCTAAATATTAATTAACCCAAATAGGAAAAATCTCGAAACTGTATTGTACAACCTTATTTTACAATACAAACGTGAGTTGGGAACAGCACAAACAAACGTTTTTAACACTTCAAAATATAGGTATGTTTCTGTAAAGAATTTCAGAAAACTTAATTTTTGTGCAGTGTTGGACCATGTAATCCTCTCACAGTACCTGTAGATAAGGCAGCAGAACTGAGAAAAAGGCTGCAAGAAGCAAATGGTGAAGATATTGAACAAGAACCTGTTAATGAGCCGTCTGGAGAAAAGGAACAAACTGGTATTAAATGGTTTGCGTTTTGGAGAAAGAAAAAGACCAGCCAGAAAGATGACTCCTCAAAAAAGAAACAAACTCCATCACAGTATGGCCTTCATAGTAGAAAAACTCAAAGTGAAATTTTAGCTGAAGTGACTCGTGTTTTTAAAGTTTTGCATATTCAATTTGAGAAAGCTTCAGAATCAACTGTAAGATTTGGATGTACATTCCCTGTAATTAAGCAAGGTGAGCAAGGTGACACAGTAATTGGAGAAAAGCAAGTCATCATGGACATGACAATGAGCGCATTGGAAAATGATGGATTTGTTTTGAACTTTACTTTGGTTTCAGGAAAAACCTCTGATGCTCGTATTTTGTTTGACGCTTTGCAAGATGAAGCAGAGCTTTAAAATTTTATTGAAAGTTTGATTGACCCCAAGTGGGATCGGCCATCAACATGACAAATGAAGAGCTTTAAAATGTTGCGCTCTTTCGATATGTGTTTCCTCAAAGGAATTGCAAATTCAACACTCTTGTAAAATAAAAATGAAGTCCCTCTTCACTCCGATATCTCACTGTTGTGCAGCAGTGCTCGGAACGAATATGAAAGCAAGAGTGGGTTTAAATGTTCAGTGGTTGTTATTAAATTCAATGACGACAATTCATACTACGTCAGGAATTGCGACAAGATTCTATTCATCAACCATCACCATTGGAGAAAATAACAAAATTGAACAGAACAATTTTACATCCAACCAAAATTTGAAACAATCAAAATTAATATCATCATCACCTCCGAGATCTCATCCCATAAGCCAATCTACGATACAATATATATCCAAGCATTGGAATACTCTCAATTTTCTTCTTCGGTTTGATTCTGCTTCCATTCTTTCTCTAGCTTTGAGTCCACCAAACATTCAAATGTTCAATTTTCTAATTTGCACTTGCGTTCAGAACGGAAACCTTTCATTGGCAAAGAAGATATTTTCTCAATTTAAGCATACTTTTACAAAAACTAACATTGATACAAAGTCAAAGTATTTTCTTAATCGAATAATTGTGGCCTTATTGAAGCGGTCTCTTAAATCGAGCGACTTTTCAATTGAGGAAGCCGAAGAATACTTCTCTTATTTAGAGAAATTGGGTTGTGTCACCAATCGCTCACTTATTACAATGTTAGAAATGTATAGAACGGCGTTCGAGATGGAGAAAGCATTCAAATTGGCAGATAGATATCATGCAAAATTCCACAATGACCTATCAGGAGTTCTAGTATCTCGAATTATTTTGATTTCCTCAAAGTTAGGAAATAATGAAAAAAGAACTGAATACGGAAATAAGTATTTGAGTTGGTTGAATCCGAATGCAACCATTGAGGCGAAATCCATGTGCTATGAAAATCTCATCGCTTGTTATTTACATAATCCCCACAAAACTCTTGAAATTCTAGTGCATATGGAACAAAATCACATGATAATTTCAGATAAGGTGAAGGAATTCTTTTTCCTACAATATGAAATTAAGAAATTGAGAAGAGAGAATTCTGAATCGTCGTCATCATCCAAAATCTGTCTATCAAATAAGAACGTGACTCATGAAACGTTCAAGAATGATCCTCCCTCAACTTCATTCACCAAATCATCCTCCTTTGACGAATCAGACAACCATCAGCGCCACTCACTAGTGTCACATATTCTACAAAATGATCGCTTTTGGACAAGTTTGCACCATTCTTCATCGATTAATCCAAACACAAACATGACTCGGCTCGGTTCAGCAAGAGTGCTGCCAGATAAGCTCTCATTTTCTCAGTTCTCCCGTCTATTTTCGTCACACTTCATTATGCAACACTACAAGTAGACATTCCCACACATTCAAAACATTCTCAATTTCCAATACGTAACCAAAATTACGGAAAAGTCACTTCCGGTCTGCTCAAGTCCGCCTTTGATTGCGCAGAGCGGTGATTCGCATAATGGAGCTTCTATTCTCTACACTCCACACAAAGTCAAACAAGACCAATTACGACTTGTGAAGAATCTCAAATAGGTTCTGGTCATCTCACTCAGTAGTGCCATACCTTTCATGGAGTTCGAAATTGGTATTTGTACTGTGGATATGCATAATGGTTATCCTCATGTGTACAGGTATTGTATTTTCATGTTAATCTTTTGCATGTGTTTATTCTTCCTCTTCTCACAAAACACAAAAAACAACGCAATTCATCTCTTAGTGGTGATACTAGAGTTCTGTATTGATTAGTTTCTATTTACAAGAATAGTTAGAAGAGTAGAGAAGGATCGTGTGTGTTCAAGTGATTCCTTCTTCCATCCACCAAACAATAATCAAGTGAGGTGGTTACCTCTCTCATGATCGTTTGCTCTTTCCAGTGTACCTTTTTCTAAGAGAAACTACCTTTTGTAAATATTTCACATACTCGACTGTATTAGCTTGTTCCACAAGTAAGTATATCTGAATAGTGTTTGTTCTTCATGTTTGTTGTTTTCTCATCCATTCCCTACATGCCATGTTTCAACTTGCGCTCACCATCATCTATTTATACGAACACTTCACTGTTGTTGATGGATCAATCCTCCTAATTTGCTCCTTTTTGCCTTTTCGTTCACTCCAAATACAGTTTCCTTATTTCGGTTATCGAAATACTAATACTCTCAAACCACTTTCACTTTCCAAAAAACATGTCGACCACTATCATGACGGACAACCAACAGCAACAGCCTCAAGACAGTCATTTGGGTACAACTGATCATTCCTCTTCCACTATTGATAACAACCAGCACCATGAAGAAGTATCATCCCCTTCTCTTCAATTCTTAAGTGTTACAGGCTATGGACAGACTCATCATTTGTCCACCAATACAAGTTATGCAAGTCCTTCCAGTGATGTGTTTTCTACTCACAGCATGGATCCATTATTGTTACCAACAAGTGGATCTTCCAATGGTGGTACTACTGGTGCTGCTGCTACTACTACAAGTAGCACTGGAGTGAACAATTTCAATACTAGCACTACAACTACTACTAGACCTACTGCTCTCTCTGCAGCCAGTTTGTATGCCTCATGTGCTGGATTAAATGTACCCTTGAGAGATACTCATGACGACAGTGATTCGTGTGTAACCTCACAGAGTGGTGATGGTGAAGGAGACAATCAGGATATTCCAAATCGCAACAACCTCCAAAGAACTTCTCAAATTCCATCACATCTTGCAAATTCAAAACATTATGGATCAAATAACAAGACTACTTTCATTTCAGAGGTCAATGTGGTTGAACTTGAAAATATGCCTCATAACAAGAGTAATCATGGTGACTCTAAAAGTCATGTCCCTTCCACTGCTACTTCTGGAAAATCACCTTCTCGTACTCAATCCAATACCAATTCCAAAACAAGTAGTAGTGAACATGGTCTCCTTATCAAGACATGTTGTGGAACTGTTGAACTTTCATGTCTCAAAGTGGTTAATGTTTTTTCCTTGTTAGTGAATTTGGTGGCATTCCTTGCATTGGGTGTGATTATTGTGGTGAGTTATTCAGGTGGTCAAGCATATAGTGCAGTCTTGGATGGACTCGACTCTGATACTACTGTTTATAGACAAATGATGATTGCCACAGCTCGTTCAGCTGCCTTCTGCAACTTTACAACATCCATTTCTAGAAACTATTCCATTGCGTATTACAAGTATTATCAAAAGTTCTTGTCGAACATTAATGTCATTCTCAAAGTAGTTCCAAAAGAATTGCAATATCCAATTGTACATAATTTAACATTGAACGAATTGAGAACTTCACAGGCAATTGCCATGGAACATTTGGCTTTGAATCAATCAGCATCAGGTAATTTTCTTGCTGCCATGAATATACTCGAATCAGACAGTTACAAATACAATCTGGATGGATATGATAGTGAATTTAAACCACTTGTAGATTATTTGAATGATTTAGATGCTGAAAGAGACAAATTTTCAATTCTCACCACGACTTTGTCTTTGGTTGTCATTTGTGTATCAGTGTCCATTGTGATACCAGTGGTGTTAGGGTCGATTGGCTTTTCATTGAAGAGAGATTCAAGTAATTCAAAGAAGTTGAAACAATTGAAGGCCACTCAACTTTCAGAAACCATGAAGGATAAAAAGTCAAGAGAACTCTTTAGAGCTCATTGTGCTTCAGAATACTCCTTGGAGAATTTCATGTTATTGGATAAGATTACAGATTATAAGGAATACTCTGAGAGAAGCTTCCAAATTCAAGAATACTTGTATGACAATGACCCAAGTGAAGAGACTGCCTCAACGACCACCTCAGCAAGCTCTTCTGAACAACAACCAAAGAGAAAGAAGAAGAAGGGTTTCACAGAGAAAGATTTGATACAAATTGAAAAGAAGAAGTTTGAAATTGCATTCGAGATTTATAGCGAATATTTGGATGTACACGGAGACAAGGCCGTGAATATCAACAAACAAGCTGCAGAAGCTGTGAAGGAACACTTGGACTTTTATGCCACTGGTCAAAGCGAACACTTACCAGATCAATTGTTTGATTCGATTTATAACGAAATCTGTATTCTCATGTTGGATTCTCATTATCGATTCATTATGAACCAAGCAGCGAACAAACAAGCAAAGAAAGAACAAATCAGAAAGAAAGCAAGAAAACTCAAAATTTAGTGATTTACAACTAGGGATCCCTATACAATTACACCTACCACATCAATTTATAAACGAAGTACATAAAACAATGGTCGAAATAAACACGTTTATTGAATGGCACTCGCAGTAGTTGGACGGACTGTTGTTTGGTTGAGACTCTTCTTAAGAGCGAATTTCTCTCTCTTAAGGTTATTCTCCTTCTCTTTAAAGTTCAACTCATTGGCTACAAGATTCTCCTTGAGAGCTGCAATCTCATCTTGTAGAGTCGAGATCTTCTTTTTCAACAATTTTTGATCGGCAACTTTAGATCTTTCTACAACCTCAATCTTTCTTTCGAGAGATTCAATCACCGCGTCTTTCTCAGAGATAATATTGTCTCTCTCGGTTGCTAATTTTCTCAGCTCTTCAACATCTTTGATGAGTAAATCCACAACTGAAGCTGGAACCGACTCATTCATTTGCTCGTCAGATTCTTCTTTGAGCTGGTTTAACTTTTCTTTGATAATTTCTGGATTGCGTTTAGCATCCTTGAGTAACTTGTCAACCTTAGTTTCCTTCAAAGCCAGTTCAATGGTTTCATATCTTTGTCTCAAATATTCAATCTTCTTATCCTGAACTTGAATGGTTTTTTCAAGAATTGCTTTTTGCTCTTGCAATTTTTTAACTTCGCTGTGCAAGAATCTTTTGTCTCCCTCTAATGTTTTCACAGGAACAACATCTTTTTCGGTGACCAACTTTGAAATTTCCTTATCCTTTTTAACAAAAGACCTCTCGGCAACTCTAATTTCTTGTTTCAATCTCTCATTTTCCTTCGTGATAGCAGCAATCTTCTTTTTGTATTCTTCAAACTCTTCGGTGGTGTTTTTGAGGGTCTCTACATGATTATTCAGTTCCTCAAGGCTTTTTGTTTTCATTCTTGTAATTTCTTGAAGAGTTTTGATTTCCTTTTGGGCCTTTTCCAACTTCAATAGTAATTCAGCATTTCGGCATTCAATTTCATACACTTTGTCATGTTTGCCCTGTAGTGTTGCTAATTGCTTTTCAATCGTCTCAATGGCCTTGTCCTTCTTCTCAATGGCTACGTTTAATGTACGAATCTCTGTTTCTAATGAACTGATTTTAACGTTTTTCAGTTTAATTTCGTTTTCTAGCCCCAAGATACGATCAAGAGCGTCTTCTTGAACTACAGTTCTGCTCTTAATGTCCGTTGTTTTTTGTCTTTGAAGAGCAGCAATAGCGGTGTGTTCCTCAAGCACTTTCTTCTCGGATTGAAGAGTTTTGATTTCTATTTCTTGCGCACGAGATCGTTCTTTCATCTTTTCAAATACATCTTGGAGATTTTCTAGATCAAGTTGAGTTTTTTCAATTGTTTGCTCTTTCTGCTTTACAACTTTTTCTAGAACTGATTTTTCGTTTGAAACAAGATCAAAAGCTTTTTGGAGATCTTTAAAATCTTGCTCCAAGCGAATGTACTTGGCATAGAGTTCTTGTGATGGAGATTGTACGGAGAAGGGAACCGCTCTCTTGCTTGGTGTTCGTAGTTTGTCTTTTCTAAACATATCAGAGCTGTTGAGGTCCAATGGTGGAATTACAGGAGCTGACGCTGAAACCACGATGGGAGAGCTTGATTGTTCCGGTACATCTTCTGCTACAAACTCTTCATCTTTGGTTTTATCCATCAGAGCGTTTGTTGTTTTCTCCTCCTCATCAAGTGAGGCTCCTTCCATTCCTAATGCGGTTGTTGTTGGAGGTGGTGGTGTTGATTCCGTAGTGTGATTGTTCTCTTCTTCGGACATGGTAAAATTTTTTTTTAAAATTGTAAAAAAAGCGCCAACTTGGGTTCACCAAGAACACGAGATACGAAAAAACTCAATGTTTCCATCCACTTTCGTGACCATTGATTTGGTAGGGTTCTAAAAAACCTCGAAATATAATTTGATTGTTGTCTTCATAATCTAGCGTTGTAGTGATTGGTGTAGCACTATGTTCGTGATGAGTGTGAACATTTTGATGTCTTCTCCTCCTCTGATAGACCCATCTTGATCCATAGCCTTGATAATTTCTCACTTCAATACAAGGCACATTGTGTGGTAGAATGTGACAATTAATAAAAGTAGCTTCTTCAAGAATCTTGGAAAGTATGGAAAGTGCCTTGTTGTTTTTTTCTTGTGCATTTCCCTTTAAGATATTGGAACCTCCCCACCACTTGTCTGTTTCACTTCGATGACAATGTTTAGCGAGAGCTCTTGCACCAACGGTGAGACCTCCACCAGCACCACTGCCACCACTCATGGTTTGACAAGAGAATGCATGAATGAGATCAGAGTGGGTTGGAATGAGGTATCGAATGCTTCCAACAGTTTTTCTCATTCTTAGACAAGTCTGAATTCCTCTTAAACCCATATCTCTAACAATGAAATACACCATTTCTTGAATGTCTGACATTTCTTGATCCATAGCTTTTTTTAGTGCTTGTATTCGACTATTAAAGGTTTCTTCAAAGAGAGAATAATATTGCCAATCATCTTCAAGTAAAGTGAATTTTTGGAATTGAATTGGAAATTGATCTTGTTCCATCCATAAAATCCAAATAAAAGCAATCTACTTCAATGACAATATATTTAAATTGAATTATGATTACATATGATTATCATATTGTTATACCATCATCATCATCATGAAATAAAATTATCCTGAATTCATTGATGACAAAAAGACTTGCCTCTTCATATAAATTTGAAAAATTGCTTGTTGGATATCCAATCATAATTTTTCTAATGCATCCTTTGGATTCATCATATTGATCAAAATAACGAATACTATTCATTAGGTCTTGAATATCCACATTCTTCTGTTCTTCGTTTGATGATGTGACAGAATACCCACCGAAACAACTCTTCAAATAATTGAGTGTTATTGGAATGGGAGTAGGATCCAAACTCAAGTGTTGAGCTATTAACACCGAATGATTTAAACAGTTAGCATGGACCCAACTATACCATTCATTGCTCCTTTCCGACAAGATGTGATTTACAAATGAACATTGGATGCAATTCACAAGCTTATGAAATCTGTGATTGAGCATTTTTTCGAAATGTTTCTTTCGTGTCGAACGTCGGGTGGCCATCGCCATTTCGAAGAAGTGTTTTTGAATTGAAGGGATTTGTTCGATCTGCCTGCCTTAATTCATCACTTTGATCAGTTGTGAGAGGATGATTCAATGTATCATCTCATGAGCATTCCTCCATTAGCAGAGAGAAAATGATTCGGTCATGAAAAAGCAAAAACTTGTGAATTAATATGGCCATTCGTTTTATTTAACGTGTGGCTTTCAACCAGTGAAAAGAGTAACGGAGAAAAAAAATCCGCAACACTCAGACGGACTGGCCATCTACCACTTGTGTTTCAATTCTTGGTCAGTGAGAACTTTTGAGGATTACATCGGAGGGTATTGTTTAGAAAACTTTCTCTTAATGTATTCATTCGTTTTTCAGCTGAAAAAACATAGACCCAATTATCGATTTGCCAATACAGAACACCTTTTTTAGGTCAATCTCCACCCAAGTATATTGCAGATGCGCGCTTAAAACAATCTCAACGACTCGAGATTAATTCTCGAAGCAATCTCCAAGCGATCCCAGAGTTTGTACGCACCAAAAGCTAAAAAAACGCAACACCGATCCTTTCCGTGGACCAGACACAAAGTAAAAATTGATTCTCTTTCAAACCACCACCACACGAGATGAACATTTCAGAAGCCATCCTTGCCTATCTCAATGAGAACAAACACACATGCGATGCTGAAACCATGGTGAATAATATTCATTCCATGGTGTTGCAATGGCAACAAGAACAGCAACTATTAGCGAATAATTATTGTGTTTCTGCCCATAGCACTGAGGAGGTTGCAACTACCACGACCCATCCAACCCTTCATTCCAACCACAACCACAACCACAACACTCAAATGCTCATACAATCCATTCGACCATCATCCACACTCACTAGCCCAGCAACCAATCCATCCATGTTCCTCGCAGCAGATTCCTCCTCCTTGTTGATGATGAATCGAGTGAGCCATCAACCAACACCTCCCCTGACATTCCACAATCATCAACCAATCACCACGAATAGCCAATCATCTTCTGCTTACAACAGTATTCCAGCATCATCGAATGGTTCATCCTCCAATCATGGTGGTCACTTGACGACACCACAAACCTGTAATAGCAATGGTCGTAAGGAAGGCCCAACCGCAGGAATGAACCTTCAGCATCCTCAATCAACCCTTAAATCTTCAAATGTTGTAAAGCCTTCTAATGGCAGCACCACGAATAGCTCCTCCTCCTCCTCCATGACCACCCCACTCATTCGCATGATGGAAAATACAGATCACTGTACCTTCTCAACATTGAATACTCCAGAAGGAAAGGATTCCAACAACACCATCTCAAGTCAAGAAGAGATTACCTTGTTCATCAAACCAGCCCGAAAGACTGCCAAGTATTTTCTCATGTACATTCCTCCCAAATTGTACTGTAGCCCTTACAAGTATGATCTCATGTTGCGTGTTCCAAGTCCTATCAATGACTCGAATGACTTTATATTTACTCTTCGTGATGCAGAGACTGGAGAGAAGATTTCAAAGAACAATAAGGGCGTTGAAGCCTACTGTATTGAAAGAACAAAGACTCAAAGAAAGAATTACCTTAAACCTGGATTCTCGAATGCTACCTTCCGTTTGAATTTTTCTGTTTGTAGCTTCCATAATGGAAGAAAGCCATTCATTCTAACCATTCATCTCCGAAGCAAGTCCTTGATGCATAATGTTATGAATACTGGAGGCGAGATGGACGGCGATCAATTATTATTAAAGAGTGATCCATTCTCGATCTTTGCAAGAAAAGCAGGCACTAAGGGACAACCAACCGACGATGATTGGGGTGTTGCTGCTCCTCAACAACAACAACAACAAGGAGGAGACTCGTATGGTGCTCATCAAGGCTCAAGTAGTGGTGAAGAGGAAGAAGTCAAGACGCCACCCAAAAAGAAGAAATCCTCTTCAAAGAGAAAGAGAACTATAGATGTCGCTACTTCAAGCTCGAATGATCAACAAACCAGCATGGCGACATCATCCAAAAAGACCAAGTCTTCATCTAAGATGGATATGTCGATCCCTACTAGCGAGGCAAGCCATGCAAGTAGCAGTAGCGCCAGTAGAAGCAGTGGTAGCTCATACTCGAATGATCGTGTGAATCAACTTCGAGATCAACAAAGCAATCAATCATTGGTCAATTTTAATAATCAACAACTAGCCACAGAGAATATTGCAACAGAGTTCGACCAACTCTCTGAACCACAACAGCGTCCAACACAACAAGAAGCACAGAGCAACACTTCCTTTACCAATTTGTTTGAAACTGATCAATGGTCTCAGTTCTTTGAAAACAGTACTCTCTCACCTGATATTGCCCCATTCTTGGAAGAAGAGATTGTCACATGCCAAAATCAACCTCAACCACAATCAGCCATCTATCAGCAGTTTGGAGGAGATTCAACGACAATACAAGATCAACAGCCAGCTGTAGACCTAACCATGGTTCTGTATCAGGAGTTGTTGAAGCAATTTAACAGAAATTCCCAGTTGCCTTCATTCATTTCTCAACCAAAGCCAGAATTGAATCAAAAAGTTTGGTCTCAACAAATCCAACAGCCTCAATATCAACAGCAGACGTTGCAGAACACAACAACTGTTGATCCTCTTGATTTGAGCAGATTGCTGAGAAATAACATCTCTGTACAAGCGGCACAGAACACAAACAACAACAATTTGTTGTTGTCCATTGATGAGTCTTTGTACACAAAGCTATTTGGAAGCAATTACAATCCAAATAATTACTTTTTTAACAATTAAATATACCTGTAAATAATAAGCTGTTTTAAGGAAGTTATTTTGGTTCGAGGCCTCGTTTATTCGGTAGTATCCCTTTCTACAAGTTCAGCTTTTTCTCTAGCAGTTCCACCTCGTTTGTTGATAGCGATATTGTCTTCACCATCCTCATCCTCATCCTCAACAACATAATTCTTCTTTACGTTTTTCAACTCATAATTGTCATCGTCTCCCAAATCGACATACGTGTTAGTGTTTCTTCCAATTGCTGCTTCTCTATAACCCTTTTGAGATGTTGTCACTGATCGGTATTGCAAGTACAGGTAGATGGAAAGGAAGGCAAGTGCAGGAATACAAATGATGGCAAGCAATCCAAAAGCAATGGACAAGTTTGAATACGTTTCCGCTCTTTCTGCTAAATAAGCATATGGAATGAAGGAATAAGAAGAACATCCTGTCGATAATTCAAAATTACCAGTCATAACAATGGCATAAGGTTGAGGGCCTTTGGTAACGGCATTACCTCTCACAACAACATTATATAGACCTGCTGGATCTGATTTGTCCAATTCAACTTGTTCCACATTATTCAATTGATCTGGTTCATCTCTTGTTTGTTTCACTGATGATTTACCACCATTTCCGAATAGTTTATCACCTTTTGGTGTGATCACAACCAAATCCAAATCATTAATAAGATGAATCTTGGCAGCAGGTGAGCTTGGAGGATCAGTCCAAACCACTGTGACCTTTAAAGGGTTATCACCTTGAGATTTGACATTTAAACAGTATTGATGAGTTTGGCCAGTGCTCAATTGTAAGTCTGCTCTATTTGGAACATACAGACCCATGCTCTTATCCATAACGTTGCTCAAATCAATGTGACCAAAACCTTGCATGTATGTACTTTGAAGTGAAAAAGTGTGACCTTCTTGATATTGAAGAGGCCAATATTGATGTTTTGAGAGAAGATGAACGTATCCAGTTAATGGCTTTGAAGAGTGAATCAAGGTAGCTTTTACAAGAGCAGCACTTGGATTAAATCCTTGGCTTGGATTCTTACTACCTGTGAGATAACCCTCCTGGTAGAATTGTCGTACTAAGGCAGCAGCTCCAGCGGCTAATGGAGCAGCCATACTTGTTCCTTCGTGATAAACCATCTGATCCTTAATATCTGTGAATGTTCCACACTTTTTAGATTCTGTAGTTCCAGAAGAAAGGGAAGATAGAATTTTCTCGCCAACAGTGACCACTATTGAGCGATACATTCAATTATTTCACAAAGCATGATTGTTGAGAAAGACAAATGCCATAATGTTTACAATTCAAGTACCGTTAGTCATGATGGTCATTCATTGAAAATAACTTACCATCTGGCTTAATTCGGCCGTCAAGAGTAGGACCTCTTGCAGTAAAAACTGCAAGATTTTCCTGGCTGTAGTATTCTGGATGTTGTTGCATTTCAAGGCCAATACATTGTGGGCAACATCTGAATCCAATGGTTAAAAATGGAGAATAGTCTTGAACACCACAACAATCAGTGGAAACTGTCTTGCAAGTGGTGGCACAACAATCACTTTCAGATTGGAAATTCTTTGCTTTTTCACACTTATCTGCATCATAGAGATCGCTTGCCTTGAGACAAAACTTTTGATAAAGTTCAATTCTAAGTCTATCAATAATTAATTGAGTGGAGGTAATATTAAGACTTTGTTGGAAACTTTGAAGTGTACTCAAAGAGGCACCAATCGATAAAGTATTTTTTGCTTCTGCTTCACTGGTCAGAGAGGCATATCCAAAAACACCACCACTATTACCTGCAGCAAACACAGGAAGGAAATCCTTCTTTTCCCAAGCAAATTGGTCAATTTCTCTCGAGTTTGTAGAATAACCAAAACCAAAGTCTTTGAAAAATCCTGTTCCCCAAGAACTACTCACAACCTTTGCTCCATTTTGATAGAAATATGGAAAATAAGAAGAATAAAGATCCAAAGGTAAATAAACAACACCAAACTTCTTTGGACATTTCTTTCCATCCTTCATGTCACACTCGCAAAGTGTATCAGGAGGGCAAGAACATCCTTCATCGGTGTCACATCCAGCTAAATGCAAGTTATTAGCTTTCTCATCACGAATAAGATAACTTACCATCGAGGAATGCAAGCTTAGCATCCTTAGCAAGTGCGTCATGATCTTTCAAATCTGCAGGTTTTGCACTTGGATGGATGCTTCCAGCAGCAATACCAGCTTTACAATGGTGAATTCGTTTCAATAATTCAATTTGAATGATATTGGATTGCAATACTTACTGACATGTGTTCCGTGGCCCATTGGAGAATCAACAGCATCCATATAAGTCCAAAATGATGCAAATTTTCTGTGATTGGCATTTTGTACAGAGTCACGTAAATTTCTTTGGAAAGGAGGATTGGATTTTTCATCATAGAAAAAGCAATGATAATAATCGACACCTGTATCACCAACTCCAATCACTTGTCCAGAACCTGTAAGTCCCATACTCCAAATTGGCTTGTCAGTTGGCTTCTTATAACTCTGAACTAGAGCATTTGAATATTTGCCATGAATAATTGTTGGAGTCTTAATTTCTACCCAATGAACGAGACCATGCTCTTTTAGTTTCTCAGCTAATTTCAAAGCATGTTGATGTCCATTCACTCCAATAGCAATTTTTTCGTTCGATACAGCTTTAACGCTTACATGGTCATCCTCAGAATTTTCCTTAACAAGTTTCATTAGAGGAGAATTGACGTTGGCAATTTCATTCAATTCTAATTCTTCTTTTGATTCATGTTTTGCCATAGTAGCCATAATAACAAAGTGTACATCTTTTCCCTTATCGTTATTTGATAATAATTTTCTTGTGAGATATCTGAATGCATCATCATAGGGTAACTCTCCTCTCATGACACGATCAACCACAACCGTTTTATCCAAATGTACTTCCAAAACATCACGTGGTACCGATTTATGATCCTTCTCTACCAAACCAATCCAACAAACCTCCTCTCTGTTGTTGTTGCTACTCCACCAGCCATTATTCCTGTTATAACTACGACCTATCTCATTCAAATATTCCTTTAATCTGAACACATTCTTCTCGGAACCACTGATCATGAAAGTTCTCTGAGGAATGTAGTGTCCGAGACGAACTGTAAATTTTTTGACTTGTTCTTGGAGCCAAGGAAATTCGGAACAACCTTTTTGATTGTTATCAGAAGAAGAAGAAGCAATCATTTGTTCGTAAAAGTGTGGATGAAAGTGCAAGAAAAATGTCTGAATTGAAGAAGGAGAAGCATCCATGTCTTGCTCGGTGGTGGTGGTGGCCCTTGTTGCTTCTTTACTTGACATGTCCTCAATGTGTTGTTGTTCGTGATGAGAAGTGCTGGTGACAAATGGATTGGCAATCATCAATTGGAATAATCTGAAAAAGGAGGAAGTGATGCGATTCATTGGAGAAGATGAGGAGGAGGCTGAACTCATCTTGCTTGAAAAGTGATCATGAGTGGTTCGGGTATGAATCACATGTCCACTTCTGAGATGAATCGAGTTGTAGTGAAGGTCAATTTCTTGTTGTTTTTGAAGGGATAGTTTGTGTCCATTGTTTGTTGTTGTCAACAACAGTGATGATGGCATGAAATGTTGCATCAAAAGTGTCATCACGAGAAGAAGAGAGCATGTAGCGGCGAGCACTCCACTCACTACTACAATCAACGTTCTATTGGGATAACATTTAGTTTTGAATGCTTGAATCCGATCATCACCATCCACTGCTATGATTGTGGTGGCATGGTTTGTTTCAGACATTTTTTATTATTATTTCGAAAGTCACTTGTCGTCCTGTAAATGACTTGACAGGGGATGAACGTGTGTTTGTGAGGAAAATGTTTTTTTAGTTCATATGATGTACAATAAGGTTTCCAACACATTACACTATCGTGTTTGTAATGTGCGTCATAGACCATCAACCTGTACAACAGATTACAGTTGCTGATGATAAATGGACTGGTTATTGTATTTCCGCTTTTTGTTGTCATTATTGCTTGCGTGAACAGTGGATTCATTGTTGTAATTGTCAAACGTTCGCTTAGAGGAAGAACTACTATCAAAATTGTAGGAATTTGATGGACAAGAAGTCATTTGAGGATAGGCATATGTTGATGATTGTTGGATATTGTTTTCTGTTTGATTGTTCGTTGTATTATCACCTGCATGATTTACATAGTGGTTGATATTAGAATAAGGTTGGTTAGCGCAGATATTGGAGGATGAATTGTTGTGGCTGGTAGTCGATGAGGAGGGATAGTACCAAATGTTAGGTTTGTTGGAATACTCTCTATTTTCATGACGAGTTGAGTGTGAATAATTGGTATTCACATTCTCATTGTAGTTGGTGTTATTTGTTGCATTATTGTTACGGTTGTTACGAATATACTGTGAGTGTCGATGATAATAGTCGCTTGAGTTGTTTTTGTAATTATTTCTGAAGGACTTTGGTCCTCCTTCTCGAATTGTATATCTCTTGCTTCTATCGTCTTTGCTTTTCATACTTTCTTTTGGTAAATTTTCTTTGATCATTTCTTCCTGAAGCAAGCATGACGATTCTAAATCCTCAGATAAATCCAATTCCTCAATTCCATCCTCCACTACAAACCAAGATGTATTCAGAAATGAATTAATATTTGAAGTATTTTTGATAGAGTTTGTTTCACTTGTTGAAAAGTATTGAGGATATTTGGTTGGGTTTGATTCATGTTGTTTGTTCAATAATTGTAATTCATCTGTTGAAATGATCTTCTTGTCATTATAATTAATTAAATGATCCTCCGAATTTTCTCCACCACTTAAACTTGATGGAATTTTGCTCATTAAATTCCCAACCATGTTCATGGCCTTTTCTCCATGTACTGCAACGAACACCTTTGAATTTTGATTAAATTGTCTTGCCTTTTCTTTTTGAAGCCTCTCTTCCTTTAACCTTTCTCGTTTTTCTTGTTCAGTTTCAATACCAATCTCATACTTTTGTTTAGAACTTGTTTGTATTAAAACTTCAATAAACCAAAGCACCAATGATGATGTTTCTTGGCCTAAAATAGGCTCAACTTTTTGAACCATTTCCGATTGGCGTTTTCCATTGTTGATCAACACAAATAAATAATTCTGATCATGTCATGAATGCAAAATTCAATTAAAATTAAAACTCATCTTGTACTATATTTTCATCATCAATATTATGAAACATACTGGCAATAATTGTTTTAACTTTGTTTTTCGGGATTCATCAATTATATTCAAAGTATCGATCTTATCAACCAATAACCTTTTTACATGTTCTATTTGATAGTCATTCAATTTTACACAGTGTTGTTTCGAAGTGTCCATGATGTTGTCTGCCTTCTTTCATGAAAAGAAGCAGGTCGAGAATTTTTTAATTTTTTAATAGAAAACAAAAATGAATGCGAGATTATTGCAATATCTACACATTATTGAACTCAAAGGATAAGGTTGAGAATATTAGAAATCAAACGAAGAAATTGAAATTGGTTAAACAATAATTGAGATTTGTTGAAGAAGATTGAAGGTACGAAATTTTTGTTAAACACCATTTCAGCTTCATGGAGAATGTGAAAATGATGATTGGTGAGATAATTTTGGATGAACTCGACAGGATGAAGTTCAATTTTATGAAAAAACAATGCCTTCCGTTCACGTAAAAGTTCTCGAAGGTCATGATCTGATCGCAAAAGACGTCACTGGATCGAGTGATCCCTATGTCATTGTGAAACTTGGATCTACAACAAAGCGAACCAAAGTAAAGTAGGTAGTAGTCTCATCATCATTGTATGATTTAAGAATCCTAATTGAAATTCTTCTGATGTTTCATCATCATCACCATCATCGATCAATATACAATACCAATACGAATGAATATACATTTCAATTTCACCACCACCATCATGATCATTCACAATGTGTCTGCGTACATATATTATACGATAATGATCATGTTCACAATAATCATCATCATGATTAGAAAGCAAACACTTCATCCTGTTTGGAATGATGAAGCATTTGATCTCACGGTCACAGATCCCATGAAAGAAAGGATTGTCTTTGATGTGTACGATAAGGATCTCCTCACTCAGGACGACCTTCTCGGATATTGCTCTATTCCATTGAATTTACTTCAGAAAGGTGTTCCACAACGTTTTCGGTTGTCCTTGATGGGAGTTCCAAGAGGATGTCTTGTGGTTGAATTATTTACCAATGATTTTGGTCATCATGCAGGTGGTGGTGGTGGTGGTGGTGGTTCTAATGATAATGATCATTCTCATGTGTTTTATGATTTGCAAGGAAATGCCTATGTACTAAGTCTCGGAGAAGGAGGAGTCGACGTCTCAAAGAACATGTCCATGACCACCACCAGCAACACCATCAACAACAACAACAACAACAACACCACCACCACCATTACCAGCAACAACAACACCTCTTCCTCTCTCCTTTGTGATGACTTGAACCACTCCATTCCAGATGAATTACTTGGATTGATTTTATCCTTCTCCACCTTAAAAGATGCACTCGAATGGAGATTTGTCAGCAAGTTATGGCATCACTTGTTAAAGTTAAATGTCTTTTCGAGATTCATTTGGTATGATGAATTGGATTTGAATGGAACTCGAGTGTTAAATGAACATTTAATTCAAAATGATCAGAGTTCAGAGTTATTAATGAGAAGAGGACATGTGGCTCTTTCATTGGATGATACTTGTAAGATTTTAATATTTGGTGGATATGGAGGTGGACGTCATCACAATGATTTATTTGAAATTGATATTGACTCCAATGTTGTGACTTGTAGAGCTCGAGATCAAAATGATGATGAGCATGTCGATCGACAAGATATTATTATGGGAAGATCTTTTTGTCCAATTGTTAAGATTGGAATGAATCGATATTTCATTCATGGAGGTTATTGTAATTATACAAGTGATGAAAATCCAAATTTGAGTGATGCATGGATTCTTGACATTGATCGTGACACTCACAAATTCACAAAATTTAAACAACAAGGACAAGTACCACCAGCTCTGGAAAGTCATTCTCTTGTGTACTATAATAATCATGTCATTGCGTATGGTGGAAGTAGTGTGTTGAATGGAGATGATTTGGGACAGAAATATAGTGATGTCTATGCACTCAATGTAGAGACTGGACAGGTAAGTGTGAATGAAAAGTTTTGTGAAATTGTGACCAAATTTGTGAAATTGTTTCTGATATTGGGTGTGAAATTATCGCGATCCATTCTTTACCAATCTTGTCATTACAACATTATAGTGGAGTAAATTGAGAATGGATGAAAGTATTGAAAAGCATCCAGGAGCTCTCACAGGTCATTCCTGTCACATGATTGAAAATACCAATCAAATGATTCTCTATGGAGGATACAATCAAAGTGAAGAGACTAATAACCATATTTGGATTTTACACATTGTACTTCCAGTTGAGACTAGATTCTTTAAAGAATACAGTTATTGGGAACAAGTGACACTTTCTCCTCATAATACCTTCCTTCCTCACTCAACACTCTATCATCGTTCTGTGCTCGTTGACAATAACAAATTATTTGTCTATGGAGGATCAAGAAATTGGAATAATCAAGAATTGAGTAATCAATTTGTTGTTTTTGATTTGGAAAAGAAGATTTGGAAGAATCTTAAAGATGATAAGGAATACTTTTGTTGCAAAACAAATCGTGAGAGTGGAGAGCTATTGAGTGTGTATGGTCATACTTTCACCTATTTACCAAAGAGTAAGAGATTTGTTGTGACAGGAGGTTCAAGTTTTGAGTGTTCCGGTCATTACAAATCCCTTGCACAGTTTGTGGGAGTATTTCATAGATTGTAAAGATTCTTAATTAACATGTACATGATGGCAAAGATTCTTTATGTTCATTTGTGTGTTGAAAGAATGCATCGATGGTGCTACATTGTCATAAAGAAGAATCCTTATTTAGAAGGAGGATTCAAATTTTAACCCGTTGTAAACTCGAAAAAAAACGTTACAAAAAAACAGTTAACAACTTCCCGCCAATAGAAATTAGGACCGTTTCACATCTTGACGTCCCATAAATCTCTCGCTCTCTTGGGGAAAAGACTCGTCAACACAAAAAAATAACGCATTGTTCAATACACAGCATTGTTATAACAACCCGTCAAAATGGTCAAAAAGACAGACAAGAAGGAAGTGAAGGCTGATCACTGGAGCCAACGAAGAAGCAAGGAAGTTGATAGAACCAAACGTTCATGCAACGAACCAACCAAAATTGATGAGTCCAACATTATCAGCACTCCAAGACCAAGAAAGAACATTGATTACAAGGCCGTCCAATTGAAGGGAGAAATCAAGATGGTCAAGAGAAACACATCCAATACTTACGATAAGAGAAGCACGACCAAGATTGAAAAGAAGAAGCCAAAGAGGACAACTACCAAGAAGAAGGAAGAAAAGAAGGAAGAGAAGAAGACCGAGAACGAATAATTCTATCCGATAATTTTAAATTCTAACCTCATCATCACAACACATTGCGCGTTCTGCTTGGAAGTCGAGCAGATCAGCACGTATGTGTGTTTGTACTCTAAATTATTAACTTATTAAAATCTAGGTCTCATCAAATTTATTTCAAATATTCCAAAAATTATTTTCTGTTATCCTCTTCCAAATCTGCATCTTCCTTGGTTTCTTCTTCGTTCTGTTCGGATCCTTCTTCACTACCACTCGTCAATGTGGTATCTTCGAAATCTTCAGCCTGCTCTTCATCTTCTGTTGCTCTTGCTGCGTAACTCCAGTCACGAGTGAGTACTTTGATTCGGTCTCCATTGGCAATGAATCCAGGCACTTTTACTGTTATTCCAATGTCAAGAACAGCATTCTTTGTGACAGGAGAATGTCTATCGTTGGGAATACCACTCACAACATCATCAGTCTTTTCAACTGTTGCGATGAGTGTGGTAGGGAACATGATTTTGATGGCTGTGTTTGTCTCTTCATCAATGCCAATAATTATCTTTTTCAACGAGCCTCCTTTCATGATTTGTATCATCTCATTTGTGAAAATAGATTTTGGAGCAGTGTATTCAGTTCCATCTTTCATATCCTCAAAAACAAATCCCTTATTTGTCTCTGAAGAATAAGTGACGTCCTTTGTGGAGTATTCACACAAATCCAAACTTTCTCCTCCTCTACACTTTTTACTTATTTTCTTTCCAGTTAACAACTCTACAGTTTCGAACGTTACAATAGCATTAGAGCGAGCTCGTTTTGCAAAGACATAGCGTTCAACTTGGAGGTACTTGTTGGCTCCATCTTTGATAATATCTCCTTTGGAAATTTTGTTAACATCTGTTTTTACATTTCTTTTCATTGATGAACAATAAGTACTCAGCACTAGAGAAATAGTAGTGTTCGTTTTTGTTCGGAATGTAAGTGATGAACGAAAACCAGAATTTGAATTTGGCAAGCGACGAAGAAGGCTTGATGCAGCAAACATTTTTTTCAAAATCAATACAGAGGAATTAATTCATATTATTGCTAATTGTTTACTTGTACTTGTTCAATCCTTCATAGGAGTACCATTCAGGAGCCATTTGGGTAAGCAAATCGACGTATTGTTGCATAGCATCCTCCTTGCTCATTCCCTTGACCTTGTTCCAGGCATCCCATTTGGCACGAGCAACAAATTGAATGGCATATGGTTGTGAGCCTTTTACATCTCCTTCAGTGGCTTGCTTAAAGAAAGCGTAGAAGAGGAGTCTATCATCATCGGTTAATTCCTTGTTTGAATTCTATTGAATTTCGGATAATGATGAAGAGATCATGAATTTTGGCAATATACATGTTGAAATGTACGAGAAAAGATCATCGTATGATCAAAAAGAACATTGGTCGTGATGATGAAAAGGAAGGATCACAGAATAAAAGGCGGAGAGAATCAGAACAAACATTCAGAAACAAAAAATGTTACATGATGGTGAGCAATTATCATTAACAAAACACTTACAGCGTATTGATCTTTGGCCATACCCTCTTGGACGTACTTGACTGCCAAGTTGAATTTCTTCTCAAGCTCTGTAGACATTTTTTGAATGGTTTGTTTGACTTGTGAGATGCTGGTCCCTTTCTCCGTTTGAAAAAATGACTTCCCGAATAATTGATGAAAGCGATGAAAGAGGAAGAAAGTTTCGTACGAATGTTGCAGCATTTGCAGGAGATGGTGGTATTTCATTGATATTGAGTCCTTCTTCAAGTCCATCACTTACTACAAATGAAGAAGGAGTTATCATGCCACAAGAAGAGCCTTCTTCCTCACAGCAATTGATATCATCACTCCGATCTCAAAGATTAAGCGACACCTATCCTCTCAGATCTCAACTTGCAGTCCAGACAAAACCTGCAATCACAAGATTTTATCAGTCTATTATTTCTAATTTATTTATTGATCCAATTGTTACTTTCCTATTTCCGAGAGTTTTAGATAATCGATTTCAAAAATTGCCAATTATTAATTTATTCTTTAAGCCAACAACACAGGTCCAATTGTTGTGTGCTTGGACTTGTGATGATGGACATATTTGTAAACATACTCATGGTCATACAGGAAAGCATGAATGTATTTTTGGTCATGTTGAGGACAAACCTATTTTAAAATGTGGAAAGATTTGTGACTGTAGATTTTGTGAAGCTCCATGTGTATTAAAACCTAATCATTCGGGAACACATACATGTCATTTTAGACATGCTCTTAGGGACATACCAACAAACAGACGAGAACAGGAGGCGTTCAGAGATGAGAAAGCAATAGGTGGATATATGAGTGAATTGGCTTTTATTTCTAGCGAAGATATGAAGTATTCACACATTCCTACAACCTTGAATGATGAGGATGAACATTGGTGGAGCGAAAAATAATTAATTTTGAAGCTCCAAACAACAAACACTTCCTGTGATGGTCACATAGAATAACTTGTTGTTTGGAAGGGCCTTAATTTTAAGTGCTAATTCCTTTGTTTGATACCTTTGTTTTTCCAGTACTGAAATTGTATTAGGATTTTGAGACATGGTAGCAACGGGATACCTGATTTGCCAAATTATTAATTCATGATTCCTGTCAATGGTTGCAATAGTATTGGGATTAATAAATTGACAAGTTGCACAATTCAACGGATGCAGCTGAGAGGTTAAATTGTACAAGTACAATAATTTTCCTTCTTGTATAGTGAAAAACAGTAACCCATCATATCTATCTGTAATTGCAATTAAGCTATTGACAACACTAATACTGTTCACAAAGTTTCTGACGTTGGCTTGATCGATCAGTTTAAATCCATCGCTGGATACCTCAAATAGTCCTAATCGATCTCCATATCCTGCAACAAAGTACTGACTATTCAATTGGCTTAAACAATAGACCATGTTTGGTAATTCCATTGAGAAAACGTGGGAGCATGCATATTTGTTGTTTGATGTTGTCATTTTCAATAGATGTATGTTTCCTAAGGATGATCTTGTAGAGTCTGTATTCATAATAATTGGATTTACCTTTCTATGAATATACTTGGTTCCAACTAGAATATATTTGATTTTCTTATTAAGGTCTTCCTCATTTGTACTATGCCATTGCATGACTGAAAATATTTGCTCTGAATGGAAATGATGAATAGTCATCATTTCATTTGCTTCATTCATAATTTGAAGCTTGCAATAATTGCTACTAACAATAAGTAATAAATTTTCTTCTATAGCCACGACTCTCTGATAATCGCCTGGTGCGATTTCTGTAACGCTTGGTTGAAAGCTTTCTGGTTCTACAATAATTATTTTGATCTTGTTGTCTCCTGTCAAGCAAAGAAGAGAGCTTTCAAAACCTAGATTAAAGTTCTGCATTGAAAGTATTTGTTCGTTGATAATCAGATTAGAAACATTAAACTCATGTGGCGAGAGAGTAATGAAATAGCTGAGGTTGGAAGTTGCAATCAATGAATTATTGTCATACGACTTGTGTAACTGGACAGGATAGTTGCCTAGCTTATACTTTCTGGTTAAATGAGTTGCATCAAAGCACAAGAGATTTCCATCCCTCAATCCGATGAGTAGCATGTCATTTACCATGAGTATGGATTCTGTAATATTTGTGTCAATGCAATATTCATTAATATCCAATGTATTAGTGATCACGACATGAGAGGATGAAATGGAATAGACTAGACCTGAATAGGTTGCAACAATTAATTCACCATCTCGATAGGCATATATACATGAAATGTCATTGTCCACTGCTAAAGTAAACTTTTCATCAATTTTTCCATCTTCAGAAACTATATATCCAGTGACTTTGTTTTCAAAGCTTTGGTAAATCATGTTGTTGTAACTGGTTGCTAAACTTTTTGATGAAGTGACAGTGCACAAGAGATGAGTCATTTCATGATTCATAATTCTCGTTTCCTTTGGAGTAATTTGAAGAATGAAACAATCAAATATTGTAGATGCATACAGAGTAGAATCATTCAAATTGAAAGCATGTTGTGTTGAATAGTCTTCTATTGAGTCTTCTTGAACTTTAAGCACTTTGCTCTGATTGAAGAAACTCAAAATAATGTATTTGTCAGAGCCGTTATTGATAGTAAATAATTTGTCTAATCCTTCATATGATTCATCAGTAAGACTCGATGTACGGCAAGATATACCCTTCTTCACGCTAGTTAACGAATTTGGTAACGCAAGAATATATTCGTCATCTCTCTTTTCAAAATCAACGACATGAGAAATGGTAGAGAGCAATTTGATAGGATTGTTTGATTCACCGTTTTCCAGGGGTAAATAGTAAACATTGCTTGCACTACTGTATCCAATCATAAAATTGTTGCTTGATGGAGCACAGAGATGATCTACGTGGGAATTTTCAAAGCAAAGTGAAGGCTCTTGATCATCTATACTGATATAGATATCTCCATATTCAGTACAAATATAACATGAATTTCTCTTTAAATAAAGATCTGATATTAGCCGACCCTTAGTATTAAGAACAATTTCCTTTTCTACTTTGATGCTATTCAGATAGAGTAAAGCAGAGTCCTCTGTGACAGCAATTACACTTTCGTTGTTGATGTGATGGAGAGAAATCACTTGTTTTTGCATTTTTGATTTCTTTGAGGATACCAAGTCATAATTTGAATTAAAGTCTAATCTATATAAATAACCACTGTTCAAGTACAAATAAATTATATTATTTGAAGAACAGCTTGACATGTGTACTCCATTAAATTCGAATGAAACCACACCCAAAGTTTCAGTATTAACAAATCTTATTTCATTCTGTAAATACATTACCACTATGGTGTTGTCATTTAAGCTTAACAGTTTGACGGGTGGATGGCTGTTAGAGCTATCAGATCGAGTATTACTGAGTTCCTTCCAAGTGGAGCATATGATAGATCCATCTTCTTGAAGAGTCAGTGTAGTGATTAATATTGTTCCGTCCAAGCAGAGTACAAAAATAGTATTTTTTGAAAGGATAAAGTCAATGATTTGCTTTCCACCACTCTCAAAAGCACAACACTTGGACAAATGCTTTTCTTCTTCATACAGCAAAAAGCATTCAAAAGAATATTCTTTTGCGATCAAAGCATAAATATCTTCATTTCGTTCCAAGAGTACAATCTTAACGATGCTCGATGATTGAATTTCCGGGATGATTGATCCAGCCCTTTCAAGAGATTCTGATGATAAATGGGTGTCCATTTTTTTGATGATTCCTAATTCATCATCTCAACACAGTTTCATGTTCAATAATCATAATCCGTGAACCATCGGAAGGTTGAGTCTTTCGATCAGATTATTATGATGAACAATAAGAGTGTGGTTTATGGAAATCTACGGTCCATCAAAGAGAGACTCCAATCAAAAATCTCTCTCGGAATCCCTTTTGTTAAAAAAGCACAAAAAATGAAAGCAGTGAGAAATTGCCTTCGAGGCTTCAAGGCTTGTAGTCATCAGTCATCAATGAACATTTTCCTGTCCCGACAGCAAGGCAACAATTATTTCATGATGCTTAAGGAGAATCCAACTAAATTTGCTGTAAATAATGTAGATATATCGAACAACAATCAAAGATTCATCCATTCAAATTTTGTTTTATTAAAAGAAAGAATGTTTGACAATGATCTTGAGCAACAAATCTATGAAAGAGAAAAGGAAGCATTAATGAGAGGCCGTATCAGTGAAAGCGGGGAGAATGAAACAGACGCTCAGGAACCAGAAAACGGAATGACCAACTTTGTGGTAGTATCATCACTGTTTCTTTGTGTATGGTATGGGATCAAGTACTTGTACAACCAATATAAAACATCCATACGAGAAAATGAAAACTTTGATTGGTTGATGAGTGGAAGCTTGAATACCAACACATTATCAGAAGCAGATGAGACAAACATTGCCTCTTTACTTTCTGACATCAAGACATTGGTCAAAGAACATCAATATATAGACGAATTCTATAGTTCTGTAAGTAATAGATAGTGATATCATCATTGCTAAGCCTTGTTGTTGTAAAGAATTTCATCAAAAATATTTTCAAGCTAGCCTTATCCAAAAATAATAATCTCTCTGAACCAGCCCTTGAAATAATGTCCATAATTTTTCGAAAAGGCTCATCTCCTCGATTGGCAGAGTTATTTTATAAGATATCTATTCAGAATAAGGATTTTAATATTATTCGGATGGTAATTGACAATATTAGCTCTTTTCAGAGCTCCTCCTCCCACATTAGTTTTGAAGAACTTTCAAATTTGGCAAATATGTCTTCAAGAGATGCTTCTCAACGTATTCAACAATTTGAATCCATGGATATGCGACAAACCAGAGCTATTGTATTACGCGAGAAACGCTCCCTCTCTCTACTCTCTCATTTCTTCTCCAACAAACATTTATTGAAGCATTTTCTAGAGGATGACGCTTATCGAAATGATCTTATTAATTTATTCAACAAAGGAAATGATTTGGAAAGATTTATTGCTTTGATTTGCATGAATGGGATTGTAATGTCTTGCCTGACGACGAGTAACATGAGGTCTTTAAATGAAACCCATCCACATCTTATTAATGCCATGAATCAATCAGCAATGAAGGTCAAGGATCAGATATATAAGAATCACATCTCTATATTGACAAGACATATCGAAAACATGAACGAGAATACAATGGTTTTAAGCCTTAAATCACCCAATTCCACTAATTTACTAGGGTCGGCTATTGTAAGCTTTATTTGTCATCTACACATGAAATATCAAGTAAGGCTACCCGTTCATAGATCTCTATGGAGAGCATCAGTTTTATTTACCTACTGCATTTATCATTCAACCTACCAAAAATCACTCTCCAACTTTTTATCTGACAGAATTCACAATAAGAATGCCTCATTACCTTTAACTGAGTACAATAAGAATTGGAACGAAGCAGAATACAAAATCATATTTTTGAATGGAATTCTATGGATTATTACGAACAGTATTGTTAGGAACTGGTTTGCTTTTGTACCACTATTGCTTTTTTAAGTTGGAGAGTTGTTGTTATAATGACGACAAAAGAGCAATCATTCTTGCCTAGTGATTAATTGGACCTTCATTGTGTTTGAATCAATAATACCATATTGAATAGAGAGGAATAATTCAATATTCTCTAGTAAATGGATCTTTTTTCGCATTTATTGATCATTTATTGATTCAAACATACCCTTTCCGCAAAAAGAGCCATTTTGGGAATCCAAACAAACAAAAAAATAAGCAACTGTACGATGGCTGCAAACCTTCACGAGTTAGGTAGGTGTAATAATTCTTTCCGATGAAAATGTTTTCATGTGTTGTATATATAATTTCAATCATTATAATTATTGGTTCTTCTTGCATTGATCGAATTCAAATCAATAGAAGAGAAATTATTTGGGAAAATCCCTCAAACTCCAGTTCCCTCGGTTTTGGATTCACTGAATGATGAAAAAAAGAAGAAAATTGCCGAGTTTCGATCCAGAATAACAAACCAATGGAAAGAAGATGAACTTCTTCATGAACATGATAAGAAGGAGAATGGAAATTACTTCTTATCTGACTTGACTCTCTTCAGATTCTTGTCTGGATACCAATGGAATATTGATGAGGTGGAGCCTGTTTTAAAGGGAGCTTGTGAATGGCGAAAAAAGTTTGAGCCATGGAATGTTCATATTGACGATGTGAAAGCAGTTGCACAGCAAGGTGCGATTTTCCATGTTGTATGTTTTGTTTTAATGTTTTAATCAATGCAATAATTGATCGATGTTTTTAATGTTATTTTAGGGTTTTGATAAAGCTGGACATCCATTGATTTATGTTAAGCTTGGCCTGGATAAATTGGAAAATAACGAAGAAAACAAATTATTGAAATTTAAATTCTTTGTGTGGCTCTATGAGTTAGCGATTAGGAGAATGCCTGAAAATATTTATCAAACATCCTGGATTGTGGATTTGACAGATGCATCATTAAGCGTACATCTCATTAAATCCATGAAGGACATGTTCCTTGAGTTAGTAAGTGGTGCATGAATTTATGATGATGAGATTTGATCAATAACCTGTCGTGATAGGGAACTTATTATGTTGAAAGAATGGCTGCAATTGTTGTTGTGAATGTTCCATGGAGTTTAAAGTTCTTATGGGGAGTTGTGAAAATGTTTTTGACTCAACAAACGATTGACAAGTACAACATTCAAGGTTCATTGAAAGAAAAAAGAAATGAATGCCTTACTTACACAAAAGATTTCCAACGACGTGCTCATATCTGAATACACTGGAGCTTATGAGTACAAGTTTGATTTTGAGAAGATTAGAGAGTACGATAACCTTAGACTTGGAAAGAATTAATGCTTGCCACCACCATCCTTGCCAATGATTTCATCAACATTTTTGAAATAAAAATGAAAAGAGTTCGTCGACCAACTGCCAAATCTCATCCCGTAAACACTTTCAATGAACACCAAACACTCAATTCCGATCGTGATGCCGAAGAACCTCATCACGATGACATTCACAAGACAAATGATGATCACGAATATGAAGGTGACAGCGATGAAGAGCGTGGTGAACCATCACCTTTGCCAAAAAAAAACAAAAGTTTCTTCATTCCGAAAAAACACCCAATCCGAACCCAATATCCAATCCATTCACTGTGAAACTACAGTAGACACATACTCTCAGTCGGATGATGAAAGACTTGATAGTGAATTCACCACCAGTGATCATCATTCGAATAGTACTACTACTACCAATACCAATACTATTTCAACGAATACTACCAGCAATGCGCATCATTTAAAACAAATCTATCAACAAGCACTTGTACATTTCAAAGAAGAATGTTTGGATACAATACCTCAAACAAGAACTAAGCCTTATCAGTCACTTATCGAAAAGATTGACTCATGTATTCATCGATCCAAAGGAATGGTCATTTATGTTTTTGGAAAATCTGGAACTGGAAAGAGTTTCACGATCAAAAAGTTAATTCATGACATTCAACAAGACTCTCAGAAAATGAAACATTTATATTCAACCATTCCCATCATTGATTGTATCGCAGAAGAAGTGAATTCTCTTCAAAGATTATGTAATCAATTACATGAACATTTTAACAAGAGAGATTCATTATCGACAAGAAACAAAAAATCTGTAAAAGCCTCCAATTTATTCTCCAACTCCACTAACAACAACAACTCCAAGAAGAAGAAGAACAAACTTCGTCTCATCATTCTCGATTCAGCAGATCAACTTTTAAAAAATCAAAAGGTGAAGGAACACATTCAAAAGTGGTCTCAACAATCCTCTTGTATTTTCATTCTTGTCACTTGTACACAAATTTTGAGTCATGATGATGATTTAATTCTTTTCACACCAATACCCTCTGAAGAATTACAAGTGATCTTACAATCAAAATTGAAATTTCTCTTACAAAGAACCACACCTCCCACCATCGATTCAAATTTAATTTCAATCATTTCTAAACATTTTGATGAATTTGACTTACGACATGTCTTGAAACTCATTCAAATCGTTCTCACCACATGTATGGAACAATTGAGACCATGTGTGGATATGGCAGTGTTTTTTCAGACTGCTGCCCAACAAGTATCCAAATCGAATCCAGTCACTCTGATTAGTCAATTGACACTTCCTCAACAGAGATTATTGGAGATTTTAACACGAAAAGAAGGAATTGTTCGAAATGAACAAGAATATAGAAGAACTATACAACAAGAATATCAGAGAAAAAGAAGAAGGCAACAACAAGTCTTGTGTTCATCCTCTTCCTCCTCCTCTTCCAATCCAATCATCATTTCGAACACTACTTCTACTACTAACATTACTGGTGCTGCTACTACTACTATTACTACGAACACTTTTACTACTACTACTTTTACTACGAACACTTTTACTACTAACACTTTTACTACTACTACATGTTTACCACCACCACCATCACCACCACTCTCATCCTCTTCTTCTGAGAGTGAAGAAGTGGTCATGAATTATCCTCAAGATTTATTAGTCTTTCATGAAACAGTGTCATTGGATCATGTGGTTCGAATCTATCAAGACTATATGAAAGATTTTACCAATGAAAGGATTACCTTTCAAGAAGTGAAAGAAATGTGTCGAGTGTTGGATGATTTGAAATTGGTGAAATGTGGTGTGATGAACAACATGGAACAACAACATGTTGAGGAGGATCCAAGGTTATGGTCTCAATGTTTAGTGAGTGCTGTACACCATCACCATCACCATCACCGACAAGAACACTCTTCAAGTTCACAACAACAACCACCACAGAAGGATCATCTTGTCATTGAAACAGTCACTGTCTTAGTTTCTTATGAAACTGTTCAGGAAGGAATTGCAAATAGAAGGGAAAGAATGGCACGAGAGGTCTAGACCACCTCATCATCATCATGATGGGAGGTTTTCATGAATATTATGAATGAATGGTGGTGGTACGAGCACGAGGATCATGAATTCCATCATGAGCGCGCCATTAATTACACTTTCCCCGCTTTCGATTGGCGCAAAATTTTGCATTCCTAAAAAAAAATCGAATGCCATCGTTATCATCATCAATATTGCCGTCGCATAAAAGCCATGATGATCTTGATTTTCGAAATCAACCCAAGAATTCTTCTTCGCTCTCTCCACAATCGAAAGATTATCCCAAATATATTCCTCCGATGATGATTAATAACCCTTTTATCAATAATGATGACCATGAAAACTTTCCTCCACTGTCTTTGGATGATATCAGCAGTGGTGCAAGTCCGAACCATAGTGATATCTTGGATACTTCTACTCTCGAACATGATCCGAATATTAGTTTGAATCTAAGTATTGACACTTTGGCAAAAATTAAACCAGTCGATATTTCAAATCTTTCAGACTTTTTGAAAGAAAAAAGAAATGGAAGAAATGTTCGAAGTAGGTTTCTCAATTGATTCATCATCAATTCATTCATTACTGATACTCTCCGAAACTATTAGGAATCACAACGACATGTGATCGAAGAAGAAGATGCAAATTATTTCAAACAAAGAAAAGAAGATTTGTCACCACAATCAAAGAAAGGACATGGAATTGTTCTGTATTCATCATTTATGGAACATCAAGATGCACCACCATTAAATTCTTCTTCAACACCGACCAAGTCACCACACAATGTAAGTGAAATTGTTGTGCACAACACATTATTCATCATTATACTGTATGCCTTTAATTTTGTGGTTGTTCATCATTTCTGAATGCCTTTATGGTTGTTCATTGATCATTATTAATTTGACAGTATGATGAGGAAGAAGAATTTTCATTCGCTTCTCCACCTCAATTCCTTTCACCAATACTTGGGAATGGTGAATTGGGAAATCGAAGAGCTGAAATTTATTATTCTCCCAATTACAAAATGACTCCAAAAGAAACAAAGGGTAAAATGGATGACCTTTTTCTTTCTCCCATTCGAGGAACAGCTGCAAATACGGTGGTACCTAACAGCCCATTAATGACACCTGACAGCAAAATATTTAAGAGTATAAGGTAAGATATTCAACAAGTTCAATGTTTTGCTAATATTTCAACAATTCATTGTTTTGCTAATATCAAAATCTCCTTAGTTCTTCAAAAATTGAACCAACATCGCCTCACGTCCAACCACCAACAGAAAATAAGAGAAAAGTTTCAGTTGCCAAAAAGTTGGATTTTCAGCAACAAGATGATTTTTCTTCTGCTGACAATATGCAGAATACCTTTTTACCTAAAAATTTAAACACATCAAAAGCACACATCGATTCCAACAACAACAATAATCAATGTAAAAATACATCTCATCAAACCAGTTTAATATATCCAACAACAAATACTGCTTCATCATGTCACCAAGAAAAATTCACTCCAAAAAAAGTAGTATCGTTTCAGATGGAATCACAAACATCTTCCATAGATCCAGGTGACAATGAACCACCAAACAATCCCCAAATCTCTACTTTTACTTCATTGTCACCAATGTCTTCTTTGAATGTCAGTAGCACCAATTCAGCAAGGAAAATTTTGACCTGTAGTGTTGCAACACAAACCAATGTGGATCAAAGCACACAAACATCTCCTTCTACCAAGTGCTTTGATGCTCATTCAATGGATGTCGTGTGCCCAAATTGCTCTCACAAATTTGCGCTAAGTGACATGGTTGAGTATAACATGATATCTTTCACAGAGACATCACCACTAACTGTTCCAAATAACCATGTCACTAACTTCTCATCTCGATCAACACCTTACAGAACTAACGTTTCGAACACTAGTACAAATTACACACCACCATCTTCTTCTAGATCCATCTATAATTCACAACAAATTTCCTATAATTCATACTATCAAACTCCATCTTATTCTAGGTATTCTTTTCCCTCAACAGTGACATCTAGGGTTTATACAAATTACCATCATGAAACTCACATCTTTTCAGAATATAGAAAACCTCTTTCTCCTCTAAATTATGCCTTAGTGAAACAGAGATACAAAACGCAAATATCTCATTTTGACAAACACATCACCAATAGGAATTCTTTTCATTTATCGTAAATCTATTTCTTAATAGAGTCGAGTGAATTTTCAATAAATTTCTTCATAAGACTCACTGAACGAATGTCATACTGAAAAGATTTTGTTGCTATTGTTTTTTGAGAATTGGCATAAAATAGAATAATGGAAGGAAATGAAGTGATTATACCGCGTCCAATCATGGACTTGGTATAAATGTATGCCTTTCTGGAATTTACATTGTATTGACAAATTCTAATTTTTCTAATCATGTCTGGATTGGAATATAATAATTGTGTTAATTCTTTCCAATGTTCTGTTAATTTTTGAGAATACACGCTTTGTGGAGAATAGAATTGGATCACGACAGCTGTCAACACTTTTGATTCAAGTTCTTGTGTGATGTTTGGCCAAATCGTTGGATCAATGTTTAATGAAAATGTTTTAAATTGTGATGTAATGTTGTTGTTGTTAGCAGACATATTGGATAATTCAGTATTGTTGTTGTTGTCGTTCGTAATGGGTGGAATGATGGTTGTATTTGCAAATTGTGCATAGTGTTGTTCGAGGTCCATGATCCATCCAGAATATTGTTTGTTAAAATTATTTTCAATATATTGATTATGTATCAGATAGGAAAGAGAGCACAACACAATGACAGCAGCATATCGGAAAAATAGTGTGGAAAGAGAAGGCGATGATGAGTGTTGTTGAAGTTGGTCAGCCATTACGAATGAATTTTTTTTTGTTGTGGAAAAAAGGACAGCACGTGGAGGATTACAAGTGTTACTTGTTTAATTCTCCTCCACGTTGACATTGAAAATTGCAATTGAAATTTTACAATTACCATCATCATCATACTCATACTCATCATTCTTACATTCTTTCAGCAACAGTAATGCCAAGCAATGAGAGACCATGTTTTAAAACTTCACTAAAAGCAGCCACAAGTCTAAGTCTGGTTTGTTTGAGAATTTCAGTTTCAGCATTCTTGATTGAAACTGCTTCATACATCTTACTGAATTGCTTGCAAAGGGTGTAGAGGAAAATGCAAAGCAATTGTGGTTTGTATTGTTCTGTAGCTCTCTCAACGACTGCGTGATATTGACGAATGGTTGATAAAAGTTTCTTCTCAGTTTCATGAGAGAGTAAAGCAAAGTCTATTGGAGCATCTTTCACTAATCCAACCTTTTCAAGAGTTGATTTCGATCTGGCATAGGCATACATGAGATAAGGACCAGTATTTCCTGATTTGGATGCCCATTCCTTCAAATCAAAAACAATATCCTTATTGTTGTCTTGATTCAACATTCCATACTTGATAGCACTGATAGCAATTTTTCGAGTCGTTTCATTAATTTCTTCCTCTGGCCATACTCCCTTATATTTCACCATGAAATCTTGATAAATCTTTTCTGTGAGTAATTTCTGAAGTGTACTAAAGTAAATAATGTTACCCTTTCGACTACTCATCTTACCATCTGGTAACACGACCATACCATAAGCCAAATGTTTACATTTCTTTGCTTGTTCAAATCCAAGAATTTCCAAAGTCTTGAATACTTGTTGGAAGTGTAAACTTTGACTCACATCCACCACATAGACACTTCGATCGACTTTGAACTCTTCAAACTTTCTCTTGGCAAGAGCTAAATCTTTGGTTGCATACAAACCAGTTCCTGCAGAGGTTAACAAGACACAAAATCCAAGCTGTTTACCCAAATCAGCACCAATGGCACCATCGGATTTGATCAATTTGCCTTCTTCATAGGCCTTGAGAACAATTTCCTTACTTTCATCACCAACATCGGACTCATGGAAGTAGTGATCGAATCGACAATCACTCCATTTGTAAATTTCTTTAAAGTCATCGATGGACCATTGTCGAGTAATTTCCCACAACATGGAAATATTCTTTTGATGGTCTTCCATGGCTCTCAAGAGAGATTTGACTTGAGTTTCTCTCTTTTTCATTTCCAAAGTAATGTTTGGAATGGTAGGATCTACATTTTCAGGATTTCTTCCCAATTCAGTAAGTTCAATACCCACAGGAGTAGTATCAGCTGGGAACACATGAATTTTCTCCTTATTTTCACTCGTTCCAAGTTCAGCTTCACTCAAAATAAAACCTTGAGAAATGACACCTTGCTTATCGACTTCAGTGACAAGTCGAGCTCCCTTCTTACTTCCGAGTGGGGCATACGGTACAATATCATTCACTTTGTAATCTTTACCGCCACAAACCACTGTAAAGTGTTCAATGCCATTTGTAATTTTCAAAACTTTCCACTTATCATTGGAAGGATGGTTATTGATTTCTTCAATCTTTGCAGTAATATATCCCATCAATGGATATTTGGTCCAAGATGCAAAATCTAATTCATAAAATCCTTTCGTATAGAGTTCACCTAACCATTCGACATGAGGTATCTCTTGTGGTCTTGCTGACTCTAACATTTCAACAATTTGTTCTCTGCTCAATTCTTGTGTTTCAAATTCCTCCAAAGTGGTCTTCTTAACAAAATAGAGGAAATACCACAAGCACTTGGCAATGTGAGCACCAACATCACCAATATAATTCACAGCATGGACATGATAACCACACCATTCATACAACAAGACAAGAGAGTTTCCAAGTGCTGCATTTCTCATGTGACCCACATGGAAAGTCTTGTGAGTATTTGGTTGTGAGTATTCAATCATGACATTTTCATTCTTGTGTGGTCTTTGAGCAAGGAAAGATCCAGCAAGAATGTCAGGAATAATACTACCCAACAATGATGGCAAATAATAAAAGTTAATATATGGGCCTTCGTTCTTGCACTTCTCAACAATGGTGTTATTCAACAACAAGTTGGTATTAATCTCATTAGTCACCTCGGAAGCAATTTGGAAAATAAAATCATTGAATTTGACTTCTTTTGGCTTTTTTGGACTTAAAGGCTTTCCAAGAGCAAAACAAGGGAAAGCGATATTATGCTCCATATCATATTCCTTTGGTAATTCTAATTTGGATTCTATTTCATTCTCCATAGAACTGATATCCACACCATAAATTTTGTTCACGGCTGTAATGATTAATTTTGCGAGAGTGAGTCTGATATCCTTTTCTTGGGACATGATGAACAACAACAACAAGATGATGTTTGGATATTTTTTTTCGTTTTTTTTGAGAAAATTTCTCTCAATTTATTCATCGAGTCCAACATTTCTGCAGACAACTCTGATTTCGAAATTGAAGGTGACGAAACTCATTCATCTTTGAAATCTGAGTATGCTTTTATTTAAATCCACGACTGATGCATTTGCATATCCATTTCAAGCTTCAAAACTGTAAAAGAAGAAAGGACTCATACCACTCTGCCGTATACGAAAGGAGGGCTCTCAATCAGTGTGTTGTGGCAAAGAAGCGAATTAAAATATTTCTTGAAAATTTCTGTCATTTGCAATTCCACATGTCAACATTACTTTCCACATTCAGGACATGGAGCCTTATCTTCATTGTCCTCATCATCGCTTGAATCGCTTTCAGTGTCACTTTCGTAATATGCTTTCTTACGATGAAATATACAACATTCTTTGTTGATATATAATTTCCAACACATTTATGTTCAAATAATAATAATAAATTAATTTTGTTTAACAAATAACTTTTCAATAAATCTATTCATCCAACCTACTTTTAGAAGTTTTCATTTGTTTGTGTTCATTATCTTCTACATCTTTTGTAAAAGTAACATGCTTCTTTTTCCGTTGTGCTCTTAATTTCATTCTTATTTGTGATGCCTCCATCGGAGCAAACACAGTGACTACACTTGTAGTTGGAGCATTCGATGCTGTTGTTGTTGATGATGATGTATTATTAGGCATGACGAGTGTACCAGAGGACACAGAAGGAGAGGAAAGAGTACCACTTGTTGTTGTTATTCGGCTGTTATCACTTGAAGAGTAATGGGGTAATGCATTTATATTTGCGGAATGAAATTGAGATGGGTGTTGTTGAGGAAGAGAGGATGATGATGACGATGCAACATTCGTCGTATGACTTTCGATTAAACTCCCGAGAGTGTGCACTGCGGGGTGACTCATTTTTTGAGAAACAAAAATAGCTGCCCGCATATGGCCAAGTGGTTTTTCTGGAACTGTGGCAGCCAACTGGTCCAGCGTTCGAATCCCAGGGGTTGCTGTTGTTATCGTGAGCAGTTTAAACACCTTTACTTCCGGGGTGCCTGCTAGGAAGTCACTACGTATCTTACGTTCGGCTTGTAAATAATGTACATAAAACCATCGAACAACGTTTATCATCGAATAAACCCATCCCTGAATTTTTTGAGAAACAAAAATGGAACACAACACGAGCAGCAGCAACAGCAGCAACCCGCACTCGGACCCGATGAAAGTGACCCTTTCCGAGTTGCAACAGATGAGATTCATTCTCTATTCCTTCAAAAAGGAACAACAACAAAAGCAACAACAATGAAAGATACTCTCTTCTTCATTTATAATATTTAAAATTACAAAAAGCAAAAAAGCCTTTGGGGTTCAAGGTTAGTCAGCACCTCGAAAGTTGGCATTTAAGCAGTTTGTCGTAACATTTGGGCTGCCACTTCCATCTTCACAGAAGATCAGGAGCACCACTGCATCATTTAAAAGAACCAGTGGAATCAGAAGAGACATGAAGAGAGCATTCATTCCCATAAAAATTACGTTTTATTCAATAAAAAATTATGGGAATGTGCCAAATAACCAAGCTTCACAAAATTTGTGCATTGTGGGCACACACCTCATCCATTTCGTTTGCATTTCGTTTGTGTGTAGTAGTAGTAGTGCCTATCTCCATGATGACCTATTCATTGAACACGAATGTGTACAAATCTATAACAGAGTAAAGCCATCATTATCATCGTCGGTGTTGTTTAGCTTATTCTTCTCTTGGTCCTCATTGTTGCTGCTCAATTGATCTTCTTTTATTTCTTCTTCTTCGTCATCTTCATCTAAGGATAACATATTTTCCATCATTTTCAATGTCTTTTCATGCAATTCTTTCAACCCAGTCAATTCTTCCAAATACTTGCTATCATTGAATACTCTCTCCAAGAAGTGGTAACCCTCTTTCTCATATCCACTTACAACCACAGGAGAGCAGCATGTACATTGAGAATAGGATGATCCATACAATAAATTGGTTTGATAGTTAGAAATAGATCCACGAATCTGGTGAGGTATAACACCTAAATCACTTTGTGTGCTATTGTCCTGATTGCTCAAGAGTTGTTGTTGTGAATCATATAAAAGTTTGGGATTGAAAGCTCCTGCATGGTTTTTCAAAGGATGATGCAACAATGAAACCAACAGCTCCACAGCAAGAGATCCTGCAATGGCACTTACACCAGGTCTAGTCACCGTACATTGTTGATCGAGAGTTCTATCCTTCATACTCTGTTTCACAAATGTACGTGAAAGGATGGATCAAAGAGCACCGAGGACCGAACATGTGAACAAGTCATCATCCATGGATGATGAATGAATTACCAAGGTCATGAGAGACAACAACAAGCACTACTACTACTACTTACATTCACAGGTGCTACGACATCATTACAAAAGTAACATCCAAGTCGATCCTTCTTCACACTTTCAGTCTTCATGTCATAGACTCCATATCTCATCACAAGATAGGACTCAAATCCAAGTGCAGCATTAATAACAATTTTCTTCTTTTGAATCGCAATCAATGATGGTAACCATCTGGATTCACGAGTATCCGTTAATAAGAATACAGCATCATGTTCTTCAATGAGTTGTTCGAGTTGTTCCACATTGGTTCGTGTTTTCTCTGAATCAGTCACAAAATGACCTGGCATTGGAATATCCAAGCTGACACCTCTCGTATTCACATTCGGATAAATCTTTCGTAAATGTTCAGCTGCACAAATGGCCTTATCTTTTCCACCATCAAGACAATCTTCATATTCAAACAGAGGCTGTCTTACAGGATTGCTAAAACTCACTTTGGTTCGATCTAAAAATGTAATATTGAAAATACCCCATGCCATCAAGTTACGAGCAACATGACATCCAAGAGTTCCACTTCCAATCAGTAAACATTTCGTTTTTGAAAGCATGTCTAAATCGAGAGAAGGAAACATTCTCCATTTCATGAGTTGAAGATTTAAGGTAACAGAACTCTCTGCCAATTTGATGGGATCCATCGTGCTTCCCATGTTCACAAATCTTGGACCGAGTTTGTTTTTTGCATTCTTTTCCCATCCAACAACGCTGAGAGAAGATGATGAAACTTGTTCGTCATGATTGTACTTCAATTCAACATTCAATGTAATACTTGCACTAATGTCCTTTCTTGATGGATCTTCTCTGAAACACAAAACTTTGAAGGTCTTTCTATTAAATGTCAATGCAGCAGCCAATAGATAATTCCTTAAAACCCAACTTGGATACTCTTTCAAAGCACTCGGATCAGAAAATCCCAAATAAGTATGATCAAAATTAATTTCCTTCCAATCACTTAATGGTCTTACTTTAACATCATTTGTCTTTTCGACAAAATAAAAACCGTGTTGATTCTTATTGTAAATACTTCTGTATTCACTCATTGCAATTTGTAAAGCATCTTGATCTTTTTCACTTAATGGAGTTACCTGGTTGTCATAAATAATTTCCATGTCAGGAAAGGACAAGGATGGAAATGCAAACCAATAATAAAAACTATGATGTTTCAAGTCCGCAAAAGTGATCAATAAGAAATGGGTCAATTCAGTTGGATTCAATAGCCAATGACTGTTCTTAATATGATTTTCATAAATTGTTTCAATTCCTATTTTTCTCAACATTGCTTTCTTATCATAATTATTAAATTCCTCGATAGTGTTTGCATTGTAGAGAGTACCAGGTGATTGAAACATGTAAGGATTTGAAGCACAATTAGATGATACAAAAGCGTTCTCTCCCAATCTCCATTTAGAACTCAGAGCTGCATTCGATTGTTCTTGAGATGAAGATCCATGATGGTGGTGTTGTTGTTGGATAGCATTCAAAACTTGAGAATTAAATACTCTTCCGGTGGTATAGATTGCAAAGATTGGCTTTGGTTGAATATCTAAACGATATTCCAATAATTTTTTGTTTTCCAAATCATACCAAAATTGGTGATCTACAAGAGATTGTATCAATTCGAATTTTAAAACCGATGAGCTCGTCATCATCATGATGAAACAAAGATCCGATTGAGAAGGTTCAAAGATGTGTGTTTGATATTTTTTTTATGATTTTTTTTTGATATTTTCTGTCCTCGATCATCAGGATCCATGTCCCTCCTCACCAACCACCTCCACCACCTCCACCACTACCCTCACATCTAAAAACCTTTGAAAGTTTTCATCAAATGTTGATTGCTTAGAATTGTCATTAGAATTTGAGGACAACTTTCCAACCAAGATATAAAGCTGTTGTTGCAACCAAGGGACTTTGGGTTCTAATAAACATTTTGAAATAAACGGCTGATATTGAATCACTGATGATGGTTTGGTGTCATGATGATGGTGATGTGGTGGTGGCAATGGTGGTGAGGAAATACTTTCGTGAGTAGCACGACTTTCGATACAGTATTTCACAATGGTCTCTCTAATTAAAATATCTATAAACTCTCCACATTCCTCTCCATCAATACAATTTACAATATGATATTGGAATGGTTTTACATAATGATAAAACGAGTCTTTGTGAACTTGCTCAAATAAGTTGACCATATCAGAGACTTGTTGTCTCACTTGGTGATGTACATTTTGTAATTCTGGTCGAATAGGAGAGAGTATTGTGGATGAGTCACTATTTGATGAATTGAAACTTGTTGTGAAATTCAGTGTGCTAGTATTGTTCAATGGAGCAGAACTCATCGTAAAACTAGTGTTATTGTTAGACATTGAAGTGTTAGTGTTGGTGAGAGCGGTCGAAGTATTATTACTACTTGTTAAATGGAGCGATGATGATGATTTGATGTCAGAGTAGGTCAACGTATTGGTACTACTACTAGTACTACTTGTATGTGGATCCTCTTGAAGTGTTGAAAGAATGGAGTAGGTAGAAGTGTTGGTGGTCATGTTGGTTGTTGTTATTGGTATTTCAGAAGATGGAGATCGATCACGACTGATCGTATTCTCATCCTCAACGTTTGTTTCTTTTTGTTGGTCATGATGAGAGTAGTTGGCGGTAGAGGAATGAAAGGTGTCGATGGGATGAGGAGTAGTACTTGTTGCAATGGTATTATTATTTGTGGTCATTCGATTAAGGTCGACACTCGTCTTGTTTGTTTCCTTACTACTCAGAGTGTCATTGCTCTGTAACACATTCAATGTATTTGTTGAAGGATGTGAAGACTGAAGAATGAGGGAATGGTGGTGATGTGAGAGGGATGTATTATTGTTCATCATCGTCATCATCGTCATGGTGGTTGTCATGGTGGTTGTCATGGTGGTTGTCACTGCACTTGTGGTTGAAATGGTACTATTTAGAAAATATAATGATTCCAATAAGAATAATTTCATAGGGTTGAACTCGACGACCTGTCTCTTCAAGATCATGTCCATAAATAGATCTGGTTTGGTAAAGATGAGAATGACATTTTTACATTCCCTTAATAGAGCTCTATTAATGACATCTCTGTAGGTGTTTAGACTTTCACTCATACGATTGACAGAATCATTCTCAATCAGTGTTTGATTAAATTCACACATGGATACAAAATAAAGTACAAAATCAGCTCTTTTGTCTCGTAGGAAAAATTCCCATTTCTTTTTTTCAGAAGCTCTTCCTCCTGAACATGCATAACGTATCAAATGTTGATTCGTAGTAGAGCATGACATTTGAGTTAGAATAAGATCATCTTTTTGAAACAAAATATGAATTGCTCACTTACCAACATCGACAAGAGTAAAATTAGTCTTTGAATCATAATTGAGAGTCGTTTCACTCTTACCAATGGTGAGGCATCGAATGAGAGGAGTATATTTATCTTTGATGGGTGAAGGACGATGGGATGGTAATAGTGAGCTACCTATTTGTGGTGAAGTGGTGGTCGGTGGAATATCCTCAAACTCAGAAAATGATGATGAATCGTGAGAAGCATTTTGTTGTTGTTGTTGTTGTGATGATAATGTCCCATTATTCATACATGTGGTGGTGCCCATAGGAGTCTCTTGTTGAGATGGTGGTGGTGGTGATACTTGTTGAGATGGTGATACTTGTGGTGATTTCTTGGATGCTCCCATCAATTTCATCCTTCGAGTATTTTGTTTAATTTTTCCTCCCAAAGTTTCATCACTTTCACTCAAAATTAAAAACATGTCCTCACATAATATATTAACGTTATCATTCAAATTATGACTTTCCTTGTGTTTCCAATATAAATCCCTAATGATTTGATATTTCCTCCAAATATACTGAATGTATTGTCCGCACAGGATTGAGGCTTGTTTTGTAAATTCAAATTTTGTGTTGAGCGAATTCATACTACAAATGAAATCATATAATTCATTCGGATTGTTACTTTGACTTATACTTCCATCATAATTCAAAATATCAGTTAAGAATTCATCCTTTTCTTGTTGATTCATAATATTAAATATAATTTCATGGAGTGTGCTCAAACATGTTTTAATGATCAACATCAGTCGAGCCTTTTCGTTAGGATAAGGCTTTAATCCGAATTTGGATTTAATTTGGTTCGAGAAACATGTCTTACCACAATCCGAACATGAGAGAAGATATATAGTGAAAGATCGTTGTTGAGTGTGGTCATCATGATGATGGTGATTTCTTTTAAAGAAATGATGGAGTTTGGTTGGATTGGAACATGAACGATGGGAGCGAGAAAGCACTGACATGTTGCTTGTGCTGCTGCTGGTCGTATTGGACTCACTTGAAACGGTGGCAGTAGGGGTACAACTCAAAGACGATGGTGGAGGATAGGAAGAGGATGAACTTGGTTGTTGAAGTTGTTGCAGAGACATCTCCTCATCTTCCACATCTTCGGATAACCAATGAGATTCACTCAAGTTCGAAGAGGTGGAAATTGTGGATCCCATCGATGATAGTTGATTTTAAAAACGTGCTTCGTGGAATTGCAATTAAACTCAGTGATAGTGTCAACCTAAGAAAAAGGTATCAAGAACAACAAACTGTCACAACATCACTCGGCTCAATTTTTTGAGGTTATCGAGGAACGCTTTAGAGAGGAAAGATTCACCGAATTTCAGCCTAACCAGTGAAAGGTCGACGTTTTTCTCTCCTTCCAAAAATTGCAAGTCCTTTCTTTATATTCTCACAAACCAATATAACCTTGTTACAGTAATGACTCCCACCACCTGTTTTTCACACATCCAAAGAGTCAACAAAAGGATGTGGCCATTTCTAATTCATTTCCAATGAATGGATTGCCTCACATGAGATCAAGAAGAAATGTTGTTTTGGTCTTTTAGAAGGCGATTTCAACAACAGGTTTGCATCGCGAGTTGGACCCTACTTCTAATGAATTCCTCCCTCACCTCCGTCAAGAAGAACTCGACTCACATGGTGCTTGACCTTAGTGAGGCATTCCTGAAGTTTTCTTTGAAACAATAATAAATGTCATCTGCCATTTGGCAGGAGTTTCTCTACAAGTACTTGTTCAGGCGATCTGTGTTTTTTATTGGTGCGCATCTTCTTATTCATACCTTGTCAAAGAGAGCTTCATGTAGTGCAGAGAAATCATTAGGACGTTTTTGGATGGCATCTTCGAGGACTTTCTTGGTTTTATCAACAACTTGTGGATAGTCCATATATCCAGAAGAGCTCTCTACAAATAGTTTGTGCAACAGCTTGCAAATCAGTATGAACAATTGGCCGAATACAATCTCAGGCTCTAGAGAATCATTCTTGACTGTGTTTCATCATCATTACAGAATATTATTAATGACCAATACATGATCATCTTTCCTTACCTTGTAAACACATAAATCGAAATAGAGGAAATTTGTTTTCAATGTTTTCAATTGGACAAGTGGCAAGATTCTCAGCATTCAACAATGTGCACAATGCAAAGAATAAATTAATTCCAGACACACAGAATGGGTATGCATGTTGTTCATCAATCAATGATTTCATCAATTTTAGATCATTTCTTGCAAAATATAATAACTGATCACCATGCACTCAATTTTCCATGTTGTGTTGGTAACACGATCACTTACCATCTTGAGAGACATGACACCTCCTCCTCTAAAATCAGTGCTTGGATTATCACCTTGAAATCCAATGCTTACCCATTGTCGTGACTTTCTGGCAATAAGTGGATCATCTGGCCTCAGTAGAGAATATAACTCCAATAAATCTTTTTCATGCAATTCATTATTTTCATCATATCTTTCCTTTCTTAACTTGGAGACAGTTCCCGCCAAATAATGAATCACTCGAACTTTTGCAGCTTTGTACTGGTTCATTTGGGCACCAATAGTATAGATCAATTCTTTTCTATCAAAGCAATAGAATTGAATGTGTGATTCACTATTATACAGAGTAATTTCTATGACTTCAAAACCATCACCTCGATAGGTATTATTAGTCTCTCTAATTTGCATAATGTCATCAATGTATATTTGTTGTACAAAGGTGTAATCAATTCCTTTGTCCTTAGAATTATTTTCAATAAGAAGATAAATGAGAAGAGAACTTGATGCCTATTCATTCATCAATGGTTGTTGTTGTTGGTTTGGTAGTGTTCATCATTGTGGTTATTCAACAAGTTGTTCATCATTGTGGTTATTCAAGAACACCAATAGCAATATTAATATCATTATCATCATCAATATTAATATAAATCAATATATTTGGTCCATGCACCACTTACCTTATCTACAGATATCACGTGAGGCTTTCCTTTCAACTCAACAAAAAAATCATCTCCGCTCAATCGCATCTCGAGAAGAACTTTTTTCACCTCTTCGATTCGTCTGAACTTGTCTTCATACCATTCTTGCTCCCGTAACAAAAATTGACCATTTTCATTTTCCTTCTCTTCATCATAATTACTTTCAATTTCAATAATACGTTTAATTTTTCTCTTTTCCTCTTTTGTTGCACGACGAAATTGATTAATTTGTTTAAATATATCAGCATAGGGATGATCAAAAAGAAAGGCTAATGGAGAATTATGAATATCAAAAAAGTAGTAGATGAGAAAATCAAACGAGTCTAGATCTTTCTTCTTGTCATCTAAATTCTTCTTTCTTGCTTCTGATTGCAGTTGTAATATGGTACAAAGGTATTCATTGAAGGCTTTCTTTCTATAATCCAGTAAGTTTTGATCATTATATGATGTGATTGGACTCTTTGAAGGAAATTTGATATTCGAGAAGGCTTCCTTGTTTGGATATGTTTTCTTGAGCAATGTATGAAATTTCTTGAATTCGTTATATCTTCGAACGACTTTGTGTTGGCATTTCATTGAATCATTGTTAAAACCAATCACTAAATCAATTGAGTATCCAATGTATTTCTTATCACCACCATTGATGAATGGAAGGTCAGTACTTGTGGAGGAAGAGCTTTTTTTAAAATCAAATTCAACAGTCTGATTAATCTGTGCATAGAGAGATGAAATTAAATCACTTTTTGTTAATGTAGGTATCCAAACAGAAACTCTTCGCTTTCTACTGGAATACGAAATGTTAGAGGTGTTTGATGAAGTAGGACTACCATTACTATTCTGAGCGTTAGAAAATATCTCATCAGTGCTTCCGATATTGCTATTTCCACCATATTCACCAACAAATTCTGAATTTCCCGTCTTCACAGGTGAAGAAACAGCATAATGATTTTTAGGCTTGTTAAAATATCTGCGATTGTCATCAAGATATACCACCAATTCTTGATCCTCAAAATTATCATCGTCATCATCCAATTCTTCCGATCCAAAAACCGAGTATGGATGGCCAGGTTGTTTCAATGAATTCCTGGACTCGGTATTACGAGGAAGAGAAATTTCATCGTCGTCACTTGCTCGCATCATTTTTTCAGTTTGCACAGAAATCGCAAAAAGGTTACGAATTTTGTCAACAAAACGAGATGATGAAAATTGGGGGAGGTGTGTCTACTCGGAATGAACTACAAAGCACAATCTCGAAAGGTACCCAGTAGCTGTCTTTGAGAGACCGCTTTCGCTTGCAGTATTCCACTCCTTCGACGCTGAAAGAATCCGTATTGAATAGATGAAACAGCAACAATAGAGTGGGTGATTGACTAGAGAAGTTTATTGTAAATTCTCTCTCGGTACCAAAAGAGGTCATCTTGTTCTTCAACATTATGGTTTCGGGGTTGTTCTGAAAAAAAAATGCAAAAGAGTCTTTTCCTTTCATCCTCTTTCAGCCTCCTCATCAAAAAGAATACCAACGCTCTTCCACAGCTCGCTATCTCATCATCATCATTTTTGAAGCAACAATTACATCAACAAGAACGAGAATTTTCTCAAACTATTCTTCCAACCATGAGCGCTCAAATTTATAACGAAAATTTAAAGCCTATCATTGAAAAACAATTGAACGAAATCAGACAAGCAGGAACATACAAGAAGGAAAGAGTCATCACTTCTCCTCAAGCATCAAAGATTACAACACTTCAAACCGGAAAGAATGAGGTCTTGAATTTCTGTGCCAACAACTATTTGGGATTGAGCGATCATCCAGAGTTGATCAAAGCAGCAAAGAAGGCTCTTGATACTCATGGTATGGGTCTATCATCGGTTCGTTTCATTTGTGGTACTCAAGATATCCATAAGGAATTGGAGGCTAAAATTTCAGAGTTCCACGGCACGGAAGACACCATTCTCTATCCATCATGTTTCGATGCTAATGGAGGCTTGTTTGAGTGTCTTCTCAATGAAGAGGATGCTGTAATCAGCGATGCTTTGAACCATGCCTCAATTATTGATGGCATTCGTTTGTGCAAGGCCCAACGTTTCAGATACAAGCATATGGACATGGCTGATTTAGAAAGACTTTTACAAGAGACTCAAAGTGCTCGTACCAGATTGATCGCAACGGATGGTGTGTTCAGTATGGATGGAGATGTTGCGCCACTTCCAGAAATTGTGAAATTGGCTGAAAAGTATAAGGCTATCATATTTATCGACGAATGTCATGCAACTGGATTGTAAGTACTTTGTGTTATACCAAACACATTTTTGACATTTGTTATTATGTCGAATAATATTTCTCGAATTCGATCTATTGTGATCTGCACTTGATGTGATAATTAACAAAATCATTTAGCTTTGGAAAAACTGGTCGTGGAACTCCTGAACATTTTGGTTTGGAAGGAAAGATTGATATCATCAACAGCACTTTGGGAAAGGCTCTGGGAGGTAGCACCGGTGGATATACGACAGGAAGAAAAGAAATTATTGAATTGTTGAGACAACGTGCTCGTCCATACCTCTTTTCCAACTCATTGGCTCCTCCAGTTGTTGGTGCATCCCTCAAAGTTTTCGAAATGATCTCAAAGGATACTACTCTCAGAGATCGGCTCATGGAAAATACGAAACTTTTCAGACAATCCATGAAGAAAGCTGGTTTCGAAATTATTGGCGACGACTCTTGTCCAATTGTTCCTGTCATGCTTAGAGATGCAAGACTAGCATCAGAATTTGCGGATGAAATGTTGCAACGAGGTATTTATGTCATTGGATTCTCATATCCTGTTGTTCCAAAGGACCAGGCAAGAATCAGAGTTCAATTATCTGCTGGTCATTCCAAGGAACAAGTGGAGAAATGTATCAATGCTTTCATTGAGGTTGGAAAACAAAAAGGAATTATAAAGGTTTAGAGCCATGATGAATGGTTTATAATGTTAAATAGTATACTTGTTGTTGTCGTCATGTTTGCGATAAAGAATGATTGGGAAATTCTCAATGATTTGATATCCATCTGCAAAAATTACAATCAAATTCACTTCAAACTGAATTCTGAAATTACTGCCAATCAATGTTGGGCATGTGAACAGTCTTGGAAAAACCATATAAATGGGCAGTTTCAATCCTTTGCACACATTTCCTTCCCCAAGTTGCAAATTCTGAATTTCTGTTGCTTCTTTAATCATATTTCCTCCTTCTACGCTGCAGCTTTCTACTCTAATGAGTTGAATCTCTACTGATTTAATTCTTGATGAAGTTTTAATAATTTCAATTTCTCCTTCGAATGGCTCTGTAATATCACAAATGGTATCAGCAATGTATCCCTTAATTTCATACTCAGGTATTCCAGAAACATTGTGACGAAGAACATTTTGTAAAGTCTGAGGAGTGAGAGTAAAATGTTTTGGTTGTTTTGGAATTACAATATTCGTTCCTGGAGAAGAGGTTTCATCCTGTTGTGATTCTGAAGAAGGAGAATTTTCTGATGATGCAGTACTGATTAAATTTCTGGCAATTGCAACACCTTGTCCTCTATTATAAACAGTAAAATCAAGAGTAGTTTTTTGATCTTTGCTGAACAAGCCCATTTTAACTTCACATGATATCTTGTAGCGACATGCTAAATAAACACCAGCATAGGTTTCATAGAGTGGAATTTTCTTGTTGAGTGGTTGCAACACAAATTCAAAAGGAATATCAGTAATTCCACTCGGAAATTTCTGTCCAACTTTATCCAATTGTATTTGTAGATCTAATAATTTGATTGGTTTGAATGAATTCATTACCACATCAAATATATTTAAATTGCTTGTTCCATTATATTGAAATGTTACTATTCCTTCTACTTGTAAATTAATAGCTGATGATTTAAATCCGCCAGGTTTAGCATTAATCTTTACAACTCCTCGAACTTTCTCTCCGGAGAAGTAAGTACGATCTGGTCTTTTTAATTGAATTTCAAGGCTTTGCATCGATGATGATGATCTCAGAGAGGGTTGAGCTGAGTGTGGAGAAGATTTTTTTTGAAAAGTTTTTTCTCAAATTAATTTTTGGAAACAACTTCTGAACATTAAGAGGAAGCACTGAGGAAACTCCATCTCGAAGAAATCTCGAGATCGGATTTATTGTTCTTTCAGTTTCTTTTGAGGAGGTTCCTTTATGGAGGATTCAGGTGGATTGGAGTTTTGAAATAACTCATACTTGATGTACTTATCATTGTCTGTTTTCTTGGTTGTAATCTTTTTCGAGGGATCTTTGGCGTAGTATTCCTGTATGAGACAATATTGATGAACATAATAGTAGAGTAAATTTTCCAAATTCTCTTCGTAGGATTCCTTCCCAGAATCACCATGTGATAAGAGAGAAGCCTCATTCATCATCGCTTGTACAAATTCCTTATAAAAATAATAAATGGCTTCAATGGTACTAAGGAATTTTTGACCTTCTTTTTGGTACCGCCAAAACAAAGTCTCCTTTTCTTCAATGACGACACATGGTAATCGATGAATTAATTCGTTCCGATATATTTGTTTTGCTTGACCCCATGTAGAGTCAATAAATACAGCATATTTCAAGTCGGAGGTATTGATGATAGGACATGATTCTGTGGTATTACTACTGCTAGCACTATTACTTGATAGTTTGAATAAATCACGCACTGGTTTTGCGTTCTTTGATGGAAAAACAAGAATACTATTGTTTGGAGTAATAAATGATGGAACATCGGGAAATTCATATAAATCAACGCTCGAATGGGCAACCACTTTTGCTTGACTTGCTGTAGATTTTGTTTTTCGTTCCAATTTATGTTGAATAATAATGCAATGAAGAGGTAATTTAGAAATCGTTGGTGCCTGATCAATAATTGGAACACAACAATCGTAACAATAATATTTTCGATTCTTTTTACATTTCGGACAAGGCTCTTTAGGACGGCTGTCAAACGATGCAATGTGAGAGATTGGAGGATTTGTGAAAGGAGGAATATGAAAGTGTTGGTAGACCATTTGTAAGAGTGGAGAGTTGTTGATCGAGTCATCATTGTGATGAGAGCTTGTTGGTGGTGTTGCCATCTCCTCTTGTGGCTCCGAGTTTGAAAGAGTCATAGGTCGAGTATTTTTTTATGAGCTTCGTTTTTGTTTTTGAACCAGCAATAATCCACAGGAGGGTCTGAAACAACTGAATGATCTCTAATGACTCAATAGCTTCCAACATCAGGACAAACGGATGTATGCTAGAGTTAAAACCCACTGGAATGTTGTGTTTCATCCTGCCTTTAACCCCTTCAAGAATCAACCCTTCATGAAAAGCTATCTCTACAGAAAAAGTCGAAATTTGGCGCTCCATTATCTCGCTCATGAAACACACAAGGTTCAAAAAATTGAAGTGAGACTCGTTCTCTTCCTTGCTTCAGCAAACCGTTTGCTCAGCTCTCCCTCAGAAAGGATCCGTTCTTGGTATTAAGCGATCGGTCGTTATAGAGTCTTTGGATCGCTGTTTAATGGATCGGAACCTCATACAAGACACCATCATCCATACAAATTGAACACTATTTGAGTGGGGCTCCTTCATCATGATTCAAACTTCCACACTTCCAAAAACCAATAGTCGGAGAAGCTATAATTATGTTCCTCAATATACTTCCTCCTCTGTTCGCTCCTCTTCAAATAGGGGAAGGGATTCTTTATTGTACAGTAATTCATCATCATCACCCTCTTCCTTCTCAAATACATCATGTTCCTCTTTGTCCTCTTCTTCATCAACCAATGTTTCACGAATGAGTTCAAGTTATTATTCACCTTCCTCAATCACACCCACCTCACCAAATCAACCAAATTCTACTCAAGTCTATTCCAAATATTCTCATCGATTCGGAAATATTTCCAGTAATTACCATTCACCCAACTTTCTTTCCAAAAAATCCAATCCATCTCTCGTTGATCATCAAGAAGAAAATGTCATGACTCCTTCCAATTATGCAATTCTTTCAAATGGAAGCTTGAAAAGAAGACCATCCAGTTCTCTTGTGAGTAAAAGAAATACAGACATGTTTGGGACTTATTATACTTTTAGTGACGAAAAAACACCCAAATTAGTCTCACCGTCTTCAAGAAAAGAATCATTAAATAGAAGTTTGGATGTGAGTTTTGAAAGAGAGAGATCCAAATCTCAACCAAAATCTCTACTTCGAAAACAAACTACTTCTCCTTCACCCTCTCTTCTTTTACAACCAACAAAAGATCATGGCTCATCCATAAAAAACCTCATGTCTAATTTATTTGGATCCAAGAAAGGACAAAAAGAGATTCAACCTCAGCAGACATTATTATCAACCAACGAGTCGTTGTCGACTAGTTCCACTCCTCCACTCACTGATTCCCCCACTCTTGTTGACCATTCTCTTGAAGCAGCAGATGAAAAGAACCTTCCTCAAACCTCAATTCTCAAGGAAAGCAGCACTTCCATTGAAGAAAAGATGGAGAAAGCTTTAAGTGTAGAGTCAAATGATGCAATTGCACCTCCGTTGCCAACCAATAGTTACTTGCTTGGTCATGGCAATAATGCTGGACTTAGAAACATTGGAAATACATGTTTTATGAATGCCACATTGCAATGTCTATGTTCGATACAACCTATCAGAGATTTTTTCACTTCACCATTTAAAATCAATCCAAAAAAGGAAGGTAATTTGGCAAAGCAATTCTCGTCGCTTCTTAAAAATTTAATTGCTCCATCCTGTGAATCTGGAAGGGATCCTTTTTTCGCGGTAAATCCAGTTGAGTTTAAGAAAACTCTCAATCAATATACATCTCTCTTCAGAGGATATGAACAACAAGATTGTCAAGAATTTCTGAGATATGTACTCGATGGATTACATGAAGATCTTAACAGAGTGGTTGATAAACCAAATTATGAAGAATTGAAAGATATACCACATGAGAGTGTCATTGATAAATCGATTCGATGGTACAATAACTACATTGAAAGGAATAATAGTTTCATTACAGATTTGTTTTTAGGACAATTAAAGTCCGAAATTCGTTGTCATGCATGTGGAAGGCAATCTGTCACATTTGATCCATTTTTAGATATTTCCTTATCCATTGATTTTAAAAGCTCATTCAGAAGAGGAACCAATGGTCACTATTCTTGGCCACCAATCTCCAAACAATATCACAATATGGGTCATGAAGTGTCTCTAAAGGAATGTCTTTTTAAATTTACAGAAGAAGAGATGTTAACTGGAATTGAACAAGTCTATTGCTGTTCATGTAAGGCTCATCAAGATGTTACCAAGAAACTAACTTTCTATCGAGTTCCTGAAGTACTTGTCGTTCAATTGAAAAGATTTTCAAATGATGAAAAATTGTTAACTCCTGTCTATTTAAGTGATCCAATCAATTTTTCGAATTTCATTGCGAAAGAGGCTAGAGATTGTTTTTATCAAAATGAATCCATTGAATATCAATTATTGGGAGTTGTCAAGCACTATGGAAGTTTAAGAGGAGGTCACTATACGTGTCAAGTCAAAAATTCCAGTGAAGAATGGTACGACTACAATGACAGCACTGTGAAGAAATTACACCATTTCAATCCATCCGATAGTTCATCGTATGTATTGTTTTATGGACGAATAAAATATTCAGAATCGAGTGAGTAATATTACTAGTCATTTATTGATGTATGTATACATGATGGACGTTTTGAGTAACATATTTGAATCATCAGTAGTATATACTGAGATGGATTTCATATGTTACTTGTTATTTAAATATTGTCATGGTACCTTTGACTCTCTCTCTTCAATAAAAAAAATGAGTCATTCTCCGACTCGTCAACTGTGGAAAGGCAGTCTTTCAAAATTCCAATCACTCCTATTCGCTCATCATTGTCGCAATTCTCACTCTTTTTCTTCTGAAAGAACCACCTCTCTTCGATACTATTCCATTCTCTCTAAAATTAAAAAAACAAAACAGAAAATTAATACAATTCAACAAGAACATCAAGTCAATCCAACAAGTCTAATCACACCCGAACGTGTCGATTCATTTATTTCCAAACAATTTCCTGAAAAATATAAAGAAATGAAAAAAGCAGAAGGCTTGTATTCTCTAGTGGATCATCAAGAAGGCTTTTCTTCCTTGCCGATGACGAATATAGACACAACAACAATGATACCTCCGACAACAACAACAACCACGACGACTACTTACCCTAACAACACCACTGCAACCACAAATACCACCAACATGACCACAACAACAAATGCAACAAATAGTAAAAGAAATCATTCCATTTCCTTTAGAGAAATGCTCACCAAGGAAGAACGCATTGAATTGGATTTAGAAAATTTAAAAAATATTTTCAAAAAAACAGCAAAACATTCTCCAAATCATTCCAAAGTTTGCAAAGTAACAATTATTGGAGCTCCAAATGCAGGAAAATCAACCATTCTCAACAATCTAGTCCGAAGAAAAGTATCTGCTGTATCTCCAAAGACCCAAACCACTCGAAATCGTTCTCTTGCTGTACTCAATGAATCCTCTCATCAAATTGTGTTTTTTGATACACCTGGTATTCTAAATATGGAACATTCCAAATTGAAAGTGGATAAAACTGCGAAAGAAACAATCGAAGGATTACAAGATGAATCATGTTTAACTATGGAATTGGCTGATGTTGTTTTATTAATGATTGATGTAACAAAACCATTGCAACATGTTGATCATATTTTAGATTTACTTTCAAAATATGCAAAAAAAGAAAAACAATTTCATTTATGTGCATTAATTAACAAGTGTGATATGGTGGAGATGGATCGATGTGAAGAATATAGATTTGAATTGATTCGTTCCAATGTATTTGATCAAGCATTTATTGTGAGTGCTAAAACAGGATATGGATTGGAAAGTTTGAAAAAGTATTTATTTGAAAAGTCAAAGAGTAGAAAATGGTATTTTGATGAAACAGATGGAGTAACACCTTCCATGACTAGTCGTGATGTTGTGGCAGAGGTTATTCGAGAGAAACTCTATCGAAGATGTAATAAGGAAGTACCTTATCAAACACAAATTCGTATTCCCAAATTAGAATTGTCTCCATCAGGTGAATATTTAATCATTGATGCTGATTTGATTGTGAGAAATGTTGGACAGCAACGTATTGTTCAAAATGCTCTCAAATATGTCAATACTTATGCCACTGCAGATTTGCAGAGAATGTATAAGGCAAATGTAGTCATGCAATTTACCATTAAAGTAAAATAATGATGGTTTTATTGGATTCAAAATTTGGTTTGTTTGATTGGTTTGGTTTGTTCGTTTAGTTCAACCATCATGATTGAACCACCAGTTCAGGTGGTGATGGATGTGTCCTTAATTCAATTCAAACTCAATGTTTTTATTATTTTCTTACTTTTCCATTATCACTTTGGCTCCATTCAACATGAAAGGATGCAAGCACTCTGGAATTCTGACACCCAATTTACCAGTCTCTTCATCATAGAATTGATTCTTCTCCAAAATTGCAATCATGGCACGTGGTACAGCAATTGCAGTTCCATTCAAGGTATGAGGATAGAATGATTTAAATCTCACAAAATCTACCTTGTATCTTATATTCAATTTTCTTGATTGATAATCTGTACAATTACTAGCACTTGATACTTCTCCAAATCCACCTCGACTTGGAATGTATGCTTCCATATCAATCTTTCTATGAGCAGGATTACCCAAGTCATTACATGGCATGTCTAATATTTGAAAACAAAGACCCAATTCAGAAAATATTTCTTCTTGAATTTGAATAATTTCTTCTAAAAGTTCTTCACTCTTGTCAGGTGTACAATAAATGAACATTTCTACTTTGGTGAATTGATGAACACGATAGAGACCTCTATCTTTAGCACCAGCAGCACCAGCTTCAGTTCTAAAACAATGACTCAATCCAGCATATTTGATGAATGGTGATGATGTGGTGGTGCTGTTGATGGTAGTGCTAGTGTTGGTGGTGGTGCCATGATTTGGAGGAGTGATGGTGGTTAAAGTTGCATCATTCAAAGACATTTCATGGTTCTGATGTTGTGGCTGCTGATCGGATGGTTGTTGTTGCTGATGTTGTGATGAAAGGAATAATACCTTATTGGCATGAAGTGCAGCCAATCCAATTTCACTCGTTCCAATAAGACATAAGGGATCATTGGAATCACTATTCATGGAATCACTATTTTCAATTCTATAAATTTGTGAATGTTCACCACGTGGTTGAAATCCACATCCTTCCACAATGTGTTGTTTCATTAATTCTGGTGGCATGACAATTTTAAATCCTTTCTTTAAAAGTTTAGAAAGTGCAAAGTTTTGAAGTGCAATCTCTAAGAGAACTCCTTCATTCTTTAAAAAGAAGAATTTTGGACCTGAACATTCATTGGCTGGTTCAAAGAGGTTCAATCTCTCACAAATTTCATAATGTGAAAGTTTTAAAGTTGTCTTGTTGAATTCTTCTTCTTCATTCGAATGAATATATTTGATCAATCTGGGTTGATTAGAATTCTCTTTACAATAATTCATCACTTGTGGATGTGTAAAATTAGGTAATTTAACAGCCTTTTCTTGTAAAGCATTGAATCGATTGGTTTTATCCTTTTCCAAGGATTGAATGAGTGTTTTGTATTGTTTTCCAATGTCTTTCCAAAAATCAGATTTCTTATTTGTTAAATCTGATTGATTTTGAGATTGTTCAACAATTTGAGATGGTAATTGTTCTAAAGTTCTTTTTCCTGCCAAATATTCTGCAATTTCTCTTCTCAAGAATTGAACATGTTCACATTTAGATTCTAATTGAATATATTCTTGATATAATTGAATAATTTCATCAACATTGATTGAATCTTGTAATTCTCTTAATTTAATATTTTCAATCATTTCATCTCTTCTTTGAACGAGTTGTTCAAAATTGAAAATGGAATGAATCGGAGATGGAGGAGCAAAAGAGTCTTGAGAGTTGTTTTTTTGAATGTGAGTTGAAATGTTCCTATTAGGAAAATTGTTGATGAAAAGGCTTGAATGATAGCCTTGTTGTTGTTGGTGATGGAGAGGATGATGATGGAGAGGATGATGGTACTTGTTGATGAGTAGTGATGATGATGATGATGATGTAATAGAGGAGGATGTCTGATGAATTCCAAGTCTCTTGAAATGAGAAGATCTGTTATGTGTATGGATCATCATCGCAGTACACAAGTCGGCTGATTTTGAAGAACTTGGAGTCGACGAGTTCTGTGGTGGTGGTGGTGGTGGTGATTGTAGGTGTCTCCAAGCAGCAATATGACTTCTCAAGCAGCGATTCATTTTTGTAGAAATTTTTAAAAGTGCCACTGAGCCTTCTGAGTTTTTCCATTCTCTTTTGAAACCCAAAAAATATGACTCAACCAATTCTTCTTCCATGCCCACTTTTGACGGTGGATCATCAAGAAGAAGGAAGAAGATCGATTCAGACTGAATGCACCTCACCATCATCATCATCATTAGGCTTACACACAAATCAAACATCCACCATTAATAATGAAATGATTTTTAAATTATTATCATCAGAAACATGGATACCAATGAACCCAATGAACCATCATCGATACAATACAAATTCCCTCCTCTCGAAATGTTCATCACCACTACTTCCACTCGTGTCTCATGTGTTAGCCATTTTCCTTGTATTACTTGCTGCTGTTGCCTATTTCACTCCTCATGCAACTCTTCCGAACCACCTCATGGGTTCCTCTATTTTGTTTGAACATTCATCTCAACAACAACAACAATACCATCACCCATTCATAAATACGGTTCATGGAATGTCCATTCAAGAACAATCCCAAATTGCCTCTCGAATCAAAGAAATGTTTCAATTTTCATTCAATTCTTATATGAAATATGCATTTCCCTATGATGAATTAAAACCAATATCTTGTAGTGGAATTAGCACATGGGGTAATTATTCATTGACTCTTATTGACTCTCTTGATACTCTCTATATCATGAACTTACATGATGAATTCAAAATGGGAGTAGAATATGTATTGGATCATTTCAATGATTTTCATTTGGATTCTCATGTGTCTGTGTTTGAAACCAATATTCGAATATTGGGAGGTTTATTGAGTGCTCATTTATTAGCCTTAAAACATGATTGGTATCGAGAGAAAATTCGGAATGGAAGAAGATCATCCTCACCACCATCACCATCACCAACTACTACCACTCCTACTCCTACCACTACTACCTCATCAAGCACCTCCTCCTCATCATCATCGAGTAGTACTAGTACCACTCCTAGTACCACCACCACCACCAAACATCATCATTCCCTCCTCACCCTGAGTATAGATCTATGCGAAAGGCTCATCAAAGCCTTTGATACTCCCACTCATATTCCGTATGGCATGGTCCACTTGACACTCGGTGTTCTTAAAAATGAAAGTCAAGTCACAGCAGCAGCAGGTGGAGGCACTTTTTTAATGGAATTTGGTTTATTGTCTTATTTGACTGGTAATATGAAATATTATGATTATGCAAAGAGAGCATCACTTGCATTGTATTTATTGAGAGATCTAAATACTAATCTCATTGGTAATCACGTGAATATTATGAATGGACATTGGACACATCGTGAGAGTGGTATTGGTGCTAGTTGTGATAGTTTCTTTGAATATCTATTTAAAGGATTTATGTTATTTAGAGATGAAGAGTTAATTCAAATGTTTAAAACATGTTATGATGGTATCATGAAACATGTCTATCGAGAACCATGGTACAGTGATGTAGATATGAAAACATCCAAGTTGACATTTGGATTGTACAATTCTTTGGCATCTTTTTGGCCAGGTCTACAAACACTTTATGGTCATGATTTTGAAAAGGCAAAAAATACCTTAAATGCCATATTTGGAATATGGCGATTGCATGGAGTCATGCCTGAGGGTTTTAATTTATACATTTCAAAAGCACAGAAAGGACAAATGCCATATCCATTGAGACCTGAAATCATTGAGAGTGTGTATCATTTGTACAAATTTGATGGATCCAGAGATTCTACTTATTTGTATATGGCCAGAGATTTCTTGACAGGATTGGAAGTTGTATGCAAAACAAAATGTGGTTATGCTGTTGTGAAAGATAGTGAATCTAAATTACTTGAGGATCGAATGGAGTCATTCTTTCTAAGTGAAACATTGAAATATTTATATTTAATTTTTGATCCTTATAATTTTGTTCATTGGAATGAAGAAAGTGGACAAGAAGAATTACTCTATACCTTTAATACGGAGGCTCATATCATTCCATTGAATTTGAATGACTATTTGAAAAAGTATAATACTCGTATGGAAGATGGTAGCGATATGGATCACACCTCTACGAGTAGTAGTAACACTGGTAGTACTGGTAGTACGACGAGTGTTGTTCTCAATACTCATTTTCTATCGTCGATGCATTTATTCAATAAGAGAGTGCATCACAATCCAAACATTTTTTCTCAAAAAGGCTCTGTTGTCATTCCTAAATGAAGGGATTGTTTTTTCCTATTGTCTAGTCCATGTAGATGTCACCAAGACACCATAATTCCAAATTCGAAGGAAGGCTTCATGATGATCACCACATTCAAGAGGCTCTTGAATAAAAATAACCCTTCAAGTGGTGGTGCAGTCTTGAACGATGCTTGAGAGTAAGAGATGCAGAATAAGGTGATGAACACGCTTATTTTGCTATGATAGAGAGAGATTAAAGTTGTGTTTTGGAGAAAGGCCATTCAGGTTGAAAGAATGACAAATCAAACTCTGAGTCCTCATTCATTCTTTTGTTTTCATCACACCAAATGAGTGTTTCAATGCCTCCTTTTCTTTGTATATTGAACATGCGTGACGTCAGATGTTGTCTCTACTCAGAGAGAGGTGAGAACAAATTTGGCAAGACCCTTCTGGCTTGGTCGCTTCTGACCAAGAACAACATTTTTAAAAAAAAACTGTTTCTAAAATCTTTCTTGTGGTACCACTACTCTCTCGTCATTCTTGGAAGCCAAACAATAGTGTTTCTCTGGAATATAAATTCTACAGCCACAAGGCGAGTAGCGGATTGACCTGTATGAATATTTCTCTCCCGTGTTGTTCACCTTATCATCACCAACAACAACAACAACAAAATAATAATAATAATATTCGTACACCACGCTAACCATCAGAGCCAGACTTTTTATTTATTATTAAAAATTTCAAAGACGAGGCTAAACATCCTTCTCATCATCATCATCATTGGATGCAACAAACTCTCATGTACAATCCTAATAACACTTCTAACCATAACAGCAACAACAACAATAACATGGACAATCTAATTCATAATTTTAATTATCTCCAAATTGGGTCCAATGCCAATAATAATAGCACTTCCCAATTGAATGAAAAACAACAACAATTCCCTCAGTCGCGATACAATCCTACTTCTTCCTCAACAACGACCATCAACAATACCAATATACATTATCAATCATCATACAATCCAAACAACAACAACAACAGCAATACTATACAGAAATTGTCTGTATACAATTCGACGGTGCTTGGCGATGCCGAATCCTCATCACCAACGACTGCAGCACTCAACAAAAACAAAACTAATTCAACGAATATTTCTGCCATTAAAAAACAACCTTCTAATCAAGTGGTTCAACAACAACAACCAGCGGCAACATCCTCTTCATCCCCAACCTCTCAACAACAACGAAAAACAATCAGTTATAGTGCTATTAAAGTTATTGGCAATGGTAGCTTTGGAGTTGTGTTTTTAGCAAAAGTACAAGAAACAGGAGAAATTGTTGCTATTAAGAAAGTATTACAAGACAAGAGATTCAAAAATAGAGAATTACAAGTCATGAAAACGCTATCTCATCCAAACATTGTTGAATTGAAGCATTACTTTTATTCGAGAGGTGATCGAGTAAGTAGTAGGAACATCATGTGACCATTCTCATATATTCATGTGAATCCTAATGGTATTTAACTTTAAAACATGACGTCATGTTCGTCATTATTCACGGATATCCTCAACTAATTCATCTCTACTCCACATACTCAATCCTCTCTACTCAACATTCACAACTCTTAGGATCCAGATGAAGTCTATCTCAATCTCGTTCTCGAATACGTTCCAGATACAATCTATAGATTTACAATGAATTATACCAAACACAATTCCTATGTTCCAATGATCTATGTGAAATTATTTGTTTTCCAATTATTGAGATCTATCATTTATATTCATTCTCTTGGAATTTGTCATCGTGATATTAAACCTCAGAATTTATTGATTGATCCAGTCACAGGAGTATTAAAATTATGTGATTTTGGAAATGCAAAACAATTGAAAGAAGGTGAACCCAATGTCTCATACATTTGTTCAAGATATTACAGAGCACCAGAATTAATATTTCAAAGTACAAAATATAATTGTGCTGTAGATGTGTGGTCATGTGGATGTGTCATGGGTGAATTAATGTTAGGATCACCACTTTTTCAAGGTGAGAGTAGTGTCGATCAGTTAGTTGAAATTATCAAAGTATTAGGAACACCTTCCAAAAATGATATATTGGCCATGAATAAGAATTATACAGAATTTAAATTTCCTCAAGTGAAACCTAATCCATGGGATCAAGTATTTGCAGATCGATTTCAATACATGCAACGAACGTATCAAGCAACTAATGGACAATCAATGAATGGTGGTGGTAGTACGATGAGTGGTGGTGGTACTATTATGAGTGGTATTGGTAGTACTGGTAGTGGTTTCATGATGGATCCAGCCACTGAAATGAATCATGCAGTGGATCTCATTACCAAATTATTGCAATATGATCCAAAGAAGAGAATACCACCGATGGATGCATTGGCTCATCCTTTCTTTGATGAATTGAGAATACCAGGTGTCAAATTACCAAATGGAAAACCATTACCACCCTCTCTGTTTGTTTTCTCTGAACAGGAGTTTAACATGTTACAAAATCCAGAATTGAAAGATTTGATTTTACCAAGATCCATTCAGAATTGATGAGTTTGCAAGTCAAACCAGAGACTCTGAACATTGTTGCCTCAGAAGACCTTGTTCCTCCTTTAAATGTCCTTCTCTCAAAAAATTCAGTGCTCCTCTTGTTAGGACCATAAAAAGACTTTAAAAAAATCAAACCAAGTAGATAACTTCGAAGAGATTGTTCTCTTGTTCATCATCGTCATCATCTCTGTCTTTGAACAACAACAACCTTCTTCGAGATCTAAGAGTCATATTGCGAGTGGTCGGAAATTGCAATAGTATTATTGTTGTTTTGACGAACCCGTGTTGTTGAAGAGCATCATCATGACAGTTGCAGGTGTCATTTCTCGTCTTGTTTGGTTTTCTTTGGCCTTGATGGTATTGGCCATATCCCTTGTTTTGAATTGGATGAATTCATCGAAAGAGAGTTTTTCATTCCATTCAACTACTACCAGTAACACACCTTCTTCTTCTTCTTCTTCTTCTACTACTACTACTACTCGTGGAACTCATCGGATCAAATCCATCATCCTTCCATCCTCCCACAGATGGAACTGTGGTACAACACAGCCTCTCAGTAGTAGTAGTAGCAGCCACTCTTCTTCTTCGAATGTGACTCTCTACTATGTTGAAACAGGTGATTTGAGTGAGAATTCATATCCTGTCCTTCAATTTCATCCTACACCAGGTTCACTCTTATTTAGACATGAGAAGGAAGATGAATTGCTCAAAAAGTATGGTATTCGATTGATCAAAGTGGATCGATCGAATTTATACCTTCAGAATTCTTTTTGTTGTGCCTCTAAAAGTGAACAATTCATTCAATTCGATTGTATTTACAAACATTTGATTGAACAAGAATTGAAATTGAAACCTTCATACAGTGTATTGGGATATCAAATGGGAGGATTTATGGCATTGAATCATTATCATGTCTTGTCAAAGAGAAGAACACATGAAAGTATGAGCAAAATTGATAGTATTGTTGTCATTGCACCCTTATTACCACCCATTCAAAAGAAGAGTAGTAGTAGCAGTAGTACCACCACCACCACTAGTAGTAGTAGTAGTAGTAGTGATCGTAGTAGTAGTACCACCAGTAGTGATACCATTGATAAGAACAAGAGTGATTCTTCTTGTCTCTATACCACCACACTACTGTACAAAATTTACAGCTTGTTGGGTGACAAGTTGGCTTACAAAATTTTAAATCCTTTATGGAAAGTCCAATCGAAAATGGCAAGACTATTCCTCTCCTCTCACTCACTGACTCATTCTATCAATCGAATGAGTTTTAAGGGTTATTCAAATCATCTCTCTCAAGAGAATTTGAATATTCTTGATGAATCCACTCATCGTATGATCCATGAACTGAATGCTCTCTCCACTCTCTTTGAAGAATATCATATTTTGTTGAGCAATGGATTGAAGAGAGAAGAGAATCTCGAGCTTTCTGAGAGGAATGATGATGAAGTCACAAGAAGAAGAACAACCTCTCATCCTCCTCATCCTCCAACATTGGTCATGGTCACTTCAGCACGTGAGGAAGAGAAGGCTCATTCCTTTTTGATGGATGCTTCCAAGATGATTGATTCCAAACAAATTAGGATTCAGAGAGTAGAGACAAAGAAGACCTTCAATGATGATAAGGATGATGATAAACAAGGAGAACAACACTCTTCCTTGGATGTCTTTGTTTCAGAATATGAAAGAGCCTTGTCTTTTATTGTCCAAAATAAGCCTTCATCATTTTCTGAGAAATTGACCAACAAAAAAGAACATGAATCGGTTGCCTCCACAATGACCTCCTCAACTCCAAAACAACCACAAGAATCAACCAGCATTAATCAACAACAACAACAACAGCTTACACCGAAAACTACCTCTGATGAGAGTAGTCATAAAACAACTTCCGAACCAACTACCACTACGGATTCATCTAGTAGTAGTGGTAGCAGCATCACTGCCTCAACCTCAACCTCCTCTGCCAGTAGTAGTACTGATAGTAGTACTGATAGTGGTAGTAATGGTAGTACAAGAACATCATCATCTCCACCAACCATTGCAGTCATTGGTGGTGGATTGGCAGGATTGAGTGCTGCTATTGAGGCAGCAGAATTAGGTGCAAAAGTATACTTGTTAGAAAAAGAGGATCGAACAGGTAAGTAGTAGTAGTAGTAGAGAATATATTTCATTCATTCATTCATTTATTCATTACTGATTGATTGATTCATGAATTCATTCATTCCTCTTGAATTATTGATTGATTGATTGATTCATTCCTCTTGAATTATTGATTGATTGATTCATTCATGGATTGATTCATCTTCCCCCTATCATACACTTCAAATGAATAATAACCATGGATTGATTCATTACTGATAATAATAGGAGGAAATAGTGCCAAAGCAACCTCAGGTATCAATGGTATTCATACCAATGCTCAAAAAAGACTTTCCATTGATGACTCTTTTGATCTCTTTTACTCAGATACTACCAAATCTGGTAAAAATCAAGGTAATCCTAAATTAGTATCTACACTCGTGTCTGAATCTACAAGTGCTATTGAATTTTTAGAAACTCATGGTATTGGTATGGAATTAATTACACAATGTGGTGGACATTCACGTTCAAGAACACATCGATCTGCACCACCCAAAATGGGCCAAGCCATGAATGTTGGACGTGAAATGACTACCAAATTATTAGATTATATTCAAAGAAAATTATCCGATCGTGTTATTGTATTGACCAAGTGTGAAATGATTGGATTTATCACGAACACGAGTGCTTCAAGAGATGATGATTCTGGTGATGATTTAAAAATACCCATTGGAATTCGATATCGAAATTTGAGTGAAGAACCACCATTGACATCACTCTCCTCATCAACATCCTCACCATCCTCACCCTCCTCCTCATCAACATCACCCTCCTCCTCCTCAGAACATTCTCTTCTCGTTTCATCAATCATTCTCACTACAGGTGGTTATGCAGCAGATCGAAATGGATATCTCAAACAATATGCTCCACAATTATCTCATCTTCCTACAACCAATGGACCATTTGCTAATGGTGATGGTATTCGAATGTGTGTGAATGAATTGAATGCATCATTGATTCATATGGAATCAATTCAAGTACATCCCACTGGATTTATTGATCCACAAAATCCAAAGAGTATGACTGTATTTTTAGCAGCAGAGGCATTGAGAGCCTATGGAGGTATTCTTGTGAATCAGGTGAGTTGTTGTGAATTTTTTACCAAATTTATTTCTATTATTTCTATTATTTATTATTTATTTTATTTATATTATATTATTTATTATTTATATTATTATTTTATTTATTTTTTTTTATTTATTATTTATATTATTATTTAATATTATTTATTTTATATTATTTATATTATTTATATTATTATTTATTATTTATTTTATATTATTTATTGTTCATCAACATTTGAAAGAATGGAAAACGTTTCTGTGATGAATTGGGTCGAAGAGATTATGTCTCTGAAATGATCTTTAAACATTGTCAACCTGAAATTCCAGAAGGTGGACATGTCACTGCTTATCTTTTAATGAATGATTATGTTGCAAAATCATTTAGTGAATCTCTATTAGGATTTTATCTTTCCAAAGGATTTATTAAAAAGTATAATAATTTAGAACATGCATTTAATGAAACATTGAAACAAGTGAAAGGAATGAATTATGAAACATTAATTGATACGATTGTCAAGTATAATAATTATTATGAAGAGAGTAAAAAGAGTAGTAGTAGTGGTGGTGGTGGCAATAATGATTCAAGTGATGGACAAGAGAACACCACTCCTAGTAGTACTACTACGAATGCTTTTGCAGATCCATTTGGAAAGACTCTCTTTCCTACTAATTTCTCATTCAATGATACCATATACATTTCAAGAATTACTCCAAGCATTCACTACACTCATGGTGGACTTGTCTTTGATGACAAGGCAAGAGTATTAAGAAAATCACAAAATAATTCTTTTCAAGTCATTCCAAATTTGTATACAGCAGGAGAAGCAAGTGGAGGTTTGCATGGTTTGAATCGATTAGCAGGAAATAGTTTGCTTGAATGTGTGGTATTTGGAAGAATTGCTGCTCGTGACATCATGAAGAAGAAATAATTTGCTAAATCAATGGAATCAGAATAAAACAGGAATTCCAAAAGAGAAGAAGCATGTCATTTTCTCAACCTCATGAGTAAAAGATGCACCAAATCCAAGTGTAACGAACAATAATTGGAGGTTGATCTAATACTGAACCAACCTTATCAAAGCAGAAGCAGGCATTTCCTTTAATTATATTACAAAATTTCTTTTACACCAATTTTAAAATGATATATTTTATTACCGATCTGAATGATCTCATTTAGTTCTGTTATGTATGTACTTCAAACAATAATAGATTAATACCAATGGGTTAGTTGCTGTCTCCTCTCCAGGAAGTGTCACTTCTTTGGAGATGGAGTGTCAACCAACAACCTTTTTTGTTGTACAGTTGTCCCGAGAAATGGATACTAGAATGTGATGAAAAAACTCAAATTGTTTTGAGAAAAACCACATTGAATGGATAGCTCTGGGACGAATATAGATCATATAAATAAATTTGTTAGAATTATTCAATCAAATCATAAACAAATTGTTAATTTTGAAACAAATCAAGAATATTCATTTCTACTTCACCGCAAGTGATCATAAAAAAAAGGTTAGCTCAATAAAATTTTAAACAAGAAATTGATATAGACCATGTTCCTTGAAAAACATCGCAATAAAGCGTCGGAAACATCGTTGAGCGAATCAACGACGGATAAAACTTAAAAAAGATCGTGGGAGAACCCATCAATGATAAGGCCAAAGCTTCAGAACACTCAATTCCAACAGATGCTATCCATTCTTGGGACAACTGTACAATGAAGAAAGCTTGTTGGTTGATGCTCCATCTCCTAAAGTGATATTTAGGAGAGGAAGCAATACTAACACATCTGTCTCAACAAAATATTGTTAAGTTACTTACTAAGAATTTCTTATAGTTTCTAAACATTAGACAACATTATAATTTGCAATTAATATTTTGTTGTTATACTAAAGAGGAATATAAATGTAAACAGATCAAATATTATTAAAGCATACACTACAAACATAAATAATAACTATTACTAACTATCAATCCATGATCTATTCTATAACAATATTATTGAGTGACATTCCTCAATAACGATCATCCAACACTGAAGATAATAAATTAGTCTCATGAAGAAAGGTTTAACAATAATACCCATTATATTATTATTCTTATAGAATTGTTGAAAATTTGTTATAACTGTTTATACAATAATTAATATCTTAAAAGCAATTATATTTATTATATGATATATTATATGTAAATCAACTATAATTAGTTAGTACAGGTGGGTTAGTTGCAGCCTCCTCTCCTAACAACCACTTTTGGAGATGGAGTATCAACCAAGTCTTTTTGTTGTAAAGTATTGGAAAGTTAGTACAGAAAAAGAATATCAAATAACGGGAAACGTTTTAATATTTGAAACATCAATGACGAGCAATGAAACAACGAATTGAAATCCAAAGCCGAAGAATATCAATGTCATGTCAAAGTTTAATTGTAAATTGAGGGAATTAATTATGACCAACAATGACCAAAAATCAAGTAAACAACAAGTGTCAGTAAAATTCTAATTAATTATGAGAAGGAGCAGTGTTCTCGAGTGTCAAAGCAGAAGAAGATTGCTGCGGACTTTCAACTGGTTTCTTTGCTCTTTAGAGCTATTTTGGTTGTGCTAAATGGAAAGTTCTCGAGGCTCGATTTAGAGATGAACAATTTCACAATGAAGAAGGAGTGATAAATTGATATGAAGTGGATCTGAAGATAAATTGGTGGTCTCACAATGGTTTATTGTTTTCAATTAAACGTACATTCAAGTTTTAGCTACACTCACAGAAAATACATCCATGACCATTCAAGTAATACCGTTTTTCAGTTCCCTTTCTGCATTTCTTATGACAAGATCTATTCGCTCTTGAACATCTATTTTTCTTCATTTGTAAACTCAGTGTATTTTCAAACATGGCATCTTCGTTTATAGAAAGAGTATTCGTAGAATCGTCAGAAGTTGGTTGGGTATCATCAGGTTGAGTGCTTGGTTCAGATGTAGGAGTGCTTGATTCTTCTGGTGGTGAAGTTGTAGTGCTCGATTCTTGAGGATCAGGTGTTGTTGTTGTACTTGCATCAGATGGCTCTGGTGTTGGTGGATCTGATGGTTCAGGTTGAGGTGGATCTGATGGTTCAGGTTGAGGTGGATCTGATGGTTCAGGTTGAGGTGGATCACTTTCAGATGATGGTTCAGGTTGAGGTGGATCACTTGTAGATGATTCTGGATCTACGGTTGATGATGGCTCTGGTGTTGGTGGATCTGATGATTCAGGTTGAGGTGGATCCACTGTCGATGATGGTTCAGGTTGAGGTGGATCTGATGGTTCAGGTTGAGGTGGATCTGATGGTTCAGGTTGAGGTGGATCACTTTCAGATGATGGTTCAGGTTGAGGTGGATCACTTGTAGATGATTCTGGATCTACGGTTGATGATGGCTCTGGTGTTGGTGGATCTGATGATTCAGGTTGAGGTGGATCACTTGCAGATGATGGTTCTGGTGTTGCTTGTGCATGGATGGACACAATCACCACAATCACCAATAACAACAATGTGATGAGTATTCTCTTGTTGGATGAAAACATGGTCAGCCTAAAACACACTTGTGTTCAAAATGGTTGTGACAACACACTTGTTGTTGTGGAGGGGTGTTCAGTTTTTTACTCTTGCAAAATTGGTTTCAAATCAAATCAATCAAATCAATCGAATCAATCGAACAATAATGGATGGTAATACGACGTCGAAGTTGGTGTGTGTCTTTTCACAATAATTGTTGTGTTCTTTTTCTTGTCAAGAACCACACGATGTGCTGACCTGAATGGTGTTTTATTGTTGTTTTTCATAAATCCAAATTAAGAAAAGAGCTCTGTCTAGGTCAAAATCCATGTTTTGGTTATGGACAAATCGTGTCATATGGAATTGGAACATACACGAAATTAATGATTTGACCTAACTCCTTTTCCTCATGAGTATTCTCAATTTCAACCAAGGAAAAGATTCCAAAATGAAATCAAGATCCATTTTGAGAGAGACATGAAATATAATTCTCCACGACATGCATATTCTCCACATTAGTGCACACAACATCGATAGGTGCACAACAGAAACTCTGTTCAACACACATTCGCATTCTCCATGATGGCACAATAGTACCGTACTATTATTCATTGAAGAAATGACCATGTCCTGACCATCATGAATTGTCATGATGATTTGAAAGAAATTGACCATGTGTCATGATCATTTACCCTTTCCAATTGTCAATTTCGATAAGACTCTTCATATCTCTTGTGTAACATGTGTGCAATCATGGTATTGTATTCTCTCTTGAAATCTATATTCAATACTTTGACATGATAATAAATGGCACAACACAAAGCACACAAAGCATAGACACTCATTTGTACAATAAATGTTGCATAGATGGATCGAATGGATGGAACCAATAAACAAATTAAACATGCTGGAATGGAAATGATGAGATTCAATGCCAATGTGGTGAAGAGAGGAATGGAATGAATGTTCGAGAGTAGGTGAGTACTAGTAGTAGTCGTATTCATACCCTGTTTTGTAGTACTAGTAGTACTAGTAGTAGGTAGTATGGAATTCCAATTGGCGGCGCCACTTGAATCACCACCACCACCACCACCACCACCACCACCACTAGATTCTTCAAAATGACTTGTTGTTGAATCATCACCACTTGAACTTGTGGTCACAATGAGCACTTGATACAAATTCATAATCACATAACACACACTGCTCACAATCGATACAATCCAAAATGTTTGAATATTCTTTTCAGTAGTCACTACCATATTTGATTGTGGTGTTAAATACATGCTATCTAGAATAATATTTGAAATATCAGTGAATAAATACATTCCAATGAAGATTAATGTGAGAATGAAGAGTATCAACAGAGCCTTCACAATGAGAATGATTAAATTTCTATAATTCAATCGATTCACACATTTTCTATTGTACATTCCTACAATGGCATTGCAAGTGCATGCAATTTTGATAAAAATGAAATGATAAGTCAAGACGATACAATAGGCAATCCATTCACTTTTAGAGAAGAAGTTGGAGTTTAAAGTAGTAGTAGTAGTGTTGTTGTCGTTCTCGTTGTGATTATTGTTGTGATTGTTGTTGTGATTGGATGAAGAAGGTTGTAAATGACTTCCAATCACTCCAATATTCATCAAATAAATGGATAAGGGTAATAGAGAATAGATGAATAAATTTCCATACATTCCAAAAAATCTCTTCAATAAAATAGAATCCCATTTATGGAAGAGAATCTGAGAGAACAAGTTGTTGCCAATGTTGTTGTTGTTGCCACCACCACCACCACCACTACTACTACTACTACTACCAATACTCCAACTACCAATACTATTACTACCATAACACCAACCACATGCAATACTTTGTTTGAATAGGAATAATAAAAAGAGTGCAAACATCAATGACACCATTTCACTCACTCCACACCCCAATGAAATCCAATAATAAATGGAATTCATCAAGGAAGGTAAAATCAATGATTGAGTATATGGTACACAAGTCAATACAACAAATATTAAATAAACAAAGACTCCACTCATCACTACAGCATATACATTCACTAATTGATAGACTGTAATAAATATACAAAGACATAGACAAATAAGGTTATATAAAAATACATTTCCAATATTGTAGAAGAGTGTGAAAAAGAGTGGAATGTTGGACAGTAAGGTAATATTAGGAGGAGGAGGAGTAGTAGTAGTACTAGATGCAGATGCAGTAGTAGTAGTAGACATGATGATGGATCCAATCCTGTTGGAATTTGTTTGAACAATACCACTACCACCCTTCATTGGATCATCATACAATAAATGTACAAATCCTAAACATATTCCATATTGAATACAACTTGATACAAAGAGAATGATCAATGAGAGTACAATAAATTTACCACTCAATACTCCACTACTACTATTAATAAATAATTCTGATCGGTGAATACCTTGTAAACCTCTATAATAGTAATATCTAAAAATATTCATTCTACAGTTTGTAATTTCCATAAATAGATATTGTAGAATAGGATATAAAAACATTAATTCTAAAATGACACTCAACATGACCACACATATATAGAGAAAGGATGAATCATTATCAATGACTGCTGTTGTTATCATTGGACCATTTCCACTACTACTCGTACTAAAACCAACACCACCAACACCAACACCACCAACACCAACACCACCAACACCAATAACACATCCACTCATACTACTAATACTGCCAACAACACTAATAACACCACCACTTGAACCACCTCCACTTGAATCACCATTCACCATGTTTGAAATGAGAAATCGTGTCGAGAGAAATTTCATTACCATCACACTACACAATAAAATAATAATTTTCATCATGGCACTTGAATGTGAATATTCTCTAAAGGATGGATGATGAAAATACAAATAATGACCATTACTATTGGAACTAGGTGTTGATTTTTTCATGAGCCAATCTTTTTCTTCATTGTCACTCTCATCATCATGAATGTAGGAATGATGCATTGGATTCTCTTGTTTAGAATTCTCTTCATCTCCTCCAAAGGAATAAAGTCCTAATAAGGTAGTAGTACTCTTAGTAGTAATAGTGGTACCAGTCGTAGTGGATGGATGTATCTCTTGTTCCAAAGCAATACTTGTATAGTATTCATTCAAAGCTCTTTGTTTGATATTTTCTTGATAATTTTGTTTGATGAGTAAAAGTGAAACACTTTGACTGCCACTCTGACCACCACCACTCTGACCACTCTGACCACCACTTTGACCACCACTTTGACCATCATGATTATTTATAAGAGAATCATCATGATGAGGTGGAATGACATGAATGTCTCTAAATGCTCGATCCAATGGATTGTGTTTTTCAATGGGAGGAACGAGTTGAATTTTCTTTTTTTGAGTATTGTTGTTGTTCATGTTGGTAGGATTCATGGTATTGTCATGATGATTCACATCTTCCACTATGGATGGATGATCTTGTTTGAATGATTTTTCAGTACTCATAATAAAAAAGGAAGTAATATCATCAATGACCATTGGAGGAGGAGTAGTAGTAGTTGTAGTGTGATCTGATAATGATGATGGATGGTTCATGGTATCACTATGTGATTGTTTTGAATGGTTGTTGTAATTCTTGTAATGACTTGAATTTCTACTAGTATCACGTGGGTTAAAAGATGTTGGACCATTATGACCACCACCCATACTACTACCACCACTTGAAGAACCTTTCGGTGTAGAGTTGTTGATCTTTGATTTCACAACCACCACTTGAACATCTTCATCTTCTTCCTCATCTTCATCATGAATGGCATCATATCTTTCATTCATCATTCGATGATTGAGATAATACATTTCTTCTTGTGCAAGAGATTTATCTTTCAATACATTCATATCGACCACATCTTCATCATCTTCTTGAACCTTTTTGGGAAGTGCATCTGAATGATGAGCCAATGGTGTTGTTGTTGTTGAAAGTGTTGGTGGTGGTTGTTGTTGTTGTTGTTGTTGAACATGTTCTTCTTGATGTATATTGCCATAACTTGAAGATACCAATGTGGAGGTGGAAGATAAATTATCATCGGTGAGTCTTTCAGAGTCATCATCATTGTCATCTTCATCACTGTCATATTCATCATCTTTTGAATTTTCATCATCACCATTCTGTTGAATCATTGGTTTGTTGTTCTTGTTATTATTGTTATTAGGTTCATCTTCTTCTTGTGGTAAGACATCTAAAAATCTCACACTTTCATTCACTTCTCTCATCTTATCAATCCATTGAAACATTTCATCACTACTCTGAGCTTTGACAATTAATACTCTCTTTTTAGTCACAATTTTGAAAATGTTATATTCATTTTTAAATTCTGAAAAACATTCCACAATGATTGCATTGTTGATATCTAGAGACCCTTTTTCTTTCTTTTTATCTTGTTTTGTGTAATAGGAGAGTATGTGATGATCATGGAATGAAAAGTATCGTTTTTTCCAATTCTTGACAATTTTACCTTGTTTAGAGAGATAACCTTCGAGATGAATGAGTGGTTGTTGTTGTTGTTGTGAAGAGTGTTGTTGTGATTGATCTACATTTCTCATGGATTGTCTTTTCAATTTGAAACTTGAAAAGATGGACATATGGGTATTCAAGTTCGAGTTGGGAAGAGATGGTGAGGTGAGAGTCATGTGATTGTTGTTGTTGCTGAGCTGTTGTTGCTGTGTTCGACTAATAAACTCAGAGGAATTCTCACGGTTGGTGTCGACGTCCGAATGGGATAATGTGGATGGGTCCATTCATGAATCGAATTATTATGATATTCTTTTAATATTGTTTAATATACCGAGTTAAAGATTATAAAATTGTTGTGTATGATGATGATTGTAATCACACAAGAGAGTTGACAATTTGAGTGACAATGACGAATCGAGTGTTGGCGACACACCACTCAAAGTTCAATTTTTTTTAAATAAAAATGTTACAAGCCTCTTCTTCTAGTGCTGCATCCTCATCATCGGAATCATCATCAACCATTGATCATCATCAGCCTCTTCAAAACAACAACAACAACTCATCAGAATATCCAATTATAACCATAACCATTCGATTGATCAAATCATTTGCATATCGAAATATTAAATTAATGATTCTCAAAGATATTAATTCCGAACAACTCACTGGAAGAGATTTATTAAATTTAATTAAAGATAAAGTTGAAAAGGAAAGTGCATATCTTCCACACCGTAATAGACCCTATGACACTTTAAAGATGTATCATCATGCTCATTCTTTTAAAGCTAATAATTTAGTGATTAATTTTCAAGACGATGACAAATTAGTATTAAATTTAGATAAAACATTAAAAGAAAATGGAGTAGATAATGAAGCTGAAATTTCATGTTTCATTTGGAAAGAATATTTAGAATTTAAACATAATCCAGAAATTAAATGGTAATCATTTGAATCATTTATTTGTGAATAAAGACGAACTGATCATTCATTTATTGAACACACACTCACGTTTACACTTTTACCAATTCTAAGAATTTTTCAAGTGATATGAATAATTCAAGCTTTTCCTCATTCTCACTTTGATCCACCACCTCTGTCTGCTTGGGAACTTCATTGTTCTTTTCAACAACACTTGTTGTTGCTACTACACCTGGATTTACAAATTCAACACCATTCTCAGTCAATACAATAGACCCAAGTGTTGCTCCAGAAGAGGATATTGGTTTTTGAATTTCTTCTTCTTTCATTTCGGATTGTTTCTTTTTCATTTGCTTCTTTTTAAATCGTTCTACTTGTTTTTGATAATCATCTCCAAGAATGTATTTAATAAAACGATCAAATTCTTCTGAATCTGTGAGAGGATCCAAACCACTTTCAAATAATAATTCTTTTAAAAGATTGACGCTTAACATTTTCTCTCCATAACTGTTCAATACAAAATACTTGACAAAAATGTCTTTATAATCCATGTCTCTCTCTAATTCATATTGTTTACTAAGAAAATCTAAGAAATCTCCAAAAGTAAACGATTCATCACTGTGTTTCAAGTGTTGATTGTAATGCAACATTAAATGATCAGTGGTAGGAGAGGCTCCACATAACCTCAAACATAATGCCAAATCTGAATAAATATTTAAGGTTTTGAATGAATGATGTGGTTGTTGTTTGTTTTTCATTTGCTTTTGCTGCAACACTCGTTGGTACACTCTTTCGTAGGTTTGAATTTTTGAAACTGTAAAATTGAAGGATGGAGATTTGGATCGGAAGTTTTGAGCAAGAGTAGAGGCAGAGGAAGTTTGTTCAGGTCTAGAGGAAGAAGAGGTGATGGTTGTTGCATTGGTTGATTGAGGAGTATGATTATTTACAGGAATGAGGATTGTTGGGGAGTTGTTATTGCTCGTTGTGGATGGTTTGGGTTGTTTCATTGAAGGATTTGAGAGTAGTTTGGTGTTTGAAGAGAGGCTTGTGGTTGGTTTTGAGGGTGCTGATGATGATGAGTGAGGTACAGTCTCAGGCTTGATACTACTACTACCGGACTGTCTTTTCTCTCGTGAGGAGGGTACGGAAGACAAGGTTGTCTTGGATTGGAGGCTGATCTGATGACGACTACTACTACGACCACCATCATCATCATTCATCGTCGTGCTGGTTGCAACACCACTACTGGTCTTGGATGTTGTCTTTGAGAGACCTCTTGTTCGAGGAGCAAGAGACATTTTTTGGTGGTTGAATTGTCGTTAAAGAAGAGCGATGTGGTGGTGGTGGTGGTGGTCAAATTGTGTCTCTCTTCTCGTTGAATGCGGAAATGACATCAAGAGTATATATTGGTAAATTATATATTCAATGATAAAATATGTATGATGAAGAATAGACAGAGCATGGTTGTCAGTTTATGGTTTAGAAAATAATTATTCTGCAATAGAAGAGTGGCGCACGTGCATAAAAAGAGTATTCATGAAATTTTAATAAAATTTTAATTTTTTTCATCCTCCGACCAGATCTACTAGTAGTTGTAATAATAATAATTACTATAATCGGATATTGAATTGATTCATTATTGCTCATCATTTATGGTAATTTCACTTCCATTAAAAAAGCATCTCTCGTTCCCAATGGAATGTCATCTTTTGCATAAAAATTCTCCAATGTCTTTACCTTGACAAATCCTAACTTTTCATAAAATTGAACAGCTCCTTCATTGCCAGTTTGTACATGAAGAAAACATGTTGAAATTCCATTCTGTCTAGCAATATCAAATATTTTCTCCATTAATTGTTTACCAATTCCTAATTTTCTATATTTAGGTAATACTCCCAATAACATGATATAGATGGCTTTGGTGTTATTGTATTGTTCAATTCGACATGAAAAACTTCCAACAGCAATGTCATTGAAAATTGCAAACATGTTAAAATCAGGTCCTCTCTGCAATATTTGTTCATAAATAGATTCTCTGTATTGAATAGGATAAATATAATTATTGAGAATTTTCAATTGTTCAACATTCTTATCAATGACTCCCATCAGACGGAGTTTTTGATTTTCTGAAAGTTTTTTATGATTTTCATGAGAGGAAAAGAAGGAACGATGATCAATGAGATTGGCTTGATTATTGACTTGTACCATGGTGGTGGTCTAGTGTGGTCTTGTGAAAAGGTTGATGATGAACGCGAGTCGGGTTGATGTGATCAGACGGTACAGTCTCTTCCTTGCTCAATTTTTTTCAATTTGTTTTTTTTAATAAAATTAATTAAATGTTTATTTATTTGAATGTTTTCAACCTTTATTCCTAAACACGAAATGAACCAAAACCTTGATATTGAGATGAGGAACTTGAAACACTCCTCCGTATCAATGACGATCTTCCTTTAGGATATCGTGCGAGAGGATGATGACAACATCAAAAGCATTCATTACCTACAAAAAAAATGTTGCCATCTGATCATCAACCCAACAACAACAACAACAACTCTTCAGCCAACAACGACAAGGCTTTATCAACATCTGCTACAACGACTGGGTCTCAAGGCAGTAACACTTCTCGCATTACTCAAGAAGCCATTCAAAACGTTGCTAAATATCTTCCCGGAGGAGATACTAAGAGAGCGGAACAAGAGATTGTCAAGGATCGAAAGTTTTGGAATCATCAACCTGTTCCCAAGATTTGTAAGTATTTGTTTGTTCTTCTTCTTCTTCTTCTAATATTGTGCAATATGAATGAATTGATTCACACCATGCGATGAACAATTGGTTGATTTCATCGATATCCTCCTCTCCATACATCATCATCATCATCATGGGTGGTGGTGGTGGTGGTTCGAAATGATCCTTCTTCTTCTTCTTCTTTTATTTGGATGATCTTGTATCACTTCTTTCCTTATCCATACACACCTAAATGTCACTACTTTTCTTCCTCACCACACACACACACACTGTAAAGATGAAAAGATTGACCAACTCGGAGAAATTGAAACCAAGACTGTGGATCAAGTTCAAGCCACTCCATACACTCTTCCAAAAGGCTATGAATGGTATGATTTAGATGTCAATTCAGAGGAAGATATTTCCAAACTTTATTCTCTATTGGAGGGCAATTACGTTGAAGATGATGATGCCATGTTTCGTTTTGCCTACACGAAAGAATTTCTTAGATGGGCACTTGCTCCACCTGGATATAGAAGAGATTGGCATTGTGTGGTGAGAGTGGAATCCTCAAAAACATTTGTTGGATTTATTGCTGCCATTCCCATGTTGATTGGATTGAGACATGAATTTAAACATGAGAATGCTTCAAGTACTACTACTACTACAACTACTACTACTGAGACTGCTACTACTCCTACTTCATCAAATGCCACTGAGACTATCACCAAAACTAATGAAAAATTTGAAAAAAATGTCAAAATGGTTGAAATTAACTTTTTATGTGTTCACAAAAAGTTAAGAGAAAAGAGATTGACACCTCTCTTGATTGGTGAAATTACTAGACGTGTGAATTTAACCAATGTATGGCAAGCCATTTACACTGCTGGTGTGATTATTCCACGTCCCATCAGTAAGGCAAGATATTATCATCGTTCATTGAATCCAGAAAAACTGATTGATATCAAATTTAGTTCAATTCCACCATTTGCTAAGAGTTTCCAAAATCCATTGGAAGTGACTAAAAAGTATTACAAGATGAATGTTAAAGAAAGATTACCAAATATGCGTCCATTACGTAAGAAGGATTGTACTCAAATCACTAAATTATTGAACGAGTATTTAAGTCAATTCAAAGTAGCACCAATATTCACAAAAGAAGAAGTGATTCATTGGTTTGTTGGAAGAGAAGGTGTTATTTACTCATTTGTGATTACTGCTCCTGACAATGATGAAAAGATTCTTGATTTTATTTCATTCTATTCTCTTCCAAGTACAATTATTGGTAATCCAAAGCATCAAGTATTGAAAGCAGCCTATCTCTATTTTTATACATGTTTGAATACCAATGTTGAATCTCTCATGAAGAGTGCACTCATTGAGGCTCAAAATAGAGATTTTGATGTCTTTAATTGTGTGAATATTATGGACAATCAACAATTTTTGGACAAGTTAAAATTTGGTACTGGAGATGGTTATTTGTATTATTATTTATTTAATTACAAATTCCCAGACTTGCAACCTCAAGAAGTTGGTTTGACCATGCTTTAATAAAAGACAGCTGCTGCCTTTGAGAGAGATTTTCATTTCATCATTTGAACAAGAGAGATTTGATTTTCAGTAGTAGATTTGATCAAGAGATAAAGAGAAGTGTGTGAACAGACAGTCAGACCTCCTATGCTTGATTCGATGATGGTATCTATCTATTGGACCAAATGAACGAATTGAGCGAGTGAGGTTTGTTGAGTGGCGCACATACATGAGAGAGACACACACACACACACCAACGGAAGAAGAACTGAAGTAATGTTGTTGTTGTTGTTCAAAGCTGAGAGCTCGAGGTGCGTGAGAGACCATTCTGGATTTCAGAAAACTGTAAATTTTAAAAAAATCCGAAAAGAGAACTCGAACAACAACAACAACAACAACAACGAGCGAAGAGATCGAGTGAGCGCGCTGTTGTCATTCTGAACATCACGTCGTGAGCGAAAGCTAAAAATCCTCATCATTATCATTTCTCATGAGTTTTAAGGAGATTGAATCGTACATACTCATTCGTTGTTACCATTAGAATTCTGAGAGTTTCAAAAATCAACTCCTTATCGAAAATGCCTCATTCCGAACCCTTTGAACACCCTGCTCCTCCTCTTCATGATGCTTCTTCTGATCAAATCATTGACACGAAAAGCAGCATTCATTCTCAAACCTTCTCCTCATCTTCACAAAACGCCTATACCATTGAAGATCTACTCAAAGATTGTGAGAGAATTCTTCATACTCAATATGGCATTAAACCAACATCACCGTTTCGAGATGTCAAATATCCCTTACTCAAAGAAATTTGGGAAACCATTGGAAGATATTTGTATCAACAGTTGGAACATGTCAAATCTGTCAGTGTAAACAATATTGGAAGATTTTCATTTCTGACATCTCTACTTCATACAGGAAACAATGGAGTAATTGAAACAAAAAAGGTTGTATTTGTAATGAATGAAGCTTTTGCGAGAGATTTTAATGTAAAATTAAGAAGAAATTATCGAAAATTTGTAGATAATTCAATACCAACGATTGAAGTTAATTATTTCCTTGTTGCTCAGAAATGTTGTACAACGAAAGAAGTTGTTCTTTTTGTAATGAAATTATTAAGAAGTAGATTGGGAGAGATCATGTCAGGAGGAAAGAAAGTACGAATTGAATTTTTTAGTGTTGGAAGTTTGAAATGTGATAAAAGAATTGTCTCAGATTTTGAATTTGTGGATTCACTGAAAAAACCAATCACTCAAAAACATTCATCAAATTCATTAGGAGAAGAAAAGAGAGTGATGGGATCATTTATTTCAAACAACAGAATGACCTCTCAAGAAGATTTACAATTATTGAAAAGGAATCCAATAGGTCTGCAACAACAAGAACAGCAGTTCAATTCAAAGAAATCTAATTCTTCTTCTTGGAGAAACATGATCTTTACATCACAACAACCTATCAACCATCATCATCACCACCATCGACATGGACAACCAATGAATGATGATACCATTTCAGTAGCGCATTCTTCCATATCCAATCGAACCAATGAGTCCTCCATTAAGAACCACCACCACCACCAATCATTACAACCTCAACCACCACCTCAACCTCAACAACATCGACCTACAACATCCTCCACTTACTCATCTCTATCTCCTAGGCAACTTCCAAGAGGTAATGCATTCAATGTTGTGAGAAGTTTACAGACCTGTGAAACTCAAAGGTCGAACGAAAAATCAAACCATTTCCAAAAAGAACATTCTTGGAGGTCCACCAACGGTGATTTTGTTTCAAAAGAGTTCATGCATCCTCCATGCCATTATGCCTCACGAGACCCTCCTGATGGAAACATCCATTCCATGACAGAATTGATGAATCACCAATTTTCAGCAGCAGTTAACTATGGACCACATGAAAATGGTTTTAGACAACCCAATGCACAAGCTGCTAAAACAGTCATGAATTTAGCAGTTCAGAGATATGCTCAAGAGTTAGAGTCTGCACGAAGAGAACAACAGCAGGATTTGGATCAGTTCTATCGACAGCTCATTCACAACGTTTGTGTCAGTGAAGAGTTGAGAAGAAGAAAACGTGAAGAAGCACAACAGGTTCAAACACAACTCGTTCAACAAATGCAACAAGCTTTGATGCGAAAAGCAAGTGATGATCAAACATATTCCAATTATTTCAATAATGAAGAGGACTCTGACTTGGAAACGAACAAGAATGGTCTCCTCATGGGATTCAAAAAGAGTGCACGAGGAGGATCAAAAGATACAAACGCACCAGCCAACACACATGTAAGGTCTTCTCTTCCTTCAAAGATGACAAATGTCATGCATCGAGTCTATCCTTATCTTTCCTTGGATGAACAGAATCCTTTACAACAGGGACTTCACATTCCCGACAGAATCGAGTTGAAAAATTACTTTGAAGAGACAGTTCGTAGTAAATAACTCGAGGAGAATTTATATCTGTGTAAATTGTTGATAATATTGATAGTATTGCTGATAGTATTGTTTGTACTGTTCTAAATTCCATCGTTGATCTTCCCCAGATTTGAGCTTTTTAGTTTCGGAAGTAACGCCCATGTCAACTCCATTCTCAAGTCTTCTCTTTCTTTGAGATTCATACTGTTCTTCTTGGAGTCTCTTAATTGCATCTTTGACTTTTTGTACGGTTTGAATCGTTTGGAATTGATACACATATCTTTGTAACAATAATTGCAGCACTTCAATTTTGAAAGAGATGGTCACAAAACTAGAGTTCTTCTTAGATGATAATTTTTCAGAATCGACGTGTGGTGATGGCATTCCCCATAGAGAAAGATAGTGTTTCACTACTCTATCAACAGATTCTTCATCCTGCATGTCATCTTCATGTGCACCAGCTGGAACATTGTAATATTCCAAATTTAACAATTTTTCAACGAGATGATCATTAGTAAAATTATCAGTACTGGTCAAAACAACATCACTTTCAAACTCTATTAGTGCTTGGTATGCCTTCTTAGTGGTTTTGAATTCATCAATACATTGATTATATAAAATTCTTGCTCTTTCAACATCTTTTCTAACTTTCCAAACAAAATTGGCATGTTGAAGTTTGAAATAACATCTTGCCAATGTACCTGCAATGTTCTTTTCTTGTTCTCTATAAATGGTTTCAATTTTCTCAACATTGTCTTTTGATCTGTGTAAATAATGAATGGCACGAGTCAATGATTCCAAATGTCCAACACATCTCAATGTGATTAAATCATTATATACTTTCTCAATCATTTCTGGTTTAGAATGATTCATCTCCAAATATTCAGCAAATTGAATATGAACTTGATATCTATTCTTTAGGACGCTATAATTAGTGAGCCTTTGGTAAACTTGTATGACTTGATCATGAAGATTTTGTTTTTCCAAGAATTTGATATACCGATTCCAAAACTCAGTATAGTAAGAGCAATAGACAATAAATCTCTCATGGGTTTGAATGACATGTTCCAATGTACACCACTTATTCTTCTTTTCAAATTCATCTTGTTCATTCTCAATGTATCTTCTGAAATGCTCCAATTCATGTTCTTGGAATGGTTGAACATGAAAATATGGTCTTCTAATGTGATCTTCAAAAGGTCTTATTCTTTCCAATTCCTTTTTTGTTGGAAGATATAAATTCTCTCTCCAATAGGTGATTAAATCATTCAATTTGTTAGAGGCCTTATAAGCATTCATTTCTTCTTGAGTGTGAGCATATTGTTCGACAGATAAAATTTGTTGAGATGATTCTTGTTGTTCCTTTCCATCACTACTACTTGTTGTGGATGATGGAATCTCTTGTTTTGGTGTGTGAGTTTTCATAAAATCTTTAAATTGAGACCAAATCAATGTCAAATCTCTACATGGAACTTGAATGGCTCTCTTATATAACTTGACAACATTTTCAAGTTCATCCTGTGATGTTTCAAATTCAATGTACTTTTCCCATAGAATACGAGCATAGTAATCATTTCCAATGGCTTGAAGTGCTCTCTCAAATAAAGCTCTTATTTCCGATACATCTTGAGATTGTTCAGCTACAAACAAACAGTAGTGCGACCATAGATCTGGATTATTAGAAATTCCAGTCTTTTTATCAATTGCCTTTTCATAGACTTGAACCGTTTGATTAAAATCTTTTGTAACTTGATAGGTTAATTCCGCATACTTTTTCCAATACCCAAACAAGAGAGGAAATTGAGCAAGAAATTGAGAATATAAATCTAAAAGCCTTTGAGAAATATCTAGGCTTGATGGGTTCATACCAAATTCAATTTCCATGAGAGTAATGTATTTCTCCCATGTATAATAATCGCATGGATTTGCTTTTAAGATATTCTCATATTCTTTCATAAACTCTTGCGGTGTTTTAGTGGAAGGCGTATTGCCTGATGATCCCGACGTCGAAGAAGTGAAGTGCTGACGATGATGATAATTATCCATTTTTTTCATCCAACAAAAATGATCGAGATATTTGCTTCTGGGTTTCATTGAACAGGCATTTGAAGTCTCATGTACGGGTTTCTCTGCTCTGAACGAATGAGCAATCAATGGTTTTCGTCCAATCATACACTTACCTCTTTCATCATGAGGTATCTGAGGTCTCTGGTGAATGTCATTACGTCCAATTTGACACAAATGGTTTTCCTCGTGATTGCGTAGGAGGCTTGATTCAAAAAATTAAAAAAATTTCGGACGCCATGATTTCCATGATCGAATCGTCATCCTCATCATTGGACAGCCCTCTTCCTCCTCTGCCTGAAGCCATTGAAACCTATGAACAAACAAAGATCAAAGTCTATGATCTATTAAGGAATGCACCCAATACACTTCCATTGGAATTTAATGGCGTTAGTTCCAGATGTGTGGCTCTTGTCTTTGACTTTCAAAAAACTGAACAATTGTCCTTGAATCACCTTACTCCCGAAGAAAAGGCTTGTTATTTGTGTAGCATTATTTTACATGAGGTTCATGATACGCTTCACTCGTTACACGACATTGCAGAGGATAAGGTGGTTAAGGGAGAAGAATTGTCCCAAAACGAAATTCAATTCATTAAGGATCTCACTCAACAATACAACACCTTGCTTGAGGATATACTACCAGAGTTGGAAGTGATGGTTGAACAACAAAACCCAAGTACGAGTTTTATTGGTTCCAACAACAATTCAATGATGATGGCTGGAATTGATTCTTCAACACAACAACAGAGAGCCGACAGAATCATCATATTGGATCATGAGAGTAAAAATGGAATGGAGAATAGGCAACGATTGAACAGATCAAACTCTCTAGCATGCAAATTGAAAGATATCACCAAGGAATATATGGATATGAAGAAGGCAAATCTCAGTACGCTTTTACTCTCCAAAGAGCAAGTTTCTCAGTTTGAAAATCGACACATTACCATGTCCAATGAAAGCCTTATATATTATACTACCGTCATGCTAATATCTTCGGTTGATGACAATCACAAATTTCGACATTTATTTCTGTCAAATTATAGAGTCTATCTATCATCAACCAATGATATGATGACCATTAAGAGAAGGATCGAGTTGTATGATATTCAAAAAGTATCAAAGCCAGCTAAAAGCGAAGCTGATTTAATTGATATCATTCTATATGGAACATCAACAATGGGAAGAGAGTTAGTCATATACACCAATGAATGTAGTAAATTGAGAGATGAGATTGACAAATGCATGGATATGTTCAAATCTCCCTTCATTCTTCAAGAGGCTTCTATTGAAAACCATGACAACTCTGCTTTAGGTAGAACACGAGAAAACGAACAACATGAAAAAGTCTCCATCGAAGTGACAATAAGAAAGGCAGACAAGTTAAGACCAAGTCCAAAGAAGAGAATTGACAACCCAATATTTTACATGGGAATTGGTAATCCAGAACATTTCGGTCAAAATAGAGAGGAGAGAGTCAAATCCAAATCAGTTAAAACAGGAAGATCTCCAGAGTGGAATGAAACGTTTACCCTTGATCTATTCCCAAGTAATGAATTATTGCTTGATGTTCGACTTTACAGCAAAGTGGGTGCAACCAAGAATGATTTTGCCTATGGAGTGGTCAATATTCCATTGAAAGAGATTTTAATTCCTAAAGAAGACACGAACGAAGTGAAACCAGAGCTGAAAGGAAAGTGGGAAATTTGGTGTGGAATGAGCAAGACAGACACTGGAACGAGAAAAGAGGTCGTTGGTGATCTCTTTGCAACCATCAAGTTACTCCAGGATCCAAAATCGCTCCCAAGTTGGCTCACTAATCAAGTTGTTCAATCAAAAACCACTCTCCCATTGGCATGTTTATACACTAAATTTCTAATGTTCGAAAATTGTCAAGAAGTACCATTCATCTATGGCTCAAATATTGATGAGAGTAAGACTCAAAGGTTTGACACCACCACTGACATTGTGTCTATTATTCATCAACAGTCTAATTCCTTGACTGCTTTAATTGACACCAGAACAAGAAGAAAAATTTACACTCTCGAAAAGAGTTCTTTCTTGAAGAAGGAGTACACGATCAGAGATCATGATGGCAATGTTTTTGCAAAATGCTTCCACAAGATGAAGACAATCAGAAAAACAAAAATTAGAATGTATTTAATGAATGGAGAATATCTCTATTCGATGGAAGGAGGTTGTTTTGATGACAAGAAGAAAGATAATGAAGTGATTATACTGAACAGTTTGGGATATCCTGTTGCAAGTGTTTTGTTTGGAAATAAGCTCAGTGGAAGAGGTAAAATGATCATGGTAACCATATTGGATCCTCTTGTGGACAGACCACTGATTATTACTTTTTGCCTGTATGTATTGAGGACAACCAATTAATATTATTAAAAGTCATTATTAAAACATGATCGTCGTTTCTCGTTGTTGTTGCTCTTCATTCCCCATCATTATTTACAGAAAATGGCGCGGAAACTGGAATTACAGTTCAAAAAAAACGAAGGGTTGTTCGCCAACAACGATATGCATATCTCATTCAGTGACCAACAAATTGAAGAAATTGATCTCGAACGAGTAAGTGTCATTGTCGATTCATCACAAAACTCCTTCGAACCCCCGTGAATTTTATCATCACAAGTTCGGAGGAGAGGAAGATCGAAAAACGCTCTCTCTCGTAAAAAGTTTGGACCTTTCCAGAAATCATATTCATCGGCTTTCCAATCTTCAAAGTTTTACCTCTTTGAATATTTTGAATATATCCCGTAACAAATTACGTAAGTCATCGATGATGGTTGAATGATCGAAGGTGTTACATTAAAATTGTTTTGAAAATCATCATCTCCAGGAAAACTTTCAGGTCTTCCTCTAGGATTAACGAAATTGGATGTCTCTCATAATTTACTTACAAAATTGGTTGGAATTGAGATTTTGAGTTCATTGCAAGAGCTGAATGCAAGTTACAACCATATCAATCACACGTACAATGTATTTATTACTCTAGGAAATTTAACATCTCTAAATTTATCAAACAATCACATTAAACAATTGGATGGAATGGAACATTTAACAAAACTAGTGGATTTAAATGTTATGAACAATGAAATTAGTAGCTTTGATTCGATACGAGGATTATCAAATCTTAGATCATTACAATATTTAAAAATTAAGGGAAATCCAATTGCCAAGTAAGTTTTTTAAATGAATTGCAAAAAATTAAAAAATACAAAAGACATTCCAACTATGTGAGCTCACTTTCAAATCTGGTACCCTCTCTGATTCATATTGACACTATTGATTTAAATAATGGACTTCTTGATGAGTTAGAATCTGTTGCAAGTCATTCTGTGGCAACCACCTCCGATGAAGATTCAGAATATTTTGATACGACAGGTGAACATGGATCCTCACTGAGAGGAAAAAGAAGATTCAGTTTGCAGTCGACGAGTTCAGATTTAGCATTGGATCCATTCTCAACAACAAATTCTTATGTAAAAAGACCTGAAACACCACAAGGAAGAATTCAACCCACCATCACTTCATCCATCAATGTTGAAAAACCAACAAGACCATCCAGTGCTCCTAAACGACCAACCAGTCAAGCTTCTTCCTATATTCAATCAAAGAGATTAATGAGATCATTCAATCATGGATCTGCTGGTCAAATTGATGCTCCAAAAATACAAAAGACGAACAATCATCGAGAACTTGAAGACGTTAAATTGGTTCTAAATCAAGAGCAACAAGAAAATTCGAGACTTGAGAAAGTGAATGAAAGTTTGAGAGGGGAAATTACATCTCTAAAGAATATCATCAAAAATCTACAACAAGATTGTGATACCTTCAAATCCTCTAATGAAAATATTTTACTGGAATTAGAATCTCTAAGAACAAGACATGATCGAATGCAACGCAATTATCGAAATGTTCAACAATTATACAAGGAGGAAAAACAAAAAAGAATTACCTCTGAAGAAGGAAGAAATGAATTGCAAAAACAAGTTTCCAAAATGAGAGTATCTCTTCATCATCACAAATCTCGATTAGATCTTGAACACAAAGAAAAGACCCAAAATTATGACTTGTTGAAAGAACAACATGAACAAGTGAAACAAGATGTTCTTCTCTTATTGGAATATATTTCAGTCATTGAACAACGATCCTTACAACAACAGAAATTATTGGAAGATATGTTCAATCTTGTTAACAATGACGATACTCATTCCATTAAGGAAAGTATACTAGTCTTATCGGAACGTCATAATCATACAATGACTGAATCAGATCTTTCAGAACGAGTGAAAAGTATTTTTGAAAATTATCAACCTGAAAGATTTAAATACAAGAACACAAGTCGAATGAAAGGAAATCCAAATGTTCGAAACTTTAATGAATTGAGGCATCTCGTTCATTCACAGGCCAATGCAAGTACTTACAAATGGGAAACTACCTTAAGGAATCATCAAAGTGGAAGTAGTAGTAGTACTTCTAATGCCACCACAACGACGATGACTTCTTCCAACACTCTTCCTGAACAAGCTCAACTATTCAATGGTGGTTCTCAGAATGCAGCATGTAATACTCACAAGAAGAATATTCCAAGTAATTCTCAATTACTTGTAACAAAAACCAAAGAAAAATCAAACAACACTTCTCCGATCATTACCATTCCATCCGTTTCGCCTGAAAAGAAACCACCACAGACTTCAACAGAACCTCTTGGTTCATCACAAATACTCAAGATTATTGAAGAACAATCACAAAATTTAATTACTCAATTGAAATCCAATGAATCATTGAACAACAATTTCAATTCGAATGATTATGAAGAAAAGGCAGAAATACTTTCGACACTCAATGATCTGACACGAGTGGATGTGAGTTCAAGTCATGAAAATTTGTATTCATTTTCTCCAAAAAAGGATAAGAATTCAACAAACTCCTCTTATCTTGTCATGAATCACACAGTCACCACCACTGATACCACTGATGGTAGTGTAGGTGTCGAATCGACCTTATCAAGTGACAAACAAGATCCAGTGGAATTACTTTCAAAAATGTCTCCAACTGAGCTTCAACAATTGTTAGCAGAATTATCTCACCAATATTCAACCACACAGATTCAAATGGATGAAACCATTCCCTCTCACCTTACAACAACAACAGTGAATGACATTACAATGAACAACAATGGAGAACGTCACATGTCTTCAAACATCAATAACAACAATATTAGGAATGAAAGAGAACATGAAGATAAAAAGACATCACCATCCTCACCATCATCATCACCAACTCATCATCACTCGATCATTACTTCACTTGAAGATGAAACAAGTGCACTTACCAGAGATATTCACTTCCCTTCACCAGAGAAAAAGATCCTAACCATCTCACCTTACAAGAATGAACGAGAAATGATTGTGAAACAACGACTTCATGAACGATTGGCTTTGGAGAGAAAGAAAATGGGAGTGGGAGGATTGGATTTGTAAAAATTTATTGAACTTTTTCAGAGTAGTGACTACTTTCCATAGTTATGATCAATAGACTAGTTTGGACTCTGTACAATCGATTAAGCGATTCATGAAACTTTGTGTCTTTTAGTACGATCCTCAAAATCTCCGGATTCAAGGGACGACGATTGGTCGTTATCAATGTAATGAGAGCGCTAACACATCGGAGAAAGAGGTTGTTGATCGAATGGAAAATTTTTCAAAGAATCAAAAAAAATATTTAAAAAATGTTAAATTGCTCTCAAACAAAACACTCCTCGAGAATCCATCGCATTTTGAATCACTTGAATCCATCATCAGAAGCAGCAACATCTTTGGATGATGCTTCGGAAGAACAAATCATGACTCGTCCAAGTAATAATCATTGGATTCAATTCAACTCTACCTCTTCTGGAGAATCAAGAGACACTCACAGTAGTCACAATGATTGTGTCATTTATCAACAAGATTCATCCGATGATGGTATTGTCGTCTTGTATTTAAATGATGCTCCAGTCAATGCTCTCTCTGATCGAATGCTCAAAGCCATTAAAAAGAATATGGAACGTGCCAACAATGATGATCAATGTAAGGGTATTGTGATTGCTTCCAAGTTGAAAGGTTTCTTTGTTGCAGTTGCTGATATTACTGAAATTAGAAAGAGACAACAGAGAAGTACTACTACCAATGCAACTACTACTACCAATAATGCAACTACTACCAATGGTGGTGAATTCTTAGATTTTCTTAAAAATGGAAATTCATTAATGAATTACATTGAAAATTCTCCAAAGAATAAACCAGTGGTGGCATGTGTGGATGGTGTGGCACTTGGAGGTGGACTTGAACTTGCAATGGCATGCAATGGAAGAGTTTGTACTGAGAATTCTACTTTGGGATTACCTGGTAAGTGATTGATTACAAGGTTCGTTCATGAAACAATCTCACACTTCATACCTTTCATTCGTACATGAAACAATCTCATTCTTTCATACCTTCAATACTGCTACTACTATGATGATGATGACGACGACTATGACTCTCTCACACTCACACACACTCACACACACTCACACACTCTCTTGAACTCATCTGCACACTCACTTATGCACAGAAACCAATTTGGGAATTATTCCAGGCTATGGTGGATGCAATCGACTTCCACGTCTAGTTGGAACTCGAAAAGCATTAGAAATGATGATCAGTACTCAACCTGTGAAAGGAAAAGAAGCCTTTTCATTGGGTCTTGTGGATCAATGTGTTGTTGGATCGAATCAAAGTAATGTTCTCTCTGCTGCTCGTCAATTGTGTCTCGAAATGATTCAAGGTAAACGTGCCATTCGTAAGACTCTTCAATACTCTCAAAAGTTAATGCAAGAAAATGATGAAACGTCTTCATTGACTATTGTGAATGCAATGGAGAGACAATTAGATCCTATTCAATCCAAATTACCACATCTTAAAGCATTACTGAGAGTGGTACGTGAAACTGTTCAATTTCCATGCAATGGATTGTATGGACTTGATGTTGAAATGAAAGAATTTGCAGGAATTGCCAATCAACCCATTTCACGAGGAATGGTTCATTACTTTTTAGCACAAAAAGCAACCACAAAATTACCAAAACGTTTATTGAATGATAATAGTAGTACTAGTAGTCCAATTCAATCATTGGCAGTGATTGGAGGTGGTACCATGGGTGCTAATATTGTAGTCAATGCCTTGGAGAATGGTATTCGAGTGATTTTGAAGGAAATTAATCAAGAAGCATTGAAGGCTGGAATGGAACGTATTCGTAAAGGTAAGTGTGTGAATTTTTTTGATCTTTAAATGATCAATCACCATTCCATTGATATATCTGTGATATAATTATTCGATATATCTATGATCATATGATAATTCGATACATCTATCGATGGTAATATGATAATAATTATACAAATGTATTATTAACCAATCCATATATACAAATGTATTATAAACCAATCAAAATATGACCAAAAAGTCTTCCAATCCAAATTGGATCGAAAGAAAATGACTCAACAACAATTTGACAAGATCTTTTCTCAACAATTAGTGGGTCAAATTACTTTTGATTCATTCCATCAAGTGGATATGGTCATTGAAGCTGTTTTGGAAATTGTTGAATTGAAACAAAAAATATTCCTTGATTTGGAAAAACATTGCAATGACAAGTGTATTCTTGCCACTAATACGAGTACGATTGATTTGAATCGAATTTCTGAAAAGATGCAACCCAAGAATCGATCTCGTGTGATTGGTCTTCACTATTTCACACCAGCTCATGTCATGCCATTATTGGAAATTGTAAGAACTGAACATACATCACCACAAGTATTGATGAATTCACTCTCATTTGCTAAACAAGTGAAAAAGACTCCAGTGGTTGTTCTCAATGTTGTTGGATTTGCAGTGAATAGAATATTTTGGCCATATGGAATTGCAGCTCAATATTTAGTTGAACGTGGATTGAGTCCCTATCAAATTGATAAGGCCATTAGTCAGAGTGTGATGCGTGTTGGATTCTTTACAATGGCTGATATGTGTAAGTTGTTGTTGTTGTTGTTATTTGATATTGATAGGAATATGTTGTTGTGAATATGAATAATGTTTACTTGTTGTTGTGAATACGATTGATATGGATATGATTGATGTGAATACGGTATGAATATGATTGATATTGTTGTTGAAAAAACAGCTGGTCTTGATGTTCTCAATTATGCTTCTCAATCCATTGCTGGTGCCTATAAGGAGAGAGCAAAAGATTCTCCATTTACTAAACTCATGATTGAGGCTAAGAGATTGGGAGAAAAAACCAATATTGGTATCTATAAATATGAAGCCAATGGAAAGAGAACACCAGACCCACAAGGAATGGAATCAATTATTTCACAAGTGAGAAAAGCTGCTGGATCTCCACCTCCTTTGAATTACACAGATAAGGACATTTATGAAGCATGTTTATTCAATGCTGTGAATGAGGCTTGTAGAGTCATTGAGGATAAAGTGGTATTCAGAGTGAGTGATATTGATGTTGCAAGTGTCATGGCCATGGGTTTCCTTCATTATTATGGAGGTCTAATGAAGTGGGCTGATGAACTTGGAGCAAAATATATTTATGACAGATTGAACAAATTTTATCAAGACAGTGATGGAAAGGTTGTTTCATTCAAGCCTTGTCAATATTTGACTCATTGTGCAACTAATAATTTGAGTTTGTACAGTGCTGATGCTGAATTGATGCAATAATAAATGATTAGTTCAGTGTGTTCATAATCAAGAGAGATGTAATGTATATTGTGTGATCTGAAGAGAAACCAGAGAGATATACACTGTAATGCATTATGTTTGAATGTAGGTAGTACTGGAATTCCTGCATGTCCAGTTGATGTGAAATCATTATTTCCTATCGTATCGAGTCTGTCATCATGTAATTGGACAATTCATACATGAGAATTCCTGCTGCATGACTCACAGAAAAAGAATCAATGTTATTCCTCATGGGTATATAAACAAATTCCTTATTGGGTATTTGTGACATGACCGTATGAAACTCTTGATCTTGATACATAAGTCCATGATGTTCATTTCCCATGATCAGACAAAGATTCTTCAATGTTCGTTGAGAGTGATTCATTTCAAGAATTGATTTGATGTTGTGTTTCTGATAAGAAGAGGCATCTGCAATCAGTGTGCAATCACATTTCAACTGTTCATGTATGATGGTTTTATATTCCTCTAAGGGTAAATGAAAAACTGGAATATTCATTATGTAATTTCTTGAACTTCTTATACAGCGCTCAGTAAAGGGTGAGACACAATCTTCACTCAAGAATATCGCAGAAATATCAAATCCAAAACTCATTCGAATAATGGATCCTAAATTGTTGGGATCACTTATTTTGTAACAATAAATATATATATTTCTTTTTCGAGGACGAAATAATTTTTGTGGATGATAATTATCATAGACAGCACAGTATCCATCATTGCTAACAATATCTCCACAAATATAATTAATTAAATTGTCCGTTACGGGGAAGTATTGTATTTGATTTTGTTTATCTTTCAAAAGCAAAGGCTTATCATGCCTATAAAATAGCCATTTTGGATGAATGTTGTATTTCTCAAATGATTCTGTTATTATTTTTGATCCGTTCATTAATAGAGGAAGAGAGACAAAGCGATGCAAATGATCATCTTGATCGCTTTTTAATATTTCATTCACGGAATTATTATTGGTAGTACTATCCCTAGAAAAAGGAAAACATTTTTTAAAATATTTGGAATATTTAGTTCTGATTTTAAGACATTCCTTGATGATCGGGTTCGATTTGCTGGAAATGATGACCTGATTCATCTTCTCAATTTTTTAGAGCACAAGAAATGATCCCTTCAAAAAAAAATGTCGTACGCTCCCACACAGGTTCAACACGAAGATTCCGAAGGAAGTGAAGCTGAAAATGATACAACAACGTCATCAACACTTAATACGTCATCGTTGACTCAATCAAACATTGCTACTCAGATTCAATACGATACAAATAATGAAGAAGGTGATACTCTTGAATTTGACGAAGATGATGATCAAGCTTCCGAACCTAATCAACAAGGTGATGATCGAATGAATACAACAGCCGATGATGAGGATGATGAAGAGGACCAAAATTATGAAGAAGGTTCTCCAAAAAATGTTGAAGAGCAAACAT